CAGAGCCCAGGACACAAAGGAAAGGACATAGGAAAGGGTGCTCTGTTGGGGATGTATGGTTCGGGGGGAGGGGAGGAATTGCCAGAGTGGTCCACGATCCGGGCTCGGCGGGTTGACTGTTCTCTCGTCCCCCTCACTGGAATGCTACTGGGGGATCGCTTCCACCGGACATGCTGACCATCTCTTGGGCAAAACTGCTGCCGGCGCCGCCCTCGTCCGTGTCTTGAGGCAACGGTTCGGGATCTTCTTCAGGGGCGGGCAGGGTGCCGTCTAGTTCTGCCGCCTTATCGCGACATGCTGCTGGCGAAAAGCCACTGCCGACCTTCGCAGAGATGATGCGCCACCTGTCGTTCTCGTACTCCTGTATGGCGCTGCGCAGTTTTTGGACCTGAAGGGCGGGCGTTCGCGTTAGCAGCTTTGCTCCAAAGAGTATCCGGCTTTTCCCACTAGGGCTGGAGAAGTGGATAGCCGCACGGAAATCCCAATCTCAGCCCCCGTCTGGGGAGTAAGCGGTTGGGGAAAAAAAAAAAAGGCACATACCATATCGTCGGTCCAAACCGTCGTCTTGGCCTTGAGCTTGGTGCAGTACCGCACCTGCAAGGTCCCAGAGCTCCTTCCGGGGAAAAACTCGGCGATTTGCTTCCAGGTGAGGTTCTTCTTCTCCTTCAATTCCACGAGCAGCGAGTCGTCCTCGGGAGTGAACTTCAGCTTGGGCCCACGCGGTCGCGGGGCGGGCGCGGGCATTCCCTCCTGCCCGACGACGCTGGGCGGGCCGTGCGAGGTCGAGGGCGGCGACTGGTCGCTGGCGTAGCTGCCGCGGTGCAGCTTGTGCGGCGGGGCGGTGTTGGGCAGGCGGTGATGGTGGTGCTGGGCGGGCGGCTGCTGATGGGCGGGCTGCGGCGTGTAGTAGTGGGCGTGATGGCCGTGGGGGGTGAGGGCGGACATGGGCACGTCCTGGGGCGCGTCCTCGGGGTGCAGCGCGTGGAGGCCTTGGAGGTCGAGCTGCAGGTCGTCGCGCGGACGGCTGCGCTTGCGGCCGCGGGGCGCGTAGGGGTCTAGAGCGGCGGCGGAGTAGGGCGACGGCGGGTGCTGGGGCTGGGGCGGCATGGGACGGATGGGATAGGCCTGGTACAGATTGGGGTGGGCTTCGGGGGTGGAGGAGACGTGGACGAGGTGGTGATGGGCGCCATGGTGGTGGTGCAGCTGGTGGTGGTGGGCGGGCGCGTGCTGCAGGAACGGGTTTGGCTGGGGCTGCTGCGGCAGGGCGTACTGGTGGAGTCCATGTTGGAGTTCGACGTTTGAGGAATGGCCTTCTTCTCCCGGGTGGTCTTGCACGTGGCCGTAGTCGAGGGAGAAGTCGCGGTAGGATCTCGCCAGCGTTGCAACTATGCATGGAGACTGCCAGAGCGGACTAGCTCTGGCAGGCCGCCCGTGTAAGACCTGAGCCAGACTCTGTTTTGGTGGGGGGGGTTGGATCCTGGTCGGGGCGGCGACGCGTGTGGTCGCGGTGGGGGAGGTGTATCGCACGTGTTTGGGGTTGCCGGCGGTCGCGGGAGGGGACAATAGCGGTGCACAGCTATACTGGGTCGCGGTGCTGGGGAGCGGCGCGGCGTTATATCATGGCCGTGGCTTGGGTGGTGGTGTCAGTCCTCAGGAGGCGGTAGGCAAAAAAAAAAGAGGCCATGGAGGCGGTTCTCCACGCAGCCCTGTGCACGCTTGAGTTCTGACGGCCTTGGTTCCTGAAGAGTAGCGGGCGCGCTGAGTCGGGCAAGGCAGGCGACGCATTCTGCTGGGAGCATAATGCGGTGATCATTTGCCGGGATGGGCACAGATCTCTACGGCCATCGCGGTTGCAATGCGGCGGGCCCTGCCAGCGTGTGAGTGGCTGGGCGCACAAATTGAGCGCTGACGCAACGAGGGCATTTCCAGAATGCCCGCCGAAGGATCTTCCGCACGGAGGCTGCATTGACGGTCGGCTGGAGATGAGTCTCTATGCGTGGGCGCCGAAATGAGCGGGCATCGAAGCAACCCTGCGCAGAGCATCGCCGGCAGTGCTCTCTGACGCAAAGAGCGGACGAGGCGTGGTGAGTCGCCCAGACGGATGCCGTTTCAGGCGGCGCTATATGCGCGACCCCGGCCTATATGCGACGCGACCGCGCCCCTTGGTGGCGCGACAGAACGGCCGCAAGATCTGCCCGCTATACATAGCAGCCCGCCGGCCTCATCCGGCAGGTGAAGGGGCAGCCCGGCGGGTCGATCAGGAGCGCGGCAGGGGAGCGCGCATTGCCGGCGCGACGATGCTGTGGCGATGGCGGATGGTGTTGGCCGGCGTGCAGAGCGCGCGCCGCACGTGAGGCGCACAGGCCGGGATCACCAGCAGCCAGAGCTGCCAGCAGCCAGCGCGAGCCTTTAGCCTGTTCGCACTAGCTCCAACGGCGCCGCCTGAAACCGCCCGCCCCGCGCCCATTGGCCGCGCCCATTGGCCGCGCCCACACCAGCAACACCCAAACCAAACCACCACCAGCACCGCGACCGCGCGACCGCGACCCGCCCGCCCCAGCCTGCCCAGCCTGCTGCGCGCCCCCGTCTGCGCGCCCTCACCAGCGCCGGCCCGCTGCCGCCCCTGTGCGCCGCCAGCCCGCCAGCCCGCAGCCCGCAGCCCGCAGCCCGCAGCCCGCAGCCCGCAGCCTGGCCCCGGCGAGTCGCGCGCGCCCTGCCGCCAGCCTTTTGCCGAAATGCTCCGCCCGCTCACCACCGCACCCGCCCGACGCACCTTCTGCCAGAATCCCTCGAAATGAACATCCAATTTCCACAGGGCGTATGCATAGTACTATGCTTCCCGCATGGCCCGCTGCATGGCCCGCTGCATGCCCCGCTGCATCGTCCGCCGAGTCCTCCCGCCACCCACCCCCCCTCCCGTCCCACCACCGACAAGCACTCCGCCTGCCCGGCCTGCCCGGCCTGCGCGCGACTCTGCCACCCCGAGCACGCAGAAACAGCCCGAGATGCGTGACCCCAAGCTCCTGCCACAGACCCGGCTAGAGCAAGAAACAATGCCCGACTGAATGCAACCTCGCAGTGCTTTGCGCGTACCGCGTCATCTTGGTGCCGCCATGCCGCCCCGCCAGCCCGGTTCGAGAGGGGCTGCCGGCAACGAGCGCGTGCAGCTGCGAGGGACAGAAGTACAGGCCACCCCCAAGCGCCGCCAGAAAAAAAAAAGAAAAGCAAAGGACTGAAGTGAGAAGAAGTGAGAACCCAAGTTTTAGTTGCTGCAGTGCGTGCAACAGCTCCTGTAAAACCGTCACCTGAAAATCTTCCCAGGATGCTCCTGCCCTCGCGTGCGTGCCGTGAATTAAAAAAAACAAAAAACAAACAGACATCTCGCTGGCACACCTGGCAGATAGCGAAGAAAAGAAGCCATAACAAAGGAGATCCCACTGGGATCATACATACCCACCAATGATTGATCGGTGTGGCCACGCCCACCGCTCCTAAGAGAGGCAAAGGCTTGTGGAATGCGGGCGCGCCATCTGAATAGGAGGAGAGGGCTAAGCATGTAAGCCCAGGTGTGTTCCGTAGTGCCGGGAAGGAGGTACAGCGCTTCGGTACTATCTCAAGGAGCACCCTCGTGAATACTACTTTTTTTTTTTCTGATTTGTTGTGTGTCCAAGTTGTCGTGAGCATCATTTCTGTTGGCTGTCGTCGTTCTTGCCGAGGAGGAAGATGCTCGTCATCAGACCTTTCCGCCGAAGTGTTCCTTTGCGTATTGCTCACAAGCCTGACCATGACGACTTTGGTTAGCGTATGTTTCTTCAGCACTTCAGCCGCACCCGCGGCTACCGTTTCCTGGTTCCGAGTATCCCCGACAAACAATACAAGACAAAGATGCCTGCCAGGGCCTGCATCTGCTAGCTCAGGTCTACTGCGGCACTCGGATTCCGAAAGTCTAGCAGCAAGCCTCGCGGGCACTGCTCATTCACACTAGAGTGCAATCTTCCCATCCTCCGTCTGCGCACGCCGTCTTGTTTCATCCTCCAGGACGAGAAAGGGTGTGAAGGGCAATAGGAAAAAAGTGGTAAGAGAAACGGTGGCGTGGTAGCAGGCACACCACTGCGTCTTTACCTACCTTTGCAGGTTTCCCAACTTTTGCACCGATAACCTTCCACTTGCTAGCCTCGTACTCCTTGATGGCAGCGAGCAACGCAGCACTCTGTACGCCCTCACCAACGAAGAGCACCCTCTCATCAGCCCAGATCTTGTCCACACGGTATGACGAACAGGAGTTCATGCGGCTTACCTCGTCTTCCGCGAACTCGGCGTAGTGCATGTCCTGGTACACGTAACATCGTACAGTCAGTCGAGTACAACGTGACGCAGTGGCTTGCAGTCATGATTTCATGTGGATGGTTGAAAGAGAGGGGTGAGGGGTAAGGTGGATGAAGGTTCCCAGGTTGTGGAGTTGCAGCTGCCCTGAGGCATACTGACCTTGTACCAGTGTTTCTTCACACTACCTTCGGTCCGCGTCGGGAAGGTCTGGGCGATTCGCAAGCAAATTAGTAAGTCGTCTGTCTGTAGTGGATTCGTCTTTCTTGCTCATTGCGCTCCCCTTCTTCCTTTCCCCGCTTCCCGTCCTTCTCATCGCCAGGAGAAAAGACCATGGATGCCGACGGTGCCTTCCTGTGGCCTGCGTTCTGCGTCCATCCCAAGCTGCTTTCCTGGTCAAGTTCGCAGAGATATCCAGCAGTGGCTGACAAGTCGCTCTTACCATGTGGATAGGCGCCCCACGCTTGTGGAAGCTGGCCCAAACACTTGAGAAAGCTGCAACGACCATTCTTCTTGATTAGATGGCCCTCTCCAAGGTGGTCCAGCGGAGCTCCATCAAGACGCCCGACGTCACATCTACCTGGCTTCTCGCCAGAGAAGATTGAGACGAGGCCCCGACGTCCAGGAAGAAGAAGAAGAAGGAGGAGTAGGAGGAGAAAAGCAAGAAAGAAGTCATGTCAATGATACCGTACCTTTGCAATCTCGCTCCAGCTGTTCCCCGCATCCCTCATGACTTTCAAGCGCTGCTCCTCGGCTGCGGTCCACGGAGTGTTGGTTCTCCCCTTCTTCGGCGGGGGCGGCTGCACGGGCTGTTGAGGCCCGTTGTCACCGCCACCCAGGCCGGACGGATCTGCCCCGTAGGCGGACGAGGTGCTGCCGGCACCGGCTGTCACGCTCGAGGGGGCTATGGTCGCGTTAGGGGCGATCTGGTGGTGCTGGGCAGCCGAGGCGCCGGACGCGCGACGCTTGCGTGGGTTGGTGGGCGAGGTGGGCGAGGTGGTGGCCGACGAGGTGCCTCCCACGGGCGGAGCAACAGCGTAGGGGGTGCCGCTAAAAGGGTCCGTCGTGGATGCTGACGCCTGGTTGAAGTGGCTGCCGGCCGGGCCGCCCGACACGGTGAGCTGTGAGGGCGACGCCGACATGGGATTGGGCTTCAGGCTGCGCTTGGTGTGGTGTGGCGAGGACCTGTGTCGGTGCGCGACGGTGTCGCGTGTCAGTGTTGGAGGCAGGCTATGGAGGCAGCTAGACGCGTTTTGTGTGTGTAGAGGGTACTTGGGCAGGACGACGAGGCTGACGCGCGTGTGATGTATCCAAGATATAGTAGGCGCAGCTAGCTGCAGATAGGAGCAGAGCAGGAGCTAGTGTGCCTGTACACCCGCAAGCAGAGGAAGGGTAGGGTTTGGAGCGGGCTTGATCAGGTCACGGCGACTCGGCGAGGCCAAGTGGAGGTAGACTTACGACATGGTCGTTGCTACGGGAAGGCGGGTAGCTCGCGCAAGACGGCCCCCGTCCGGACAGTGAGGTCGAGTGCTCGAAGTCGAGCGGCTCCACGGCGGGATGCTCGGCGGGATGCGAGAGGCAGAGGTCTGGGTCTAGATGGTGAGCGGCGCGTGCCGGGTGGGCATGCTGCTGCGAAAGGCTTCCTGGGAGTGGGTTGGATGCGCCAGCGTTGTCTCGGGCGACACCTCTGGATACTTCGGCCGCCGTCGCGTTTCACGGACAACGATGAGGCTGCAGCGTGCGCTGCGGAGTAAGAATCTCAACGCGCGGCAGTGAGGGGCAGAGGGGCGTTGCGCGCGCGCGCTCACTGAGCAGAAGCACTTTGTTTTCTCCGCGGTTCCTGCCCTCACACCAGCCACATGATTGAGGTGTAGAGAGATGCGCGGGAAGTCGCGACTGTAGATTCACAGATGACGGTGGCGGTCGATCACGCTGTCGAGCAACCAAGGCCAGGACTCGAAGGCAGATCGCCGCCGCGGTAGCAGGCGATGATGCAGTACATGGGTCTACCGGCGCCAGGGCTGCGAGCAACGCTGCCGAGCGCGCGCTGGACGAATCGCAGCCCCGCCAGCGGCCGCGGACAGCCAAGATTGGCGAGAAGGAGCTCTACGGTAGGGTTGCGGGGGAGGGGCAAGGTTGGCGATAGGTGGGCGCGGTGCGGAGAGGCAAGTCCCAGCACGGCCAGCACGGCGAGCACGGCCAGCACGGCGGGCACGGCGGGCACGGCGAGCCATCATGCAATCACGACAACGGAGAGGGCGCGTAGCGGGTACAATGGCCGCGCAGCCGTGTGGCGGAAGCGTGCGGTAGAGGGAACGTGGGAACGTCGTCGACGCTGCCATGGCAAAGCGGGGTAGTTCTACCCAGGCTATCCGTACGCGCTGCGCAGCCATGCCATGCAGCACGCAGGCAGTCAGCCCCCTCAAGCGGCAGCGTGCAGCAGTGTCGTCACGCGCACGGCGATGCGCGGCGGCCGCTTTCTTCATGCACGCGGCGGCGTGGGCGATGACGCTGACTGCGCTCGCCATGACGACGGCGGTGCGACAGCGGCGGAGAGGGCTCCTCACAGGCGTGTGATGGCGAGATGGCGATGCAGCCCGGGGGCGGGGGGCGCGGTCGGCCGTGGTGGTGGTGGTGCGGGCTGTGCGGGCTGGACCGGCGGGCGCAGCGACTGGAAGGATCGCCGGCCGCCCGCTTCCCCACACGACTCCGCTACCAGCAGCGCTAGCGGCCGCGCCTACTCCGTAGGTGGTCGCCTGCCGCCGTCCGGCAGAGGACTTCATCACGCCCTCGCCATCATGAAGGGGCGGCGGCACTCGCATCCAAGCGAGCCGGGGCAGTGCGGCGTTTTGACCGCGTGAGTCCAGCCTTCAACCTCGCCTCAATGCGGGAGTAATTTCTCGTCGAGGTGCAGAAGAACCGATCCTCGCGTGCCCCGAGTTGCGCTCTCCCTCATGCACAGGCAGTAGGTAGTCGAAGCAGCTGTGCGAGTGCGGGTGTCAGTCGAAGGCAGAGGCGGGACGCCGGTGCAATTTGGGTCGGGCTCTCTCTTCTTCTTCTGTCTAGCTGACGGCTGTCAGATTTTTTTGGTGCGAGCAGCGGGCCGGAGGCGTTTACGGCGCCGCGAAGCCGGGCACGGCGCTGATTGGGCGGGCGCTCTTCACATGGGAGAACAAGCATGACACACGACGACTTGGACTCGACACACGGCCCACCCCGCGCGTCATGGCGGCCAAACACGCGCAGCAGGCGCTGTTCTCAGCGCCGCAGCACAGCGCCACAGTGACGGGCGCGGGCGCCAGCAGCTGGACGGCGCCCGGTTCGAGCGCCAAGAACGGGGTCCGCAGCTGCCTGAGACGGCGCTCGTGCCAGGACTCACGGCCAGCACCAGGACCAGGACCAGCACCAGCACCAGGGCCAGCACCACAACCGCCCCGGCGCCGTTTGAGCGCAGCCCATCTCAAATCGCTGCCCCAGATGCGTGCCAGAGACCCGCATTGCCTCTGCCAGCGCGGATGGCCGCGCTTCCGAGCAGGCGTCGTGCGCGTCCGCCGTCTGCCGGTCTGTTTCGCGCACCCCAGCAGCTCCCAAGCAGCAGCCAGCAGCAGCCATGCCCGGCTAGGGGCCCGGCGCCGCTGGACGGGCCACTCGCGCGCCCGACGATTAAGATTTTATGGTTATATGCTCGCGGGCGCGCTTGTTTCTCCATTCTGCAAGCGTCCGATGTCTTAGGAGCGGGGATCAAAGGCTTCGCGCTCTCCTCCAGCTCGACACGGGGCTTTCATACCAATCGAGTTTTGAAACCCACCTCAGAAGCGTGGCAGACGCCATGGATCCCCGCCCTGCTACTGGCTGGATCTGCATCTTGCAGCACCCCTCGCCCCAATCCGGCAAGCCCACACCGCGCTCTGCGCCCCAAGCCTCCCTCGACCGGAAGCGTCTGAGATCCGCGCGCTGCACCAGACCGCCGATCCTGAGTTTGACAAAACCTTAGGTTTGTTGCAGCTCCTTGCCGCATGGCTGGTTTGGAAACCCAACCCACTTCAAGACCCACCACTCTAATATGCCCCCGGATGTGCGTGCAACCGGGCGTCACAATCACCGCCATTCGCCATAGCACACGCCGCTATTGTCTATATATGATCCAGAGCCTTCCGCTTCCATTGCTCTCCATCATCCCTCATCCCACGAGTCCGGCTTTGTTTGTTCCTTGCAGCTCTTTGCGCTCTCGTTGACTTCCCACTGGCTGGGCTGCGCTTTCATTCCTTAATCGACATTGCTGGCCAATTGATACGTCCTCTTTAATCCCTCTCTGTCTACCGCACATAGACCTTTGAAGAGAACGAGACTGGACACTCCCACTCCCTTACTCACACACTGCACACTACACACTGCACCCTACAAAAGCAATGGCACACCACCGCAGAACATCCTCCATCTCCTCCTTCGGCGACATGGACTCCCACGCCTCCGCGCCCATCCGTGCCCGCAAGATGTCGACCGGCGGCAACCGCTCGTGGTCTGAGGAAGAGGAAACCTACCTCCTCCAAACCCGCATGCAGAAGATGCCCTACAAGCACATCGCGCAGCACCTGAAGAAGACAGAGCTCGCCTGCCGTCTGCACTACCACCAGCTCAGCCACGGCTCGCACCGCCGCAAGCGCAACGCCTCCATCTCCTCGACCACCTCATCCATCGTCTCTGGCTCCACCAACACCACCGGCTCGCAGTTCGAGCTCCCCACCGAGATTGCAGAGGAGTACACCCAGACCGTGACGCCTCCACGCCAGGGGTCGCCCATGATGACCGTCGAGGCGGCCCAGACGCATCAGCAAAAGATCCTCCTCCCTCGCCTTCACCCGCGTATCATCACCCCCCAGTCTTCGCCGGAGCCGCGCATGGACCTTCGCATCGACACCAACATGCACAACAACAACCACAACAACGCCAGTCCCGCCAGCTCGACCGCGGGGCCCGGCATGGCCATGCCCTTCCACCACCACGGCTACGCGTCTGCCCACGGCCAGGAATGCCAGCGCCTGCCGTCGACGCTGACCAGCGCGTCGGGAAGCCACAGCCGCCAGCACTCGCGCGCCTCGTCGCTCAGCCCCGTCGACACGGCCCGCCTGCGCGGCATCTACGAGGCCCACCGCACCGCCTTCTGGGCCGCCGTCGCCGCCGACTACGGCCCGGACGCCAGCGCCGCCCAGCTCGAGGACGTGTGGCGCCAGGGCGGCAGCGGCAGCCCGCTGTGCCCCAGCTTCTTCAGCAAGAGCGACCGGGGTCTCGGCCTGCACATCGCGCGGCCGCCGACGCCGCCGGGCGAGAGCCCCAACGGGACGACGCTCGCCATGGGCTCGCTGCAGGCGCAGCTGCCGCTCCCGAGCTTCAGGAACGCTAACGGGTGGGCGGCCGTCAACCGCCAGGAGACTGCCGCTCCCACCAGCAACGCGAGAAGAGAAAGCCGGACGGCCATCTCGGCGCTTCTCACTGAGGAGCGGGACCCGAGGCCCTGAGCGTTTCTGAAGAGCAATCCTTTCCGTATGTTGGTGGATAGACATGGGGCCCACCCCCGGGGGGCGATCAGACGGTGGCTTTTTGATTGGTTCAAGTCACTGGGGACTAGGTGTTTCGGGTATCACCAGGGCTTATCTTTTTCTGCACGCTCATGAGAGGCTCCGTCCTCCTTTCCGTTCGTTTCGTACCAAGGCGCTGAGGGCAGTGCGGGACATCCCCGCATCCGCTCGTTTTTGGCACGCTTATCTTATTTCATTTGTATCTGGGTACTACTGGGGGCCGGCAATGGCCAGGTCGAGGGGAGAGTTTAGCCCGCTGGGAGTGGAAATGCGAGCAATCTTAATCAGACATGACAGTGCGCGAATCATGGGCCATGTATAGACAAGGACTCGATGATAAGTGGTCGTGTAGCACAGATAGAAGAAGTAATCCGAAATCAAAGCAAAGCATCAAAAAACGCATTCGGGACATGACTCTTAGCGCCGGGAGATTGGCGCAACGCAGGCCCGCCCCAGGGGCGTGCTTTCTTGACCGAGTCATCAGACTGCAGCAGAAGACGCCTCGTCCGCACCCGGCATCCAATGGCAGGAGGGGCTGACTTTGCGCTCGACTGCTGGTTAGAGCGTTCGCGGCCGGATTACCCCCACGGCGCCATGTCTCGGGCCGGGGGCCAGGGAGGAGTGGCGGTGGGTTTCCAGTTTCCAGGGCGGTTGTGGGCGCGAGCGGCTGGGGCGGGGCGCGCGGGCCATGGGCCACGGAGGGAGGAGTCCAAGGTCTTGACCGTTGAGACCTTGGCTCCTTGGGTGTTGATTTTGGAAGTGATGGCTGGGCTGAAGCTTTCGCCAAGCACTGGCATGGGCCCGAACACCCGCTGGCTCACCACAGACCAGCTCCCCTTCGGCACTCCGCATCCGACAGCCAACAAGCACCTCGCTAGCCGCGGATCCGCACAACGGCTTCGAATCCCCCTTTGACAGATCTTGGCCCTCTCGCTAGAGCACATGGGCGCACCCGGCATCGATGCAAATGGGCTGATGGGAGCCACATCTCACACGCCGGCCGTCTCAGGATGCGGCGGGGGTCGTCAAACGGCCCAGGCATCGACGTCTCGTGCCTGCTTCGGCGATGGCGAGCTCGACCAAGGCCCATGGCCGCCCGTGTGGGAACAACAGGGCTGGGCGTCGCTCAGCGGTAGCGAACGCCATCTCCGTTGCTTATCTGGTCCATCGGGGGGTCGCTGCCCGATGCGCGCAGATGCGTCCACGCGCCTGAGGCAGAACAAGCCCCGTTCGAGACCTCCCGGCACGACCTTGGCTCGCCCATGGGGGGGCAGCGCGGCGGGCAAAGCTGGCAGGCGCTTCGCGGCGACAAGGCTGTCGTAGACGAAGCAAGCGTGACACGCTGCATGCAGCCTCCAATGCCTGATTCCAACCGCCCACCCAATGTGTTTTGGAGCAGCGTGTTGTTTGTCGTCTTCGCCGCGGCCCACGGCGCATGAAAGTGTTTGCATATCGGAATCACGCCCGCAATGCAGTGCCATCCGCCAGTGGAGCCTATACTCATACAGGCGCCATGTTAATGACCAAGGCAAGGCTTTGACAAGTAAACGGCGCTCCGTTTCCCCATTTCTTCTTCGTCATTGCGTCTGGGCGGCAGAAGAGTCTGAAACGTTGCTGCCAAAGGATGCCTGCGCCACCTTGGTTGCAGCCCGCGCATCCGTTGCCGTTTCGAGACTGCCGCAGTGATAGGGAGTTGACGGTGCCGCTTGGCTGTTTCCTCGCGTGCTTGCGGCCATGTGCCCTTGACGGCGCGTGTGGGTAAATCTTGATTCGCAGGTGGGTCTCTTGCAGTCTGGGCGCCGGCCGCTCATCGCTTGCCCTGGCGGATATCTGAGACGGTGAGGGCCCTGAGTTGTTTTCAGATGCTGCTATAAGATGGCCGTTGTATATGCCGCGTTTTGGATCCCTTAGATCGAGGAGACGAATAGCCCTGCGTTTCCCTGCAGCCATACTGTCTCGTCTCCGCCCGCCGCTACCGCCAGTACCATGGAAGCTGGCGAGTTGGGCATCCTGAGACATGTCGTCCACGAGCGTAGCATGAATCGCTTCGACGCAGATCATCTGCATCCCCGATAGGCTATATGATTGTCGTGCTATAGCCCACCTTTCTGGACTCTTGCTTGAAGAAAAGGCTCCGCATCTGTCGCGCACTGTCGACCTGATCCTTGACCTTCCGTGGCCTCCCACGTCATGACGTGCTCGGCGCCCGCTGATCTAACGGCAGAGACGCACTCGACGTTTGCTCTATATCAATGATGGGCATACATTGTTCGAGACGCAGCACCCTTTTTGGGACGTGCGCTTCCCAATCCGGAAGGGCTCGCTGCTTTGGCCATGGCTCACGTGCCTGGCTCCTGGGCGCCGCTACGGATACCATTCGGATATCTGAAACAGGTACGGAGACTGTGGCTTCGGCGGGCTGTGGAGTTGAGCCGGGGCAAGGCGCTCAGGCACATGTCTTGGCCAGTATCGGCGTAAGTGAGGCATCCAAGGAGTGTCGAGACCTGCTCCACTTGGATTTTTGTCATGTCAGGAATTGCGATGTAGCTGTAGATATTGCTATCCCCCGTCCATACTACACTTATCGAGACGACTATTGGGCTTGAGTTCGATGCCTGGCCTCAGGCATTGCGTTACCAAGGTCGTCGTCGTCGTCGGTGCACCGGAATCTGAGATGTCTAGAATACCGAGGTGTAGCAGAAAGGTTCGGAAAATCCAACGTGATGCTGAAGTCTCGGTAGAGTTCAAGCGGCACTGTCAAGCACTGACTCTGGGATATCCGGAAATCCAAGTCAATACCACCAGGGAAGACCAGCGGTAGGGATATTGCGCTGGAAGGTCTTCATCCGATCAACTTCTTACAGTGTCGTAACGGTTGGCTTGGCCGGTCTCTGGCAGTGTCGAGCCCCTTCAAGTGGCTAGGTCTTCGGCTGTCATACTCTCCGTTTGTGTCCAACAGCAACTAGGGGTTGTTCGCAGTCCTTCGGCACATACGAAAATCACCCCTAGCACAATCTCCCCGAGTATAAGGCTTATAAGGCGCTGGACTGTGCCTGTGGCCGCAGTGGCTGGGCCACTGAATCAGGTGCGGAGGACCCAAAGGCAATAATGTCCATCGTCCTTCTCAAAAATGAACCTCACTGTCCATTGCTGATCCTAGCCCTCTGAAGCGTGTGATAGGTAGGATGCTCTGGGCGCAAAAGTAAAAGTCGGTCCCTCGTAGCCCTAGCCAAATTAAGTCCCGAGTTGATCGTCCTTTTCCGAGTACGGAGCGAGGAAGAAAGGCAAGTCATGCGCCGATTACTCCCCCTTGGAGCGGCTTCAAATCCAAACAGACAAAAGCACAGCCGCATCGAGCGCATCGGACCGGATCCAGAGGTCCCGAACTGTCAACGTGCGCGCAAGCCGTCGATCCACATCCCAGCCACTTCAGCAACCTCGTCGCTGTTCTTCTCGGAAATGAAGAGGTGGCCATTACCCCGGATATCCTTCTTCCACAGTTCGATGTGGTCCACTCTCTTCACGCCGGCCTGCTTGAAGAAGCGGACGGTACACCAGTCGTACCTTGCGTGGTGGCTGGCCTCGCCGGTGATGACTGCGACAGGCACGTCCACGAGATTAGTCAACGTACGGGGCGCAACACCAAGGCTCTCATCCTCGGCTTGCAAGGTGCAGTCGCTCAGTGCCGGATCCGTCGACTTTTCCGTCCTCAAGTTGAAGCGGGCCTCCTGATGAGGGGGAACAGGATGATCACCCCCGCGCACATCATCACGATCAACATGCTCTCCACCAACACTCCCAGCACCACAATCACCAGCGGCGACGGAGCTGCGCGAAAGAAGAGGGCTCCACGTAATCTCCGCGTCCGTCAACCCCCATGGCCTCTCCAGCCGCAAGCCGCCGACCGTCTGCGCGCACCACGGCGGGCCGTTTGGGTCCAGCAGCACCAAGCCCGACACGCGCGACGGGCGCGCGTCAGCGATCAACAGTGCCCGCGGTGCGCCTAAACTGTGCGCGACGAGCACGACGCCTGCGTCGCCGGCCCCCCTGCTCCTGTCGTCGACGATCCGGTCCACCAACGCCGCGCCCGCCGCGCCCATGGCGCGCTGCGTGACAGCCTCCGGCACTTTGTGCGGCAACGGCACCAGCGAGGCGACGAAGGTCTCGAAGACGGCATCGCCCGGGCGGCCGGTGCCGGGCCATTGCGTGTGCAGGCGGGCCTGCGGCCACGGGGCGGGCTGCTGCTGCGCGATGGCGGTCCAGGTCTGCGAGACGGTCTGCGGCGTCATGATGCTGGAGTGGTCGGAACACGAATCAGCCGGACCTGGGCTGCGGCCGGTGAAGGGTGGGTCGACAAGATAGATGTCGTAGCCGTGGGAGAGGAAGAAAGACGACCAGCCCGGGCGGCCGTCGGGCGTCGTCACCCAGCAGGCGCTGGTGTGGGCGGCGCCGGGGATCAAGATGAGAGATGGCCTGGTGTTGCTTCTGGCAGTAGCGCAGGGCGTGAGGTGCTCGACGTAGAGAGTGCAGGCCGCGTCGGCACCTGCTTTCCCGGCCACATAGAAACAGCGCCGTACGTGTGGAACGCCTGACTGCATGACGACTCTCTTGCAGCCTATGTCGGGGCGGGTGACACGTCGTCTCCTGGAAGCATTCGAGAATGCTTCGCGAAGGGCGCTTCCCGTGCTTCCCATCAGTGACGTCATCTGACGACTGTTGCTTTCTCCCATCGGGCAATCCCCCGCAGCAGGTCGTGTATCTCTGGAACCAAGGCCAATCTCCCACCCTGGTTTTCTCTGTCCACAATAGTAATACTCAACGGTCCAATGCGGAGACCAGAGATATCTTGGAAGTCCATGTCTAGAAATGAGTGATCACAGTGTCTCTCGCGGAACGCGGAAGGATAAAGCCATTTGAGACCCACTGTATTTGCGCAGCTCGTCTCCAAAACACTCATAGACTATGAGCTCCTGTTGCTTTCTAATTGGTGCCTCTTGGGATGCTATGTAGCCAGTAGCCGCCATCTTAACCAGTGGAAATAGTGTTGTCTAACTTACTTGAATGCCACATCAGAAGTCCTCAATGCGCACACCAACGCCCCTCGAGTCCGCAAGCGCCACGAGTTCTGCGCCAACGACCACATCCATCAACCCCAGACCGACGCTCTTGTAAATCACATTCCCCCTTGCCAACCAATCTTTGAGGCCCAGGTCGGCATCGTCTAGGCCGCCGCTGCTTGCCTTGCCGGGGCACTTGTCGTCATCCGCAATCTGTACGCCGGACTGGTCGCTAAGACTATTGTCGCCCACCGACGCCGGTCTACTGCGCCGGCGGGCCTCGGCGTCGCGCCTGAGCATGATGAGCTCGCCGAGCTCGACGACTTGGTCGCTCTCTAGACCAGCCTGGATGATCTCGCCGGCCTCGCGCATGCACGAATCGACGCTGTCGACGATTATTGCACCACCCTGCTTGGCATGCTTGTGGAAGTGGCGGCCGTGCTGCGGGGCAACGGCCTGACGGAGGATGTCCGGGTGGATCTCGATCATGTGCGGTTTGTACTGTGAGCAAGTAGCCATGTGTTAGCCAAAGAAGCCGGAACGAGCATGCGAGAGAGGCTTACGCTGCCGATGGCCGCGACGTATCTGCCCTTCCTCCGGCCTTCCGTGTTCGTGAGGTAGCTGGCAGGGAACAGCGGCTCGTGGGACGGAGTAGTCATGAATATGGCCGAGGACGAGCGCACTGTAGACTTGAGCAGACGCCCGTACTCTGTGTGGCCGGGTGTGATCAGCTTGATGTCTGGGCGATCCACCTTGTGGTCTTTGTTGTTCTCCGGATCGAACAGCTGCGTCATTAAGTTCTTTGCCGTCTCGTAGCTCCTGTTGATGATGTTGAGGTGGTGGATTTCACCCGGTCGTAGCAGCAGTGCCAGTCGGACGTGCCAGTACGCCTGCTTGCCCGCGCCGAAGACGGTCAGGTCGTGCACGTTGTTGCGCTTCTTGAAGAGCATGGTCGAGGCCAAGGCAGTGCGGAAGGCAGTCAATTCCTCAGCGTTGACCATGCCGCGGGGGAATCCATGTGTATCAAGAAGTGTTATGGATCCGCGGGGCTGCGAGAGCTTCACAGGCTCGCCCGAAGCTGTCGACTCAGCTTCAGCTGGCTTGCTTGCTGATGGGTCCGGCAATGTCACAATCTTCACGCCAAGGCCATCGTTACTGCTAGCCGGCATAAATAGCGTCGTGCTACCATCCTTCCTCTTGAGCTGTGTCCGCTGAGGCTGGTATGTTGCGCAGCAGCCGCTCTCGGTTTCAGTGGCAGTCGAGTAGTAATGAAGGGCGTCGCCAAGCGATTGCTGCAAGTCGAGTATGTCCTGTCGACCTAGAGAGTGTAAAAGCGACTTGACGTCGCGGTCGGTGAGGACTGTGAGAGGCATTGCGCTGTAGTGCAAGGCCCGGAAGTGTTGGTTAGCAAGGTAGTGAGCTCTGTCCCAAAGATCGGGCCTGCTTACTTACGGTGGGAGTGGGGGATGACGCAGGACAAGGCGGGCGGCGTGCCATGACTCGTCAGCGAGTCGGCGGAGCGAGGGGTCCGACAACGGCTGTCAAAAATCATACGACGCACACTGATTCACGGCACACGTTGAACAAAGTCAGAGAGTCATGGTCTGGACCAGTGAGTGCTTCCTTGTCATTTGCGAAGAAATTGGTAATCGCATTTCCGGCGGATGTCCACCAACGCCCGCTAAACTGAGGAAGACACGCCTGCGTCCCGTTTATCCATCCATTTTGGTATCGTGAATTTAGAGCTGAAAACTTTTTAGACCATTTAGATCTTGATGGCGCTCTCAAGAGCCTTGCGCTTCTTCTCCTGCTTGGCGTTGGCCTTGGCGCCCATGATACCACCACCCCAGTGACGGCGGGTCTCCTCGGTCTTGTCGGTGTAACCCTCCTTGATGGCGGAGACGAGCTTGGAGAACTCGGACTTGTCCTCGGCGCGGACCTCGGTGAGAGCGAGGACGGCAGCAGTCTGCAGCAGGTTAGTTTGAGAACACAGAGCCGAGTGCTCAAGGGCTGCCACGAACCTTCTTGTGGACGACAGTGCCGAGACGGGCCTTGCCCTTGATGATGGCGTACGGGACACCCATCTTGCGGCAGAGAGCCGGAAGGAAGATGACCAGCTCAATGGGGTCAACGTCGTTGGGGATGAGGACAAGGGAAGCCTTCTTGTTCTCAATCAGACCAACAACGTGGTTGAGACCGTACTTGACGGCGTAGGGCTTCTTGGAGACGTCCTCCTTCTTCTTGCCCTCAGCGATGGCGGTAGCCTCCTTGGTGAGACGCTCCTTCTTCTCAGCCTTGGTCTCCGGGCGGTACTTGTTGAGGAGCTTCAAGGCCTGAGCAGCGGTGTTGCGGTCAAGGACGTGCTGGAACTGGGCGATCGCCGGCGGGACCTTCAGGCGAAGGTTGAGGATCTTCTTCTGGCGCTGAAGACGGACATACTCGGGCCACTTCACCATGCGCGACAGGTTGCGCCTGGGCTGGATGTCCTGACCGATGCCATAGTTGCGGGGACGCTTCTCAAGAAGGGGGTTCTGCGATGCACAGGTCAATGGCCCATTCGTGTACGAGTGGACTGGGATACTGGCTTACCTTGGCCTGCTTCTTGGAGCCAGTCTTGCCCGAGGCGAAGGGCGCAGGGGCGGTCTTCTTTCCCGACTTAGGAGGCTATCATTGAGAAAAGAATCAGCGATGGATTCTTGGATCTCTAAAGAACGCATGGAGGCATTTCTGCACACCATGGCTCAAGCCATATCATCGCTAACATCCGCCAGACGTAGCTGGTGATGCGCGGAATTTTGCTGCGACATGCACCTCGTTCGCCGGAGCGGCGATTGAGACCAGAGGTCTTGCAGACTGCAGCGCTTCAAGCACTCATTCCGGATTGCTTACCATTTTGTTGTCGTAGGGCGGTCGATGGACTTTGTCGACGTCGTGGTTGAGGAGGAAAAAAGAGTCTCAACCGCGACGAAGTTTGTGGGTTTGGATGTGCGTCGCCTAACTCTCCTTCCTCGGACTAGCGTTGCGCATGGCTCTATTTTGCGCACGGACCGCCAAGTCCGTTTGTCCGTCATTCTTGGCACCATAGGAGCAGTAGATTCCATCAGCCTTGCTCGTCCAACAAGACCAAAAACACTCCGCCTCAGTCTGGCTTTCCCTGATGTTTACGATTCATCTCGGCCATCTCTCAATGTATGCAGCCACCTCCAAGCTGTCGTTTCTGCCTTTATGCCATGCTTGCATTTATATCCTGAATCCACCGCGCTTTCTCGTGAACTCCCGCCTCAGAGTATTAAGCACGGATCCCGAGCCCTTCTAAACATCTGGACTGAATTCCAGGTGGAATGCAAAGCATCAGTAAAGTAAGCAATTGTATCCAAGCAGCGGCTGTCCAATCATCCGTTTCTAGCAGCCTCTGACGATACTACACATCATCGGAATGTAATGAGAAAGGGAAATTATGGAGAGCGGCAAAGAGCCCCCGGCCCCAGCTCATACTCGCCATGAACGCCTCGCCGCCGCTCTAAGCGCAAAGAACCCTCCACTCCCAGTATCCGCTCCGTCTCAAAGAACAACTTCCTCTCGGAATCGCCTTTCCAAATGCCAGGGCCAATCAAATAGACCTTATATTAGCGCCCGCAGAGAATAACGCCGGCCGTAGCTCTGAAGCCGTGTGAGCTGGATAAAAAGCCGATTGTCCCAGTGGAAAAGCCAAAGTCAGGCTCCTCGAAGAGCCGAGCTAGGATCATTTAGACCCGAAAAAAGAGAAAAGAAAAGGCAGTTCACCGCCAAACGACTTGATAACTCCGGAGGTGTTGACTGTGTTTGGACTCCATTCGTTTCTCATACAAAGAAACTCATAACCCTGCTGATCGCGCGGGTCACCTTCAACGTCATTGCCGGCTTCCGGGTCTTGACCGTTTCATCTTCTCTTTGCAATCGTCGCAGTACCATTTTGCTGACAACATCAAGTCAGTCATTCGATCTGTCAACATGTTTTCACGTAGAACATACCTTTCTTGTTTGGTTCCTTGGTGATGCCCACACAGGCATAGTGGAACCACTGCCTCAGGCAATCGGGATTGTCGCAGCCAATCATTTCGCCGTAACTGACGCCATTGCAGTAACAGAAGCGTTCCTGGTCACCGTCTTCGTCATCGTCTGCAATCTCCTCCTCAACATCCGGACCGGAAAGATCGCCAGCCAAACTACTCCCATCATCGGCAGTGTTCGCCTGCTGCTGGAGCGCCGATGCGCCTTTCTTATGCGACCGCTTCTGCGATTGCGTCGACGCAATTGGCGCGTTTGATTCAGAAGACGCGTGGCTGCTGCCGTTGTTTCGTGTGCTGCGGCTTCGAGCCATGGGCACATCTGAGGGGAAGCTGCCCACTACGGGTGTAGCCGTCTTCGATGTGCGCCCAGCACGGGTTACCACCGTCTGCACGGGTGTCCCAGAGCCATCTTGTGCATCTATATCCTCACGTTTCATGTTGTTTTCCGCGATTCCGCCGTTTGCTGAAGTCGGAGGCTCAGCTGTCAGGCGTGTGTTGGACGCGCCTACGGCTGGCGAAGCACGCACACCGGCTTGCTCAACCTCCGAATTCGCCGTACCGTTGACGGGGCGGTTCGATGCGGATGAAGGCGGCCGGTTTCGAGCAGCGTCTTGAACATTGGAATGGATAGAATTCGTGGCGGAGTTTTGACGGGCGCGAGAAGACTGCGGGCGATGCGCGTTTGCTCCTGCTTGGTGGAACGACCCAATCACTGGCGATGAAGGAGCTTGTGGAGACTGGGCCCCAAGTGCTTGCGTTCTGCTCGAAGCCTTAATATGTTGTGCAGAAACCGAATCAACCATCACAGGTCCATACCTCTTCTTGACGGCCGCGGGAGCCGGAGCTGCGCGAGACCTCTTCTTACCACCTTCCGCTGCCGGAGTCTCTCTTGGACTTGCGCGGCCCGGCTGGGCATTTTGCATGGCTCCACTTAACGAGCGTTCCATTACAGGCGCGGCTGCCGCGCCCTTTTCAGTCTTGCGTCGCTTGGTCGTCTGTCCTGGACCATTGCTGATTCCCAACCCAAAGAGCCTGGCGTCTGGCGGTCCGACGGGTTCGACAGCCTTCTTGCCACGGTTTGTGGGCGGTTTCTTCGCCGGTCGGCTGTCTTCGAATTCCGAGTCGACGTAATGGTTGCGGTTTCTCTGCTTGGCGAGCAACGCTTCACGTCTGGCTTCGCTCCTTGAAGCAGCCATGTCTCCTTCATGGACTGCGGCCGCGGCGGCGGCCAGATTGTTGGCAGCCGCGACTTCCCGACGCGAGCGCTCGTTGGTGGTCTTTTTCTTCTCGTCGCCATCCTTGTATGCCCAATGCGAGAAGCTGCCGTAGCGCGCCTCGAACGTGAGCTCTTCGTCAATGTGATCGAATGAGCTCTCCATGCGGCCTAATTGTTTGTCCATGGTCTGGTTGGCGCTGGAAAGCACCGCGTTTTTCTCGTCCAACATTGCGCACATTTGCGATAAGCCGTAGCGATAGCGGAGGAACAGCTCGCGACGGGCCAAAACCGAAGCCTCGTTCATGAGCTTGCCATTGTTCGCGTTCTCGACGAGGTCGTTGCCTTGCTGCTGATTGGCAGGCGTTTGGTCCTGAGTGACCGAGTCGGCAACGCTTCCGTTGGCGGTGTTATGTCCTGTTGCATTCGCAGTGTTCAGCGCTGCGAGCTGCGCCTCTCGACGCGTCGGAGCATGCAGTTGCGAAACTTGCTCGGCCAGTTTCTGAAGCTCGTCGTCAGGCTGGTGTGTCTTCGCCTCGACCTCCTTCAGCATGGAGAAGTGCTTCATGACCTCCTTCGGAAGCGCAGTAATTGTGTCTGTGAAATGTGTGATGGCTGGAAAGAAGCCGGGCGCGGCGGTGTTCGTCGAGGCATTGTCGGCGCCTCCCATGATGCCCCGAGGAGCGAAAGGCCGGGCATAGTAGTTAGCGGGTCGGGTCGCAGTGGTGCGCTGCTGTCGAGCCGACTGGCGACGGCTGGGGCCGGAGGACGATCCAGCAGGGTCGCGAATCGTGGACGCCTTCATGGTGGGCGTCAGTGGTGGCTTCACCCTCGGCGAGGATGATCGGACGCGGCGCGACGGCAGGCAAGTGTGGGTGTGGGGGTGGACGAAGCGAGTCGGCGGACGACGAGCAACGGCCCACAGCGCGCGAAGGAGAGGAGTCGCGAGAGCGACGGCGCAAAGGCGGGGCGACAGGTGAAAACGGCGCGCAGAGGGAGGAGGACGCTGCTCGCCGGTACACGACCGAGGCGGACGAGTTGCCGGGCACACGCTCGCCGAAGCGCTGAAAGTGGCCTCCACCGCCAATCCTGCGCTTATCGATAACGACGCGACAGAAAAGGGAACGCGTGACCGGGCTGCGAATGACGTACAATCCGGCACGCCCTCCATTTCCAGCACTCAGTCTCTCGGGTTTCGCTTACCCGCCGTCAGGATTCCGCCAACTATCGCCCAACATGCGCAATCGTCTGCCACGCGCCGGGCCTCCGGTTTCCCGCGTCCGGCCACGGCGATGCTGCGGATTGCCCCACGGACCATTGAGTTCTGCGCGCGTGTCGTTGCTGCACAGCGGTCCGGGCCCGGAGGGGCACAGCGAGGTTCAGCAGGAGCGGATAAGGACAGCGTTGTACGCGGAGCCTCGCACAGCGCAGGAGTCATGTAGCAGCCGGCCTCCAAGAACACGGAAGGGCCCGGCACCTGCAGCATCGCAAGAGCATGGATTTCGATTTCGACCCCGCGGATGACTCATGTGGAGTTGAGAACGGGGCCCCGGGCCAGCCCTGAAACGGCTTGCAGGTGCTTGTTGATTGGTCTGGGTTGACCTTTATATCGGATCGCGGAGGCGCTAGTGGCCGGCAGCCTTAGATGCAGTGACTGCTGAGATACGGCTTCTGTCTCACGTCGCCGAGATAATCTCGGAACACAATAGCTAGCGCAACTGCTTCCCAACTTGCGGAAAACACACCCTAGCCCTCGCCTCGCCTCGCCTCGAAGCTTCAACCGCATTACCGGCCCCAGTACTTGCCTCCAGATCACTGCTCCTCTGTGGAGCCCTCCAGAGCAATGACTCCAGGCAGCGATACGCTGTCACAACGCGGCGCTGTGTACGCGACCCCGCCGAACCCTATGGGAAACTACAAGGAGCTCCCATATGACATTTACGACCCCGAGACGAATCCCGCCGGCTACATCAATATCGGGACATCTGACAATGTCGTACTTACCATCAATGGGCATCGGATCTTCGAGCTGTTGCTAACTTTGGTCTACATTGCAGCATGCTATGGCTCCCGAGGTTTCTGCGCACCTGGACGAAAATCCCGTAGGTTGGCCTTCAAGGTCGTGCTTAATTAAATACTGACCTGGTCTCAGCTCAAACTTAGACCAGCCGAGTTCATGTATGACGAGGGTCCATTCGGATCTTTGCGACTGCGAAATGCTATGGCTCGCTACCTGGATAGGCAAGTATTTCAACCCGAGAACTGTTTACACTGCTGTTGTCCCACGCACTTGCACGCTCTTATGGCGCTGTGAACACTCATCAAGCTAAGGGGTTTCATGTATTTCTTTATCTACGAGTACTCATCTTCGCTAAAACTGTCTCCTTCGGGCTATGTGTCATGCCGATATTGTCTAACATGGTACGAGCAGATATCTCAAGCCATACAAATCTGTGAATGCAGATGATCTCTACGTCGCCAACGGTTGCGGCTCAGTTTGCGAAGCTCTGGGTTACACTATCTTCGATGAACATGACGCCTTGCTCATCCCACAACCCAGTTACGTTGGATTTCCTCACGATTTTGGTGCCAAGTCCAAGTAAGGATCATACTTCCCGCAATAGACTGTCAACCGCACCTCCTTTGACTTCTACTCTCAAGGGTTGACCTCTATCACGTCCCCTTTCACGGGACTGACCAATTCTTGCCGTCCTGTATCGCCAAGTACGAAGCTGCCCTCGCCTCTGCTACAGCATCCGGCATAAAAATCCGTGCTGTGATGCTCTGCAACCCGCACAATCCCTTGGGACGTTGCTACTCCATCGATACCATCACCGCCATCATGCGCTTCTGCAACAAGCATTGCCTCCACCTCATCTCGGACGAGATTTACGCTACTTCCATCTATGACCCTGGACCCTATTGTTCCGAACCACCCACACCGTTCACCTCCGTTCTCAGCATCGACTATGATCAGCATATCGACCCGAACCTGTTGCACGTCATGTACGGCTTGAGCAAGGATTTCGCAGCGAGCGGTATTCGCATCGGCTGCCTGCTTGTGCGGAACCGTGCGTTGATGAACGCGCTACTTGCCGTCAGCCAGTCACACTGGCCAGGTATTGCGGACCAGACCATTGGTATCTCTATGCTAGAGGACTGGGATTGGCTCGAGCGGTTCAGAAGGCTGAACGCGGAGGTGTTGGCTGAGCGAAGCTCGCTTCTGAGAAATGCTCTCGATGAGCAGGGTATACCGTATGATAGCCGTGCCAATGCGGGGTTCTTCTTGTGGGCAGACTTGCGGAAATGGTTGCCGAATGTTGATGAGAAGGGGCAGAGTGTGGAAGGATGGGAGAGTGAGAGGTTGTTGGTGAGGCTGCTGAAAGCGAAGAAAGTCATCTTAACAGCGGGTGAGGACCAGGCGGCAGAAAGCCCGGGATTTTTTCGAGTTGTTTTCAGTCAGCGGGAAGAGGTGCTCAAAGAAGGCTTGAAGAGAGTATTCAAAGTACTCAGTGAGGTTTCTGGTGGGCACGCATAATGGGGCTATTCTATAGATCAATGGACTTTCACGCTAGGCCAGCCAAATAATTCATCCAGATGGGTCTGTTTCATCTGTTGCAAGCCATTCGTAAAAAATCACTCCCTCCAAAATGCAATTCTGGGCAGCCAAAGATGGGTAGCTGAAATACGAACAAAGGTATGTAGTTAGAGCGTATGATGACGCAGACGCATCTGGATACGAAGCTTGTTCGCCTGGTACTGTAGGGTAGCCGGAGCTCATGTCCAGATACTTCCATTTACATGTCGTGCAATTATGTGCAGACGAGCGTCTCAACTGTCCATCCCCCACTGTTACAGATCAAGTGAACCGACCTCCCAAGGCGTCAACACTTCGGCTGTTTGAAGTAGTTCATCATAATGTATCATCGTGGTGGCTCCTTGTGCGCCTACCACCAGGATGCTCCTCTCGTCCTTTCGAAAAGAACGAAATAGTGCAAAAGCTTTCAGGTAGCATGAAACTTGATACTATAATACAAAATCATCGCCCAGGAAGATATACCCGCAAACGCGCCCGCCATGCTGGATAATGTCACACTATACGTGTACAGTATCAAGACACTTCGCTCTTCCTGACTGCGAAGAAATAATTCCCAAAGTTCTCGCTGCCAGGCACCTCCTTCCATCCCAGACCCGGCAGGTACATAACGCCCATGGTTCTAGGGTACTCCCATCCGACTTGCGTCGAAAACCATTTCCTCAATTCATCCTCATTGATGTACTTGTTCCAGTCGTGTGTTCCCTTCGGCACCATCCCCAGGATATCCTCCGCCGCCACAATCGTTGTCGCCCAGCTCGTCCACGTCCGCGCAATCGTCGATCCAACAAGCCATCCGCCGGGCCGCACGTGCGCCATCAGCTGCCTCAGGAACTCGGAGGGCGCGGCGACGTGCTCGACGACTTCGAAGCAGGATACGACGTCAAATCCCTCCCCATCAAGCGGCAGCTGCTCAATCGCAATGTTCTTGTACGTCAGACGGCCATCCTCCATCAGCAGCGGGTCCTGCCGCTTGTGTGTCTCGGCCACGGAAAGGACCTCGGGCGTCGGATCGATACCGAGTACGCTGGTCGTTGTGGGCTGTCGCGCCGCACTCTCGGCGAAGATGCCGCCGCCGCAGCCGACATCCAGGTAGCGCAGGCGAGGGGGTGGTGGGGTGGACTGTGAGGCCAGGCAGCGCTGGATGAAGGGGTGTCGCATCTGGTTCATGAGGTGCAGCAGTCGTGACGGGCCGTGAGGGTCCCACCAACTGGAGGCGAGGGCATTGAAGTGCGATACTTCGGTGGGGTCGACGGAGCCATGGACATGTCTGGTGGCAGGGAATGTAGAGAAGAGGGATGGTGTTGGCACAGCGAGAGGGCGATGTGCTGTGGGGAGGGAGCTCTGTCTGGAGCTGCGGAGCCTTGTTCGCACTGGTCTGGGATGCGCTGGGGGGGCGGTTACTACTGCGCGCAGGGCGCAGGCCGCTCTTCTCGAGGCCATGCTAGGTGTCGTATGAGCGATCGGTGCGAGAGGTTCCGGATGGAGGGGAATTGGCACTATGCTGTCCTCATACTGAGTGAGGTCGGGTGGACTAGGATCGACGCGAAATCAGAAGATGTCACCGATCGACGCAGGCGCCACCAGCCACACGCCCAAGCCACTCCCGCTCACCGGGATCATTGACCTCTCCACCCACGAATTTGTTTGTCGTTCCGGCTCAGCACGTCATGATTGTTTACATTCTAATCTTTTTGCTTTCCTGGTCGACTCCCAACTCGATGCTCAATCTACTTTTGCAGTTCCGCAAGGTAAGTGCAGACTATTCGTCTATCAGATTGCTTAGGTGTGCAGTGCCCTCACGATTTCAACATTGAATCCCGGTTCAGCTTTGGACAGAACTGATTTTACTCGTAGTCAGCTTTTGCGCGTCATTGTCTACTGGCCATCGACCGTGTGTGTTTTGGTCCGGACATGCTGGTGATGCTTTATCACCGTGGCCATTGGCGGCTAATACAAGGTCGTTGCAAAAGTGCCCTTGTTCAGTTGGCTTCGTCGTGCGACATCCTAAATCCTCAGGTATCAGGCCATTGGCCCGGTGATGGGTTTCCCAAACGCCTTGCAATGCCCCAAACATTCCGTGCGCTTTGCCTGGATATGCGCTTCTCTTCTGATCCAACCCCAACGGCCTCCGCATTCGACATGTCAGGCCTAGTCCTGTCCATTTTCCGCCTTCCACTTCTCGAGGTACAGCTTCCCGCTGAGCGGGCCCAGCTTGTCCGGGAAATTTCCTCTGCCGCTCGGCGGCGTGACGCGCTTGGTGACGAAAGGAGTGAGCTGCAACAGGGTCAGCGCGTACTCAATGGGCTCAATGATACGTGCAGAATAAGGGCGACCGTACGTCAAAGTCTTCGAGGTCGGGGGCAACGTATGTCCGGACCTTGGAGTAATCAACTGTGTAGCCGCCCCATTTGGTGTGTCTCCCCATTGAACCGGAACCGGTACCCTTGTAGAAACCCTTGCCGGTCTGCTTGGTGGTGAGCGTCATGCGCTTGATGCTGCGCTGCAGTGCCTGGGTGGGTTGCATGGCGACGGGTTGCGGAGGTGCTGTGCGGTGCAGTGTCGGTGGATCGAAGTCTCGCAAGTGAACGGCGAGTCGGCGCCATGCGCGAGTCAGGACCGCCGCCAAGATTTCGAGCGCACGGGCCGCACATTCTGATTTTCTGAGGCCCTGCGCTGTGAGCGGCGAAGATTTGTCCGCAGCAACGAACTTTCGCACCATTCCCGTCCAACATGGCTCGTCGAGTTGCGCGGAGCTCCGGCCCTGCTTCCAAGCCGCGCACCGCTCGCAAGAAGAACCAGAAGCGCGGCCTCGACGCCTTTACCATCGCCCAGCGAGAAGTCGGCGACACCACCAAGATTCGCCGGCACCGCCTGGGAGAAGCTGAGGACGAGAACCCCCGCCGCAAGCGTCAACGCGTCGACGATGACAACGACGACAGCGAGGATGGCGAGCGTCCTCCGAGACACCGCAGTAAATCCGCCAAAGGCCGTTTCGACGAACTGGACGTGAGCGAAGGCAGCGACTCGGAGGGCAACACTTGGCGCATGGGCGAGGTCGACGAAGACGATGATAGCGACATAGACAGCGACGAGGCCTTTGACGAGAGCGACGAGGAGAGGTTCGCTGATTTCTCGTTCCGCGGCAGCTCCACCAACAAGCCGAAGAAGAGTAAATCCAAGGCTCCGAGGCCGGTGGACGACGATGGCGACATTGACCTGGACGAGGCCGAGGAAAGCGGCGAACAGGACAGCGACGACGACTCGCTAGGATCTGAGGCTGTTGACTTGGCACAAATGCTCGACGACTACGAGGAAGAACAAAACCAAGTCAAGTCGAAAGGCAAGAAAACAAGCAGCCAGCAGCGGGACGAAAGCGACAGCGACCAGGATGGCTCGGACGAAGATGACGAGGAGGATGAGGAAAGCCAAGCCTCCGACTTCCAGATGTCCGACGGGGATGACGACGACAGAGATGAGGGCAAGCTTTCCCAACTTCAAGACTTCATCTCAACCATCTCGCAAGGCCCCGGCGGGAAGAACAAGCAAAGACGTGTAGAGGACGTTCACGAAGGCACGGCACCATCGGAATTCGGAGTCGCAGCTTCCCAGAAGCTTGATATTGGAGACCTCCTTGCTGGAACGAACGATCCCAACGCGAAAAAGATTATAAAGATGCTCAAGGACAGTAAACCGTCGAATCGCAAGGGAATCCCCGGTAAACTGGAGGCACCTCTGCCCAAACGCCAGCAGGACAAGCTAGACCGCAGCGCGGCGAACGAGAAAGCCAAGGAAACCCTCGAACGTTGGGTAGATACTGTCAAACAGAACAGAAGGGCTGAGCACATTTCGTTCCCCATCAGGGATCCTGATGCGCAGGAAGCTTTGGGTACCAAGGCTTTTCTCCCAATCTCAACTGCCAAGCCTGCCAATGATCTGGAGAGCGCTATTCAGTCCATCATGGAAGAAAGCGGTCTGTCAACAGGAAAGAAATCGGAGGAACAGATTGCTGAGTTCGAGGAGCTCCAAACAAACAAAATGCCCATCGAGGAAGTCATGGCCAGACGTGCCGAGCTTCGCAAGGCTCGGGACCTCATGTTCCGGGAGGAAGTGCGCGCCAAGCGACTGAAAAAGATCAAGTCCAAGTCTTACCGCCGTGTTCACCGAAAGGAACGGGAACGTCTTGAAGAGCAAGAGCGGCAGGCACTTGCCGAAGCTGGCGTTGATATTTCGGATGAGGAACGAGAGCGCAATGATCGTCGCAGGGCTGAGGAGCGCATGGGCGCCAAACATCGTGAGAGCAAGTGGGCGAAGGGCGTCAAGGCTACAGGTCGAGCTGCGTGGGACGACGATGCGCGCGATGGCCTGAACGAGATGGCCCGCCGCAACGAGGAACTGCGTCGCCGAATTGATGGCAAGGATGCCCAAGATGAGGACGATGGCGCGACCGACCTTAGCAGCGATAATGACGATGATGACGACTCGGATGCTCAGAGGCTGAAGCGTCAGCTGGACCGTGTCGATGCCCCGGACTCAGCTGAGGGGGGCCTTTCCAAACTTGCTGGATTGAAATTCATGCAGCGCGCCGAGGCAGCACAAAAGGCACGTAACGATGAAGACATTGAGCGTATGAGGCGGGAACTGGCTGCAGAAGATGGCGAGGACGAGGATGAGGATGACTTTGACCAGTCCCAATCCATCGGGCGAAAGGTCTTCGGCCCATCGTCGAACAAAGCAGCTCAGCCAACCAGGAAGCCTATCAGGAACGAGTTCGAAGAGCAACCTGGGTCGGACGATGAGGCAGACGCAGACGGCGAGGTAAAGATTGTGCTTGAAAACAAGAGCCAACGTTCGAAACCGCAAAAGCAACAGATCAAAAACCAAAACAGAGGGTTGAATCGCAACACGACTGTGACCAAGCAACCATCGGAGGAGCCGCAGGACAACATGTGGCTAGCGGGCCCCAGCAAGGGAGAGAAAAAGTCGAAATCCACGTCACGCCAAGCAACGTCATTTGGTTCCGGACCTACGTTAGATGTATCGGCAAGCGTTACCTCTGACAGTAACAGGCAGCCGAAGGCCAAGGCGAAGGCTACCGAAGCACTTGCCCCAACGGATGCAGATGGCTGGACAGTGGTCACTTACCGCAATCAAGAAGGGTCTGACGAGGAGGACGAGCAGGAGACGGAGAATCCCTTCGTTCTCAAAAAGGAATCATTGGTTGAAAAGGCATTTGCAGGCGACGAGGTTGCAGAGAGCTTTGAGACTGAGAAGCGTGCCATCGAAAAAGAGGAGGGTGACAAGGTCATCGACAACACATTGCCCGGATGGGGAAGCTGGGCGGGCGACGGTCTCAGCAAACGGGACAAGAAGCGGACCACGAGGCGTTTCTTGACGACGGAGAAGGGCGTGGACAAGGATAAGCGCAAGGACGCCAAGCTCAAGAATGTGATTGTGAACGAGAAGCGGGTGAAGAAAAACGCCAAGTACATGGCGTCAGCTCTGCCCTTCCCTCACGAATCCAAGCAGGTGTACGAGTCGACGCTGCGGCGACCGCTAGGCCCAGAATTCAACACCAAGCAGGTGTACCAGGACAGCACCAAGCCACGAGTCATGGTCAAGCCCGGCGTGGTCATCAGGCCTCTGTCCAAGCCGCTTGTTTAGACTTTTCTGGGCATTTCTTTTTCTTTCTGGTGGTTGGGAAGGGTTTCGCAAAGCAGGACTTGTCGCAGGGACAAGGTCCAGACGGAGAACTGCAGGGCGTTGGTCAGGGAAAACTAGAGGCAGGCAGCAGAGCTGAGCCACTGTACTGCCGAGAATGGACTTGTGGCACACATTTTGTAATGAAGTGGTCCAGATGCATGACCCAGCGAGGCCAGCCATGGTGATACAGGGTTCTCCTGCGGTGAATGTCTGACAGTAGGTTCTGGGCGGCGGCCATGGTGGCATAACAACAGGCATGGTTAATTGGGCGGTAGCAATGCTGGGGCAAGCGATCATCTGGCGTTGCTTCTTCAGGGCAGTCAACTGACGGCGGGCTCACGGTGGCGGGCCGAGGGCTCGCTGGCGGACCGGTCCCTGGCGGCGATCTGTTTGCCGGGTGCCTGGGCAGCGTGTGATCACCCCGGCCGGTTCGTCATGAGCGCGCCTCTCGTGCGGGTGTGGCACGAGTGGCTTCGGTGCCGTTTCCCGCTCGGCCATTCCCTGTCGATTCGATCGTGTGGCCCGGTGCCGAGAAACGCCGTCTGGGCACGATGGAGCGGAAGCAGAAGAGCTGGGTTGCAGCTGGAGGCAAGCCAACGCCGGCAAAGCGGCAGCTCCAGCCTGTTTGCTTGCGCAGCGCCCGGCGACGGCCCGCCTGATGATGCAAGCAGCTCCGCCGTGGCTGGCCTCTGCGGTCATGCATTGTGAGCAGAGGCAGCGATTCCCTTTTCCCTTATAAGGAGGGCAGCTTCCCGGAGTGGGCGCGAGACAGAGAACAGAGAGGTGGTTCCAGCAAGAGAGGCTCCGTGTCACCCGCAGCCATCGCCGGCCACGCCCGCATTCCGCACCCCAGCCCGCCGCGCCGGTAGCTGGCCAACCAGGGAGCGCATCGCCGGTAGGTACCTACTCGCTGCCGCCGGGGCCTGCAGTACAATGGACCAGGCGGACGACGTCTGGCGCGAGCGTGGCCATGCTAACCAGAAGCCGCAGGTGCCTGAGGCCCGGAGCAGTCATCCTCCCCCCCGGCACTCGGCCGCCCGGGTAGCTGCGCAGCCAATTTGGGCAATTTGGGCAATTTGGGCAAGTTGGGCAAGTTGGGCCGGCCCGCGAGTGAGCGTCCAGCCCTGAGCTTCTGCGTCACGCCTCAGCCCTACGCCCGGCAGCCCGCATACGTATGTCGGCTGCATCCTGCGAATAAAGGTACGGTACCACGCCCGCCCCGCCATCTTGGCTGTCTTGCCTCTCCCAACCTGCAGCTTTCTCCCGCGCGCTCTCCCTCATGCGCCCCGTCCACCTCCACATTTCCGCTGGCCTCTTGCCTGCTCCAGCTGCAATGTCTCAGTCGTTTGTTTATCTCTGTTTCTTGGCTCCCTGGGCCGCCGGTCTGCTGATGGCTTCGCCTGATTCGTGCCGCGCATCCAAAATACCATGGCTTCATCTCGCTTGAGAGTTTAGGGGTGCAGATACCCTGCCTTCCGTCTTCTTCACGCTCCGCTGCTCTCCGCACTCAGCGGCTCGCATCCCGCTTGGCCCGCCATTGCGGCTGTCTGTAGACGTATGGGCACGGGGGCTCTGCACTTTAAGAAGGCCGTGGTAGCCTCGCTCCTGGCCATGGGGGGTTCTGCGCCTCTTCTTCCTTCCTCCTTCTTGCCGTCGTCGCCCCTTCGTCCATTCCTTGTCTGCTGTTTCCTTTCTTGGCAGTAGCCGCAACAACTTCTTCTTTCTCGGCCGAGCCGCCGGCGTGGCGTCTTCATCCTCGTCTTCTTTTGCGTCCCCTACGAAAATGCTTCGCTACGTCGCGGGATCGGCTGTCTTTCTGACTGTCATGCAGTTTGCAGGCACAGTGGCGCATCCGCTGGCCGAGCCGCAGCAGCTCAAAGACAGTACGTTTTTGGCAAGCGTGACACCAACCAGTCAACAAGGCCAGGCACCAGTCCCAACCTGCAAAGACACTAACGCAAACCCTCTTGCTCTGCTTTAGGCCATCCCAACCTCCTATCGTCCACGCCCGTGATCCTCACGCCTACGGCCACTCCTACGATACCAACCGTCATTTCTACACCTTCAGTGCTGTCCATCGGCGCTACTGCTTCCCCCGTACTGCAGTCTATTGCTCCACCTTCCGAGCCTCAGCCAACCGGCATTGTCCACACCTCGCTCGAGCCTTACCCCCAAGTTACCATTGGAAATCCGTGGAATCGACTTCGTAAGTGGCCCGCCCACCTAAACGTCTCCGATATGGATACTGATGGCGCGCATCAGAACCTACTGCCGCTCCCAACATTGACGCTTGCAATTCCAACTACAGTTCGCCTCTGGCCCCTGCATATAAGCCAGACCTCAATTCCTACCCTTACGCGCCGGCCAAGATGGTGTCTTCTAATTTGTTCGTTGCCGTTCCGGGGGATTCCTCGATTCCTCAGCAAATCACACTCCGCGAGCCCCATCCCCAGGGCTTCGCTGGAATCCAAAGTGCTGGCACTACCCCCATCCAGACCAACAAGTTCTACGGCAACATGTTTCTTGGTCAGCGCAATCAGAGCGTCTGGACCCATCCGTATTCCGTCTCGCAGGCCATTGGGCAGGTACCAGCCTACAGCTATGGTCTCGCAGTCTCACACATCGACCGCTCGCAGTTTGCATTTGGCGCCGACACGCCACAAGGGAGCAAGCGCTACTTCATCTCGCCCATCGGCATTCAGTCACTGATCCTCTCTGCCACGGAGCTTGGCCCCGAGACCAATCTGACTCTCGACGCTCTGCAGGACATGTCTGTCAACGTCAATCTTGCTCCGAGGACAGGGGCTGCGCCTATCGTCACGTTTCCGCTCGTTCAGGGCATGGGTTTCGTCACCGGCATCTACAAGAACGCGCAGCCGAGCATCGCCTCTGGCGTTTTCTACCGGAACGTTAGCGGCCCCTTCCAAGTGGGAAACAGCTACAAGTACAGTATACTTCTCAATGATGGCAAGAACTGGGTCCTCTATGCCACCCCTGACAGTGGCAATGGTGCCCCAGTCCTCTCTCTGGACACCAACACCACACTCACTGGACCACAGGGCTGGAGTGGCGTCATCCAGGTGGCCAAGAACCCTGGCGGTGCAAATGGCGAAGCCATTCTCGACAACTCTGCGGGTGTTTATCCTGTTTCGGTCGACGTCTTTGGCAGTGCTAGCGGGACAACTGCTCAGTACGGATTCACTTTTGGCAAGGCGGGCAATGTCGCAAAGACCTTGTTCATGTATGCATTGCCGCACCACACGCAGAGTTTCAACAGCATCACTGCTGCGTACAAGACACCACTTGCACTGAACACAACGACCAAAGGAATCGCAACTGGCGTCACTGCGGACAGCTGGACCATGATTGAAGAGAACATCCCAATCGACATGAGCTTCGGTCCGTGGGCGCTTGGCAAAGGCAGTGTTGCTTCGATCAACTCGGCTACCATCCGGTGTGCGGTTGCCACGGCTGCTGAGACGGAGCTGCAGCAAGACATGGCCGCGCAGACGAACGTCGATTCCATGTACTTCAGTGGCAAGGGATTGGCCAAGTTTGCGACAATTGTCTACGCTGCCCGTGATCTCGCCGGTGACTCGGCCGTCGCCAGCCAGGGGCTTGAGAAGCTGAAGTCGGCATTTGAAGTGTTTGTCAACAACCAGCAGAAACATCCGCTCGTGTACGACAATTCTTGGAAGGGTGTCGTTTCCAGTGCCGGGTACACTGACCCGAATGTTGATTTCGGCAACACGTACTACAACGATCATCACTTCCACTACGGGTACCAGTAAGTAACCCAGCATGGTTTTATATACCCCCGGCGCATTTTCTAACCATTCCTCTCTCACTGTGCGTACAGTGTTTACTCGGCTGCGGTCATTGGATATTTGGATCCCTCCTGGCTCACAGAGAGGCGTGTCAACTACGTCAACATGTTGGTGAGAGACTTCGCCAACCCGATCCGGGGTAGCCGTTTCCCGTTCAGCCGTTCTTTCGATTGGTTCCAGTAAGTGACGCTGCGCGCTATGTTGCAAGGCAATGATGCTCACAAACAGCAGTGGGCACAGTTGGGCAAAGGGTCTCTTTGAGTCGGCGGACGGCAAGGATCAGGAATCGACCTCGGAGGTATGTGGATCGGAATCTTTGTGGGTCACGTGGTGCTCAACGCCTTTGTAGGACTCGTTCGCATCGTACGGCTTGAAGTTGTGGGGAAAGGTTATTGGAGATGCAAACATGGAAGCACGAGGTGAGCTTCTCCTGGCAAAAGGTCGACGGCATTGCGGGGGTGCTGACAGCGTCTTCTCCAAAGCGAGCCTCATGCTGGCCATTCAGAGTCGAACGTTCAACAACTACTTCATGATGCAGAGCACGAACGCAGTCCAACCACCGGAAATCATCGGCAACAAGGTGACGGGGATTCTATTTGAGAACAAAATCGACTGGGCTACGTACTTTAGCGATGCCTGGTGGTGCAAGCAGGGGTAGGTTGTGCAGTGGCAGGTGCGGACAGGCAGACTTGGCTAACATGAGACATGCAGCATCCACATGATTCCTGTGCACGTTCCGTCGGCATACATTCGCAAGCCGTCATTTGTGAAGGAGGAATTCAACACGTTCATGAGCAACGGTCGCATCGCACAGGCAGAGGGCGGTTGGAGAGGGCTGCTGGAGTCCAACTTGGCACTCATCGACCCGGCAGGGACGTACGATTTCTTCGCGGACCCGAACTTCGACACGGGACTTCTAGACGGCGGAGCGAGTCTGACGTGGTACCTGGCTTACACGGCAGCGCTCGCGGGGTTGTGAGAAATGACAGGTCAGACGGATCAACTTCTTCAATCACCTACGAGGCTCTCCCCCTACGAGACTTCTGTATTTCTTCTTCTTCTTCTCCTGCCGATCCTTTGTCCTAGATAGCTCCTTCTTCGCCGTCGCCATCTGTAGTAGCATTCATAGATGAGTTTTAGCAAAGTGCGATGGCCTGTTTGTTGGAGCAGGTGTGGGGATGATCGCGATCGGCGCGGAGCAGCGGGTGCAACGTCATCGAAGTCGCGAGACATTTCGACGCAGCATCCTGTGCGTGCGACTTCGGGCGGAGAACGGGAGATAAATTGGACGTCTCCACGATGCGACGTGTCGACTGCTGGCCTGCTGGCCTGCTGGCCTGGGCCGGTGCGGGCCCGTTTGACGCGATCACCTGATGTCGCGCTGAGAGGCGACGCGCATTTGACGTGCAGACGGCGGGCTGGGCAAACAGACCAGACAGACCCTGCCGCCCCACATCAACACCCACCCTCCGCCTCGCTATAGCTGTCCTCCCTCCCTCCTCCCCTCCCTCCCTCCCCCACCCCTTCCGTCCTCCTTCGGACTGGCTCATTGCGCTGCTTTTCTTTTTGTCTCCACCTGACGGCCGCACCTTCGATTGACGGGGGCCAACGTCAATTAGTGCACGTCAATCGTGACGGTCGGGGGCCTGGCACCCAAGCCCCAGGGACCAACCGAGCAGCAGCCGCCCGCGGGACACGGCTCCCCGAACGCTCCATCTTCAATTGGGTGCCGAAAGTAGGCGCATCTGTAGAAGCGCGCGTGCGCCGTACGGTAAGTCTTGCGGTTTCCCTTGCGCTCCCCTGTCAGTAGCCACCACCTCGCATCCGTGCCCTGTGGGTCGCGTGAGGACTGCTGCTCTCATCAAACCGCGACGTTGGCTTGCTTTTGGACGCTGTTTTCCTCCCTCGTCTTTGTTCACGTGCTTGGCGGCGGGTATCTGCAGGCATCTTGTAGAACGTTCGATGCCCGTCACACAGCTATATTAGTCCCAATCGCCTCGTTCTTGGTCCATCACTAATTTTTCAACTGTCAAGACCTGCGGTGGTTGTTTCGTTCATACCCACCGTATCAGCTCCCTCGTACCCATTGCAGGTTGAGTTTGTTTCTTCATATCGACATGTCTGCCCCAAGAGGCCGTGGCGGAGGTGGCGGTCGTGGACGCGGTGGCGGTCCGGGTGGAAGCAGCAGAGGAGGAGATAGCAGCAGTGGCTCTGGCAGCCGCGGCACAACCTTTCGCGGCAGGCGTCCCTTCGACTCCACCAGCGGTTCGCGAGGCTCCTCCTCCCGTGGAGGTTCACCACAACGCGGAGGCCCTGGTGGATTCAACGTGAAGCGCGCGCAGTCGGCCCCCGCCGCCATCTTTGGCGACCCCAACAGGGTTCCTCCACCAGACCAGAATGTCGCGAAGACCGAAAACACCGTTGTCAAAGACCTTTCGACCACCTTCGCGCGCATGTCAACCGAGGACAAGCTCGCCAGGCGCCCGGACTACGGCACTTGCGGCCGCGAGACTGTCGTTTACACCAACTACTTCCCGCTGCATGTTGCTGCCCAGTGCCCCGAAATCTATCGCTATGCTGTGTCCCTGCAACCTGAAGAGCAGGCAAAACGCAGGAGAAGGAGGTACATCGAAATCCTTCTGCAGGACCCCGTCTTCGAAGGAGTCATGGTCGCCACAGATTATGCACAAGTCATTATTACCAACAAGAAAGTACCTCTCAGCGAGGGAACGCACAACCGAAAGGCCGTTGAGATACAATGGTACCCTCCTGATGGCGAGCCAATTTCCGAGTCCGACGAGTCCGAGCGAGCTCAGGCCGCTCGCAAAAAGGCCACCAAGACTCTCCTGATCGAGGAACTCGGTACGGTTTCCCTGCTCGAACTCATCAAGTCCTTGACATCCACCGGAGCAGGTGCCTACTATCCGTTGAAGGATGAAGCGATCCAGGCTCTCAACGTCATCCTGGCCCGTGGCCCTCACGTGGCGGAAAACATGGTCGCTGTGGGGCAAAACAAATTCTACCCGGTCGGGAAGCACCCTCTCACCGAAGCGTGGAGCCTGTCCGAGGGATTGCAAGCCCTGCGCGGCTACTTCTCGAGCGCGCGGACTAGCGTGAACCGCATCTTGGTCAACATCAATGTGTCGACTTCTGCATTCTACAAACCCGGTAAACTGCTCGAACTCATGCAGGATTACCTCGGCCCCACCAACAGGAGTCCCAGCCATCTCTTGAAGCTCGAGGCTTTCCTCAGACTCCTTCGCGTTGAGACTCACTACATGTTGGCCAAGGATGGCAGCAACAAGCGTGTCCGCAAGGTCAAGACCATCTTCGGGCTTGCACGGTCTAACAACGACTCCAAGGGGACTTGGCCCCACGCAGCCAATGCGCAGCAAGTCAAGTTCAGCTACACCGATCCGGATGGTAAAGTGTCTCTAATTTCAGTTGAGGAGTACTACGCTCGTGTCCACCAGATCACCCTCAAGACCCCTACGTCGCCAGTCGTCAACGTCGGCAACCGCGACCACCCAACGTACATTCCTCCGGAGCTGTGCGACGTCCTTCCCGGCCAGGTTGCCGGACGCATGTTGAGCGCGAACCAGACTCGCTTGATGATCGAGTTCGCAGCAAGGCCGCCAAATCACAATGCCATGTCGATTACCCAGCAGGGCTTGGAAGTGATGCAGGTCAAGCAGAACGATGCGCTCTCAGCCTTTGGCATCAACATCGGCGGCAATCTGCTCACGGTTCAGGCCCGCATCTTGCCTGTCCCCAAACTGCAGTATGCTGGCAAAGAACAGCAACCGGAGAATGGCAAATGGAACCTGGCCCGCGTTCGATACACCAAACCGGCAACGATCCAGTCCTGGGGGTGCTTGGTTATCGAGGAGCGCGGCAGACCAGTGTTCCAGTCTCAAGAGCAGGCCCTAGAGCTGGTCAGCACTTTCAAGTCCGCTCTGCAATCTTACGGTCTTCGGATGGGCGATCCTCAGCCGCCCGCAAAGATTGCCATTGGCTGGCCGTACAATCCCAGCGAAATCACCGATGTGATCCAGGCCAAGTTGGCCCAAATGGTCAAGATGCGCATCGGCATGCTACTCGTCCTTCTTCCTTCGGACAACACGATTTTGTACGACACGCTGAAATACCAAGGAGATGTCCGCTTTGGCGTTGCTACCATTTGCACAATCGCAAAGAAGATTCTCAACCAGCGCGGCCAAGCTCAGTACATGGCCAACGTCGGCTTGAAGTTCAACTTGAAGTCGGGGGGTGTCAACCATGACATGCGCATCCAGCAACTGGCGCCGCTCGACAACAAAACGATTCTCATTGGAATCGATGTGTCACATCCCGTCCCCGGCAGTTCCGACAGTGCGCCCAGCATCACGGGCGTGGTGGGCTCGGTTGATTCCCAGTTCAACAACTACCCTGCTTCGATCCGTACGCAGACTGGTCGTCAAGAGATGGTCGATTCGAGCGACCTGACGGAGATGATCGTCGAGCGTTTCAAGCTCTGGGAGAAGCGCAACGGTGGTCTCCCGAACAAGGTCATCGTTTACCGCGATGGCGTCTCGGAGGGTCAATACCCGGTTGTGCTGCGCGAGGAGTGGCCCAGCTTTGCCGAGGCGTACAAGAAGCTCTATGGAACGGAGAAGAATTTCCCCAAGTCTTCTCTGGTCATTTGCACCAAGCGCGGCCACACACGTTTCTATCCGACGAAGCCCGAAGACTCGGAGGGCCGAAACATGAACGTAAAGCCTGGCACCGTGGTCGACCGCGGCATCACCGGTGAGCGCCTATTCGATTTCTTCCTGGTCGCCCATGCCGGTCTCCAGGGCACGTCAAAGCCGGCGCATTATATTTGCCTACGAGACGAAAACAAACTCGGTGCCGACCAGCTCCAGCGCATCACCCACAACCTGTGTTATGTCTATGGTCGCGCCACTCGGGCTGTCTCAGTATGCCCGCCGGCGTATTACGCCGACCTGGTGTGCGAGCGCGGACGCTCGTACCTCCATTCATTCCTCAAAGAAAACACGAGCGTCTCCTATGACCGATCACGCCACTGGAGTCGCGGCGTGCATGACCGGCTGAAGGACACCATGTTCTACCTGTAGAACATGACCGATCCATGTCGATCCCGTCCAGACGAAATGCTTCAACTCCCCAGCATGAATTGCACATGGCAATTCGGCACCCTTAGAAGTCTTCTGAATCCACCCGAGAGATGGAACAAGCACAACAGCAGAAAAATTTATCTTGAAATCGACTCGACGTCTTTCGCGTCGGATAGGTCGGCATCGCACAAAGACGTCGACGTGGATCTGGAACCAAACTTTGTGATCCTTCGCATCCAAGCCGATGGAAGTTCTAGTTGGCTGAGGACTTCAACGATACCTCGTCACCTACCAAGACAACCTCCTTAACACTCTTTCATTCGCTCAGGCTGGACTGGACTCCGCCAGGTCTACGTTCTCTCTCTTCGTGGGCGACTTCAGCGCTCCAACACAATCACTACCAGGCCTCCATTTTTAAACACAAACAAACAAACCAAAGTCGACACAACACGATTCTGTTGTTCTATACGTGCGACTGATAAAAAAAAAGGAAATTTCTTTTGGAATGACTGGGTAGCAGGTCGGAAATGTTGGAAACGGTCTTTTTGTGTTGGATCATCTTTTTTTTCTTTGCCATTCTTGCCTTGAAATTGGATTCAACCCAATAGTGTCTCTTCGGGTGTCTAGGTCTTCAACAGATTTGACTGTATTGTTTTACCCGAAGGGAAGACGGTCTTTGAGGTATGTCCGCATTAGTCATTACTACGTAGTATGAATGCATCCAATACTATCTATGCGATGTGTGAGGCATGCAGGCTGTGCCACCGATCACGCACGTCGTCTTTGGAGGGAACATGCAACAGAGTGAGCCTGAGCCACACTGCGTCATCAACGCGGGGAGTCCTTGTTCATTTTTCGGAGATTGCACCGATACGAAGACGCGAGGAATGACCTGTGCTGACAAGGCCGCGGCTGCGAACGCCCGCATTGTAGCAGAGCGTCCAGAGATCTGCAGCAGGGATTGCGATGGGACACGTCCAAGCTTCCTCCTTCGCCAAAGCGTAGGTAGCCTTCTTTTCTTCGGGCTGCGCTGATGAGGGCGGCGTGCGGCGTGCGGCGTGCGGCGTGCTGCGCCTTCCGCCGAGCGACCAGATGCAGATGGCGTCAGCTCGGCGGGGCGTACCTGCTGCACGCTGCGAGTCGGACCACGCGGAGGCCTTGCTGCAGCCGCCGTGAAACAGAGCGGCAGGCCGACGGACGGGGATGCAAACGGCAGGCGCACGCTCGGCTGGCGTCGCACGCGGCTGGCATGTCGCCGATGGGGCTCTGGGCTCGTGGGCTGCTCGACGGAGCGCAGTGGGTGGGTGAGTGGGCGGGTGGGCGAGTGGGTGATGAGTGGGTGATGGGTGGGCGAGCTCGCGCCAAGATTTGCGCACATCGCGCGGCGCGAAGGCATATCCCGGCTGGCATTGTGGCAGTGCTGGAGGTTGGCGGTCCGCGGCGCGCTGATTGGCCGGGCTCGGGCGGATGATGCAGAGACATCGCCCAGCTCCAGCTCCCGCGTCGCACAAGCAAGCAGACACAGCCCTCTCTTCTCCCAATCCTCCCTGAAACAGCCTGAGCTGCGTGCGCAAACCTCCATCTCCCCCCGCCTTGCTCATCACACGCATCAGCCCGCCGCCATCGTTGCTCACCTGGGCATCTTAGCCGACGACGCCTCACGCTGCGACGCCCCTCTGCGGGAACTAAATAGTGCCCACTCGTCTCCGCCGTGCAAGGAAGATATGGGTACGTACTCTCCTCCTGTGGTCGCCCGGTCCGCGAAAACACAGCAATTAGCAATCCCTTGGCGTCCTTTGTCATGTGCCAGCGCCTGCCTTCAATTTCATCGCTTCCACGCCTCCACGCCTTGCTCTGCCAGCGCACCGCGACACCAATTGGCACGCCCAACGCCGAGCCATCCCAGCCACACCCGAGCCCGCCGAAGCGCGTGCCTCTCAATTTTGTCCGATGCTGATCGTTCTTGGCTCGTCCGATAGCTCCTATCTACAAAGGCTTGCTGCAGAAGTTCCACCGCCGTCAGTCCTCTAGACTGAGCTCCTACGATCAACCACCTCCCGCCATGCCGCACCCCGAGAACGGCACCAACGGCGACGCCCTGCCCACCGAGCACACCGCTCTGCTCCCCAACCAGCCCAATGGCATCCACCACCAGAAGGTTTGGGGCGAGGATGATGGCCGCTCCTACGTGCGCGTGCCTCTGCACATCGCCTACACAACCTGGATGATGCTGGCCAGCAACTACGTCAACGTCCTGCTGGTCTTCGTCCCGCTTGGAATCATTGCCGGCGTTCTGGACTGGTCCCCGACTTCCGTCTTCGTGCTCGTACGTCTCTCGGACCTCTCGAGTCCCGCACCACGACAGCATTGCTGACCGCATCGCCCAGAACTTCATCGCCATCATCCCGCTCGCCGCTCTGCTGAGCTTCGCGACCGAGGAGCTGTCAGCCAAGCTTGGCCAGACCATCGGCGGTCTGATGAACGCGACTTTCGGCAATGCCGTCGAATTGATTGTGAGTCGCTTCGTTGTGACGGCCGAGCGCGCTGGTGCTAATTGCGCAGGTCTCCATCGTGGCTCTGAAGAATGGCGAGATACGAATTGTCCAGTCCAGCATGCTGGGCAGCATCCTCTCAAACATCCTTCTCGTACGTCATACCCGGTTTCAGATTCAAGACGATGTGAGACTGACGGCGCACTAGGTCCTCGGCTGCTGCTTCCTCGCCGGCGGCATCCACCACCGTGAGCAGCGTTTCAACGAGACGGTTGCCTCTACCATGTCGTCCCTTATGGCTGTCGCTAGCGCTTCACTCATCATCCCGGCAACTCTATACGCTGCCCTGCAGTCCTCCAAGTCCAAGAGCGAAGATCACATTCTGATCCTCTCACACGGAACTGCAGTGATTTTGCTCATCCTGTACATCATGTACCTCTACTTCCAGCTGAAGTCTCACTCGGATTTCTTTGATGCCGAGGCGCAGGAAGAGGAAGAGCCTGAGGAGCACATCCTGGGCCCCGTTGCTGCTGCTGTTTCGCTGCTCGTCATAACCGTAATCGTTGCCGTCTGCGCCGAATACCTCGTCGACAGTATCGACTCCATTGTCCAGACCGCTCACATCTCCAAGACCTTCATCGGCTTGGTTTTGCTTCCGATTGTCGGAAATGCGGCTGAGCACGTAACGGCTGTGGTCGTCGCCTACAAGGACAAGATGGATTTGGCTATCAACGTCGCCATTGGCAGCTCCATGCAGATTGCGCTCTTCGTCACTCCTTTCATGGTTCTTCTGGGCTGGATCATGGACAAGCCCATGACCTTGCACTTCCAAACCTTTGAGACGGTGGTTTTCTTCCTCAGTGTCCTGGTTGTCAACTACCTTATCCAGGACGGGAAGAGCAACTACCTCGAGGGCGCCATGTGCATTGGTACCTACATTATCATTGCTTTGGCTTTCTTCGTCTACCCCGATGACGCCGGCGACATCACCAATTTCTTCCAGGCTCTCATTGGGAGCTCCTCGACTTGATCTGTTTTACGGCCATTTCCCAGATGTGCGGTGGAACCGAAAAGCTATGCTTTTTCAGGCGCCTATACAGGCTACAGGTGCCTCGTCGGCCACTCGAGATTACTGTTGATAGCGCGGTGGACCGGCTCACTATCACTACTCTTCCTTTCGAGGTATTGTCTTAACGAGAGCCTATTTCCAAGTTGGATATACCCGGGGGTCTGATGACAATTTCCTTTTTCCGTCTATCGATTGCAGGGGTCTCTGGTCGCAAGCAATCACCGCGAGCATGACTGCTTTTCATTATTGCTATATGTCCACAAAATAACTGCGACATTTCCTTTCAGCTGTCTGTTTGTACTCTGAAATACATTTCTTTGATTCTGCTTGCGGTCTATCAATCTATCTTACCCTATGCTAGTCTCTTCCAATTGCCCAAAAGGAGTCGCTTAGGCGCAAAACCCGTGTTGCACTGCTACTTTGGTGGAATATCTTCATCAATCATACTGGTGTGGTAGGGATGGTCGGTGAGTTTTCGTGCGAAGAGTTTCTGGTGTATCGAAGAGATGACTTGCTGGATACCGTATTGGTCCATGTAAGATATCACTGTATAGTGGGAGGTTCAGAGAGGAAATTTGATTATTTTTTTCTTGGTAGTATATGACAATAGAGCGGTAAATGAGTGGGTCGATTTGCGAGTTTTTGCTGACAGGACTTTTGGAATGAAAGAATACAGAAAACGAGGAGAATACTCTTCGCGTGTGATGTTTTGCTTGTTTTTAGTGGGGTGTGTTCTAAGATATATTCCTTTTAGGTGGCGTCGGACAGTCGGCTCGACCTCCATGTCCTGCAAATTTTTACTGGGAGCTGTACAAAGTATTGCGTCACTATGTCACGGTACATCTGAACTTCTCCGGCCAAGGCGCACGATACTTTCCGCAAAACGGCCCTGGCCTTTGATTTGGCTAATGTTCTTTTCACTTCGGCCTTTGGGCATCCATGTCTTCCGTGTCGGTCCACCGGGAAGGCGCGAGAAAGCCGACACAAGGCTGAACGAACTGGAGTTGTCCTACGTCGCCAGCCTGGATGACCCACATTTGGTTGAGGGTTGCCTGACTGACCGGCGCCCAAAGCAGAAAGCCAAGTGGAAGTTGGTAGGGGGAGGGTGTCAGAGCGTGTGGTCGTTCTTCAAACCGACGTATCCGAACCCCGGTCTTGCTCCGAATAAACGTTGGCTGCCTGTAACATGCCGTTTGGAGGTAGTCGACGGTCGATGCAGGGGGAGCAAGCTGCGGAATCGACGACAGCTGGGCATTAGGGGGGAGGGGGTGGACTGACTCGTCGATTGGGCGCCCTGATGGTCACCATGCAGCTATTCTATTTCACTGTCGAGAGGGGGAAGCAAAGAACTTGAACAACTGGTCTCGACTCGGATCGGGGAAGGAAGAGCCAAGAGGGTAACGTGTCAGCCTTGTCATCTGCTACCTCGGGCGTGCTGATCGGGTGGGTTGCAGAGCGAGGGGTCACGGTCTAGGCTGGCATTTGTCAATTTTGGAGCTTAGTGGGCAGGGTTGCTCATTACAGGCCGGGGCAGGCGGACTGATAGGCCCGGTGGGGCTTTACGCAGTAGTGAGTGGAGATAAGGTAGGCGTGCAGATGAGGCGGAGTGCATGTTCAATAATTGCCGTGGGCTACTCCGTACTCGAGGAATGGCTGCCTGACGAACAGCAGCATCCTGGACATGCGCTGCCGGTGAGGTGATCTCGGTTGGCGGATCGGTAGTCTCACAGTCTCGCTGCAGAGTCCCCGGTTCCGCCCCTGAGTGCCAGCTTCAGTGCAGCGTCGACGGGTGGACGACGGCCAGAGCTGGATGATCGTCTCCAATAAAGCATCGTTGCATGAAACATTCCCCACGCATGCCCCGATCGTGTGGCTGGCAGCGGAGCGGGGACAGTTGAATTTCCGTGAGCTACTACCTAGGTATATTGACGAGGGCGATGCGAGAGAGCGGCGGGCACACGGGCACAGATCGAGCGGCGGGCAGTGGCCCTTTGACGGGACGACGGAATGCGGAAGGGAGCGGCAGGGCGCAGAGAACCGTCCGGGCGAGGCCAGCAGAGACTCGCACATCAGCCAGACAACGGAGATCACGGTCAGTGCTCGCTGGATTGCTGGCCTCGCGCTGCCACCCAAGGCCGCCGTTGGCGTGAGAGCTCCACCCGGAATATAAGTCGTCCCCGCTTCGGCTGAAGCCGCTGTGTTTTCTTTTTTGTGCATGCAGCCGTGCAGCGGCCGGAACGCGGTCCGCTGGGCAGCGCGGCCGGGGCGGGGATGGTGCTGGCTGCGTCGAGGCTGCGTCGAGGCTGCGTCGATGTACAGGGCCGGCCAAGGGAGGAGCGCAATGCATGTCAGCGCATCCGCCGACCCTGTGCCTGCAAAATTGGAGCGGTGCCGTAGCTGGCCAACAATGGCTCGCATCGAGGCAGCTGCCAGTGAAGCCGGCCAGCCGCGCTCCAGTAGTCGACGCGCCCCAGCCGCCACGCTATCAGCCCGCCGCACATGGTGCCCCGTGCGCTGGTTGCGCAAGCGTAGCCGCGGCTGGCGCTGCCCGCGTCACCAAGCCCGCGCTGGAATTGTCTCTTCGCCGAACACTACACACACTACCTGCGCCCCAGACTGCCCCAAATGTCCATAAAGTTAGTATCTCCCCCCCTCTTGCTCCCATGCCCGCCGCCTGCCTCTCTCAAAGCCTCTCTGGCGCCTATCTGTCCCCCGGCTGCCCTGCCTGTTGCCTGCCAGCACCCACCCACAACTCGCTCGCCGCCCGCCCCTCATGGCAACCACCACCACCACCACCAAGCAGAGGATGCTCAAGAAGATCCGCGCTAAGAAAAACAGCTGGGTTATGCTCTCGCCCTCCGAGGGCTTCACCCTGCTCCCGGGTGAGCAGCGCCTCTACACGTCTCCGCCGCGCACCGCCCTAGCGCTGCAGTCGCTCAACAAGTATCCGGGCAAGGAGCCCTTCAACATCACCAGCAGCGCCGGCTGCGTCCATCTTACCAGTCGCCGCATCGTCTACCTGCCCGCCTCGCCCTCGGATTCTCTACAGTCCTTCGCCGCCCCCATCCTGAACCTCCACGACACCCACGTCAACGCGCCCTTCTTCGGCCCCAATGTGTGGTCTGCTATAGTCCAGCCCGTGCCCGGCGGCAACATCCCTTCGCAACACGCCGCTCTCGAGCTGAAGCTCACCTTCAAGGACGGCGGCGCATACGACTTCAGCCAAGGGTACGAGCGCATCAAGGAGCGCATGCAGCAGGCCATCGAAGTCGCCCGCGAGTCGGGCAACTACCACGGCTCCGTCGACGGCTCGGACAACGGCAGCCTCCGCACGGGCGGCCCTCTCGCCGGCGTCGACCTGAACACGGTGCATCTTGAGCAGCTCCCTGCCTATGAACCTCCGCCACCCGCCGGTGCCGACGTAGTCATTCCGGACACTTCCAGAGACAGCGGGCTGGGCATGAACACTCCAGAGGGTGCGCCAGCACCGAAGCCGGATGACAACTACGACCCTCCGTCGGAGCCGCCGCCTGGATACGAGGAGGTGCAAAGCCAGAGTGTCGCGGACGAGCTGGAAAGAAGATTGAGAGGGCCGCAGTCGTGAGGGTTGGGACATGAGACTGTGCCTGAACCAGAGCTCGGTCCAGGTCTGAGCGCATGTGGCCCTCCGTCAGTTCGCGCCTTGCCGGCCGTATTAATCTTCTCTTCTTTTCCCTGTGCGCTCCTTGGCCAGGATTTTCAGCGTTTACCCTATTTACTACAGACATTTACGGACACCCACCAGGCGCGTGGATACATGGGCAGGCGTTTTCTTACGGGCCTGCCTGGACGGCGGCGACAGCGCGGCGTTGATGACATGGATGGTTTGGATGTGACCGACTCGGCCATAGAGTTGATGTATTCTTCCTGTACGGCTTCAAAGCATGACGATCGCTGGGAAAGCGACATTTCTACTTTACACATACCTAAACCTAAACCTATTGCCTGCAAAGAAATCCTGGAACATGAGTAATCGGACGTCGGACCGACGCGAGAGCATGCGGACCGGACTGCTTGCCGCTGCTTACCAGCAGCGCGCTGTCTCCATGTGACGCCATGAGGCAGCCCCAGGCCTGTGAATGGCACGTTTCCTTGGGCTTTTGGCATGTGAAGGACTGACTAATCGGCAATCTGTAACGCTAACCCGCATGCGGACAGCCTCGGCATGTCATCGAGCATCAGCTGGGCCTTCTCGTCCGAAAGCCCACACGTCCCAAGAAGCTCCCGCACGCCGTTTATAACCCTTTCCGCCCTTCCTCCACGCCTTCTTACCCCGCATATCCCGCATCTCCAGCTTCTTGGCCCGGTTCATTTTCCCCCTTTTGCATCTTCCTCAGAACAACATGGCAAACCAGGCAGGCACCAACGCTAAGGGTAAGCTTCATGGGAGCTCGACGCAACGTACGGAACACCTCCGAGACAACGAGTGCTGACACTGGTCCTTCTCTCGCTGCAGCGCAGGAACGCCTTTCTCAAGTTTCGGACCACATCTCCTCCACCGGCTCGTCACTGCCGCGTGGGAAGGCGGCGCTGCTGGAGAAGAATCCCGATGATGTAAGTGAACCACCCCTCTCGGGACGAACACCACAATTTTACCCGACTCGTCTGACATTCACCCCTCCAACAAACAGATCGTCGTCACCTGCGCCCTTCGCACGCCCATCACCAGAGGCGGCAAGGGTGGCTTCAAGGACACGCAGGCGTCGGACCTGCTGGTGGGCGCCTTCAAGGCCCTGATCGACCGCTCCAAGATCGACCCCAAGCTGGTCGAGGACGTCGCCGTCGGCACCGTACTCGCACCCGGCGGCGGTGCCACCGAGTTCCGCGCTGCCGCCATCGCTGCCGGCTTCCCGCTCTCCGCTGGCGTCAAGAGCTTGAACCGACAGTGCAGCTCCGGCCTGCAGGCATGTGTGGATATTGCAAATGCCATCAAGACGGGCATGATCGACGTCGGTGTGGGTGCCGGCGTCGAGAGCATGAGCACGCAGTATGGGTAAGTGGAGATCCGCAATTGCGGGCAGTCTTCCCCCGAGGTCGAATCTTGTGGCTGATGTGAGAACCGATGTGCAGCCCTCAAGCCGTCAGCGAATTCTCCGAACTCCTCGACTCCGTCCCCGAAGCCAAGAACTGCAAGGTGGCCATGGGTGTCCTGTCGGAGGCCATGGCCAAGGACAAGGGCGTCCAGCGCGCCAGGCAGGACGCTTTCGCGGCCAAGTCGTTCCAAAAGGCCGAGGCGGCGCAGAAGGCCGGCCTTTTCGACGAGGAGATTGCGCCGCTGGACAACATCCTGTGGCAGGACCCCAAGACGGATGAGGAGAAACGCATCACAGTGGCCAAGGACGACGGTGTCCGGCCGGGCATGACGGCCGAAAGCTTGGGCAAGATTCGCCCCGCCTTCGCCAAGGACGGCAGCATCCACGCCGGCAACGCGTCGCAGGTGAGCGATGGCGCCGCGGCGGTGCTGCTCATGAAGCGCAGCACCGCGCTCCGGTTGGGCCAGCCCATCCTGGGTAAGTTCGTGCAGGCTTCGGTCGTGGGAGTGCCGCCGCTGCTGATGGGCGTGGGTCCCGCCGCCGCCATCCCCGTCGTCTTGGAGAAGACGGGCCTGAACACGAAGGAGGTCGACATCTACGAGATCAACGAGGCTTTCGCCAGCCAGTGCGTCTTCTGCATCGAGGAACTCGGCCTGGATGTGGAGAAGGTGAACCCCAAGGGTGGCGCCATCGCTTTCGGTCACCCGCTCGGCTGCACCGGCGCGAGGCAGGTCAGCACGCTGCTGTACGAGCTGAGGAGAAGGAAGCAGCAGATCGGCGTGACGAGCATGTGCGTGGGTACGGGTATGGGTATGGCGGCCGTTTGGGTTGCCGAGTAAATCATTTGATTCCGATGTATGTGTATTGAATGAAAGGTTTCTACGCCAGCTTGATCATCTGTCTTCTCTACCGATGCTGGGAGTGAAAGCATCTACTCTTGAAGATGGCCATACCCACGGTTCTACTCCGAGGCCCCCTTGAGATTTAATACGGTCGGGTCTTCTCGTCCCATCTGCGGGAAGTATTCGTCCCACGGATTCTACTATATCCATGTTGAATCCTTTCCAAGTGATTCACTAACCTTCCAGAAACCTTCGTACCGCTGTATACTTCAAACTTTCCTTTAGTGGCCTCATGCAAATGAAAGACAGACCAGGAACTTAGCAGCTAGTGATTAACCCAAGTATCGGACGAGTGCCGCCTGAGCTCCAGCAGTTGCTGGTAAGCAACAGGTCATTACAGCTGTTCAAACCGATCTGCACAGCATCGAGCTTTTGAGACGATGAAACCGCCGTAAAGAGTATACCCAAACGGAGTGTATCGCCACCATCTAAGGTCTTCTTGTCTTGTCTTTTTTTTTTTTTGGTCTTCTTCCATCGTTGTAACATCACGTAGCTCAGCATCATTGTGTTGTTTAACCATTTGATTCGTCGGGAGAGAAAATATTTTGTGGTTTTTGACGCAAGTATTTACCTCCCGCAATTCTTGTTTCTTGAATTGTTCCCACCCAGTAGACCGAAAAGGAAATAAGAAAAACATGACGAAAAGTCAACCCCCTTCTAGTCTCTTCCCTAATTTGTGGAAAAAAGGAGCGTACACACACATTCTCTTGATTTTGTGCTCCCAGACCCACCCAAAGTTGCTATTCGGTGGACAGGCTCCCTGGTGGTCTCCTTTGTGAGAAAGGGAGGGAAATTCAAGTCATGTGCGAGGGAAAGTAGGGAGAGTAGAGAAGGAGGAGATGGAGAGAATGGAAACAGCAAGCCAATCTAGCGTGTCCGCACGCCTACAAAAGCTGATCCTCATTGTTTTTGACCCCGTTGATAGAGTTTTCAGCTGAAGAAAAGGAACGTGGGCGAGTTCAACAGGGGATATTGTAACCACCGTTGCCCGCGATGCAAGTCGAAGTTGACGAAGTTACGGGATCGCTGATCCTCGTCGAGCTTGATATCGTAGTCGTCGTTACCAGAGTGGTTGTCAAAGTCGTTGGGAGAATAGTGGAAGCAGTGCTGCTGACTCCGGTGGTTGTTGTGCCAGAAATAGTGGTTGTTCCGGTGGACGTTGACGTGCCTGTCACAGTACTCGTTCCCGTGGAGGTCTCAGTGCCGGTCGAAGTCGAAGTGCCAGTAGAGGTCTCAGTGCCGCTAGTCGTGGTCGACGTGGAGGTTCCAGTGGTTGTTAAGGTATCTGTTGATGTGGACGTACCGGTCGAAGTTGAAGTTCCAGTCGAGGTCTTAGTGCCGGTCGAAGTCGAAGTTCCAGTCGAAGTCTCAGTGCCGCTCGTCGTGGTCGACGTGGAGGTTCCAGTGGATGTTGAGGTGTCTGTTGATGTGGACGTACCGGTAGAGGTCGAAGTACCGGTTGAGGTGACTGTTTCAGTGGAGGTCTCAGTGCCAGTTGAGGTCTCAGTGCCGCTCGTCGTGGTCGATGTGGAGGTTCCAGTGGATGTTGAGGTGTCTGTTGATGTGGACGTACCGGTCGAGGTTGAAGTGCCGGTTGAGGTGGAAGTCACCGTGGGCGTTTCAGAAGTGGATGAGTCAGTCGACGTGGAAGTAACCGTGGAGGTTCCAGAGGTGGTGGAGTCAGTTGTTGTGGGAGTCTCTGTGGACGTTCCAGAGGTGGTGGAATCGGTTGTGGTGGAGGTTACAGAGTTCGTTGTCGCAGAGGAAGTGCCAGTAGATGTACCCGTGGAGGTTCCGGAAGTGGTGGAGCCAGTCGTTGTGGACGAAATGCCAGTGGAAGTGCCGGTAGAAGTACCCGTTGAAGAGGACGATGGGGGAATGGTTGAAGACAACGACGAGGACGAAGACGAAGATAGTCACGCGGCCTTTTTGCAACTGAGGGAGCTAGCCTTGTTGTCGAAGTTCCTGTTGGAGAGGTAGTCGATGCCGGGCGAGTCAATCTGGCCAGAGTTGCTGCCGGTGCAGCCCGGGTTGCTTCGTAAGGTTAGCTGGATGTACGCGTGAAGACGTGTCGGCTCACTCACTCGTAGACCGTGCAGCTGAATTGCTTCGGGACGCTGACGGAGCTAGTCTTGTTGTCAATGTCCAGATCGGCGAGGTTGACTGCAGATGCTCTCATATCAGCAAACTTCTCGTCTGAAAGGCCGCCCCAGGTCACTCACAGCAAGAGTTGGGTCCATCGCTCAGGGTGACCGTGTAGGACTGGGGATCAAGTGGGTTGCCGTTGGCATCCCTGCCGTCCTTCCTCTCTACACCGTTCCAGAGGGTCACCGAGTTGACGGCCGCCGGACGCCTCGGGGTCAAGGCGAAGGCGCTGACGGACGACACACCCATTACCAGGGCGGTGAAGAGGCTTGGGGCGTGCATTTTGGCTGGTGATGGGCGGATGATTGGCAGTGAAGTGAAAGCAGCGAGAGTGGACCGGAGGGAGCTGTCTGGTGGTGGTGGTGGAAGAAGAGCGATTGCTGGCCTCCCTCAATGTCCTTATATAACCTCCCGAGGTCCACACAGGCTGCCGTCTGGACGCGGGCTCAAACACGCGGGTCTGGGTGAACAACATGGCGAGAGCAGAGGTTGTTGGATGCTGGCAGTGGGAGTCGCCGAGGAAGCACGCCTCCAACCGGGTGGCACGGCAGACGGTGGTCGAGTATCACGTAGGTTACGGCCAGGTACGCGGCCAAACCGGCCAAACCGGGCGAGCAGGTGGCTGTGTCATGGTTGGCGGCGCCTTGTATCCGCGGCGGCGCTCAGACAAGCTGCCCGAAGCAGCGGCCAGGTTACGTGATGTGCGTCGCACGAAGAAGGAGCGGACCACGCCAACCCCACACTCGCCCGCTGTTTCTTTGACCCTCTCACCCTCCCTTTCCACATCTTCACTTCTGCACCACGACGCCGCAGCCACCCACCCGTCCGTCGGCAGCCGCAGCCACCGGCCCTTGCGTGCTATGTCAGAGCTGAATAGGCAATAAAGAAGTCCAGTTACACGCGCCGAACCGTCGCCGCCGCCCCCATTTTCTGCAGCCCGTCGTCGACGATGCTCGCCCCGCCCTCCGCCACGGTCAGCGTCGCTACCCGCGAGCCCTGCGCGTCCACCACCTCTGCCCGTTCGCCGCCCTTGGTGTGGTACAGCCGGACCTCTGCCCCGCCGCCCAGCCAGTCGTACGCAAACCCTTCTCCCTTGACGCCTTCCTGCTCCTGTCCCAGCACCAGCACCGCACCCTCGCGCACGTACAGCGGCAGCGTCTCAAACCCGTGTTTCTCGCGGCGCCAGCCGGCACCCTCGACCACGCTGCCGTCCCACCAGGACGTCCACCTGCCCGCCGGCAGGTAGAACTCGACCTCGCCGTCCTCGCTAAACACGGGGGCTGCCAGCAGGCTGTCACCCACCATGAACTGCCTGTCCAGGAACCAGCTGGTCGGGTCGTCCGGGAACTCGAGGCACATGGCTCGCAGCGACAGCGGCCAGCCGTTGCGCCGGCTGACCTCGCCTTGCGCGTACAGATACGGCATCAGCCGACGCTTGAGGCGCACAAAGGTGCGCAGCACGCTCGTTGCGCTGCCCTCGCCGGCCGCTCCGCTGTCGATGAGCCAGGGCACGCGGTATGAGTTCGACCCGTGCAGACGACTGTGCGAGCACAGCAACCCGAACGCTACCCACCGTTTGTAAATCCACGGTGGCGGATTCCCCTCGAAGCCACCGATGTCGCAGGACCAGAAGCTGAAGCCTGACAGCCCGATGGACAATCCGCCACGCACTGACTCGGCAAGAGCGGCGGGCGTCGACTCGCAGTCGCCGCCCCAGCACTGTAGAGGTTTGGTCAGCCGATCCTTCGTTCTCTTGCAAAAGCTGCCTGTCCCGAAGAGGAATCCCCGGACCAGAAAGAGCGTAGCTTACCAGTGGGAAGCGTTGTGTCCCAGCAGTGGCGGCACGCGCAAAAAGAACAGCCTGGTCCTTTCCGTAGCGGTCCTGCAGCGCCTCATACACCATTTTGTTGTACCAGAAGGCGTAATAGTTGTGCATGCGGCCTGGATCAACCGTCTTGTCGTGCCACTGGACATCCGTGGCGGGAATGCGTTCCCCAAAATCCGTCTTGATGGTGTCGATGCCCAGGTCGAACAGTTGCTTCAGACAGGCCACGTACCAGTCACGCGCCTCGGGGTTCGTGATGTCCACGATACCCATGCCCGTCTGCCAGAGATCCCACTGCCACACGTCTCCGTTCTTGCGTTTAAGCAGGTAGCCCCGCTCAGCTGCGTACTGGAACACGGGAGATGCCTGGCCCAGATACGGGTTGATCCAGACGCACACCTTGTGAGCCAGCTTGCTCTCCTTCATCCGCCTGATCTGACCCGCCGGATCTGGAAAATGCTCCGACGAGAATACGAAGTCGCACCAATGGAAAGCCCTCAGCCAGAAGCAGTCGAAGTGAAATGTTTCGACGGGCACCTCGCGCGAGCGCATCTCCTCGAGGAAGTGGGTAACCGTCTTCTCATCATAGTCGGTTGTGAAGGACGTCGAGAGCCACAACCCAAAACTCCAAGCAGGCAGCTTTCCGGGCTTTCCGGTGAGGATCGAATACTTTGTCAGCACTTCCTTGGGTCCCGAGGGCCCGTAGATGATGTACCACTTCAGCCGCTGACCCTCAACTGATGTCTGAAGGCGACAGCAGCGTTCACTACCAATCTCAAGGGACACTCTGTCTGGGGTGTCGATGAAGATGCCGTAGCCTTTGGAGCTGAGGTAGAAAGAGATGTTCTTGTAAGCCTGGTCACTAGAAGTGCCGCCGTCCTCATTCCACAACTCGACCGTCTGGCCCACCTTGTTCCAAGCCCCGAACCGTTCTCCCAGGCCGTGGATGGACTCACCCACGCCTAGTTCATGCTGCGTAAAGATGTAGTGTTGGAGGTTACGCATGTCCTCAACTTGCTTCGGGTTGGCCGTTGGCGGGCTGTACGCAAGGCCTACGCTACGGTTCAGCAGCTGTGTGAGCTCTTTCGAGCCGTCGGTGGCGTGGAAGCGAATGTCGAAAGCTTGAGGGTCCGGCCCGACAGTGGCAGACAGAGCTCCAGATGTGAGCGTAGTGCCCTTGTCCCCTTTGCTGATACTTGCTGTGTTGTTGTCAACAGACATGACGTTCCTCGTGCAGGACTAACATACTCGGTCCAAGCTCTGGCCGTCCATCAGGATACAGATCAAAGTTCGGCCCCTTCCTTTGAGCTCCGGAGAAATGAGTGGCTTCTATGGAGATGACGCCGTCGAACTGAGCCTCGATCTCGACGTTGATGGTACTCAAGTTCAAGGTGTCGCCGCGGGAGCGAATGTGTCGGGTGGGGCAAAGGAGATTGAGCGCTTTATCGTCGCGAGGAGTGATGGTGTAGATGTCCTCGGCATACTGGACATGCTTGTCGGCTGCGACGAGCCACATTCCTGGGGAATGTTAGAGTTTCTGAAACTTCGCCGTCGGGGAAACCCCATTAGAAGCAGAGGGCATCAATGTTGGCAACTCCAGTCCGCAGTCTTGGGTACAATCACGCCCGTGACTCGTTCAATGCCGGTTGTAAGGAAGGAGCGCGATCCACCATAGAAAGAAATGGGGATCTGGACTTACCATCGCGAAACTTCATTTTGACTGGCAGTCGGGAATTGGCACGCTGGCTTCCTCCTTCTCAACGGTGCAGAGTCGGCGAGAAGCTCCTTCAAAGCAAAGACGCCCCCAGTGGATCTTATATGGACTACGCAGCTCGTTTAAACGAGCTCTCTCCACTCTTCCCGCCATCATTCATGAGAACGAGAGCTCTGTGTATAGCTGATTCGTACGTCGCTTAGAGCAAGAGCTGCATGCATGCTCAAACCCCGCCTTACTGTAGCTGACCGGAGGAGCCTTCTCCGTAGAGCATGCCCCACTCCCATGTGGCTCCATATGTCGAATGCAGCATCGTCGTCTCGTGAGGCGACTGGGGTCGAATTTATCCGATGGCTAAAAGTGGCCACCGGAAGATCTTGGACCGGAGGCCGCGGCGGAGCGCGTCTGCTCCACCCCCGACGCGTCTTCCCACGTCCCCCGGACTTTCCGCTCTCCACCTCCCAGCCCGACATCGCTTGCAGAGACGCGACAATGGCAGCCGCCGCTCCCAAACCTGTGAGCGCCTGGCTCGTACTGGCCATCGGCAGCGGAGCCTGCGCCGCCTTCAACGGCGTGTTCGCGAAACTGTACGCCCCCCTCCCAGCACTCATGGCCACAGCAGAACGCTGATACTGCCCCTCTCCCCTCACAAACAGCACGACGACGTCTCTCACGACAAGCTGGTCGCACGCGCTCCTCTCCTTCTTCAACCTCACCCCGGACAACAAGGTCTTCGAGTTCGCGTTCCGCGGCGTCTTCTTCCTGCTCAACCTGCTCTTCAACGCCATCATGTGGGGCCTCTTCACGCGCGCCCTCACCCTCGCCTCGTCCACCGTGCGCGTCAGCATCATCAACACCTCGGCCAACTTCATGATCACCGCCATCCTCGGCGCCCTCGTCTTCGGTGAGTCCCTGCCGGGCCTGTGGTGGCTGGGCGCCGCGATGCTGGTTGCTGGCAGCGTCATCATCGGGAGGAGGGAGGAGAAGACGATCAAGGGGACGGAATCGGCTGGCGGCGCCGAAGGATTGGTGGTTGGCTCGGGGAGCGAGGAGGAGAGGGAGAGATTCTTGGATCATACCGACGAGGCTGAGGAGGCCGACGACGATGACGCAGTGGAGCTGGCGACAGTGCCAGAAGTGGGAAGCGAGGACGAGAGCGAGCGTCGGAGATATTCTTGAACATAAGTGTTAACATCATAGACTGGGTGGTAGATATCACTTCGAATGAAAACTGTCATGACACGCTCGATCTCAGCAGATATGTCTTGCAATATGTGCAATTCATGCTCGCCCGCGGCCCAGCTCTGAGGGCTGCAATGTTCCCCAGGCGGCCCTAGTGGCTTATCGACATACTCCAGTAGTCCTGCCATCAAAGGGTACTGCAGGCTAGGTTCTCCGCTGTGTCTGGGTTCCATCTTCTACCGGCCATGACCGATTCTTTCCCCAAAACCTTCCCTTTTTGACCGTCCAAAACGCCAAACGCTATGCCATTATTCTCGTAAACTTGGAGAAGCTCGCAAGACGACTGCTGACCTCAACCTGCCATCTCGACATCCGTTGCTCCAGCCAGAGGCAGCTTCCCAGCGAATTGAGGGAACTTGAGCGCCGCCGATTCTTTGACAGCTTCTTCCAGGACCAACCTCGAGGCTAGAGCAGCCTGAACGGACCTCTCCACAAGGTCCTCGGCGCGATCCCCCGCATCTCCCTTCATCCACAGCTCCGTTATCTCATCCCTGCCGGGAAGGTATCCCACGACGCAAGCGGCCACCAGATCCTTGTGCTCGGGCGGGCTCGGGTCCAAGACCAGCTCCTGCCCGCCCTCTCCGTCCCTCACCAACGCCGCCACGCCGCCCGCGACCATGTCCACGCAGTCGATGCCCGCGTCGACGATGGCGGCGCTCGCGACGGTGATGCAGCCCGCCAAGACGTTCATCATGCCCCAGCCCATGCCGACGCTGCCCCTCCCGCCCGGGCCGGGATCCAGGCCCAGCTCGTCGCCCGCCCAGCCATCCTCCTCGCCCTCCAGCACGGTGATGATGACGTCGACGCCGCTCTTGGGCCAGCGCTCGCCGATGACGATGCCGCGCAGCGCCGCCTCCAGGTGCTGGCCGAGGTCGCGCTCGCCGGCGTCGCGCACGTAGCCGCGGCGCTGCCGCGCGGCGAAGGGCGCGAACTTGAGCGTCGTCGTCAGGTTGAGGTAGGGTGTGAATGGCGAGGAGCGCGGCAGCGGCTTCGGCCCTTGCACCACGCAAGATAGCTTTAGGCTGCCGGTGGGGAAGGCAAGGCTGGCGTTGGTGGTCTTGGTGGTGGTGGTGGAGGGCGTGAGTTCGAGGTAGGCGGAGCCGGAGGCGGAAGGGGTGAGGCCCGTCTTGAGGACTGGGAGGTGTCAATGGCAGGGTATCTTTGGTATTGCGCGGACGACTTGAGGGCGTACATATTTTCCGCAGCTCGTCAGGATTTCTGGAACGCGTCGGGCGCATTGGCGCGGGGGCCTCATGGTTGGGCAGGGTGGATGCGAAGACCGGGGCGCTGGTGCCGCCGGCGGGAGCGTTTGTGCGGCGTCTGTCAGCCATTGGAGCGATTGGAGGTGTCGGGCGTAGATTCTCTCGAAGCTGTGACGCACGGCGGGTAGTTTTGCGCGTCGATGCTGGTGCCAAGACGCCGACTTGCCGACGTGCGGACACTGGAGGTGGTTTCATTTTGCTCGGCGGCCCGGCGCCGCTTCGCCCGCGCAGGCCGGCCGGAGCCTTGGCGCGCCGCGCCGCGCTGTGAAATTCTTCCCACAACGAACGCGACCCTCTCTCTCCTTCATCTCCAAACCGCCCCCGCGACCTCGCGCTGCACCACCCTTTGCTGTAAGTCATCTGCCCCTCTGATCCGCACATCATCTTCACAGGAAGAAATCCTATCACAACTGTTTCAGGCGACCATCCTGTGGGCCATGAACAACATGCACTACCATCTGACTACCTATCTCAAATTCCCATTTTGCGAGACGTCTGGGGCTTGAGGACGCGTCACTGACAAGCTTGCTCTAGGTTCCAACATGCAGCCACAAGAGCTAGGTTGCTCAGCCAACCTGCGTCGCTGTAGCTCGTACCCCGCGCACAATCCGCCGCCAGAGACGCGTGGCATGGCTTGAGGCTCGGCCACTGCGCTCACCTAAGCTGATGACACTGCTATGTGCAAGTCCGGCTATATGTCCGCGTGTGGTGGCATTGGAATCATTTCCTCATTCCTCGATTGGAGAGGCGAAAGGATGTGGTGGTCCGGAGGGGTGGTGTGCCATGACCTGCAATGCCGTCCCATGGTCGTCTGCGGCAGCCATCCCTCTTGATCCTCTAGGAGCACTGTAAGCGAGTTTATTTTTCCGTTGCCCCTGCTCTTATGATGATCGGTTTTAATTATCAGTTCTGCTACTGAACACTCATGTGGAAATCTTCTACCAAAGCTTACCATGTCTGATTTTTGAGCTATCCATTGATTTATTCACGCACAAGACTGGCGTTGTCGGACCCAGCTAACGCCCGATTCTAGAACCCACATGGCGTGCGCTATCCGAGATCTTCAGCCGCCCTCTCACCGGGCAACCGATGCCGATTGCCTCAGATGTAAGTTCCACCGGCACCCCGCATACCCGGGACTTGCCCCCCAAATCTTCCTCTTGCAGAGATGAATCCTAGTCTATCCATTCAATGAGCCGCCCCGCCGGTCCACCCTCCCGCACCGGACCCACGATCCTACCTTGGGTCATGGGGATGATAGGTTGTGGAGTTGCTCAATCGTGCCGTCGACCGTTCCCTTCACGGGGGGCGCACCCGATGGGTTTGCGGAGCGTAATTGTGGGCTTAGTGCTGCGGGCCGCGTTCGGAACCGTTTTGGGGCCAGCGCGTCTCGCGGCCGGTGGGAGGCATGAGTAAACCGGCTGTCTGAGTACATGTGAGACTCCGCTGTGGTTCGGGAACCGGAACGGAAGCAAGATTTACCTCTTCCGTTCCCTTCTCCCGTCACAGCGACGTATCACACGCACGCGCTACCCCACGAAACATTTGATTTCCTACTCAGGAACAGGTTGAGGCTGACTTGCTCTCGTCTCACCAGGTTCTTCCGGCACACACCTTCTTACGCGGCATCGGCGCGTCAAGCTGACACGGGCTGCCCCGCCCCGCCTCTATTTATAGCCCGAATAGTCTGGTCCACAGGTAGGTGGGATCCAAGATCCCTCGACACGTATTTACAGTTCAAGGGAATGAGGGGTAACGATTCCTGATCATTCCCAACCCACGTCATAATCTCACTGTCGTGACACTACGTAGTAGCCCTACACAATAATAACAATAAAAATTACGATCTACAAGAATTTCCTGGTGTACCAAACCAACATTGCCGCCCTTGCCGTCCATCGCGCTGTGCCTTGAATTCGTGACATCGTTCCCTCGTCAACAAGGAAAACACTGGCCGGGATAAGCCGAAAGCCTGGAAAGCAGGCAAGGAAAAAAAAAAGCGTTCAGTCTGTGTCTTACCTTGAGGCGGTAGTAGATAGTGATGGTGGACTATCAGTATGGACTGTATACCTAGTAGCAAAAAGGAACCTGATATGGATCGAAACTACAAAGAAATAAACCCTTCCAAAGAGTGGTATCAACCGACGATATGTGAGCTCGCCTGCAAAAACGGGAAAACGACAGAAGTAGTGATTAAAGAAAACCCAGAGACAAAAAGCCACAATCTACGCTCCCGACTTTTCCAACCCCTCCCCGCATCAGCTCCTGCTATTGCATGCATACATCATCATCATTTGCCATCCCTATCCGCCTCCGGGCCCAGCCGTTGCGCCGCGGCCGAGACGTCGTCGACGACGTACGCCGTCCGGGGCCGCTCCCGCTCGCCGCTCAGGTCCACCTCGGTCGCCTGGCTGTACTGGCTGGTGGCGCTGGCGACGCTGGTCGAGTAGCGCAGCGGCTGCTCGCGCGCGACGCCGAGCATGGCGGGGTTGTTGTTGTTGTTGTTGTTGTTGTTATTGCCGCCACCGCCGCCGCCGCCGCCGCCGCCGCCGACGCTCTCCAGCTCGTCGTCGTCGTCGTCGTTGTTGATGGGGCCGCGGCTGAGCCGGTGCGGGCGGTTGTCGTCGGGCGTGTACGCCCTGCCGACGTCGGCGACTTGCACCATTGGCGGGAAGGGCAGGTCGTCGTCGAAGAGGCCGGCCGTGTCGCGCACGGACGGCGCGTTCAGCGTGACGGTGCCCATTGAGTCGGACGAGGGCATGGCGCGGGGGAAGCCGGGGCGGAGCTGGGAGGGGTGTTGGTCGGGGGATGACTGATGCTGCTGCTGCTGTTGTTGTTGTTGCTGTTGTTGTTGGCGGTACTCGTCGGCTTCGTCGAGTGGCCATGTTCCTGCTGCCATGGGACCGCTCGCGCGGGCGACTGGGGGAAAGCGCTGGGGCGATTGAGAGAAGCGGTGCGGAGGGCTGCCGCCGCTGCTGCTGCTGCCGCCGCCGCGGAGGCGAGGGTTGTTGTTGCTGCCGGGTGCACCTCCTCCATAGTTCCAGCGGTCGAAGCGGGTGTCTGTCGGGGGCATGATGGGTCCGCTGTCGACGTGACCGCCGCCCAAAGCCATTAGAGTCTCGTAGTCAGCCGCCGGGTGGTTGTTCATTGGGCCGTAGGAGCTGTTGCGCATGAAAGGCGGCGGGCTACCGCCGAATCCGGGGTCTGGGCTTCCGATGCGTGATTCCATGTTGCTGAGGCGCCGATCCAGGATCATGAGGCTGTCCAGCCCAGAGGTCGGTCGGTTCATGCGTGCCTCATGCTCCTCGAGGCGTGCCAGACGGCGGTCCAGGCGATCGAGCAGGGTGAGCGCTGCGTGGTCGCCACCAACGCCGCCGAAGCCCATGTTGACTCCGGCATTGTCGACGCTGCCGCGGAGCGTGGTGCCTGCCGAGGATTGCGGTCGTATGCGTGGTGTCGCGCCTGGATCGACCTCGTCGAGCCGGGACAGGCGTTGCGTTAGACGCTCGAGCAGATCGTCGCGGCGCGGCGCCTCTTCGAGGTACGACAGGCGTCGGTCGAGCGAGACGAGTAGGTCGACGACCTTGTCGAGCTTCTCTTCGGCCCCGCGCGTGGAAGGCGCGCCAGAAGGCACGTTGGAGGGCGGTGGAGAAGAGACGATGGCTCCGGCTGCAGACGGGGGAAGTGCGGGCACTGGCGGAACGTCCGCGTTGGACCTGTGCTTTTCGGACTTGATATGGGCGGGCTTGGGGGATTCGGGCAGGAGTAGGTGGTCCTTGGACAAAGCTGCAGTGGTGCCCGAGATGGCACTGTGCGGAGCGGACTGAGCCTCGAGATCGATCTTCTTCTTTTCGGACGGCGAGAAGTCGGTCTTGAGGTTGAGCGATCGCTTGGTGCCGGGGGTGTACTCGTTGATTGTTGACGCTTTGTCCAGAGTTTGCACGCTGTCGAACTTCCTGATTTGCACACGCTTTGAGTCGATGGCCTTCGGAGCGTATGGGCCACGCGCGTATTGGCCAGGGCCCTTCGCACCGTCGGGAATATGGAAGCGCCGGTCGACCCGCACGGCAAGGTACAGGTAAACGACGATGATTTCAAGGGTGAAGTTGAAGACGTAGAAGCATGCCTTTGAATAATACGACGGAAGTGGCTGCGATATTGGCACAGGATCCAGATACGCCGTAGCGCAGCGGAATGTCGCACCCAAGCACAGGATAAAGGTCGCAGCGAGGAGTACGAGAATCTTGCTACGCCACCTTCCGATGCCGAATTTCTCCATACGCTTTCTGCGCGGGAGAACGAGGCCGAGTAAAGTCAAGGGAATGGGTAGGAATGAGACGTAGGCGAAGAATGTCGAGCAGTACAGCTGGATGTCACGGTCTATGCGCCTCGTGTTGGTGTCGAGCGTGTAGAACGACTGTACGGTGACAGTGATGACCATGATCAGAGTGAGCACAGTCACCACGTACGTCAACTTAAAGAACATGCCGAAACGGAATGACCAACCCAAGCGAGGGTGCTGGGCCCGCATGAGGCGCTGCGTGAAAATCAAGTTGATGATGTAGATCAGCAGCACCCCGGCCGCGACGAAGATCTGTGCTGCTATTGCCAGCTTGATGTTCGTGAGTCTTGTGGAGGATGCAATGCGCAGAACGCAGGTTACGATCCGACACATGCAAAAGCCTTTGGGACCCATCAGCGTCAAAATGGAGAAATCGGCGAGGAAGACTTACCGAACAGCAACAACGTCAACATGAACTTGTGGCCTTGCTTTTTGTTTTTCTGGAATGTGACCATATGGCCAATTGCACCGCCGATGAAGAGGGCGAGAAAGACAGCGGTGATGGGGATATCCACGGATTCCTCTAGGCGGCCACCGAGGGACCATGTTCTGGGCGCATATGGCGGCCCGGGCGGAGGGCCTCCTTGTGCCCCCGCCTGCAGGAAAAATGTTAGGGAACGGTAATGTGCGTGCAGTGTACGCGATTTCACTTACCTGGCCTTGGCCTCCTTGCGATGACATGGCGGATGCTCAAGGGAGGGGATAGGCAGAGACGGCGGCGTAGCAGCCGCAAGCTTTCGGGGGAAAAGTGAGGGAGGACAGGGCGAGCGAACGGAAATGAAGAGGGAGAGCTCAAGCGGCAGCGGTGAGAAAAAAATTATAAAGGCAGCGGGGAAGGGAAGCAGGCAACACGTACATGCATATATGGAGACATCGTCGAGTTACGCCACTCAGGCGGAAGTCCGACAGTCACAGCATGCAGATTGGTGGTTAGCGTTTCGGACTCCGGCGCGGGGAAATCTGATGTTGGTCGACTAGGATCAGACCGAAGCCACGAACCCTGCAAGTCAGACTCAGATCAGCGGGCACAGCAGCAACGCCTCTGCATGGCTCAGCGCCGGCCCTCGCGCGTTGGCGCATGCGAGCAGAGCGATTCCGGAATGGTTGCCTCTGTGCTGCCCGAGTTGAGCGCGGGTCGAGGCCGGGCGAGCTGGTCGTCTGGTGCGGCTGCTGCAGCAACCCAAGTGCAACTCATGCATATCGGCCGAGGCTGCCGCTTGTGCCACCTACGACAAGCAACAAGGTTCGGCCCAGCCGGCCTGGCGACGGCCAACCTCAGGCAGCTACCAGTAGCCCTTCGTGGCTTGCGCCTTGGACGCCTCTCGCCGGCCCTCCGCCTCGCCATGTACATGCGTGTGACGCTTCGTATGGCCTGCTTGGGTAGGTTCGAGCTTTGTCTGACGTCGGGCCCGCCGATCAAGCTTCGCCTTGTGTTACCCTCCACCCAAGCTTTCGCTGACTGATCACGTGTACCCTGTCGACAGCCGCAGATCGACGCTCACGAGTCTCGGCCCGCGTGCCTCGTGAAAGCCTATTATTAGCTGCGAGTTCGTTGCGCCCGGTCACGTTGAGCCCTCGGCCGACGTCAGTGAGATAACAAGCCCGAATTGATCGTATGCTGAAGTAGCTAAAATCCCCATCGCTCGAACATTGATTCCTCAGCTCTTTCAATATTGCAATGGTCTTCATCGTTAGCATCTGCCGTTAGTCATTAGTGCGCCCAGAAACCATATCGCAAAAAGTTGCCGACGACGCCGTCACCGGAGAAACGGCGGATCAAGTAAAAGTGAGGGCAAGCGACCACCACCCTTGAGTGTACCCATTCCAGTTACATCATCCGTTACCACAGACCGAGGCTGAATACTAGCCACTGCACCTTGGTTGGCAGTTCGCCGCTGACTGTACTGGTCATCGCGTACGTATGGGGTATTCGTGGACCCATGCCTCTGTGTGGACAAAGTCGTCTGGTCAACGCCGTTGCCATCAGTGACGGGGCTAATGTGGTCCCCGACCAGATATTTAGCACCCATGTGTTCCTCATCTTGCGCAAACAGCTTTTGTTGAGTGCCGCTGAAGTAATCTCGGGTGCTTTCGTCGACCATCATCCGCGACGTTTCCCCGATCGACGACTTCAGTCTCTTTGGTCTCGTATCTCGAGCGAGCGGTGCGTCTGTCAAAGGATGGCGATGCGTCCGAACTAGACTGCGGAAAGTGTTTTCGGCGGCCGAGGAAACCCCTAAGCAAAGAAGTCAGCCAGTAAGCGACAAGTGGTGAGACATGCCCACCTTCAGGAATGTGCTCGATGGGTCTCAGCTGTTGGTATGCTATCAGCAAGTCAGTTGGTCAGCCTAATATGAAAGGGGAGTCTGGAAGAATTGAGATTGAGGGTGCTGTGCAGGACTCGCAAGGACCGAAAGTTGCAAGCAACAGAACCTTTCAGCTGGTATGTGTGACGGCGGCCAGAATTCTCCGAACCCTCCGCCGTGCCATGTTCCGTGCGTTGCCTGGACGAGGCTGGTACTGCCACCGCCGCCGCCGCCGCCGCCGCCGCAACCGGCTGCCGCTTTCCTGGGATCAAGGCTGTAGATGATATGGACGACCTCATCCTCTCCTCTCCACCCTCAGGATTTTCTGGCAGTCTTGATTTTGCAGGAGGCGTGGACTCTATTTCTTCTTGAACCTCCATCCACATGCCTGAAGACTGCATGCGTGCAGATTGTCCAGGACGGGTCAGGTCCATGGCACTATCCCCCAGGCCTTTACGATACTGACTTTCTCTCAGCCACAACGAAGCGTAACGTTGAGTTAGAACAGGCTCATCCCTGGGGTGGTTGGAAACGCTGCGCACTCGGTTCAAAGCAGGCTCCGAGGCTTTCAGAGTCTCGCGGTTACCCTCGCAAGCGTTATCATCTCCTCGCTCAACAAGTGGATACCCCGCATCGGCCACATATGGCCTGTCCCCTGCTGTCGAGTCGGAAGAACTGCCAGCTTCCGATGAGGATCCATCACCTGATTTCTGGCCCAACTCATTGCCTTCCGTTTCACACGGTCCGTCCATCTCCTCCTCTTCTTCTCCCCTGCCCGGCCTTACAGGTGCAGTACTTTTGGCCAGCTGGAACCCCATCGTTGGAAATAGGTTGCGCCTTGGTGAAGTCTGGGTGATAGGCGCCATTAGTCTTCCATGACATCCAATGCTAACATCTCTGTCGGCGTGATCCCCTTGATCCTGTCTCTGGCTCAGGATCCCATTGCGACGAGGATAACTGGGCGGCATCCAAACATTTCTCTCCGCGCTGTCCAGCAATAAGGTGACACCATCGTCAAAGAGATCCCCCGAACGCTCTCGAGGCGCGGCGGCCAAGCTGTGGAGCGAATCCATCCTGTGCATTCCAATTTCGGTTTGGGCTGCGTGACCAAGAACGTGCAAATCTCCCTGGACGAGAGTGAGACCACCTGCTGGAGGTGCACCCTTTCCTTGGAATCTCCGCGCTCTCTTTTGTTTAGGTGGCACAGAGAGTTCCGATCCCACAAAACCGTCGGCTACCGGGCTGTACTTACGGACGCGTTTCCCTTTCCCCTTTTCCACAGGTTTCGGAATCTGGAACATTGACAGATCAGGAGCCTCGTGGTGGAGTTTCGGCACGCGGATCATCTGCTTTAACATGCTTAGGCATTCCGTAGGCCTTCTGGCGCCTGCTGCGTCGCAATCCTCGGCCGGAGACGTACTCCGCACGCGTTGCGCCTGGCTGTCCTCGACGGGATCAGAAGTCGGCGACAAGACTTCCTCGTCGGTTCGGTGATCCTACGGTATCATCCGTTAGCAGGAGCCGTGTGGCTTCCATCCACGCGCACTCACGTCAGCCGCCAAGTCTCTCTTGACAGGTACATAAACGGAGGCACGCCCCATGGACAGCTGGGGGACGGCCGGGCCGGCCGAGCCCGGTTGCCGATGCCTCCGAGGATGTGTCGAAGTTTCTCCGTCCGCGTCTGTCATGGCGTAACGCGCGATAACAACATTAGCCGCCCCCGAAGCCGCCACGGCCGCGCCGCCATCGCCCCTGATTTTGTTCCTGCGCGCTCCGCCAACAACATGGTCAAACACAGCCCTTTGAGCTGAAGAGGTTGAAGATCCGCTGTCATGAGCACTGCGATTGTCCCCGCCTGGTGTCGTGCAGCCAGGTATGGGAGTCTTTGCAGAAATGTCACCGCCGGGCCCCTCTGCGCTCACTCCCGGGACACGGTGCAAGGAGGGTTGGTGGACGCTTGCGGAGTCGCTGGTTGGTGGTGGTTGTTTGTCGTGGGTGGATTGCTGGGTGAGAGGGGAGCGTTCGGCAGCCAGGTCGGCGGCAGCCTCGCCGGTGGGCGAACTGCTCCGCGACAACACCACGCAAGGCTGCGAGGCACGCGGCACCGGATCCGGGGCCAAGGGCGATCGGATAGCCGCATGTTTGTCAGCAGTGCCGATAGGGCGGCGGCAGCGCCTTGGTGGAGGGATTGCTGGCCGCACGCGTCTGTGCTTGCGCCACTCAGATTTGCGTGCAGCAGCTGGTGAGACAAGCATCGTGCAGCAGGGCGATCCGGCGAGCTGGATCTTGGAGCGTAGGGCTGGGAGCGTCGACGGGCAAAGGAGAGGCAGGCGGCGGCTGGCGTGGTTGGAGTGCTGGGGGCGCGGCGAGGGAGCCGCGGATTTGCAGGGTCTTCGCGCCTGTCGCGTCTGCAGCGGCCCGTTGCGCGCGCGGCAGCAAGGGGGACCAAACGCAAGCGCGCGTTCACGACTCGCGCCAGAGGGGACCTGAGGATGGCCTTTGCGGTGTGGAGATCAGCAAGAGCGGTCAGTAGTGATTTTTAAAAACTTCTGGCGTGGCCGATGCGGTCGTCGCCGAACGCTCCTTCCTCATCCTCCACCTGTCATCTGCGTCGAGAAAAGCAGTCGCAGTCATGGCAGCGGAAACGACGCTCAAGTTCACCACCCCTCCCTTTGACGTTCCCGACATCAGGGATGACGAGCCGTTCAGCGATGTCGCCCGCAAGCTGTCGTTGTACGTGGCCCCCCCTTTCCCCAGACTTCACCCACCACCGTTCCATCCCTTTCCCATCTCAATATCCCCAGAGTGGGGCGGAAACCCCTCGCGGGTAGATCTCGAGGCTCCGGCGAGCCGCTCGCTGCCCTGTTGAGGTCGCCTGACCCCCGAATGGAGATAGCCGCCGGGCCAGAGCCCAGATCCGCTGACTCCGGCTTGTCCCAAACTCGAGAGCACTGACCGGTTGCCAGCTACATCATTGAGGCCGTCGACTCGCCTCTGGGCTGGGAGGATCTCCGCAGCAGCAAGCACATGAAGAAGCTGCAGCCTCTCATCAACAAGCTCACCAATGAGGTCCACCACCAGGCAGTCGTTGCTGCTCTGCTGTAAGCACCCACCGCCTTTTCTGTTCTCGCACTTTCTGACCTTTGTGGCTCCCGGCAAACTGTGGCGCCAGACGTCGTCACGCCTCAAGGACGTCGCTAGCCTTGTATTACCGTGCAAGCCACGTGCTCGATGAGCGTTGCCGAGCGTTGCACCAGCAGTGGCGGCCGATGACATGTTGGAGCGTTCGTCGGGACGATGAACTCGTCCCCGCCGCCTGCTTCAGCTTCTTTTCGGCCACCATGCTGTGTCGCAATGCCCGGAAGCCCGGTCTTGCGCTCTTGGCTTTGCCAGAATACACAGGCAAGCACTCCTGCACGGCAGTCGACGAGTCTGAGTGTTGCAGCTTTCGGGAAGCTCTATCCACAGTGCTCTGAAGGGTCATTTCCGCGCAATTGAAAGCGATGATGACCGCGGCATCAACGAGTCGCGCGGTCTTGCGTGCGAGGTTGTTGCCTGGCAGTTTGTGCTCACTCTTTCAGAAAGGGAGGCCCTTGACTACCTGCTGTTCGAGCTTCCAAAGGATGATGATGATGACAAGCATGATGACTCAGACGATGAGGAGTCACGTGCTGGGACCCGCGGACGTGCCAATGGCAACGGCCGTCACTCTTCCGGGGATCCCACCGAGAGGACTGGGCTTCTGTCAGACCACCGCACTGCCAGCCATGGGACCGCCAACGGCCACGGCAATGGCCACGGCAACGGCAACGGCAACGGCAACGGCAACGGCAACGGCAACGGCAACGGCAACGGCAACGGCAACGGCACCCGCCGCTCGAAGTCGAGATCTTCTTCTCACTCCACTAACCACCACATCCCTGGCGAGGAGTACGAAGCCACTGGGGGTGAAGGCTTTGCCGATCCTTTCTTGAACCTCAATACCCTTGAGATTGCTGCCGTTGCTGGTGCTAAAAAGTTCCTCAGCCAGAGATGCATCCAGGATATCATCAATGGCATCTGGAATGGTGAGATCGTCTTCTGGGAGAAGCTTACGGTGGGCGCCGTTAAGAAGCCGAAGTACTACAACAAGCAGTAAGTAACGGATCCCGCCGCTGATTCACTTGACACTCAACGTGCCTGGACTGCCGTTGACTAGTTCGTAGCTTGGGCGACCCGTGGTGCCGTCTTCGTGTGCCGAGGTACATGAAGACCTTCGAGATTTTCTTCTTCCTATGCTTCTTGGGACTCTTCTACATCGTGTCCATCCAGCGCGACATGGAGAACGTCACCGTTGCCGAGGTCATCTTCTATTTCTTCATTGCCGGCTTTGCCTTCGACGAATGTAAGTCAGTTCGCTGCAGTGGCCCTGTACCAAGTCTAATTCAGTATAGGGAGCGAGTTCCGGGAAGCAGGCGCTCACTTCTACGCAACTGACATTTGGAGTCTGTGGGACATCGGAATCATCATCGTTGGTCTCGTTTTCTTCATTACCAGTAGGCGACCGATTCCACAGAAAGCGACGATGAGACAATGGCTGACTGTCTGAAGGAATGATTGGTCTGGCACATGGCGACAAGCAGATGCTGGAGATTTCGTACAGCATTCTCGCCCTTCACTCGCTCTTCTTGACTCCGCGGTAGGTCCTGCAAGCCGTGCTGCCTGTTATGACGAGCTGACGTATCCTTGCAGTATTTTCTCGCTGCTCAGCTTGAACCCGTACTACGGAACCTTGGTGAGTGGCAAATTGCATGCGGCGTTGATTCAGCTACTGACGTAGACTTAGCTACCTTGTCTCAAGGAAATGGTAGGTTTCTGCCTGCAACGAGGCGGCATTGCCACCGGCCAGCTGACAGCAAATTAGGGCAAGCAAATCATCAAGTTTTTGGGCTTTGTGCTCATCATCTATCTTGGTAGGTGGTCATACCGTAGTCATACCGCAGAGCCGTTCCTGGCTGTTGCTGCCTTTGGTGGGGCGTGGAAGTGGCTGCTGACCCCAGACGACTGTTACTGCAGGCTTCTTCACGACTTTTGCTTTGCTCGCGCGTGGCCACGTCGCCTTGCGCGACACGTCCATCACGGTGCTGAAGGTCTTTTTTGGGTAAGCGACTATGACCCACTGTGCAGGTCGTGCTTCGCTAACGCGTTCGTGTGCAGTGGCGGAGTTATCGGATTTGTATGTTTTCCCGCCCGCAAGATTGCACAGACTGTGGCTGACGTCGCTCCCTAGGACATTGCTCCAAGAATGTAAGTGTAGCCCCGCTCCGTGTGTCGGCTCGAGGCTCATTCTCAACAGATCCCCATATCTCGGTCTCCCCGTCATGGTCGGTCTCCCCGGTGGCATACGACGCGCTGCGCCAGCTAATTTTCGCGTAGATTGTCTTCGTTTGCATGACAAATCAGCTTCTGATCACGTCGATGATGGCATATGTCAATACCAGCTTGCGGCAGGTAAGTTGTGCAGAGTGGAGTCATGATGCAGGGCGGGTGGGGGCGGTGAAGGAATAGCCGCGCTGCATTCTTTTTTGGAAAATGCGGTGCAGTGCTATGCTTAACCCCCTTGTCGCCCAGCAAAGTGCCGGCTAAGCGAGGAATCGATTGGCTGACGACTCATGGTGACAGGTTCTCGACTCGTCGCGTGAAGAATACCTCTATGTGTAAGGGCTCGTCCGCAAGGCGCACTCGGGCAGCGCGACCGCTAATGCAGGCGCAGGTACTCGATCTACGTACTCGAAGCCTCCACCTCGAACAAGCTGGCTTATTTCTTCCCACCCTTTGTGAGTTCCTCCAACCATAGCACGCCGCAGCGCGACTATTGGCGCCCCAAGCGCCCCGGCGCGCAGCACAGCCCTTGACCTGCCTGAGACGGCCGGCTCGCAGCCAATTGAGTCAAGCGCAGCGGCGAGAATGCCTGCTTGTCGCGACTGTCGAGCAGCGTGCAGCGCACTGATGCCATTGCAAGTATGGCGGTGCGGTGTGCTGCCAGATTGTGAACGTTGGTGGCGAAGCATTTGACGTGCTGTCATTCGCCAGGGCCCGCTCAAGCCACAAATAGGGCTGCATAGCCTGCGCAAAGCTGCATGCCAGACGCGCGATGATGAACCGCAGGCTAACGTCCACAACAGAACCTCGTCCCGGTGGTGCTCTTCCGTCCGATCCTAATGGTCCTCCCTGCGCGTGCTGCGCGCGGAGCGCGTATCGTGTTGCTCAAGGCCACTCACGCACCGTTTGTTGGCATCATCTGGGCATATGAGCACTGGCAGGACTATGTCTGGAAGAAGAACATGGCACAGCGCGGGACGCCGGGCATCGAAACCATGGGTGGTAGACAGGCGCCTGCCACCAACGGCGGACTGCCGTCCCGTCCGGTCAAGACAGGAATGTCGGGCAAGTCGTCGGCGGTGCCGGCATCGCTCGTGCAGGCGTCCAGACGCAACCCACGGGTTGTGCGCCCCGAGCTGAGCGGCGCCGTGCGCACCGGCACGGTCGCATCGGCCCCTGCCGCTGCCGCTGCCACTGCCGACGCCAGCGCTAGCGAGACGATGCGGCTGCTCAAGGAGCTCTCTGCGCAGGTGGAGGAGCTGCGGGCGACGGTGGTCAAGCAGCAGGGACCAGAGTAAGGGACCAGGCCCTCCAGGCGCAGCGCGGGCGGCAGCGCGGGCGCGCGGTGGAGGAGCGGCGGCGGGAGACGGCAGGCGGCCGGGAAGAGCGGTGCCGGTGCGGAGAGGGCTGCTGGGGCGCGGCAGGATGCGGCGATCGCGCTGGAGTAGATCAGTGCAAACGCTCAAGTTTCGTAGTTAGCACAGGCAAATCCACACGTAGGCATCCGCGGTGCCGCGGGCGCTGGCAGCATCAACGTCTCTGTGCTTGCGTGTGTGTGTGCGGAGGCAGCCCGATTCGGACCGCTGGGCGCGCTGCGGAACCCTTTCGCCGGGCCCCGCTAGCGCGTCCACTCACTACCATGACCCCCTGCTGCGCCAGCCGGGCATGCCCGCGCCCCAGCCAACAAGGGCACCAACGCCTGTTTTCAACGCCCTGCAGCTGCGCACTTCAGCATTGGCAAGCAGCCAGCATGCGCAGCGCCTCGATCGTCGCCCTTCGAGAACGCGCGCTTTACCGCTCGCCGCGGCTCGCTCGACCGGCCCACTGCAGGCGAGATGCCTGCCCCCCAAGTCCAGTCCAGAATTCTGCCTTGGCTGTCCCATGTCTAGTGCTCCCCACCTCACCGCCCCATTGTAGCAAAAATACTATCATCTCGTCTGTCTGTCCCAGCGGAAGGGATACGCATTTACCTCTTGTTATATATCTTCCGCGCGCAGGCTCGTCTCCCAAATCACTGCCGGCACGCTCTCACCACCACACTCATCGGCTCTCTTTCCAATACACACCACACCTCGCCGGCTGGACGCCTGAGATCTTTGCGCTGCACAAGCTAGATCCTGCTGATCGCCGCTCCCGCATCATCTGTTTGATCCATCCTCCGCCGCTTGTTCGGCATGCCACCTCTCGTCATGGAAGACATCTCGCCCCGCTCGCCCTCGCAGGCCTTACCTTTCGAGAGCAGCTACGGCCAGGGTTCCTACACCCAGTCCTCGACATATCCATCACCTGCCAGGACAGAGAGTGATGCCTCAAGCTACATGACGGATTCCATGGCCCTTTACAGCCAATACCCCTCAATGGCTCTGTCCAACGACTCCGTTCACCCTGCGCAGACATTGTATCCGCTTTCGCCGCATCCAACCGAGGCACCTTGGACCCCTTCACTGCCAGCTACCACATCTCCAGGTGTACCTGGTGGACAGCGCTCGCGACTATGGGCCGATACTTATGACACAATGCCTGTGTGGGATCAATCCTTCACATACCTCCCCTCTGGTTCCCTGGTCGGGGTAATGCATTCTCCGGCGCCATCCGATGGCGCACTTCTCTCTCAGCGCTCGTCCGTATGCTCGTACGACCATTCGCCCGACTCTGGCCCGATGATCAAGATAGAGCCACAAAATGAGTTGGCTAGCGAGGAGGATTCAGTCGTGGGCCACCAGCCCTTGACAGTATCTCCACAGCGATTGGGCAATGTCAAACACACAACGACTCAAAGGTACAGTAATCCCGTCAGGCGCAAGCATTCTTTCACCACCATTTCTTTCCAAGGACATGAAGCTAACATGTCCAACAGTGACGACAGTACGGTCAATACTAGTACCGTGCGTACACGATCACGGAGAGCAACCACGAGAGAGAACGCCAACCACCAGTGCCATATTTGTGGCAAGCTATTCCAGCGCGGCTACAATCATAGTGCACACATGGAAACCCACAACCCGAATCGAAAGAAGCCGAACGCCTGTCCCCGCCAAGGATGTGGAAAGAGATTCGTGCGGAGGACGGACCTGCACAGGCATGACCAAAGTGTAAGCATCAAGGCCGCGTGACCCGTGCTCTAGCGAGCGTCGCTGATCTCAATGTGCACAGGTGCACCGCAAAATAAAGAACCACAAATGCACAGCATGCGGCGCCCACTTCGCGCGGAAGGACACCCTCAGGAGGTAAGGCAATCCGCAAACACACCATAGGCACAGATCGCACGACGTCGGAGAACTGACAGGTCTCACAACAGACACCGCGAAGACGGCTGCCCCAAGCGCTTCGATGTCGTGGCCAGACAGGCGCAGCGAGCGAAGGCGGTCCGCAAACACAGAGCACTTCCCACGAGGGCTCCGTCTTACCGATCAGTCCCTCGGGGCATGTCTGCGCTAGGCCGCTCGGCTCCTTACTTCTGCGCGAACTTTCTGCCGAGCGTGGTGTAGATCGAGTTCCTGCGGGACGGCGCGAGACGAGCACGATACACATGCAACGGAGCGTACAGGATCCTTTGCGGTCGGAGTGTAGATAGGGACATGGGTTCATCAGGGCGGCATCGTGCGCCATAGCGACCAGCGTTTTGCATACGAAAGGGTTGGGCGGCACATTTTGCGGTTTATTGGCGCATGTTTTCATCTTTTCTTTCCGCTTCATGGCGGGGTTCGGAGGCATTGTCAGCATTTGGCTGGGGATGTGATATCATCAGGCGTATGGCAGGGTTCGGCAGCTTCTTGTGTCTCCTTTGTTCACTCTCTCATGCATACAGCACTTGTTTTTACCGACGAGCGCAGTTGATTGGGCGGCTTATGCGGTCTTTTTGGTAGCTATTACTACCCAGTTTTCTCTCCTGTTGCAACCATTGAGCTCATGCACCAGGTGTCGTGCCAGACGCTTCGTGCCAGGCGCTACTGTGGCTGACGCCACATTGGGCCTAGGGAGGTTGGGCATAGTGGGATGGAGGGGCTCGCGGATAGAGCACTCGATCTTCTCTGCATGTATGTACATAGGCGCGACCAATTGCAGCATTGGCAGCATTGGCAGGCCCGTTTGGGATGGCATCACATTTGCTGTGTCAAGTGGCCCTCCAGGCAACCTTGGGCCCCATTTCAGTCTCGCTTTTGCTCTCCAGGCAGCACTGCGACAGGGCAGGCCGTTTCGCGTTGGCAAGGAAGTGATGTGATGGCCGTACCGAAGGATTCGGAACCCTGCAGGTGCCAAAGTCAGGGAAAAGGATGGGTCCCGGGCGTGCGGTACGCCATCGGGCTGGGTGCGTGGAAGCGCGGGAAATGGAGAGGGAGGGGCTCGCAGGCCGTACTGCGTACGCAGAACAAGTCCGTACGACGACAGGTTGGGGGCCAAAAAATGGCGGGCAGCGAGTGCGGTGCAGGGGCTGGACTGGGGTTGCCGCTTCCAGTCTAGCGCCGCGAGGCGGATATCCCATCAATCAATTGGTCGGGCGGCGGCGCACGGGGCTCTCGGCGTCTATCAAAACATGTGGCTGCGGTAGGCAGGGTAGGCAGGCGCGCTTCTGCAGCGTTGTTGCCCGCGGGCCCCTGCGTCGGGACGGGGCTGTGATTTGCAGGAGCAGCTTGGCACTCGCCGCCGCGACTCGTAGAACTTGGTCGGGCTTCATGTCTCAGGCCACAACCTCGCTTTCTGTCTCTCTCTCGTGCTACCAGCGTGCCGGAGAACGGGTCGAGCGCGCCTTATCGACGGCTCTGATGGCAAGTGGAGCCAACGGCCGCCCGTGCTCCGCTAATTGCGTCTCCATGCGTGTCTAGCCCGGCCGACGAACTCTCCATCGACTGTGTCGCCTGCTGCCTGCCTGCTCGCCAGCTCGCCAGCTCGCCCGCTCGCCTGCACACGCTCTACCATTCGCGGACGCGCTGTGCTCGATCCCCCCCCCGCCGGCCGGTGCCGCACGACTGATGCCGGAAGCAGCGTGCTGGACAGATGATCTGGATATGCCCCTGGCCCGCAGCCGTCAGAACTTTATGCCGAGCTGACGGAGTCCCCAGGGCCTGAACGCTGCCGCGCATATCGGCACGCATCGCACCGTCGCTTCGCCCGCCCGCCAGCTACCAGCTCGAGAAGTCGTCTCGCTGGCCGTTTCGAGCATGCCACCCTAATCGACCCAGGCAGCCGGCCGTATCGCGCTTTTCTGCCACAGCTCCGCGACGGGGGACATGGTTCTCTGAACCTCTTCTCCCTCCGCTTCTCGGGCACTGAGGCCACCCGCTGCGCCCATCGCGCATCTGCCTCGATTGCGCGCGCGCATGATGTGCGGCTTCCGTCCTCCCCGTTCCGCACGCTCGTTTGCCTGCTCCACGCAGTGATTTCGCATGGACCGCAGAGCACTGGACCCTGCCGCCACCCCCGATACTCGACCGCCATCGAGCCTGGCCAACACATGACCGCAAGCTGCTGCGAGCGCGGCCCTCTCCCTCCTGTGCATATGCGACTCTCCTCTTCGGTGTGGTGGCTCGCGCCCGTCTTCGCGTCTGCGGTCCGCTGAGCCCTCGAGAGCACGAGCCTGGGGCGGCCTCTCTGTCAGGCCCACACCTTGCCCCGCCGCCCAACCACCACCACCCACACCACCTCCTGCCTGCTGTACCCTGGCTTCCTGGACGGCGGCAAACGGCAACCAAGCCCTTCGACTGCGATCATCGCCTGGACGATGGCATTTCCGATTGCCTGCCGAATCAGCGAAACCCCCGCCGCGCCACCAACAGGCGGCAGCGCTGTGAGCCTGTGACTGGCGCCACTTGAAGGTCGCGATGCTGCAAAACTCCAGAGCTCGATTGCAATCCAGCCAATCGACGACGGACCTTCTGTCTGCCTCGATGGCGAGAAGCACACCATGCCCATGCCGAGTACAGACACGTCGCAAGCCCTGCTGGCACCTACATACGCACTGCTTTACAACTTACTTCATGCTAATGTGTGGACGGCCGGAAGCGCGCAGGCGAATTCGTCTGGAGCGGGCAGTCCTGCGACTTCGCTTCCGTCCGGGACCATTTCCTCGTAGTAACTCTTGACCCGCAACAGGAACTCGATCCGATGACCCTCCCTCCCTCCCTCCCTAGCACAGGGTACATACCTTTGTGCTATGCCGTGGCGTTGTAGCTGCTGATCACTTCAAGCAAGCTGCTCGCCTCCTTGTGCTGTCCGGGTCTCGCTATCCCCTCTCCACCATCACGAGATGACTGATCTGACGGGTTCAGTGTGACATCGATAGCGCCAGTGTGGGCGTTGCCAGGGCGCCTAACATGCCGTTCTACCTGGGATTATCGTGGGAGCCGTCAGCCCATCAGCTTCTCCGGATCGAAGCGTCATCGGGACAGTGGGATCCCCGGACCCTATCAGCGCGACAGAAAGCCACGCAGCATCTCACCCGCCCGCTGGCTCCTGATGTCCGCTCGCCTGCACAACGTCCCGCTGCCGAGCGGCAGCCCGTCACTTTACTCTCACCAATCACGACATCCATTATAGCTTCGAAGGGGATGGCTACTGCTGGCTGATCACCCAGCCAGTCCTCCCCACAGACACCTCTCTGGCAATGCACTCGTCTACGCGTGTATTCCCGCTGAAGCGCTGCTTTCTCCGCTCACACGCGTCAGGCTGCCGCTAGGTGCATCTAATCGACGATCAAATGTGCAGTATCCGACAGAAAAGGCGGGCATGGTGTTGTTTAGCCCGCCATCATCTAGTTGTATCGCATGGTGCAGATACCGTGATGAGGCCATGTACCATTGTCACGCAGTACTGCAACAGCAGGCGCAGTTGCCAAGAAAAAATCCGCGTCATGTCCGGACATAGGACTGCCTTCTCCGCCCTGACCCTGTGTCCCGTTTGATCGTCATCCACAATAGCTAGAGGCCCATCACAGGCGGTTGCACCGCGCCTCCCGAAGCCTAAGCTCTGGTGGTTCATTAGCGGGAGCACGAGCTCTGCTGGATCCATCTGTGCTCTCCTTCCTTGCTCGGTCTGGCTTCTTGACACATACATTTCCGCCACCATCTTCTGTAGCAACATGTCTGCTACTGGTGTTCCTACAGTATCTCGGCCCTTTCAAAAGCGTTCACGTCGGCTGACTTGTAGAGATAGACGTTTTCGTCTCCTTCCCCTTCGAGTTGGATAGCTGACGCAGAGTCGCAGGAGGATTCGTTCCAGAAAGACCAAGCCTCGCCATGCCACAACACACACCACACCAACCGAAGGACTAAATGGTCTCTCGGGTACAGCTTTCCCTGGTATTGGGACGTGACGATGTGACAGCGATAATGTGGCGAGTACCGGCCGCCAGGACAAGCTCCCACTTCAAGGTTACACGAGGCGAGCGCCACATATGCAATTCCACGTAAACTCAGACATGGTCCATTACCGGCGGCTCTGGATTAGGCTTCTCCTGAATCACAAGAGACTCCGTCTCTCATATCCTCCTCGTCAGGGTCTGTGGATTTGGATGAGCACAAGGACTTGAACGATGTTGCAGTGCGAACGGAGGCCTTCGCCATCATCTGCTCTGCGCCACCAACACCCGCTTGATTTCCCGCAGCAAATGCGGCGCTGTAGAAATTACCCGCGTATATCTCCACAGCACGTTCCACACCACTCCGCATTTTCATCAGAGTATCAGTTTAGACATACATGTTATTTTTCGGATCAAACCGGCATTCTCCTATGACATGAAGCGGGAAGCGGCCAGCCAGCGCAGGGAGCGCGACGTGCTGAGGACTCGGCAGCATCCGTAGGAGGTAAGCCGAGCATGTCAGTCCATGTTCCTCCCTCCGCCACCCTTTTCCAACCTGCATGGGACTTGGTGCGCCACGCAATCGCTGAGCTGAGCAGACGGACTCTTCTGCGGCATGTGAGGCTTCACTGATACTTTGCATTCCATTCGCAACACCCTCCGGCAGCGGGTGCTACTGTGCTGACGCACGGCCGGATACCGCGGTGCCAACACGCCCAGGGCTCGCTGCCGGATGCCGGACGTGGAAGCAAGAACGTATGGTCTGTGCGGCATGGGGGACGGCAGCAGCGTGGGGGATTGGTTGCGCGGTCTTTGCTCCTCTTTCTGCTGCAGGAAGGAGGGCGTGAGGGGGGGGGTTGCGCGATGGATAGAAAGTCATGCGAGAAGCGGGGGCCTTACATGGAGTGAGCGACCGACAAGCAGTGTGCACGCAACAAGGAGAGCATGCTGAGGACAGCATCCGGAGGCCAGAAGCATTACAGCTTGCCACTGCTGGGACTGCTGGCGATTAGTGATCGTGTTCTATCATATCTGCACGCTGGCAGGGTCTGATCGCTGCTTCTTGTGGGGAAGTTTGACATGCACGACTCGTTGATCAGCTAAGTCTTGAGGCCTCGACTTCCCCTTCTCTTGCGCTCTCTCCCTTGTGTGCCAGTGGCAAGGAAGGAAAGCCTTTGCTGAATAAGAATCGTACAGTCATTGTTCCGTCACGCCGCTGCTTTCTTCACTCTCGTTTCCCTTCCTTCACCCCTCTTTTCCTCTTCCATCCTTACAGTTCCAAAAGGCACGCGAACAGTGAGATCGGAGATTACAGACCTGACCAGCAGCTGTTTTCTCTTTGCCCTTTTCTTTTTTCCTTGGCTGTTCATTGGACACGGACGGCGGATAAATGCGTGCGCGTCCAGTGCAAGAGCGAGAAGACGAGGAATGAAGAGAGATGATGGCGGGACGGGAAGAAGTGGTTGTGGTTTGTGCGTACGTACGTGCGTGCGCGGTCCGTCGAGTCTGTGCCCGTGTTACACGACAGCGATCCTGCAAAAAAAGACCCGCCCGGGGCAAGCATCGGGGCTTTCCCAAGGATTCCCGAGAACGATCGGCTCTGGGCCGCGCCGCGCCCCTCATTCTCTCCCTGACGAAGTGTGGATGGCTACACGGTAAGAGCACACGAGAAGGTTCTTGACCGAGCTGGTTCATTGGCCGCCAGGGGACAATCATGCCGTCGCCGCTCTTCTGCCGTGACGGAAGGAGGGAGAGGGAAAAGAAATGCTACCTAACTCATGGCAGTAAAGTGCGAGGGGGGGGGAGGTGGGGGGCCCACACAGTCCTTCACGAAAGAGGGCACATAGCACCACCCCAGCCCAAGTCAGCCATGACCTGGACCACTCGGTGGCTAGAGTCGGCCTCACTCACTCTTACTACTACCTACTGTGCTGCCCTCCCGCGGCTTCTCGGCCCACCATTTGCGTGTGCGTGTGCGTGTGCGTGTGCGTGTGGGAACGGGGACGGCCTCATACCGGGCGGACGGGCGGGCGGCGGCGGGCGGCGGGCGGCGGGCGGCGGGCGGCGGCGGAGCGTAGGTAGCACGAGTAAGTCGGCTCGATGGGTTTCGCCGCGGGCTGTTCGTGGTCTTCTTCCGTCGGGGGACAGTGGTCTGTTCGGGCCGTCTTTTTCTGTGAAGGAGGGGACTGCGCTCCGAATGCGCACGCAGCGTGGGCCGGGTGGAGGGGGAGAGGATGGATGAGGAGTGTGCAGGGCAACCCATACGTGCGTGATGGGCGGGATCGGTTCTCTTGGCTCGGTTTCCATCTACTCTCTATCACCAAGCGTGCTCGCGCCTTACGGACGAAGAGGGCTCGACTGCGCCGACCCCGTCCCCGTCCCCGTCCCCGACCCCGGCCCCGGCCCTCTCCGACGTATCCAAACGGGCGGCTTGCTAGCAGGTTTCAAGACGAGCAACCACAGCATAGGCGAGCATTGGGCTGGCTGTGATTTGCTCTTTTTGGTGAAGCATCGGGGCAGGTTTGCACCTCCTGATGCACTGGGCTCGGATCGGTTCGGAGGGCTGCTCCGCAGCGGACGGCTCCCGTCAGTGTCTTTGACCTTCCAAGTTTTGGCCCTCGATCGTCATCAGAAACTCGTCATCTCCGGCTTATTCGGCAAAGTGGGCTTGCTCATCCATTTCCCGTACGGACAAGGACAAGGAGAAGGCCCAAGTGACCCCCCCGGCCATGGCGCAAACGAACAGGTGAGCACGGCCCGTCCCCGGAAAAGCTGCAGGTGCCACATCCTCACTCCCCAGCAAGGCAACCGCTTCTGCTGTTCTCTGTACTTATGCCGCAGGGTTGTGGGTTTTGCCAGGCGAAACCCGCAACAGCATCGATACAGTAATGATAGGGTGGCGTGTGCTGCAGGCCCATCTCTCTGGGTTTTTTTTCTTCGTTTTTATTTTTGCGCTTCTGGAGGCCGCCCCAGCAGTGCGCCACAGCTATCAGAGCCATCTTGGCAACGGGCGCGGCTTTTTTTTCTCTTTCGATCGAGAGAAGGCGCCACATCGTGATCGGTACGGACTATATACTTTTTGCTTCTTGTCCATCTCCTCATGACCTTTGATGGGACCGGGGGGTGCCTATTGTTGGCCACTTGCCTTTGCAAGCCTTTATCTGCCGGACAGCAGTACAACAGTGTATGTACAAGTGGATTAACCGACCGATTTCGGGGCCGGCCTGTAGTGATCCGACAGCTGACCAATCGCCAGGGTCGGGATGGACGGAAGCAATAAAGCGAAAGCGGGTTTGGGCCAGAATTCTCAGGGGCTCGGCAGCTCGGAGGGGCATCGAAGAAGACTCAATGGTTGCTTGGTATCGTGAAAGCCGCGCCGAGGGGCTAGCACCGTTGTAGCCACGGCGGTCGCCAACGCCGGCCGAACATGGAGACGAATGCAGGAACTAATGCATCAGGAGCACGCTGCACAGAGGCGAATGCGCGCCCCCAGCTCTCGCTGCTGCCGCTGCTACAGGGCCTCCAAGGATCGGTTTATGCGAGGGGTCCCGGCAGTAACTTTGCAACACACGAGACTACCACACGAAAAGGCGAGAGATTTAGCTAAAGATAATATATATTATAGAGTCTTTCTTTCTCTTTAAGATTATCTAATTTTTATTTAAAAATCTTTTCTCTACGCCACGTTATTACAAGTTAAGTCCGATAGTGAAGAATTTGGTGTTTCTAGAATACGTCTGTGCGGGTAACCGTGCGCGCCTGCTGATTACCCGGCGGCTTTTCCCTAAGAAAAAGTGTGCACACGCGAGTATACCGCCGACCCCCTCGCATAAACCGATCCTTGGAGGCCCTGTAACAAGATTCGGGAAGGACGGTTTCGCATTCCCCGGTAACTGGTACCGCTTCTCTCCAGCACGCAGAACCAATCCGATGAAGAAAGCTCCGAGCAGCCACCGCGGCTTCGTGTTCTAGGCAGGCTGCGAGGAAAGGCGGTCAGTCCTGCACATGCACTTGCATACCGCATTGCGCAGGGGCCCAGCACTTGTCATGATCGAAGCGCCAGACCTCCGGTTCAGGTACGGATAATCCGGGGCTGTGTTCATATTTAAGAGCCGTGTTCCCTGGCAGATGACACGCATATCGATTTTGTACACTTTCATCGAGAGACCCACGCATGGAACCATGTCTTCCTAGGTACTCTGGCTGCCTGAAGCTCGCTGCCGCCTTCAAAATCGCTCAAGACCACCCTGATTCCAGCAATCTCCGCTACAAACGCTCTCCCCGACCACTTTGTCCGGCTTGTGGGTCCCGCATCGTACAACGCGGCCGGGCTGGGAATAAGGTTGGGGCGGAGGGCGGCCTCCGGCCAGAAGCTGTGGATACATGGAGCACGCGTCCGCCCTAGTCTAACGTGACCTAGGTACTCGCTTCGCCGCAGCTGCATATTGGAAGAACGCAGCTGAAGGGATCCAGTGCGGTTCCGCGTCCGCAAGGGTCCTGACACTGATGGTGCTCGGCAACATCCACCGCTGCTACTCAGTGCGCACGACTGTAGAAATCGAGGCCGTGGCCGCAGGGTGAGACAGATTTGTGGAGTCTCCAGTCAGATCAGGGATGTTTCCAAGATTGCCGAACGAACAAAAGACCCTGGTTGTTGCTTTCTTTTGCCTGCGATGGATCCGGAGGCGGCAAACACCCCAGCTGTGGCGTCCGTTACCGTTGGCGTCGTCGTACGACCGATCAACCAACGTCCGACGGACAGGATTCATCATGCATCGCTGTCATCGCCGTCCTCATCGTCCGCGATACCCCTCATCGGCGTGTCCTCGTTGACCGTGACAGCATTGGACATGCCCCTTGCTCGCTTTTCCTGTAGAACGTCGGCCGAGGCGTCGCCTGCAGCGCGCTGGGCGTGCAAGATTGCCTGCTTTGCGCGCCGGATAGCCTCTTCCTCGGCCTTGCGAATGGTGCCCGATACGCGAACGACGTGGGCTACGCAATCTTGATTGACGGGATGCGGCAGGCGCGTGATGAAGGATAGCGCGGCCCAAACGAGGCGGTAATGGTCGCGGGCGACGCGTATGATGGCGGTGGATGTTGCGGGCGAGAAGTATTTGACTGGACCAGCAGAGTTAGGCAGATGGCTGCGCAGAGAGCGTTTTACATACCCTGCAAAGTTCCCCCCGTCACGCCAGCGCCGTAGTCCCCAAACAGCTCCACTATGCCATCGCGGATGGTTTTGATGAGAAGGCCGGCAGTCAGCTTGTCGGAGCTTGGCTGGTGGAACTGGACGACATGGGGCAGAGACGTGGCGGGCTTGGCTGGCGAGGCTGCAGGCGACGGATAGAGAAACTCGACCAGCAGGTAGCGGTGCTTCAAGCGCACCATGGCGGCGTGCGGTTCGGTGAGCGCGGTGGTGAAGTTTCGCGGTGCGCCAAGGCTGCGGGGTTTGCTGTTTAAGTCCGGGCGCGCGCTTGGGCGGGGGAGCTGCCCGTTGCCGTATGCGTCAGTGACTGCATCATCGCCTGCTGCCTAGCTGTAGCCTTGCAACACTCACTCTCACACTCGTCGAGCTCTCCGCACCACCACCACACCAACTCTGCACAAAGCTATGATCATGGCGAGCACAGCGGGAAACCCGCTCAGCGCAGGGTCGCTGGCCCTGTTCATGGCCTCCAGCTTGCCGCGCCATGCCTCACCCCAGATCAAGAATCCCTTCGATGCTCTCGCTCTTGCTGTCCACGCTGGCATGATTGCCGTTGGCTTCAGGCTTATCGGGCTCGGCGAAGACCACAAGATTGGTAACTTGTCCCAACACGATACCCTGCGCGGCACGCACTCACTGCTCACAGACGCCAGCTCCGACGCTCAAGACCCTCACGCATTACCCGCCGAGTGGAACGCCTCTTCGTCCTACGCCTTCCGCTACGCTCACGACCAGTCGTCAATGGAATACCTGGTGAAGGTCAATAGGTTAGGCACAAAGGCCGTCGTTCTCGCCGTCGGCCTGGGTGACGACAAGACTGCTTCGTTTGAAGTCGTTGCCCGCGACTACGTCTCTGAATCCTCTGTGCCTGCGACCCCCCTTCCTGGCTCTGAAGCAGCTATCGACAACGCATCCAAGATCATACAGGACATTTTCATCTCACCCGGTCGTCTGACTGACCTCGGCTCGCTGTTCAAACTTAGCGTGCTACAGAAGGTCGCTCCAGGCCTTCGCAAGGAAGGTTACCAAGAAGCTGCATCGGCAGAAGGCGCCAGCACCGACAACAGAGGTGGCAGAAACAACAACCCGCCTCTGCGTGGCGACCCTAATGCTCCAAGCTACGATCCACTGCGCGAAGATCCGCAGCCTCCTCCTGCACGTCCACACCCACTCGATGATCCACTTGCTGAGCCGCCCCGTCGACCACTCCCTGCTGGAGACTTCCCTCCCCCAGGTTTTGAGGACGAGTATGAGATAAACCGTCCGGCTCGTGGTATGCCTGGGCGCGTTCCACTCGGCCACTATGGCGAGTCGGATTTGTATCCAGCCGGACTGGGTCCGCATGATCCTATGAACTGGGGTGGTATTGGTGGTGGTATCAGAGGAGGACCCACTGGAGGCATGCATCCTACTTTCGATGACCCGCTGTTCGCAGGTCGCGGCGGACGCGGTGGGGGATTTGATCCTCAAGCTCCACCCGGCGCACGCTACGATCCAGTGAACCCGGGCGACCAGCCGAGGGATCCTCTGCGTGGGGGAAGATTCCCGGGCGGTGGTGGCTTTGGAGGAGGCTTTGGAGGAGGTGCACCGCCCAACCCGTTCGGGGGCTTCAACAATAGTGATTTCATCTGAGTTGATCGGCCCATGAAGCGGAGGGCAAACTTTCTGAATTACGTTTATTGCAAAAAAAGTCATCACACTCGGGCAGCATGGGATTCGGGCGCTAGCGAACTTGAATACCCTTTATCACGTCACATGCAGCGCCAAACCAATGCTGACATAGTTTACAAATATGAGGTCTAACAAATCCAATGTCTTTACATTAATGAGCGGTTGTGAACAATGCCTTTGTACTGTCGCCATTTCTGCTCATCAAGTCATTCCCGAATAGTTATGCTGAACTGGAAAGTTTTCTCATTTCCTAGTAGATCAACTTAGCAGCCGTGGACCAGCACATAGAGTTGGACCCAAGAGCTTCGTGTTGGTGCATACGCTCATTGGCTAGCGGGTCTCAACTATGCAAATGTGAATGTCCATTTCGGATACCTGGACATGTGGCTGTCTCGAAAGGTGACCTTTGCAGTGGTGTGAGGTCAATAACTGGTGCATGCGAATCTACAGAATGCTGAACAGCTGAATTTGTTAGAAGAAGGGTGGGGAACAGTCGCTGGCAGGGCCGTCAGCCGCCGGATCGATTGAGACAGGTCTTTCGATTACTTTGACGAAGATAAGAGAGCTCACAGCTGGTGCGCGTATCCTCTAGTTGGTGATAAGGTTGAGAAGGAGTTGATTTCCCCCATATAGGTAGTGAGCTCAGACCATGTTTGTTTCGCTCGCATGGGCGAAGTGAGGCGCGTCCTTTTCGTTGCTCAATGACGTCAGTGCCGCGCGCGCGTCGGATCGCGTCAACTCGTGCCTCTGCACCCGACGAATGGCCGACCCTCAGATGTAAAAGCAGTTTGACTGTAGGACAGAAGATATGCGTATATAATACCAAGAGCGGAGGCACGAGGCGGAAGGAAGAAGGTCTGGCAAAAAGGCAAAACTGGAGCGCCCCCGGAAGGAGCGCCACCCAGAAAGGCCATAAACGGGGTGCCTTTTTTAATTTAAGAGTCTCCCCCAGTAAGCACTCCCCGGATTCGAACCTACGCACCCCGGCGTTTACCTGGTACCTCGGCCTTCAGTCAGCACCGTCGAAACCTTGATTTTGATTTCTAGGGCGCCCCCGACACCAGCCATAAGGATTATAGAATCAGAGTGCTTACTGGCATGCCTTACGATTTGGCTGGTTTGCTATATATACTGCCAAAAATTAACTGCCTCGCCCGTCCCAGGTTCTCCTCGTGGTTTTGGTTGCGGCGGTCCCTCTCGCCGTTCCACCTTCCGCCAACTGGATCTTCTACGAGTCTCCTTCTTCGGGCGTTCAACCCAACTCCCCGCCCGTGTTCTCAACTGCTCCCACGTACCCTGATGAGTCCGCGCTCTCGAGCTGCAGCGCCACCCTCACCCCTTTGCTTCGCCCCTCTGCCTCGCATCTTCTACCACTGCCCCCGACCGCCAGCTGACCCCGAACTTCTATTTTGAAGAGCTTCAATTGAGCCTGCCCAGCCACCCTTGGACCCGGCCCATCTCTCACTCTCTCACTCTCTCACTCTCTCTGTCTCTCTCACTGTCGCTGTCACTCTCTCTGTCTCTCTCACTCTCACTGTCACTCTCACTGTCACTCTCACTGTCACTCTCACTGTCACTCTCACTCTCACTGTCACTCTCACTGTCACTCTCACTCTCTCCGTGTGCGTGTGTCTGTCTGTCTGTCTGTCTGTCTGTCTGTCTGTCTGTCTGTCTGTCTGTCTGTCCGTCCGTCTGTGAGAATATCTTGCTCCTCGAGGTGTGATCGGTGATAGAGGGGAGGAAGCGAACGAAATGCGTACATACGGCCATCTTAAACATGTCAACTCTTGTTCGTCACGCGGGACAATAAACGCCGCCGGCCATCTCAACACACGGGTGAATCTCAATTGCAATTGCTAGCTACATCCAAACCCCCTCCCTCCTCTCTTCCCCAAAAGATAAGAGTCCATTTTAGTTGTGAGGAAACGATGCACGGCTCTGCTGCTCTCTCCTCCTCACAACAGCATCGACGCTACGGAAGTGGTCCTCGTGATACAGCCTCCGCACAGTGGGTGCCCTGCTCATGAAGTGCCACTCAAGCCCGGGTTCTCCCTCCTGCCGCCCCTGCGGCCGCTCCCCGTTGTCCGCGGCGGCGTCCCGCGTGACGGTGTGCCAGAGGTCCAAGAATTTGCTCTGCTGGGCGCGCATGACGCCGGCGACGGTGCGCTCCGCGACGATGCCGTTGGCGATCTCCGCCGGCCCGATGGCGGACCCGTCGTTGGCGTCCATGCGGGCGCTGAGCCGCGCCAGCACGTCTTCCACGAGGGCCGGGACGGGCGCGAGCTCGTCGAACGGGAGCGGGCCGACCTGGCGGCGGACGAGGCGCAGCGTCTCGCAGACGAACCAGCGGACTGCGGGCTGGTCGGCGGCCTCGTTGAAGAGGCCCTGCTCGAAGTAGAGGGCGATGAGGGGGTCCGCGGCGCGGGCGATGCCCGGCTCGTCGAGGAACCAGGTCGAGTCGATGGCGCAGCCGCCGCAGAAGTGGCGCTCGCCCTCGGCCGGGGCGAAGGCGACGTCGACGCAGCGGGCGTGGAAGGGCGCGACGCCGTAGGCGCAGTCGGCCACGTCGCAGGCGATCATGCGCTCGGTGGGCAGGCCGCGGCAGATGCAGGCGCGCGGGAGGGAGGCCGGGTCGTTGAGCGGGCCGTGGAGGCGGGCGAACTGGTCGGTCTCGGCGGCGGTGAAGGTGACGGGCTGGGGGCTGTCGTAGGTGGAGAGGTAGTGCTTGAGGCGCAGGCCGTCGCGCACGGCCAGGTTCTGGGCGTTCAGGCGGCCGATGAGGTGGTACTGCCAGCATTGCTCGGCCAGGAAGCCGTCGCCGCGCTCGAACTGGCGGGGTAGGTACGAGGGCGCCTGGAACGTGGAGTCGAAGCAGAAGGGCACGATGGCGTCGTGCATCATCATGCCGATGTGGCCGTCGGGGCAGCCCGGAGTGCCCGTGGCCAAGGCTGTGCTGATTTCGAGGACGGGCTTTGGCGTCGTCACCCAGCCGTCGACGCCCATGGGCACGACGACACGGGCGTCCGACAGCGTCGAGGGAGTGCCGAAGTCGTCGACCCTGTTGGCTTTAGGATTATAGTATTTGATCAGTTCCGAGGGGTGGTGCATGTAGCGGCGGAAGTGCTTCGTAAAGGCCTTCCAGTCGTCGTGGCGAGGATGCTTGCCGACTTGATGGATACCGGTGGTGTCAATGTATGCCTTCTCTGGGTCTGGCAGGGGCTCGAGCGGACTGTCGCGTGGCTCGGCCCAGATGTCGTGATTGAACATGTTGTAGACGCCAGCCTGGAAGAAGTCTCGGGAATAGAGGGGCCCCTCGGAGCGAGTGACGTGCCAGTTGTTGAGCATGCGACGGAGCCTGCTCATGGTGGCCTCGTTATCCCATTCATCGCGCTCTTGCTTGTCGGCCGGTGGAAGCGCAATGTCTTCAGGCCGCTTGGGCAGGGGGACAGCTTCGTGAACAGGGTGGACGTCTGACTGACTAGTCTCTGGCTGAGGGTCGTCGGGTTGTGGCTGAGGGTTGTCAGGTTCTGGCTGAGGGTTGTCAGGTTCTGGCTGAGGGTCGTCGGGTTCTGGCTGAGGGTCGTCAACTTCGGGCTGTGCTTCATCAAGTTCTGGCTGAGGTTCGTCAACTTCGGGCTCTGCTTCACCAAGTTCGGGCTGAGCTTCGTCGGCATCCGGCACGACGGCCTGTCCCAAATCGTCTTCTCCACGCCGTCTGTTAGCAAACTCAAGTCTCTGTTTCCTACAGTCCTTGATTCGATCGAGCACAGCCCGGTTGATGAAGCGCAAGAAACCGCCCCTGCGCTTGGCCGTCTCGACTTCTTCGTTCCATGCGTGCTCATAGTCGGCCTTGGCGAGAACGAGCAGCTGGTTGCCAATCGTCTTCTGCTTTTTGGTCAGCTTCTGCTTTGATCCGGCGCTCGAGGGAAGCTCCACGTCCAGCCGCCTCAGCGCTGCGGCGGCCAGCTCGTTGAAGTCTGGAGGGATGACCGTGTTGGTGGCGTCCATTTTGCGGCGGTACCACGCGTAGCCGCGACTGTCCCAGCTCAAATTTTCCGGGAAATCCGGGTCATCGAGCTCGATGGAGTCTTCTCCGGCGGCATCTGGATGGAATGCCGCTGCCACGCGGTCAACATCAGCGTTGCTAATGTTGTCGGCTGGTGGCCTACGCGACATTGCCTTACCCATCTTCTTCTCCAACTTGTTATCCTTACGCCTTCTCTGAGGGCGTTCGGTGCTAGCCATTGAGGTTAGCGGTAGGTTAATCTCGGGCTTTACAGCTTGCTCGAGATCACGCAAGGAGGCAGCGATGGCTTTGTGCCTCTTCCAGTGCTCTTCATCAGAGCGGTTGCAAGGGTCGCACTCGTGCGTCTTGCTGGGCCAGAACAAGTTCTGGTGGTATTTCGAGCATGGCATAACATGCTCGCCAAGGCAGATATTCAGGAGTGTGTGCGTGTGCGATTCGGGCACGGCGCACACCGGGCAATGGTGGTCCAGGCCCGCCGTGTCTTCCCAGACGAACCAGTCGAAAGCTGCGGTGGCCATGGTGGTGGATCTTGTCGAGGTGGATGTAAAGTCAGTGGTGCCGCGCCTAATAAATACTGTCGAGGGCGCAGTGTTCGGGAACATGGCGAGCCCGATGAAGGCCATGGACGTGTTAGCAACATCTCGAACACCTATCCGCAGGACCTTGCCATCTAAGGCTTGCGCTATTCGACTTCCTCCGAATCCATGACGGTCACGACCAACTGCTCTTCATCCTCGGCCGCCGCGTCACCCTCATCCAACCTCCCCAACTCTTCTATAAGGCGTAAGCGGTTGCATGGGATATCGAAACCTTGCTGTATCAGGGGTTGGGGAGAGATATTGGGGGAAACAAAGAAATTGTCCACGAACAAGATAGATACTCAACTTATCATTGTTTTGCATCATCGTGAGACTTATCCAAGGGCCATGTTCTGACAACAAATGAATTAAACCTAAGAGACTGTGGTCCAAGACGGAGAAAGCAGTCATAAGTCGTAAGGCTGTTTTTTTTTTTTTTTAATTTACCCAATCCCATTTCTTAAACCCGTCGTAATGAGTGACCGCCCGCGGAACGAGAGAAGAAAAAACACCCGTTAGCTTCCCTCCATGCTCAAGCACATAGTGGTGCCGAGCAGTATGCCTTACCGTTCCAATCTCTCATGCGTGACCATAGATCAGTTGTCCCGGACGACCCTCGCCGTCGTCCAACAGTACGGGTAATTCCTCTGGTACCAGTTGACGAACGTCTTCCTCCCCGCCACCCTCGGATGCGTGGCCCATGATCCGCCCAACACGACGTTGTGCTTGCCGTCGAAGAAATCCGACGTGTAGCCAGGATACAGCCCCATGGTCTCGAACTCCTCGTGCGCCTCCAGCACCGTGCTCGTCCACTCCCAAGCCCCGCCCATGTCGCCCTGGCCCGCGAGCTTGCCGCCGTTCTGCGTGACCGGGACAGGATGCCAGTGCTTGAACCCAACGTTCGCCCCGCTCAGATCGACGAAGAGCTCACGCGGGTCGGGCGACGACGAAGACGATCCAGATGCCTTGGAGGCGCCGTTGGGCTGGTTCGACAAGGCGCGGCATGGCGGCGTCTCTTCTACCCCGTCATTTACCAGATGGCCGTTGACCGCCGGTATCGTACGCTGTGTGGTTGGCTGGTTTGCATCAAGCACTTTCTGCCGCTCGGCATATGCGTAGATACTACGGGCTTCCTGCATCGTAGGAATCCGGCCGCCCATCCACTTGGCGCACCCGGCCAACTCGTTGTAGGACGCCATGACGGGCCAATCAAGCGCATGCTTGAGAGACACGCGGCCGTAGACGGTCCTGACCCATACGCCATCGAACTTTTCCTCGTCCGGGGAGCGTCCGTTGACAACGCCGTTGGCGTGACCGTTCACACCGTCAGATGTAGACTTGGAAGCCGTCCAGGACGCCGGAAGTTCAGAGAGCCCAGTCTGCTTGAGGTAGTCCATGTATTCTCCATTGGTGACTGGACGAGCCTTGGCCTCGAATGAGCCGACCTTGACCTGGCGACGAGGCTTTTCGTTGTCCCAGCCGAAGTAACGCAGGGGCCCGTCATCTCTTTCCAGATCGTCAAGACCTTCATACATCTCACAAGCAGGGACAGTGAACCATTTGTTTTCAACTGCCTCCTGCGCCGCTTGCTTGGCCAGGACCTCAAAGTTGGGCCTGATTGTCGCGGGCGGAGGTCGAGTCGTGTCGCTTTGCAGAAGCATATACAACAGCGTCTCCAGGTGCATGATCTCGTGCTCGTAGCCAATCCAAATGGCTCGGGAAACGCGACGATTGGACTCAGCTTCCCCGGAGTCATACAATCCCTTGACCCTGCTCCGGACAGCATCCTGGAATTTGAGAACTTCCTTGACGGGAGGCCACGACTCCGGAACCTCACTGTGAGAGTGGCACTGCGCTGGGTTGTCGACATCCGGATCGACTCCTCTCTCGAAGATCTGCGGATAATACCTCGGCTCGGTTCCGGGTCGGCCGGTGGCACGGGAAAGGTGGATGTCCAAGAATGTCGGAATGTGTCCAAGGTAGAATATGCAAGCGTTACGGAGCTTGATGGGCTGCTCCAACAGCTGTTCGTCCGGCAACATGTCCAGAGTCACGGCATCCCAGGCAGACCAAAGCTGCTTCCAGTCCGTCACGGATGGAAGCGGGCGAGCGGCGTATTCCTCCGGTCTCAAAGGCCAAAAGACCTTCGGCTTCGAGACCAGGTGGAGTCCGTAGTTGCCAGCTTTGTTGGTCCACTTGGCACCTTCCACCACCTGTCCCTCCTCCCACAACTGCCGAGTCTCCTCAGTGCTGTATTTGTAGCTTTCTTCGATCCGAAGCCTCTCGCCAGCTTCAATATCGACGCCATCGATAGTCACGTTCTTACGGGGCGAGACTAGAGCGTGGTGGCGGCCGTTTTGGGAGTCGTACTCGCCAATGACGTCCCATTCGCCAGGCTTGAACTGCTCGGAGCCGAGGATTCTGTTTGCGTTCTTCAGGCCGTTGAGGATGAAGTCGTGGGTGACGCCATGTCGGTCGTTGTACGCATGGTAGACTCTTTTTGGATCTTTGCAGGCATCGATACCAATGAGGAGCTTGTCCCCTGTCTGCAGGGAGTCGGAAACGCTGTGCAAGAATGGTCCTGCCTCGTGTCTCTTGAAGTTACCAACGCTGGAGCCAATCCAGAGCACCGTCTTGGGCCTGGAAGCAATTTCGGGACGTTTCATCCACTCCATGCCATCGTCATAGGTACCGTGGAGGCCGTAGCATGTCACGTGGTTGTAGCTTTGACTGGGAACCTCAGCCAGGGTACGCTCCAGCTCGGGAAGAGAAAGATCGAGGGCGAAGTAGTCGACGTCTTTCTGCTGCTTTTCCAGGGCCTGCAGGAGGATGTTCACCTTGCGCAGGTTGCTGCCAGTACGGTTAGCGGTTTCCCTGTTGCAGCGAGAATGGTGAATTGAGCACTTACCCACTCCCAAGCTCGATGATCATAGAACCGGGCTGGATGTGCTCGGCAATGGCATCGGAGTAGGCCTCCAGCGTCTCGATCTCGGCATTGGTGAGGTAGTACTCGTCCAGGTAGGTGATTTTCTCGAAGAGTCTCAGACCAGCCTCGTCGTAGAGGAGCAGGGTGGGGAGTGTCTTTTCGCCTCCGTCGGCGGGACGTAGGCCGTCGGAGATGGCCTGAGCCAGGGAGATCTCGCCAGCATCACGGCGGATGTCAATGACGGTAGGGGAGGTGGTGGGATGCTGGACGTTGTTAAACGAGTCGTAACGCTTGCGGGGGGCGGCCGCGAGACCGGAGCTGGTGTCCGGGAGGGTGCCGAATACCATTGTCAGACTGCTTGAAGGGGGGAAAGCGTGCTCTGGGGGCGGAATGGTGGGACGGCACGGGAGCTTTTAATGTGTCGACGGGAGGTAGTGGGTCGAGCAAGGCGTGATCACGGGCAGAGGCTTGTTTAGGACGTGGTTGGGGGGGGGGGGCACGTTTAGGCAGATCTGATGCCATACGCCAGGAGGACGGCGCGGGCGGACGAATGGGGAGGCTCAGCGGGCCCAGGTACGTGATGGCCAGATCGAAGTTGGCAGCGCTCAACCCTGCGCGCGACTGCGTTGTTTTCGCGGGCTGCATGGTGGCCCCGCATTGTGGCATCGTGTCCCCCCACGGGCCGGCTGGGCAGTCATCGGAACGGTAGCGGCGCGGGCGTGGAAGACAGTGACGTGACGTAGGGCTGCTGACCCGCGGGCGAGCCGGCGTGAAGAAGCAGGGGCAGGCGGGTAGCCAGGCGTGTGTCAGCGAGGGGGGCAAAGGGCGGCCATCAGAGAGGCTGAGAAGGCTGAGGAATCGTGGGCCGATGGGGTAGCTGTTTGCGGCCAGGAACCATCGGCACATGCGGAATCTTGGCCACGGCTGCGGGGTACTGAGGACATGGTGACGCCATCGTGTGAGCCTGACAAATAGCCGTGACAGGCGGGTGCTAAGTAAAGAACGGGGGGAGCTTGACGAGAGACGCGAAGGACACAGCAGTGGAGAGGCTGCAGGAAGCTTGCGCGCTTCCAGCCTGGGCCGGCCCTGCCGCGCGCGCGTCTGCTGCCTGCGCACGTGAGGGCGAGGGGCCCGCCTGCCCCGCCTGCCCCGCCTGCCCCGCGACGCCGCCCCTTGCCGCGTCCAGCAGTGTGCCTACACAGCAGTAGTAGTGACGGCTGAGGAAGCACATGTCGGAAAGCGCGGCCTTGGCTCGGGTAGTGAGTCAGCGAATGGGGCGAATGGGCTGCCCTGTCGTTCCGCGCGAGCCCAGAGCGAGGCCTGGCTCGCGCTGCACGTGATGCGCGTCTCCCAACTCTATCCTGACCTCTTGCGAGCCCCGTCCATCCTCGCAACCGCGCTGCGCGAGACAAAACGTGCCATCTTCTCGCTCGATTGCTGTCGATTGCGAGCCATTTCCGGCCTGAGCCTGGCCCTCCGCCCCAAGCTGCCGCATGCGAAGCCCGCCCGTCCTCGACCGGGTTCATGAATCGTAGGTACAGACGGCGACGCTGACCGGCTGGTGACGCACCCCTGCCCCAGGTGGGTTGCCAAAGCCAGCAACACCTTCGGGTGGTGTGAGAGGGACTGTGACGACCAAGTTGCGCCGCCCGTTCTAGCCCACGGGAGGAGCTTTTGTCAGCATTACTAGTTTACGGACCCTTCTTGGACGCGATGCGATAATGGAGCCTACATTTACTTCCTGAAGCCGAAGCCCGAAGTCCGAACCTGCATGGCGTATTATGTGATTACCAGCGAAACAAGTGAGAATCCGTGAGTTGCAAGCCCGAGAGCGAGAGTCCGTCCAGAAAACGCCTACTGAATGCTGCAACATTGCGCAAAGCATCATCATGTATGTACATACATCCATCCAAAAACATCAAAAATTATCATTTCCCTTTTTCGCCTTTTTCTTTTTGATCCGTCAAGAACTCCACACCCTCCCACATCCAAGAATAAGCATCATATCTCCCGCACGAACCCCACCTCCACCAGCTTTTCTACCGGAATATTCATTTTGCTCACCTTGGTCCGCGTATTCTCTCTCAACCACAGGAAGAGGCTCAGCAGAATCCTCTTCATCGATCCATTCTTGTACGTAAGCAGCCTCAGCTGCTCCTTCCCGACCACGTACACCACCTGCGTCGCGAAGGCCTTGTCCAGCGCCGCCAGCCGCCGCGACACCGCCTGTTCCGGCAGGTTCGCGTACGTCGCGTGATCTTGGTCTGCAAACCGCAAGTTCTTCGACACGGACCCTCTTCGCCGTCGGTTGCCGGGTGGTGGCGTTGGCGGGCTCGGAGGCGTTGAGGCAGCCAGTGAGATACGGTCATCGTCGTCAGAATTGTCCGGGCTCTCGGCTGGCTCTCTCGCAGAGACGGTAGAGGCGCTTTGAGGCCGGTGGCCCGCCGTCGTGGTGTTGCTGCTGGCTGCAGGCGCGGCCGAGATGGCGTCCGGATTTTCAGGAGCGGGCTGCTCTATCGGCTCCGGCCCGACTGTCGAGGAGCCACTGGTGCTGTGCTTGCTTTCGGGAGGAGGCGACTTGTTGCGGATATTCCTGGGGCGCGACGCCTTGACGATGGCGTGGCGGAGCTGAGAGTACACGACCTGGCCCAAGTCGGCATTGATCGGGTGGTCATTATAGCCGTGGCGAATGATCATGCGATAGCAGTTTGGCATACGTGTTCCCGCGATCTCGTAACGCTCTTCTTCCTTGACCTACGTGAACGGTGATGGTGAGCCCAGTTCTTATCCATACACAAGCCATGGCGAGAAGCTTACATGAGGGATATGCAAGGCGCGGAGATGCAAGAATACGTGAACATCTTGCTGCGCCTCGAATTTCTTGAGAAATTCTTCATATACGATGGGCACCTTGTCGCCTGCTTTGTCGAAAAATATGCCAAGGCCTGGAGTTGACATAATAGGTTAGCTTTGCTGGCCTTTTCTCCACTTTCGCTCGTGATTCGAGGGACCTTCGTACCTTTGATCCTGTAGATCTCGCCACCTCCGTACTTGTCTGCCAGCCTCGGCGGCGCATCGTCGCTTCTAACAATCAAATCGCGAAGTCCAAGGCGGTTCTTGTCTTCGGCTCTCCACTGCTGCTCCTTCCCATAGCGCCACACAATGAAGACAGAAGCCAAGATACAAGCCAGCACGAACGTGAACCAGGCGCCATCAACGAATTTGGTGGCTGCGGATGCAAGAAACAAGCCATCAAGAGTCAGGAAAATCGCCCAAACTGGCAGGACCAGAAACCACGGAAGGCGCCAGACGATGATAGCAACCAGCGCGACCAGGTTCGTAGTGATGAACGTGACCAGCACGACGCAGAAGCCGTAAGCATGGCCAAGTTTGGTGGTGTTGTTGTAGACTGCTGTGACAATAATGGTGCCAATCATCAACAGCCAATTTGCCATCGGGATAAAGACCTGTCCATAGAACTTGTTGCTGGTATAGATCATCTGAATCTGAGGGAAGTAGCTGGTGTTCATGACCTGAGAGAGCAGCTGGAAGGCGCTGGTGATCATTGCCTGAGAGGCCACGACTGCAGCCAGTATCGATATGATGAGCGAAGGGTAGAACATCCCCGGCGGGACCGACTCGAAGAACGGGTTGTCATATGCGCTAGGGTTTGTAGAAATGCGAGCGGCCTGGCCGATATATGCCATCAAGATGCATGGGTATGCGAAACATATCCAGGAGATTTGGATTGCCCTGCACGGCCATTAGCGACCGGAAGTCAAGACGGACGTGGCATATCTCACCGTTGCGAGAAAGCACCCAGGTCAGCGAAAAGAGCCTCAACACCTAAGAGACGGGTTAGCAGGGCGAGATATAGCCTGGTAGTGGCAGCCTTACCAGTAAATGCAAGTAAAATACCACCCAACGACAGGAACGCATCTGTTGAGTCTCGAACGAAAAAACTGAACGCAAAAGTCGGAGAAAACGCCTTGAGAACAGTATGATCAAATTTGACAAGGTTCTGTACCTCAGTCAGCACAGCCACGGTTGCAAGAGGACCGGAGACTCACATATATCCCGAAACAGAAATTCAAAAGCAACCAGACAACAACTATGGGCGCGAACGCCTTCGCGAGCCGCGATACTCCGAGAGGCTGGGCCAGAAACAAAAGCACGATGATTCCGCAAGATACACCCACGACCAGGTCGGTTCCGAGGTCGGGGCGAACAACTCTCAGGCCTTGCACGGCGCCCAAGACCGACTGGGCTGGTGTAAGAATGGTGTCGGCCAGGATCAAGCTAACGCCAAAAACGGACAGTGCCTTGAGGGCAAAATGCATGGCCCGGCTGTGCTCGAGGAAGTCGCGCACCCTCTGGTTGAGGGGCCGTAACTCATTGGACTCGAAGCGGCTAAGACGATGGGTGTGCCACCTCGTCGGATCGTGTTTCGTAATGTTACACTACACGGGGTGGTTAACGTTTGCTTCCAATCGAGCGCCGACAGGGTGGCGTACGTAGCGCGAAAGCAAGCTGTAGACAGCAAAGGTGCCGCCCTCGCCCTCGTCGTTGGCGGAAAGCACAATGAGGATGTACTTGACGGTGACGATCAAGGTGATTGCCCAGATGATGAGGGAGAGGGCGCCGACGAGGTCGTCCTTGGACGGCGGCTCGGAAAAGGTGGAGGAGAAGACATATAGAGAGCTTGTCCCAAGGTCACCGTAGATGACGCCGGTGGATTGGTAGGCCAGCCTGAACAAAGTCAGAAGAAACGATAATGGCGCGCACGGACAGGCGTGGGCGGCTCACCAGATCAGGGTCCATCCCTTGAAGACCTGGACGGAGTCAGCGTAAGCTTCGGGAGCGGCTGCAGGGAGACGGATTGGGTACCTGTTCGTGTTTGAAGTCGCGCTCCTGCGGCCTATAGTCGATGGTGTCCTCCTCGTCGTACACGAGATCGGCGTCCTTTTCGCGGAGCTGGCGGGCGCTGTTGCGGTGTTTCAGCCGAGTGGCCTGGCCGGAGCCTGGTTGGAACAGCGACAGATGCTTCAGCTCCCCGAACTCGTCTTCCATTACTGGACGACGGGGGGGGCGACGGGGGCAAAAACGCGCAGGCTACGCCCGAGACGGCACGCTGCGCGAAGATCGGGGGGCAGCGGAGGCGGGCTGCTGGGCAAAGCGCGGTGAAGGGCAGGCGCTGGCCACGATGCGAAGGCGGGTTTATTTGATGATGGCGGCGGAGGGAGAGCAGGCTGACCGGCGCAGCGCCGGACCAGAGCACCTGAGCGGCGGCATGGTCGGGTTTCTTGGCGTCGCGCGATGGGAGGAGGACACGGCGGGGACGCGCCCCAATGGGTCCGTGGCTGGACTGGACGGCAAATGGCGCTCGGAAAGCGCGCGGGGAGGCAGTGCTGGGCGACTCGGCTCTGCACGCCCGCGGCTTGGCCTCGGTCCGCCCGCGGCGCCGCACGCATCCAGCAGGCGGGCGAGCCGGGCGTGCCTGTGTGCCTGTCACCTGCGCGCCCGCAACGCCCTGCGAAAAACGCCGCGACGCACTCGAACGGCCAGGAATGCGGGGGACCGCCTGCTGGTCCCAACCTTGATCTAACCTCGTCCGCTCAGCGAGTCAGCGCCCAGCCAGCAGCCAGCCAGCCAACTAGCCAGCCAGCCAGCCAGCCAGCCCGGGCCCTCTGCGCGACGTAAGCCTTGCCCTGCACCACGCACGCTGACGTGCAGCGCCTGCACAGCACTCTGTTGCTCCGCCCGTTGCCACGCCCATTGCCACGCCCGCCCGCCATGTGCATGCGCTGTCTGGGCCACGCGATGCTGTGCGCGCCGAGAGACTGAGAGCCTGGGAGCCTGGGAGCCTGGGAGCCTGGTTTGCTCAACAGCAGGGTCCACCCGACGCGACCCGGCCCCACGAGCAATATACGAAAACACTGCCCAGCCTCCGTCCCGATCCACCCCGGCCGCGTCTCTGGTGCAGATAGGTGCCCAGGAACTAAAAATTTCCCTGCCGCCTGCCGTCGCCTTCTTGCGCGTCGTGCCCGCTCACCGCCCTGTTGTCACCTGGCGTCATGGACCCAACAGCATCGACGGCAGAATGACATCGAACGTGCACATCGTCTCGCATTGGACTTCCTAACAGACCCTGACTGAACCACGCTTGCCCGAACCAGAGCCGCATCCATCTCTGCCAGATGGGCCGATCGATCAGTCCGCCAACGCATGGATCCGCTCAACATCCTCGCCCTCAAACACATCCACTCCCTCCTTGGTCACCCTCTCCGCCGCCTTGCTCACATCCTCCTTCCCGTCCAGAAGATCCAGCCAGCCGCCCTTGTACCCGCTGCCAAGCACCTCCACTGCCGCCTGGGCCACTGCCTCCCTGCTCACCTTCCCACCGCTCCCCCCCGTCTTCCCCAGCTCCACGCCACCCGCCCGCTCATCCGTCAGCGTGCCCGGCCGCAGGCAGATGCCCCGAAAGTCGCCGCCCCGCCTCTTCGTCATCGCCGCCAGGTACTCGTCCGCGGCTATCTTGGCATTGGCGTAGTCCGGCAGAATCTCCGTGTTGAGCTTCGTTGCGCTAGCCCACTCGGCGTCGCTCCACCACGTCGGCTTGGTGCGTCGCGATGCCAGGTACGACACCATCAGGAAGGCCGAGACGCTGGCCGACGCCGTCGACGCCTTGATGAAGGCTTTGGCTGCGTCGCGGTCAACCGCGTACGTACGGTCCGCCCCACCTTTTCCACCCGCGCCTGTGGAGAGAGGACAATGAAGTTAGCTGCTGTGATGTGTGTGAAATATTATCATACTGCAAGATGCCTTGCTGTCTCCTACTTCTCCGGCCCTTGAGGGAAAGGAGTTCACCTACCTGCACTCCAGATGACCCAACTCGGCTTCACCTCGTCCAGAATTTTCCTTGCATCTTGCTCGCTCTTCACGTCCTCGACGCTGCTCACCAGCACGTTTAGCTTGCCCGGCTGGCCCTCGCCCAACTTGTTGATGGTGGCCGACTGCGCCGGGTCGCGGATCATCGACGTGACGGCGTACGAGCGCGAGAGCAGAATCGGCGTCATGAACTGCGCGACCTTGCCATGGCCGCCAATCAGAAGGATGTGCTGGGACATGGTGGCTGTGGTTGTGATGGTACTGTGTCGTATGTGTGTGTGTATGTGTGTGGAAAGACTAGAGGACAGAGGCGGTTTATATGTGCCCGCGGGGCTCTTGGCATGGGTAGTAGTCTACGAGTCAATTGGTTTCTAAATCGAAAGAGCTTCAGACGGGTGAAAAGTGCTCACACACTGCTAGCTACGATGTTGTGAAGCAGCTGGCCTGACGTCGTGATCTGCCCCGCCGATTACTCGGCGCATTGGTAAGCAAGTGTTACAACAGTGACGCAATCAATTCCAATGAGCATGTGCGGGCCGAACCGCTCCGGCACGAACCCGGAGAGCAGGCCGTTGTTTGAAGATGCACTTGATGATGAGTGAAATCTTCCCGAAACGGTCAGGCGTGCAAAGGGCGCTCGACTGTCCAGCAAGCGAAACATCACTATCATTCTTTTGTCGTCATATTTATGCCCAGTAACGCCATCATACACACTGCCCCCGTTCAGATGCTGTACAAAACAACACCGGATCTAACCAGTAGTGCAAGAAAAGGGGTATCCCACGCCAGCGCGTCGCTCTGGCTTTCTACAAGAAATAATCCGCAACCGGCTTTTTCGCAGGCATGCCACGCGAGTCCTGTGGTGCAGCCTCAAAGACTCTGTAACGTCGCCCTGGCCCGTCTCGGTTCCTGTCGCTCAAGCCTCTACTCCGGTTCGAGTCGCCGTTGCCGCGAGGAACGTAGCCGCCGTTGCTCCCGTCTTCGCCGAGCTCCAGGATAGCTGCAACATTGCCGCAGCGGTAGCAGTAGTTTGGCGCACTCCACACCGTTACAATCGAATTGTCAAACATTTCCTTGAACCCTTCCATTACAAGTTGATGGGCACGTGCAATGAGCGACAAATCGTTCTTGTGGTTGAAGCATTTGACGATGTCGGCGCCGAAGAGGAACCCGGCGCCACGGGGAGACAGGCCCCAGCCATCGATCTCATCAGGGTCCGACCATAGCAGGTCGCACATGGCTCCTTCATGTGGGACTTCCTGCTTGCGATCAAGTAGACGAATCTTGTCGATCGTGTCAATCAAGGGAGACAAGCCACCGTGCACGCAAAGTACTGCTCCACCAGGGTTTCCTGTTGAACCGGAACTGGACCCTGAAGCACCGGTTCCAGCAGGACCGGTCCTACCAGACGTGTCGGCAACTGGAGAGCTCGAAGGCCCAAGTGGTCCAGGAGAGTCGCCGCCGGGATTCCGCGGATACCGGTTGATAACCTCGTTGTTGGAGTTGAGGATCTCGATCTCGATATCCTGGTCTTCTCCTTGGCTGCTTTGTGTGTTTGGGTCTGCATGAGAATTGCCTGTGGGCTCAAGATTGGTTGCGGCTCCCGTGACCAGTGCACCTAACGCGAGGTAGTCGAAAACCTCGCAGCAGTATCTGTGAATTGAATCAGCTCAGATGACAGTCATGGCTGGCCAGACACCAGATGCGCAAGAGCTTGCTGACCTCCACACGTTTGCACTGCCATATTTCCTCAAGCACTCGTCGTAGAAGCCATACACGGTTGTGATCTGCCGAGACTCGTGGTTTCCGCGGATGAGCGTGATTCGGTCTGGATACCGTACTTTTAGACATAGAAGGAGTAGAAATGACTCGAGAGAGTAAAACCCCCTGTCGACGAAGTCGCCTGCGATGCATTAGTAATGCAATGTTTGAAACGAGTTGCGTAGAGGTTGCGAAGCCTTCAAACAGAATGTTTTCTGTCCATGCGAGGGGTTATGGACAGAGACTGCAGCTGCATTTCTGCCCCACCAAACCCCTCGGACAACAGCATCTTTGCAACCACGTACGGGAATGGCTTACCCATGAATAGGTAGTTCGTGTCCGGCACATCGCCACCCACCCGAAAGAGCTCCATCAGGTCGTGGAACTGACCATGGATATCTCCGCATATCTGCGCAAACACGCTCAATCAGCCACAACATGACCTCAAACGCTGAGACCGTCATACCGTCACCGGCGCATCGACGCCCACCACATTGCCCTCCTCAATCAACAGCTCCCTCGCCTTGTAGCACAGCTCCCGCACCTGACCCTCAGGTATAGGACGGCATGCGCGTAGTTGCGCGATCGCTCTAGACAAAGAAAGTCCGCGTCAGCTCGTCCGCCTACATTTGCCCTTGTGCCGTGACATACTGGTCCAAGTCGCTCATGTCGAGGGATGTAGTCTACTATGTGCGGGCGGATGTGGAGACCCCAGAAGCGCGGAGGGCAGACTCGTTTTGTATGGCGGCGATTGTGTCGTGCGCGGTTGTAGGTCTCGGTCTTCGATGCTGTTGCTATGCGGTCGTGAGGCTGACCCGGCGGAGGGTTGCACGGCGGGCGGTGGCAAGGACTGCTACTTCTGTCCAAGGCAAGGCGACGCGGCTGTACGCGCGCTGTACGAGGACGCGACGGGCGAGGGCGAGGGCGAGAGCAAGCGACGACGGGGTTGTGAAGCTGGGATGCGCACGGGAGGACGTGCAAGGTGTGTGATGCGCGCGCCCAGACTCGGCGACAGAAGCTGGAAGCGCGCTGGCGCCGGGCGGCAAAGGGCCTAGCGAGGCTGCCGCGGACAAGCGCCCTCGCCACATGCGCGCGGCACTCACCCGCCGATGATGAATCCCTGCAAGGCGTCACGGCGTGTGGGCATTACGCGCGCCAGTGGCAGCGCACGGTCGCCCGCCCATCCGCCAATGGCCGGCGGACGGAATGGGCAACCTCATCAGCCCACCTCCGTCGTCTTCACCACACCCACCCGGGGACCCCACACCCACCAGGCACCGTGTCGCGCGGGGGAACGTTGAATCACTCGTGCGCACCCCTCAATGCCCCGCAGCTTGCAGCTCAAGCTGATTCTGCCGGCCAGTCTTCCAATGCCGCAGCTAGCCTGAAAAACAACCACTCCCTCCGTCACTGTTCCATCTCCGCCCCGCACCCGCCGGCGCCTTCCATCCATCACGACGGCCGATTGACCGCTGTTGACGATGCCGCCAATTCTCCATCCCCGGTCCCGCCAGACCGCGTCCCTCTTCTCCGCAACACTACTGGCGTCCTTTTTCGTCGTGGGCCTCCCGCACATCCTCCCGTGTCCCGTCGGCTCTCGCGCCGCAAACGACTCGGGCGACAATCTAGATGGCGAGCAAGGTCCGCAACGGCGTCGACGGAGGAGGAAGTGCCTGCCAGAAGACCAGATGGCGGTGCGGCAGATTGCTGCCGGCGAGGAGCCCGCCGCTGCGGCAGCCACAACAGCAAACTCTGAGGAGGACGAGGTTAGCTTCCAAAAGCCAGCGAAGAGACGCGAATGCCCGGTCCCGAAGCCTAGAGGATTGGTGGGCCAATTCCTAGGATTCGAGGAGCAAGAAAGAATCAGAAGGCCAGTCATTGTGGAAAGCGTACGCGCGAGGAGAGCTGGACCGTCAAAGGAAGATGTCGAGGCACAAAATACCCGGGACCTTTAGCGGAGCGCAGTAGAGATATCATGAAGTTCTTTCATTTGGACGCACGATATCTGGGCGTACTCAGAGCTACGCTCTCCTCAAGCCAGAGGCAGTACACTGTACTCGTGTAAATATTTTTCAGTGTTTTATAAAAAGCATCAGACGGAATCATGGCTTGGCACGAGCCTAGTAAAGTCGAGTCAAACCAGCATCACGGTCAGAGAGAATGAAAGTCTTGATTGCAAGAATATGCGCAGTGGATCAACACGAATAATCTACTCTTCACGCAGAAATGTTGCAGGCCAACTTATTGGTAGACAAAGAGCATGATGATATTACGCAAGGCAGTCTGCCTCGTTAGATTAGGGAAAAGTCTAATCGACAGCGGTGCTCGTACTACGCCGATGCTAGTGATATTGCAACACTACTGTCGCTCTGTGGAAAGCATGGGTGCATGTATCCAGTAGATGCAACGGCATTGACGACTAGAGAATGCCTTCAACTCGACACAGCTGCTACTCGTGAAACTGTTGCAACATTAATGGAAGCGACCGCGGAGAGCGATAGCTGACCAATTATGAGTTTGACGAACACCACAACTTTAGGGCTGGGTGCTTGGTAAAACAATGCTCGAAAGCTACCAATAGCAAGATGGGGGAGGGAAGTCAGCACATCAACGTCTTTGCTCAGGGTCCAAAAAATGCAAGATCCCTGCGGCGCGCCGATCACTTGCGATGACGTTTTCCACCACAGCTTCACTATCCTCCACCACGAGCTCCTCCACATACCCAATTGCCCGCCAAACATGACCATCTCAAGCCCTTTTGCCCGCACATCGCGCACTATCGTCCGCATCTCAACCAGCGCCGCACCGCACGCCCGGCGCTTCTCCAACACCGCTCCCGCATTCAGCTCCGCACCAACCAAAAACCGCATATACACAGCGTGCGCATTTCCCTCACCTCGTTTCCCAAGCCACACAGACACAGCGCCTAACAACTCTCCCCCTCTCTTCCACAGGATCCGCACCCCCGACGAGCTCTCCAACCTCCTCCTCATCTCCGCCTCGACGCGCCGCCCGCTCATAACGCTGTGGACGGCGTCCTGGTGCGCGTCCTGCAAGGCGGTCGCGCCGCTCGTCCACAAGGCGATCGAGGCCGACGGCGCGGGCGAGGCGGCGGGCGGCGTGGGCTACGCCGAGGTGCAGGTGGACGCGGCGACCATCGGCGACCTGCCGCTGACGTACCGCATCACGTCGATGCCGACGCTGATGGCCTTCGACCGCGGCGAGGCCCAGTTCGAGACGCGCCTGACGGCCGTCGACCGCATCAAGGACGCCGCCTTGCTGCGCGACTGGGTCGAGACCGAGGCCGCGCGGAGGGGCGAGGGCGGCGCCGGCGGCAAGAGCCTGCTGGGTAGGTGGTTTGGGTGACTGGCCGGCGCCGGCGGTGCGGGCGAGGGCGAGAAGGAGGGTCAGAGATGACAATGATCCCTTCGTTTTCAAAAGAGCTTGTATTACTAGGGCATCCTGAGTGTTTTTTGCGTTGCACTTGAGTCATCATGAAGGCAGTACAAAGCTACATGACCCATCAACATCCTTGAGTAAATACGTTTAGAACATTGTATGTTCTTGATCTGTGTGAAGCACTCTGGCATGCACGCCTAAGCTTCGAGTTGCAGGTAATGATGACTAGTAGAAGAGATCAACGAGTAGTGCGGTAGCACTACGCCTTAAATCGCAACGATTCAATCACTAAGGCGCCATCTCTGACAAAAGCCTGGAGCAGCTTATTACTGAAGCGAGAAGGATTGAATCATCCTTCGCTCGACATGACTGGCACAAATCACAACCATGACCATTCTCCGGGTCAATCCTCTTCGTTAAGGGTATCCGCATCTGTCTACTTTCCGTTACTTCGTTTCTCGAGAACTAAAGTCCAGCTCTGACCCATCCACTCTCGCAAGTTAATCGGTACGTCCATGCAGGAGCACAGCTCCCATGTTGCCCGCCCCAGCGCATGACTCAGCTTGCAACTAGTCATGCCTTTGCAAGTTCGGCTTTCAGGTCCTCAAGGATTTTGACGACGGAGCGAATGCCCCTCAGGGCGTTCTCGTCCTGACCCTGGCCAGGCCTGAAGGTGGCGTGCGCAAAGTCGATCAGCTTGACGACGGCAAACTTGGGCACGTCTTCCTCGTCGTCATCGAGCTCGACTTCGTCGTCGTCCTCCTCGTTCAGTCCCTTCTCCCCGGCCGCAGTCGCGGTCTGCAGGGCGTCGAGCTCGGCCTTCTCGGCGGCCTTCTCGGCCTCCTTCGCCGCCTTCGCATCGCCCTCGTAGACGAACAGCAGCGAAGCGGAGTACATTCTGCTCTCCTCGGCCTCCAGAGCCGCCTGCGCGCCCTTGACGTCTTTCAGCAGCTTCGCGACGATCGGTCTCGCCGTGTCCGCCGAGTGTCCCGCGCCCGGCACGAGAAAGTACTCCCTGAACCCCTCGACCACGTTCTCCGCCCCGAAAACCCTGCCGTACAGCTTGTTGAACGTCTTGTACCCGCTCGCCTCGTCGAAGACGGCATGCTCGTCGCTCTCCTTCTTCTCCCCCTCGCCCTGCCAGACCCTCATGCCCGCGATCCTGAAGCCCAAGCTCGAGCTCGTCGTCTCGCTCGCGACCTTGTCCAGCCGCGCGGCCTTTGCTTCGGACGTGCCGTCGTCGTACAGGCGCGCGCCCAGCTTCAGGTCGAGGATGTTGGGCTTGCGGAACCCCGCCGCCACGTTCTCCAGCACGATCGACGTGTCGGTCGACAGCTTCTTGCCCTTCATCGGTCCCACGTCGTCGAGCGACAGCGTGGCGGCGGTGCCGGTGCCGGTGCCGGCGGCGGTGCCAGAGGCGGGAGCAGCGGCCTCGGGGATGGGCGCCACCGCCGGCGTCGACGCGCCCGAGGGGTCCGGCGAATCCGAGGCGACGGCGGCCGCGAGCGTGGCGGCTTCGGGCGACTTGTTCAGCTCGAGCGTGCCCATGAAGGTGGGCATGTACGCGGCCAGCGCCGGGTGCGAGGCCGTGGCGGACTCGTAGAAGGCGATCTCGGCGGCGGTGCACGGCTTGATGACGAGAGCGCCGGTGGGATCGGAGAGGACGCCGTCACTGCGGGCGAGGCGGACTTGAATGAGCATTGGCGCTCTCGACATGAGGCAGCAGAGGGCGGCGCAAGGCCAGAGGTGGGGGTTGAAGGGAAAGATGTGCTTACTGTCCAGCAGCGGCATTCTCAAAAGCGCTGAGCGTCTTGGGGTCGAGGGTGGATGGGGCCATTGTGCGTGGCAGTGCGATGGGTCAGTCTTGGGGACAGAGGCTGGGAGTTGGGAAAGGTGAGGCGGTGACGACGGATGGGAGCTGGGACAAGCTTCCTGGCTGGGGTGGGGCGGCTGAGCCTCTGGGCCAGGGTCCATGTCAGCCCTACGAGCCTCACGGAATACCGGCACGTCGACTCTCTGAACACAGTTAGTGCGATGTGCGCCAGCGCAACAATAATTTGACGTCGTCTGACGTTTCCCTTTCCTTCTCTTGCCTCTCACCCTCTCCGCTGGCGCTGCGCCCGTTCTGCTGCATGGCCACCTCGCCGCACCAGCCATCTCGCGCTTTGCTGCTGGCCGGCCGGACAAGGAGCCCACCATCAGAATGCCCCAGCAACACGCCGAGGTACAGGTCACTTGGTCGTCGAAGTGTAGGTACTCAATGGTTTCGTCATCCAAAGCTGATTTTTTTCCATTCCGGAGCTGACCTAATTCAAGCATCACAAGTCCTCGTGAATCCAAAGTCGAGTACACAATAAAACCGTCTTTTCTCGTTAATAAACCATACACTCGGTCGCCTAGGGGGGGGGGGGGGGAAGAACACTCGAAGCAATGGAGTTAACCCATGCCATCTATTTACATTACACGATTGGCATTGTATGCCAATGGAAAACGCCGCGAAGTTTCCTTCGGAATGCGTGAGAATCAGGGAAAAAGAAAAAGGAAAACGCCAACCCTCCAACAGGCCATAGTCCGCACGCGGAGGCGGGGAATCTCAAGAACGAAACACAGCCGACGTCTTGCGAGGAGGCCCTCGCATCACAAGCTTACTGTCCACTTATGTACCGCCGTTCTCATGGCTGGGTATCTCTGGTCTTGCCATCACTCACTCCTCTCTTGCTTGTCCAGCTTAGGTTGATCAGCAAAAGGCCCGACTCCGAATGCCGGCGTAGTCTCGTTGCTTTGGCTGGGAGGAACTCCAGGAGTAGGACCGTCCTTGACAATCACTGGGTCCTCGCTCCGAGTGCCCGAGTGCACGCTGACTCCCTCTTGAGACTCAATGTCCGCCCGCCCACGTGCAAACGAGACGCCCTCGCCGTTGTCCCCATCGCGCCGCTCAATCGGTGACCATCCGGCAATACTTCCTGCAACAATGCCAGCCATGGCTGCTGCAGGTCCGAATGCCGAGTTCGAGCGCGACCGGTTGCGGCTACGGGAATGGGAGCTGATGGGCGTGGGAGGCGCGGGAGATCCACCCTCATTGTCGCTTCGCTCGTTGTTTGGCGTCTGGGGGAGCGAGTGGCTGCTGCGCGAACGGCTGAACACTTCACGAGCTGCTTCCCGAGGATGCTGGAGCTTGAACTTGAGCCCGCTGAGACGACCACCACGGATCCTCTTAATGAACGCGAGCTCATCACGAATCTCGAGAAGACTCTGGTTCCACTCGTAGTCATCCGACAAGACCAGGTCCGGCGTAGGCTTGCGCTTGAACCGGGCCGGGATCAGGCTAGCGACCAACTCATCCGGAATCAATCGGATGATGACACCAACCGGAAGGGAGAGGAAGCCGAGAACAATTGAGTAACCCCACTGAGCCCCATTGAGTGGCTTCACCGAGAAGGCAGCGCCACCCACGAAGATGATCATGATCTGACCGCCAATCATGATGAGGTTGATGAAAATGAAGAAGTAGTTGCGGTGCATGCCCTCAAAGACGTTGAACTTGTTGTCCAGTCGCCTGTTGTTGACCTGGTTGAAGATCTGCATCCATACGAACGTGTTGAAGACCAGCGTGCTGAGTTGGTCTTGTTCGTGTTCGCTATCGTACGAGAGGATGCTCTTGCCAGCGAAATAGAGGATGAAGGTTACAACAAGCTGATAAATGGCCTGGCCAATGATCATCTTCCACATGGTAACCGTGATGAGGGGGGCGGACTTGGGATCAGGCTTCCGGTCAAGCAGGCTGAGAGTAGGCGGATCGGTAGCAAGAGCCAAGGCAGCGAACGTGTCCATGATCAGGTTGACCCAGAGAAGCTGAACGGCAGTAAGAACCGAGGTTTGGTCAGAGCTGGCGACAGCTGACACGAAAGTCAGCAGTACAGCCGTGATGTTGACCGTAAGTTGAAACTGCAGGAACTTCTTGACAGCATCGTTGACGGCACGACCCCACAGCAGAGCCTTGACAATCGACGAGAAGTTGTCATCCATGAGGATAATAGCCGACGCCTCCTTGGCAACTTCCGTACCAGCTATTCCCATGGAAAAGCCGATATCGGCGGTCTTGAGAGCAGGAGCGTCGTTGGTACCATCACCGGTAACGGCAACCGTCTCGCCAAGTTCCTTGAGGCGTTTGACCAGGATCCTTTTGTCTTCAGGGCTAGAACGAGCGAGGACGCAGAGCTTGGGAATGACTTGGTCCATTTCTCGCTTTCCCAGCTTCCTGAACTTGGGTCCTTCCATGACAATACCACCGGGAACGAGAATGCCGCATTCTTCTGCGATAGCCTTGGCCGTCAAGACGTTGTCACCAGTAACCATGCGCACAAAAACACCGGCCTTCTTGCAGTCCTGGACAGCTTCAGGAACACCGTCGCGGAGAGGATCCTGGATACCAACGAGACCGAGGAAAACCATGTCGTGGAAGACGTCATCAAAGTTGGCCTGAGAAGCATCGTCCTCCAGCGCGCGAGCGCCCTTTGGCGGCCACTGTTCGAAATCCTTGTACAAGAACCCGATTGTGCGGAGCGACCGAGATGCATACGTCTCAATCAAGTGATTGAGCATTTCGCGCACATCGGAAGAGAGGGGTCGAGTAGAGAGATCCTTGGCGCTGTCGACGATGGTTTCCGCCTTCGCCAGCAGAATTTCAGAGGCGCCTTTGACGTACACCCTATACCTGCCGTCTTCAAGCTTGACAACAGCGGCCATGCATTTCCGGCCTGAGTCAAAGGGTACCAACTGGACGATGCTGGCGTTTGATCTTTCCGTGGAGACTGTGCCCATTCCCAGATAGTCGCGGGCAAAGTTGAGCAGAGCCGTCTCGGTCTTCGAACCGATGAAAGCGGGTTTGCCGTCCTCTTCGCCCTCAAAGGCGGTCGAGTTGATGACGATGGATTGTTTGAAAAGCTCTTTGAGCTCTGCACCAAGATTGGAAACGAATTCACTAGGAGAAACGTCGTCGCCATTGTCCTCGGAAGTCTGCTTGCCCTTGTTGGCAGCGTCCTGCTTGAGCTTACGGTCACCGAAGCGAAGGGCCGTGCTTAGCGATCCTGCAACCACAGTCATTTTGTTTTGGGTGAGTGTTCCTGTTTTATCGGAACAGACCGTGGTAGCGTTGCCCATGGTCTCACAGGAACGAAGCAGACGGACCAGGTTGTTGTCCTTCAACATTCGGGTCGTGGCAAAGGCCAGTGCGAGAGTGACGGCGAGAGGAAGACCTTCCGGAACGGCGACGACGATGACGGTGATGGCGACGATCAGAATATCCAGGAAGTTCTGGCCCTTCTTTTCCGGAGTAGCATCGCTACTCTTCAGCCTGACAAGGAATTCGATGAAGAGGACGATGAAGAGGAGCAACGCAGAACCACCACCAAGCTTGGCGATGTATTCGGCGAGGACGTTCAACTTCGACTGCAGCGGAGTGACCTCGCTGTCTTCGCGGAGGGCCATCATAGTCTTGCCGTAACTCGAGTGGACGCCAGTGGCTGTGACGATGAAAGAACCAACGCCCTCGGAAACCTTTGCGCCGGAAAGAATGAAGGGGTCCATCTTGCGGACGCTGTGGCCGGCTTCCATTGCTCGGTATACGTCGTCGGCCGGGATTTTCTTCAAAACATCGGATTCTCCAGTGGCGGAAGATTCGTCGCATTTGACATTGTGGCCCTCGATGAAGATACCGTCAACGGGAACCATGTCGCCGGGTTCAAGAAGCATGATGTCGCCGACAAGCACATCGTATACCGAAATTTCCCTTGTCTTGCCAGACCGGATGACTTTGACCAATCGGTCGGATTTTTTCTTGTTGAGCTTCACGAACTGCCTTTCCTTCTGCCAATCGTTGACAGCTCCGACGACGACGACAATGGCGATGGCGACCATGATGGCAACACCTTCAACCCATTCCACTTTAGGCTCTCCATCCTCGTGTGATTGACCGAATGTTTCGTAAAGTCCAAGGGCGAGCGAAATAACGGCGGCAATTGTAAGCAGAATCAGGACCTTGTCGTTGTAGGCCATCCATGCCAACTGCAAGATACTCTTGGGTTTTTTCTCGGGGAGCCTATTATCAGAGAAAACTCTCTTACGGTCCGAATATGCTTGCGGCCTAGTTCCATGCTTCTGGGAGTGTGTTGTAGCAGTTCGCTCAAGGTTAGCAACACCCTTTCTATCAGTCTCGGTAGACGAAGGGGTGGTGGCATCCTCGAAAGAAACATGGCCATCAAGACCCTCTTCGTCCATGCTAAGACCGCTTTTGCGATCCGTCCTTAGACCTTTGGTCAAACCGTTCAGTCCTCCCAACGCATGGAAGGCGCCTAGACTTTTAGGGTTGTACAGCTTGGACAGCTGTCCGGGCGAGAAAGCGAACTTATTATCCTCGACTTCGAACTCGTGCTCAGTGCCCGGGTCCGGTTTCAGGGCGTCCTGATCGTTAAGAATCTCGTCGTGACCGATTTGTTGTTTATTCGTCGTGGTCGGGGAGCTATTGACGTATGTCTCGGTAGTACCCAAGGACTGTCCATTCTCCGTCTGCGAGTCCAGAGAGTTACCTCGAGACCGCGGGTTCGGAACGGACAAGAAGACATTGGGATCGTTGCCCCAGCGGTTCGACGGCGAGGATACATTGTGCGGGGATGTCGGGCGATCCTGAGAGCTGTCGAATGAGTTGGGGTTGCGCAGGTCGACGGGCGAAGAGCGAGTCTGAGACTGGGTCGAGAAGCTTGTCTCCGATCGTTGTGTGTGAAGGGTGTGGATGCTGTCGCCGAGGTTGCCGAGCGGCACGGCATTTCCCATGTCCGGGTTGTTGTTGTTGACAGCGGATGTGTCAATGGTAATGGTTGGAGCTCGCTGGCGGCGGAACGGTCCAGGCGAGGAGGAGCTCTTGCGGCCCTCAGGACTCGAGCTCTTTCTATCGGCCATGATGGCTGCCTTCTCTCACCGGAAGCTCGCACTGCAGGCGACGGAGGGTTGCGCAGATGTGGCGCGTGGGTCCTCGGCGTGGTGGCTGAGAATTACGGAGGTGAGATGTGCATGGGTATACAAGAAGGAATAAGTAGGAAGGGCTGCCTTGTAATGAGCTGTGTTGGAAGTCAGCACAGGGTCGGAGCGAATGGGGTCCGGCACGCAAGCTCGGTTTCGAGACGCCGCTGGGGCGAGTGAGCCCTGCAGGGATTTCGGGCCAGGCGCCACGGTTGAACCAAGGCGGACCTGAGCAGCTGGGGCGTCGGTCGCCTCCCCACAGCCACGTTGGGGAGAGGCCGAGCAATGGAGGGCGGTGCAGGTGCTACGAGGGAGACTCACGGGGCTCGCGGTAGCGGAACAGTCGCAGCCAGGCCTCGGCGTACCAGAAGGATGGAGAAGGCGGATGGGCGGCGATCCGCGAGAGCGCTGAGGGCTCGCGGGGAAGCGGCGGAGGTCGGGCGGTTGGGCGGTTGGGCGGCGATGGGTAGGTGAGCACGACTGGGGCTATGCTACAAGCGAGCGAAGGCCATTCCAATGGAGAGAGATGCGGTCGGGGCGAGGAGAGCGGGCGGAGGGTGGGCGAGCAATTGTCATGTGGCCTGGGAGCGGGCGGCGACTTGAAGCAGCAGCGGTGGAGAAAGACCAACGGTGGCCGCGGGCTGGCAACGGTAGGCTGGAGCGGGCGAGGACGCACTAAGGAGTCCTAAGGCATGTGTCGTTGTATGGAGGAGACAGCAGCGATGCGCCCAGAACAGCACTGCCTCACTCTAGACCCGAAGCGACGTAGTTTCCGTGCGCCCCCTGCGCTCCGCGACGCCTGCGGCAAATCATGAGAGCCACGGGCTCGGGGCCAGCTGGGGCTCCAGCGGCTGTTGTCGCTGTCGTCTACCCACCGCATGGCAGCGCGGGTCGCAGCTGCGCTGGCCGACCGGACAGCTGGCCGGCGACGCGGGCGGCGCGCTGCAGGCCAACGGCCGCCCATTCCTGCTAGTGTTTTCTGGAAGCCGAGTCGCGCCAGGGCCAATCCGAGCCTGACTCGCCGGCTCTCGTCAGCAGTGCGTCAGGCACTCCGCCGCGCCAATTGACTTTTCCTCCGCCTCGCCCGCCAAGGCCGCTGCAGACGTCGTTGCGTCCAGCCAAGGCCGCGCGGCACCCCTTTCGCGGAGCAGAGCGAGTCTGCGGTGTCTCCGCCGTCCGCTGCAGCATGGAAGCGTTTCACTGCCGGCCTGGCCGCTGGCCGCTGGCCGCTGGCCACTGGCGAGCGGCGACCCGCGAGCCGCTAGCCAGCCGACTGGATCGCTGCAAGGAAAAGACTGCGCACCGCCACACGCCCGCCACCACCGCCACACCTGGCACGCGACCGCCCGGGGCTTGCAGCGCACGCCGGCGGGCAGAGGCACAGAGGCAGCTGGCCAGCCGTGGCTGCTTCTTGCGCCTCTCTTTCCGCCACAGCCAGTCGTCCCATCGGCCCATCGTCCCAGTGGCTGCCGTGGCCTTCAGCTGGGCGCGCGTCGGGACCTGGCTGGCTGCACTTCTCCCATGCACTCCACCACGCGCCAGCGCAGCTCGGCATCGTCACAGGCAATTACACCCCGGAGCTCAATTTTACCGGTCACTCAGAGACAGTGTGCCACGTCCGGCTGCCTCTAATTGCCGCCGTTGCCTCCCACACCTTTTGCACCGCCTGGGCCTGGGGAACGGACAGCCAGGCTCGCGACTCGTTAGGCTACACGCGCTCGTTGGGCAGGACCCGTCACCGCTAGTTTTCTCAGGCGAACCGATACCTGGGGACTCGGCCGTTCTCTGTCGTAGCATTTGCTCGGACTTGAAACAGAGAGGGAAATAGGGGAGGTTTCATCCTGCTGGCCGTCATCTTACAGCCGCTGGGCGACCTTGGCCGGCCGATATTGCCATGTGTGATGGCCTTCTCGAACGCGCCTCTCATGGTGATCGCGACGATGCCCAGCAGGCTTTCTCCGCGCTTTGCGCAATATCGCCAATGCCCCGATCAGCCGGCGTCGCCCGGATTATGCGGTCAGCCTCGCAATAAAACCCAGCCGTCCTTGGTCCGTAGGAGCAACAATGCGGCCGTGCTACCACGGCGGGATTCTGCGACAATCTCGCATTGTCATCCCGTCGGACTGCACGTCAAGCATCGCCCCGGCTTGTGCTCGTATGGCAAGGCTGCGGCCGCGTGGATTTTCTTTGCTCTTAATCATGAACAGCGAGCCTCTGGCCACAGACATGAGCGTGCAAAGTATCCCCTAGGTGGTGTCAAGAACGCCTTGGCCATGATACCAAGGCCGATCTTCTTAGCGGTCAGCGAGACGACTCCTTTTCGAGTCGCTTCCACTAACCCAACAGCCCCATCCAGACTAGAGACGCGCACCTACCGCGCACCGTGCCATTAGTAGTGTTGGCCGCTTTGTGCCAGCGTTGATGACGTTATGGCAATATTGACAATTACATGGTCTCACGGCTCTCCGCAGTAGAGGTCGACCGCTACCTGACCAGCTCAGAGTCGAAAAGAGGCGCCTGCAGAGCCAGAAAGCAAAAGCACTTCGCCACAACCACTCTCCACATCGTCCCGCATGTTAAAACAAATCCACACCAACCGTTGGCTGTGGCGCTCTCTTGCACCATGGTGGAGAACAGTGGACCCAGTGCTGGTGAATACATTGGTTCTCAACAACGATAGTATCATGGAAGCTCCGCTACGGTGGTTTGTTTTGAACCTGCCCAGATTCATGGCGTTCTGCACGAACACCAATGTGCCAATGCAAATTTCAAACCCACATAGGACCCTGGCAGCTTTCGGGTGGCTCCAGAACGAGTCCGCTTCAACAGTTCCCGCGCCTGCAGGTCTTGCACAAATTGGGGAAAGAAAGGTTCCGAGAAGTTAATCCCACCCAGTGCCTGAACTATCTGTCACGCCTGTTCCTGGTCTACCATGCAGCTTTTCCAATCACTTCTTCCTTTGGGTCCCGTCGCATTGCAGAAAATCTTGAGGCATTTTCCTCTTCCCGGTGCGACATATCCAATGGGACCGAAGTATCACGGCCCCTGCATATGCTGCTGCCAAGTCAACTTGTAGAAGACCCTATCGCTTAGACGCTGAAGGAGGCTGTGCACTAGGCCTCGGCTTCTCCGCCCGAAGCACATCATCATGCAAGGGTGTAGTATGCCGGAAGAGCATTTTCTGGTTTTTTTTTTTTTTGAAGGTTTTCTGTTGGGAACGTTAAGAACGAGGAAAACGTTGCAAAGACAACGACTGCGGCCACTATTGTGGCTATGCTCCTGTCCTGCCTTTCTCTTCGGCTATCTCGTTCTGTTACCGAGACGAGGCAGCTTTATCGGTACTACTAGGGCGTTGACCAGTACAAACAGGACAATGGCGGATGCGAAGACGTAGCGGAGGCTGTGCTCGTACGCCCGGATAACTGCGGTTGCGGAGGCGTCAGTCTCACATCTAGGCCTTCCATTTGCCAAAATGGCTGCCTAGCAGGAACGGGGTTGAATGTTCGGCAGAAAGCACGAGCGCAAGGTCGGTGCTTAGGTGAACCAGATCCGGCCAGGTAAATGCAGCACTCACCTTCCACTCGGTGTTCTTGGGTAAGATCGAATATGGCGCGGACGGATTTGCGAACACGCAGAATAATCTGGGCAACATCGTCAGCAGCTTACGACGCTTTTCCGACAAATGGGGAACCGGAGGCTACATCCTAACATACCTCTTGCTTCTCGGGCCCGGTGACATATCTCTCCAGGTCCACCGACAACGCATTCTGCACGATTAGGCTGCTGATGGCGACGCCGAACACCGCCCCGAGGCTTCTAAAGAGGCTCAGCGTACTCGTCATCACTGCCTGATCCTCCTGTGTGCTGGTTGCTAACACAGCTAGCGATGTGGCTGGGTAGGAAAAGCCTAGCCCGGTACTGACCGGGACGACAAAGACGGTGGCAAGCCATGCTGGAATACCGTCCCACATGCTCGTAAGGCAAATGGCGCCCGCCAGCGCGATCAGCGAACCACCTACGATCAGCTCCTTCATGCGGCGCGTGTACGTCATGATGAATCCAGACGACACGCCACATATCATTATGGCAAGCGAAGGAGCCGCCATGCGGAAGCCGGACTGCGACGCCGAGTCTAGTTTGACGGCTTGGAAATACAGTGGTGCGTTGAAGATGACGGTGTTGCTTCCAATCGAAGCGAAAAGGTTGGAAAAGACGAGATTACCCCTCGGCGCCGTGAAGAGCATCGCCAGAGGCATGACTGGCCGGCCAGCCTTGCCCTCTACTCGGATGAGGAAGAAACCAGCGATAACAGAAACGCATAGAGAAGTGATGACGAACGGATGCTCCCACGACAGAACATTACCGCCCAGGTTGAGTCCCAAGATCATGAATGCAACTGACGTCGTCAGGAGACACGAACCCAACAAATCGAACGTCTTGATGTGCTGGAAGGCACTTTTGTCCGAGTTCCTGGCCAAGTTCGGACCAAGAGTGTCGGGCATGGTGATTATCGCAGCCACGAGGATCAACAGTTGAGCAGGAATCTGTATGCCAAACGTCCATCGCCAACCCAGCGTGTCGCAAAGAAAGCCTCCGAACGCGGCTCCGCAGGCCTGCCCAAGGCCGAAGAAAAGATTGATGTAAGCTTGATAGTTGCCCCGGATCTCGATGGGCACCAGGTCATTGGTCAAAATTGAGCCCATGGCCAGGACGCCGCCGGCACCTAGGCCACAGAATGCTCTTGCGGCAATGAAGCTGCCAATGCTCCGAGCCAAGGCGCACCACGCCGTCGTGAGGACAAACATGACTAGCGAGAAGAGATAGATGGGGCGGCGTCCAATCGTATCGGAGACACGAGCTAGCAGAGGCTGGAAGGCTGTAGAGGTAAGAAGGAAGGCGGTGGACAGCCACGAGGCTGAGTTGGAAGACCTGAAGTAAGAGGTTATGACCGGATGGCTTGATGCCATCAAAGTCGAATCGAAGCATGCTACCTGTTGGTGTTTGCTTAGTCGGCTGTAGAGTTGGTTGGTTTGTGTAACGACTTACAAAATATTGCAACAGGACTCCCCCAAAGATCAACCAAAACTTGGTCACGCTCACCCCGGCAAGATACGGAGAGTCCCCGTCTCGATTGCTCTCATCGCCGGGCGCAGGCTCTGAGAGGACTGCCTCCTCGGCGCCAGGGGCCAGGTTGAGGCCGTCCGCTGGATGGCTGCTGACCCTGTACAGTTCCTGGGCATTTGATCGGTCATCAGTGCGGGGTACGTCGTCATGCGGCGAGGACGCATTGGCCGATGCAGCATTCAAAAGAGGCGTGCGCTCTGAGGCCGGTGCATCTACGTCAGGCGCTCGAGCAGCTGGCATGGCGAGAATCACGAGTGGAGAAAAGACGGAGAGAATATGGCGTGCAAGGAACGGCGCGCGGAAGCAGCAGCAAGCGCTCGCGCCGACATATAAGCACCGAGCTAAGCGAGTGTCTACAGACAGAGGAAGATGTCGTGACCGCGACGATGACTGGGACTGGGACTACGGCAGGTCGGGTGGTGTCAAAGGGCGCAAAGCCGAGCGGCGAAAACTTCGGCTGTAGTCGCAGCAGCGCAGCGCTCACTGGCCAGGCGGGGCAAAGCCCGCCGGCTCGCGGTCGTGGGCGGCCTATCAGCGCCGGCTTCGGACACTGAAAAGACGATAACTGCCATTACCAGCGTGCCAGCCCTATCAACCCTCGAACCCCCGCTGCATTCTGCATATTTCCCGCCTCGGTGTCCCAGAGCAGGCACCGCCCACGACGCAAGATGAAGCCGCCGTTCCGGATCGCCGTGCTCGAGTGCGATACGCCGCTGCCCGAGGTCGTCGACGAGTTCGGTACCTATGGCCCCATCTTTGAACGCTTGCTGAAGGCTGGCGCCGATGGTCTGGGCCAGCCGGACGTGATAACTTCAAAGGACCTGCAGGTTTCCTTCTACCACGTTGTCGACAACGAAGAGGCATACCCCTCGCTGGACCATGTAGACGCCGTTCTCCTGACCGGATCCAGTGAGTGCTGCGCCGCTCTCTCAGAGGTTCGGATGCTCATTGTCCGCCACATGCAGAACACAACTCCTTTGACGACAAGCCCTGGATCCTCAAGCTCGTCGATTTCACCAAGAAAGTCCTCGCCCAGGACCGCGTGCGCTTGATCGGCGTTTGCTTTGGCCACCAAATCATCGGCCGCGCTCTGGACGTCAAGGTCGGCAGGAGCACCACTGGGTGGGAGGTGTCTGTCCTGCCCTTTACCCTGACGGAGAAAGGCAAGGAGCTGTTTAAGAAAGACACCATTGTAAGTGCCTTTCCCCTGTGAAGGCGTAGGTGATTGCAGGACAAGCGAGGGTGCATATGCACGGGTGGCCGCATATGGTCGACGCAGGTCGTCTACTCGACCTTCCTTGCGCGGCGCCGGCTATGCATCCTGTCCCGGCAAGCACGTGTACGGTATGCCGACGGGCTGCGGCTGGGCCGTTTGGCCTTCTTCGCACAGTGGGCCATCCTCGGTCGGCCGAGCGCCGTCGCTGTTCCGTCTCGTCGTGGTCCGCAGCGATGCCGCCAGCACAGGGTGCAATCACATGCATTGTATTATTAGGCGCCCCGCTCATGCAAGCCTGCAGAACATCCACCAAATGCACCGCGACATCGTCTACGAGTATCCGCCCGGCATCGAGGCGCTGGGCCGTTCGCCGCTCTGCGAGGTGCAGGCCATGTACGCCAAAGGGCGGCTGATCACGGTGCAGGGCCACCCGGAGTTCAACGAGAAGATCATGGCGGTGATCCTCAAGGCGCGGCACGAGAACGGCATCTTCGACGACGCGCTGTTCGCCGACTCGCTGGGGCGGGCGCCGCAGCCGCACGACGGGCTGGTGATTTCGCAGGCGTTCATGCGGTTCCTGCTGGAGGACTAGGTGGTTTCGCTGTTTTGCATTTATTATTAGCACGTAGGGCAGACAAATGACAGAGCAGTGTGTCGGTGGGCTGCGTGCGGACAATAATTGCCAGTGTTTCAAGGAAACGGCGGGAGATGATGTCAGTGTGGTCTCTGCCGCTCGCGTGCTGGCGCTGGCCCCACGGGTCGCCCCCTTTGTCCCTCGCCTGCCCTTTCTGCGCCCACCCCCTGTCAACCATGGGACGCCGCCGCGCTCCCACACTCCCTAGGCCGGCCGCCGCTGTTGGCCGCCAACTGCACGCTGCACGCGGCCAACCGGGGCGGCGCGCGACCTCCAATCGTTTGGCGCACGCAGACGCCAGCCGGCCGCCCAGCTCCAGTGGTGTCGCGGGGTGCAGCACTCGCTGCCGCAGTTTGCAGCGGCCGTTGTTCAAGGCCAGACGGCGGCGCCGATCGCGCGCCCAGACACCCAGAATAGCGAGGGCGGGCCTTGCTTGGCGAGGTGTACGCGTCCGCCACCATCCCAGACCCGAGCGGCCTAGAGCAGCTGGCAATCTTCCCTATCTTTGCCCTCTCCACATTCTCTCCACTACTGTGTACTGTCGCCCACGCCCTGTGCTCAAAACCCGCCCTCCTAATCTCGCCTGTCGCTCGCTCCTCGCCCGGACGCTTTTGTCTGCTGCGTTATCTTGTGCCTGGTGCCATGTCCATTCGCTCTCACCCACCCGCTCCCGCATAGCCGCCGTCGTATCCGCCGCACAGCGCACCAGCTCTCCAGATGGGCAAGTGTACGTCTCCACCTCCGCACTCTGCCCCGCGAGTCCACACTGACACTGCCCAGGGAGATATGGCGTCATCCTCGACGCTGGGTCGTCGGTGAGTGCGCCTTCTTTGCGCGACTGCGCCCGCCGCATCGTGAGACCACCCTGCTTACATCCCGCGCTACCAGGGGACCCGCGTCTACACCTATCGATGGCTCAACCCTTCGAGAGCCCAGCTTGAGGCTTCCGAGGACGAATTGAAGCGCCTGCCCAAGCTGAAGACGAAGAAGGAGTGGACACACAAAATCCATCCAGGTATGATGTTGCGCTGCCCCTCGCCATAGGTGGCTCGCTCACGTCAGTTGCCGAAAAGGAATCTCGACTTTTGGTGAAACTCCCGAACTTGTGGGACCGGACCACCTGCAACAACTGCTCGATCATGCGCTCGAAGTTGTCCCCGCGGACGAGGTCGAGAACACCCCCCTGTTCCTCCTGGCTACCGCTGGCATGCGCCTGCTCCCGGACAACCAGCGCGCCGCTGTCCTGAACGAGGTCTGCGCATACGCTCGCGAGAACACAAATTTCCAGCTGCCCGACTGCGACCTGCACATTCAGGTGATACCCGGGGAGACTGAAGGTCTGTATGGCTGGATCGCGGCAAACTACCTTCTCGGTGGATTCGACGAACCGAAAGAGCACGACCATGGCAAAGACCACCACACGTATGGATTTCTGGATATGGGTGGAGCTTCGGCACAAATCGCGTTTGCGCCCAATGCGACAGAAGCTGAGAAGCACGCCAACGACCTGAACCTCTTGCGCTTGAGGACTCTGGACGGCTCGTCGTCAGAATACAAGGTTTTCGTCACGACCTGGCTCGGCTTTGGCGTAAATGAAGCAAGGAGGCGATACGTTGAAGCATTGGTGGAAGCCTCGCCCGAAGCTACAGAACTTCCGGATCCCTGCATCCCTGGAGGTCTTGAGGTTACGGTCAAAGGCAAGCCAGTGGAGCCCGATTCCAGCGAGGAAAAGGGCCTAACACCGCATCTTGTTGGCACCGGCATGTTCACGGAGTGCTTGAGTAAGACGTTCCCTCTCCTCGACAAAGACGCGCCTTGCCCCGACGCGCCGTGCCTTTTGCATGGTGTCCACGTTCCCGCGATTGATTTCGACGTCAACCACTTTGTTGGTGTCTCCGAGTACTGGCACACGACACACGAAATCTTCGAGATGGGGCACAAAGACAAAGCATATGATTTCAAGACGTACCAAGAAAGGGTCAACGAGTTCTGCAGCAAGCCATGGGAAGAGATTGAAGCCGGTATCAGCAAACACCAATGGGGCAATAAGGTCGATGAGGCCACCGCTCTGGAGGTCTGTTTCAAGGCGTCGTGGCTCATCAATGTCCTGCACGATGGTATTGGCGTCCCCCGGACTGGTCTCGAAGAGATGCAGTCCGGAGCCAACGGCACAAAGACAGTCTTGGACAAGACTAAAGAGAAGGGCTACCGGGACCCGTTCCAAGCTGTCAACAAGATTGATGGCACCGAGGTCAGCTGGACGCTTGGTAAGATGGTTCTCTACGCTGCAAGCCAAGTCGAGGCCAAGCCGGGGGCGTTGGCTGTTGGATTTGGCAGCAACAAGCCCGGGGTTCCGTCGGACTTCCAATATGCTGGCGGCAAGTTCATGAGCCTACCTGGCGATTTGGACGAGGAGCTGGAGGATTGGCACGAAACCCTGTTCAAGGACTCGTCGCGCCGCATTCCTGGCTTCATCATGTTCATGTTCATCGTCCTACTGGCCCTCTACTTCCTCTGCGGTCGCGAGTGCCGGAATAGGTTGTCTCGGAAGACGCGCGGTCTTTTCTCACGCGGATCACCGAAGCGGAAGCCAGGGCCTGGTGCTGGACTCGGACTGGGTGGGAAACTTTTCTCACGCAACAGTGGCAGCCCCACTTACGAACGTGTCTTGGAGAGTGGCGCCAACGATTTCGAGCTCGGGGACCACGCCGACGGGGTGGAGTCGTACCACTCTGATTCCAGCAGCGATGACAGCCACGGAAAGGTTGGCCACACGTCCGGATGGGCTACCCCACAGCTCACGAGAATGGCTGGTGGTAGCAAATTCGACCTGGGGCCCGGATATTTCGAGAACATCGTCAGCCAAGGTCAAGGCCTTGGCATCGCATCGCCCTACGGCGGCAACGCGATGGAGCGTGGCGGCCTGATGGCGCGTGTGGATTCTCGAGAGCGACTCGCACCCTTGGGCTCCATGGGCAGATCGAGGAGTCGTAACGGGAGTCCGACCCGGGGCAGGAGTCCGCTCATGACTCCTCTCAAGGAGTCTGTCGACTGATTCATTGGAAGACAGTGTACACATGTTTCGATTACCTGGGCAAGGCGTTTCAGGTTTGCTGGGTTTCTCCTTTGTGGGGTTCATTTTGGCAAGGCGCTTATGCAAAGAGGCTGGGATAGCTGGGAAAATGGCGTCATACCAACCCCGTTACATGCACTTCAGAAGGAGATCAGGAGGGATCTTGTTTCACCATATCCGTGTTCTTTTCTTCCATTTCAGACACGGCTAACGGAGGCCGGGACGCTATACTACTAATGACTGCGAAAGCGTTGCTCTGGTTTTCCTTTCTCTTCGCCAGCAGTGTCGCCGGAGAGCAGGAAACGCAGTACCGTCTGCGCTCCAACGGCACGGCTGTGCCGTTTTTCTAGAAGCTTTCCCACGAGACACGAGTCCGAGGTCCGCACGACAAAGCAGACCGCTTACGTAGCACGTTTAATGAACCATAACCAATCATAAGATATACTCTTGTGCATCTTGTGAATGCCGTCTCGGCCAGGCAGCGTTCATGGTGCCTGAAGACTCCAGCGGCCCGCATGACACTCCAACCCTGGTTAGAGGAAAAGTCATATGTACGTGCGACTTGCATCTGCAAGGAAGGCCGTCTCCTTCCTCGGAACGACGCTAGGGCTGAGAGGAACCCCGTGCCTCTCTCCGGTGTTAGGCCCTTTCGCGAGCGGCAGAGGGTACCTGGATGATGGGCGGCAACTACATGGTCGGCGGTGACTGTGGCCAACCGTTGTGTAAACAGTCAGGTCTCAACGCCCCCACCGACGACGACCGCCGCCCATCCTCCTCGCCGCACCAACTGCCTGACCAGAGCTGCGCATTGCGTGTCGCACCATCAGACCCTCGTCACGACACTTGCATTCCTTTTACCCGCCAGAGCACGAGCAGATCCGCGGGCCAGTCGCATCCCTCTATTGCACAACCAACCTACCTACCCCGCCGGAGCGATAACCTCCGTTAGTCTTGTTTCCCTTGCGAGAGGAGGGACGCGGCGCAACACAACAACACAACACAACACAAGGCGCCAAACCCAACCGACACAGCCCCCCCGCGAGCCGGCACGCGCGCACCTAAGCCCTTCGCCCACGGGAAAATCTCGCCCCTCCCTCCGTGCCTCCGTCGCACCCCCTCCCCGAGCAATCGACCGCGGAGCCACCAACCGCACGCCGCCTCGTTTTTTTGGGCCTGCTGACTTGGACGCAAAACCGCCGCGCCGCACGCCTTACCCACGCAAGAAGACAAACAGACACACGTGCGCCACGCGCCAAAAAAAAAAAAGAAAAAGGTTCTGTTCAATCACACACTACCGACAGAATTTCAAATAACTGCGCCATGGCCGGCAACAACAACAACAATGGCGGTGGCGGCGGCGGGGAGAAGACGTACTTCGAGCAGCAGCGCGAAATGCTGGTCGGCGACGTTGCGCAGAACCTGGAGGCCGTGCTGCAGAACATGAATAAGCTGAACCGGAGTCTGGAGGGCATCATTGCCGTAAGTCCAGTCCTCTCTCTATCTCTATTATGTTGGGGGCAAGTGCCTCTTTTTTTTTTTTCTTCGGAAGGAGGTGCTAGAGTGGGCCGTTGTAAAGAGAGCGTGACTACCTGCTCGGAAGCAGCCGGGAGGGCGTTTATCGAAAGTCACGATGTGTTGCATTACGAGGGTGCTTTTGTTGCCCCTAGCGGGTGCGGCTGAAGTTGTGGTGAGGACTTTAGGGCTGGTGGAGAGATCACTGGGGAGGCGGTGCATGGAGCTGAGCGAGCAAGCAAGGCACCGCCATGATTGAAATCCCACGACTTTTGTGGGTCGGCTACTGGCACGCGGGAAGCCTGGCGGAAAGTGGAGCGTTCACAATCGCGTCATCCTTGCTGCCTTCTTTTCCCTCGTGTTCTCTTTTTTTCTTCTCGTTTCCAGATTTGATGCCCGAGAACTCCGGTGTTCCCACTAACGCGCCCATCATATCGACTAGGTTGGCAACGAGTTCGGCTCCGTAGAAGCGTTATGGTCACAGTTCGAGAATGTCATGGCGAGAGATTCGAATCCTGCCGCTGCTGAGGGCCAAGCAGAAGGCGACCAAGGTGCAGAAGATACGACCGTCCTGCAGGACGATAAGCCGTAAGGGAGCGGAGACCCTGTGCTTGAGCTTTAGGCTAGGAAGAGGCCAGGGCGGCATTATTGCACAAAAAATGATACCCACAATTTCACGTTTCAGCAACGGAGCCAACTTGGTGTGTTTGCATCATATTTGCCTAAGAAATGGGGCAGACAGCACGCCCAGGAGGAAATTACAGAAGTAATCTAGGAGAGGGGAAAAAAAAAAGGAAAAACCGCAGAGCATCGCTGGCAGTAGAACCTCCGTTATAAAGCAACAGGCAATCAGAGAAGAAAAATAGTCGAAACCAAGGCTACTGGTTACCGCAACAAACGCCGTGATGAATGCCTTCCCAAGACTTCAGGTGGAAAAAAAAACAAAAACAAAAAGATATCGGGTAAACCGTAAGTATGCGTCATGAACCCCTCCCCGATCATAGCAAGGAAAAGAGATGGCCTTGATTCTTTCAACTGTGAAAGGACCTGGAGCCGCCATCTCAACTTTCATGACCATCGTCCGTTTCTCATCAGTTTAGTGTCCCGGTTCCCATACCAATAGAAATCCAGCCGGCCTCGTGATCTCCCGCCCAGCGTTCGTTCATCGCGGTCATACCCTCTCGTGCATACGTGTACGGTGAAACAAATGTGGTGTTGAATCGTAAACGCTCAAGTGTGTAAGGGTTTGCGCATCAAATTTAGAGAATCTTGCACCTGCTCTTCTTCGGTTTCCGGGCGCCGTAGGCTGGCTGGCTGGAGTCGTTGGTGCCTTCTCTGCTGGCGGGTTTCCACTCCTCGCCAACGGCCTTGGTGACGGCAGCGTCGAAGATGTCGTCGACACCGTCCATTTCCTTACTGCTGCACTCCATGTAGGTCGCATTCATCTTCTGGGCAACGGCGCGGCCCTGGTCCGGCGTCACGGGGGTCAGGCCTTGGGTCTTCAGCAGCTCGATGCAGGTTCGCTTGTGGCGGAGATCGGACTTGAGGCCCAGGAGGATGATGGGAGTTGTGGGACAAAAGTGGAGAACCTCGGGATACCACTGTGTTTGGCGATCAGTCCATGTGCGCTGGCAGGGCGGGCGGATTGGTGCTGCTTACCTTGTCCATGACATTTTCGAGCGAGTTGGGGCAGTCGATGGCGAAGCAGACGAAAAGCAGGTCGGTCTCCGGGTATGATAGCGGCCGTAGACGGTCGTACTCCTCCTGGCCGGCAGTGTCCCACAGCGCCAGCTCGACCATCTTGCCGGTGGGCGGATGGGGGGTGTGGGTGATGTAGTTCTCGAAAACGGTCGGGACATATTTCTGGCGGGCGTCAGTGCGCGGCGCTCGGGTGGGCGCGCAAAGGCGAACTCACCTCGGGGAAGTAGCCCTGGCTGTAGCTGATCAGGAGACAGGTCTTGCCGCAGCCGCCATCGCCGACGACGACCAGCTTCTTGGACCATGCGGGCGGCTCGGTGACATTGGTGCCGATGGAGCCGCCGCCGCTGCGGGCGGACAGGTTGGAGCCGACGGTGCCGTTGCTATTCCGATGGCTCTGGGCGCGGTTGGGGCGACGCGAGACGGACACGGGGGCGGCGGGCAGCTTCTCGGAATTCTTGCGACGCAGGTAGTCGTAGTTCTGGGTGGCCTGGACCGCCATGGTGGACGAGGTCGGGGTGCGGGCAGGTGCAAGTAGCGGCGGGACGGAGGGTGGGTAGCGCGTCGAGCGGCAGGGCCTGGGGTGACTTGGGCTGGCGGTGCTGGGGCGTATCAATATGGACAGCGAAGAGTTAATAACAGTGCGCGCGCGTGGTGGAGACTGTTGATGGTGGGAGGGAAGTCTCAGCGGCGCGGTCGAATGGGCGATGAGCAGCTATGTAGGCGGGTGGGCCTGGCAGACCGGGCAGGCCTGGCGTTAGGGCGTGGTGTTGACCTTGGCGTCGGCCCAGCAACACTCGCGTCCGCCCTGCCCACAGCCTGCGCCTGCACGCTGCACGCTGCACACAAGCCGCAGAGCCCCCACACCGCACCGGCCGATGACGCGCCCTGGGCAGGCGCTCAACCGCCGCCGTCTCCCCAAGGCCTGCGGGCAGCGGGCAGCGCCGGCCACGACGGGCGGCGAGGCATTCATGCCCAGCAGCGTGGAGAGCGTCCGTGCAGGCGAATACGTCACGGCTCGACACCGCTCCCATGGGGCCATTCATGCCTCGCAGCGCGGTAGGGGATGCGCCCCTGCAGGGCCCGGCGCCGGCTCTGGCAGCACCTGGCAGCACCTGGCAGCACCTGGCAGCACCTGGCAGCACGGCAGCGGCCATGCGCCCCCTGAAATCGATCGCAGCACAGGCGCCAGAAGGAGGCTGGACGCGGTGGGTTCTGCAGCCAGCGGCCAGCACATCGGCGAATCGGCAGGCGCGTGCGCGCGCGCTGAGCCCCCACACCGCCCGGACATGACGCGGGAGATCGCTCGACACCTCAATCTCGACGTCCGCCCAAGAGTCACTCGCCCTCGCGCCCCACCGCACACACGCCTGACCTATATGTCCAGCCCTGCGCATGGCGCAGTCGAGAGCCGGCCGAAGACACCCACCCGCGCTAGGGCGCCATCCCCGACCCCAGCCATGGCCGCCCGCGACGACAAGCCGCGTTATGACGCCGGCAACCGCACCCTCGACCATTGTGCGCCGCCACACCCTGCTGCCTTGGAATCCCCGCCCGCTGACTCGATCCAGACCAGAGCAAGCTGCCCGCCTGGCGCTACCGCCTGCGCTGCTCCCTGATTCCCGTCGTGCGTTGGGAGACGCCCTATCTGGCCTACATGCAAGATGCCCTGCGCACCCCCGCCCTGGACTCCTACTTTGCCTTTACGGCCAACCTGGGGACCCACACCTTCTTCATGATCATGCTGCCCATCCTCTTCTGGTGTGGCTACACCAATCTCGGAAAAGCGTAGGTCAACGTGCGCGGCTGTTCCAGTGCCCTTGCCTCTTTTTCTTCCTTCTACCCAAGATTCCTCAGCAGCTGACAGCGCGCGCCTCTGCAAAGAATGGTACACGTTCTGGCGTCAGGTGTCTTCTGGAGTGGCTTCATCAAGGACATGCTCTGCCTTCCGCGCCCGCTTTCCCCACCGCTGCACCGCATTACCATGTCCGGTTCTGCTGCCTTGGAGTATGGGTTTCCCTCCACCCACTCCACCAACGCTGTATCCGTGGCCGTGTATGCCATCCACATGCTACACACGAGTGGAGACGCCTCCGACGCCACCGCTCACGCAGCCATGCAGGCTGCACTCTACTTCTATGCTGCCTCAATCGTCTTTGGCCGCCTTTACTGCGGCATGCATGGCTTCCTTGATGTCATTATAGGTACCCTTGTGGGCGCCCTGCTTGCCGGCGTGGAGATCCTCTTCGGTAATTCCTTTGACCACTGGGTCTGCCAGGACAGCTTCTGGGCGCCGCTCCTCGTCACGCTCGTGATTCTTGTTCTCGTTCGCATCCACCCGGAGCCTGCAGATGATTGCCCGTGCTTTGACGACAGCGTGTGCTTCGCCGGCGTTGTCATTGGCTGCGAGATTGGAGTCTGGCACTTCTCAAAGACTCGCTTTGCCTACGATGACCCGGTTCCCGGAACCGTGGCGTTCAGTTTACACCAGTTAGGCTGGCTTAGGGCCGTTCTCCGCATCGTACTCGGTGTTTTCATCATCTTTGCGTGGAGGGCAACCATGAAGCCGCTTTTGCTAAGATTCCTCCCTCCCTTGTTCAGGATTTTGGAACGTCTCAGGATGAATCTCCCACGCAAGTTCTTCCTGCAGGCATCGTGAGTTCTATTTTCCCATCGCTGTGATGGCAGCTTGATGCTAACGTTTCGAAGTGAATACTCGAGCATTGCTAATTTACGCGATGACGATCATGTCATCCCCTCGGCATCCGAGATCCCTGCTAAGCTGAACAACCTCCGCCATCCCCGCAAACGCACTGTCTCCATCGGGCCCCAATCAATGGCCGATGCGTATGAGACTCTTGCCTACCGTCATCAACGAAGGCGAGAGAGTCTAAATTCTCAAGAAGGCGAGCGCCCAAAAAGCCCCTTGAAGGGCAAGGATGAGAGTTACTTCCTAGCCGAACCCAAGGACGCCGCCACATCCACATCTTCAAGCACACTCGGTACCCCGGTCGGGGCAAATCTTCTTCCAACCCCGATTTCTTCCCGAGTACATTCATACGAGCAGATGATGGGCGCTGGAAGCTCACCTGAAATTGCTGCCACAAGCCCCATGACCCCTACCGAAAGCGACCCTAGTGCAGGATCGCCACCGAACCAGGCACTGGACATGATGCCGGAGGATGAGGAGAAGGAAGACAGTGAAATATTTTCGAAATTGGAAAGGCCGCGAGTGCGGTACGACGTGGAGGTCGTGACGAAGCTCATTGTTTACTCTGGTAAGGCAACTTCCCTTGACAGGAGGTAGCATTTCTTAACTGATGGTATCTCAGGAATTGCATGGCTAGCGGTAGAGGGCAATCCTTTACTCTTCGAGTATTGCGGACTTGGAATGAGATAGTTGGTGTAGGCAATGCCAGTAGGTCAGTTAGGGGATGAGCTAACGGCATTGAAGGATGTAAACGATCGTACAGGGACGGGATAAAGTAAAAGTGGAGATACCAGTAAACGAGAGGTGAGCAGCGTTTGTAAAGAAAAAAAAAAAAAAGCAAGGATCCCTCAGGATGTGGGTCGCTGGGTAGATCTTTTTGTCTGTCCATAAAGTCAAGCGACGAACTTCGTCAGTCCATACAGATCAGGTAGTCTCACTGACATGACCTGAGAGTGTCAAAACATCTTACTTATATCCAAGGCTAACAAGCACGACCTAAATGGTAGGCGACCCTCATCACTAGGTAGGCTTGAACGTCCGTCTTACCCATGGCGTTGGGCTCGGGACGGTAAGCAAAAGTCGGCAAAAGTGGGATTCTCCTTTGACCCTTGACCGGTCAAAAGTGGCATGGAGAGAACTGTTTTTGGAAGACATGGCTTTTGGACGACGTTTTCCGACTCGGATCGCCCTCCCACCCCAGCGGATTAGCCGAAGTCCAAGCTTTGACCAGGGCCCACTCGGTTCACGAGCGTCGAACGCAGTGTAGTGTTGCTCGTGACGGGTGCGAGTGCGATGGCGGACGGGCTCGCTGTAGATCATGCTGCCGTGGGTTCGTAGGGGATACGGGGGACGTGATTGCGGGCAATTGAGCCTCCTGGCATGATAGCTGATGCGACCCTCTGTGGAGAAGTACCCACTAGGGGATGCTTAGTGGGTTCGTCCAGTGCCGCCTGTGTGGTTCTCACTCGGCCTTCTGGTCCAAACCAACACATTGCTCATTTCGAAATGGCTGGGCAAAGTACATACAAACATGGGCGCGTATAAGCAAGGAGACGAGAACATGTATGGGTATAACAGAACGTTCCTCAGCAAGACCACACCTTTCTCCACAATTGATTCTCCGCTTTTGGCCAGAGTCATGGATATACAAGGGATACTAGTGGTTTCTCGAAATCTTTATCTTGTTGCGGTAATGGGAAGATTTGCATGGATTATCTAAAAAAAAAAATGTTGGACTACAGCCATGGGATGATGATGATGATGATGATGATGATGATGATGATGATGAGTGACCAATGCAACGTCAAACAATACCGACTGAAGGAGTTTGATGGTATGATTAGTACATGTCCGACAGCGAGGTCAACCATGGGGACATGTCACACTGATAGTGTAACTCGAATGAATTTTTATATCTTGATCGTAGAGTCGTAACAGCTACTCATGAAACCCCCCCCCACCCAATAATGCAGCCGGCCCAATTTACCTGGTGTCGCCAGGGGCATCGTTGGCGCCCTCACCGGGCGCGGCTAACCGGCTGAAGTCCTCTTTGTGCTGGGTCTGCTTGGTGTCCCTGGATTTGCCGTGGCCGGCGGGGGCGTGCTGCGATGCGTCAAAGTCCAAGCGCTTGGACTCGATGCTGGCCGGCAGCGCGTCGCCCGTGCCCGTTGTCACCTCACCGGTCATGCCGCTGTCGGTGGTGCTGCGGGCGGCGTCGAAGGCGCCGCTAGCCGAGGCCTGGTCGGGCCGGCTGCCGACGGGGTTGTTGGTGGGGGCGGCGTCGTGGATCTGGTCCGGAGCAGGGACCGAAGGGATGGTGTTCTGGACGCCGGCATCGTTGGGGATCTTGGTGCCTTTGACGGCCATGTCGGAGAGGTTACCGCCGGTGTGAGACATTTTTGCTGGTATAGGTAATTGTCCGAGTCGTGGGAGGAGGCGAGAGATTTGTGCGAAGTTTGTGGAGAATAGAAGTGTTGACTTTTTGAGTGCTTCAAGCTGAGTGGAAACTGGTGACTGGAAAATGAGAAGCACCCTGAGCCGCACGCCGAGCAGGCCATTTGTATTCCATCTCCCAACGAGGCCTACACGTCGCTATGATGTCATGTAGCTCAAGCTGCGTGGGCGGGTTCTGACGACGGCGGGGAAAGCGCGATGGATGGTTGATGTCATGATGAGACTAGACCGCAGCCATGCGCCGTGCACCGTGCACCATGGTGGTTGGGTTGAGGAGCGGATTACGGGCGTTCCAAAACCAAACACATAATAATAGAACTGATGCCGATGGAGAAGACATAGTGTATGTTGGTAGTGTGTCGATCGAAGGCCGGCCTGAGTAGTTGAATTCTTTTATGGCTGCCATATGGACGGGAATCTGTGCAGCTACGACCGCCAGTATTCGTATGCGTAGACGCTAATACTGTAGTGCGGCTTCCTGACTGACCCAAGAGGTCCACGACAGCTGGCCAAACCCGCCACGACTATTGGAAGAATACCAATTCGTAAGAAGTACCTTCTTCGCGTGTGCTTTTTTTTTTTTAAAAAAAAAAGAAAAAAACTCAACGTCTTCTTTCCAAACAAGCGTCATTTCCGTAAATGAACATGAGACACGTCGATAGACGGGAGATTAAACGATGGAAGAATAATATATTTTCAGAGTAGGATAGTCGAAGGCTTCGGCTACCTATCGTACGTGGAGTTATACCCTACTTACTCACTTCCGGCCTCCGATATTGTAGACTCCATGCTGGTGAATAGCGTATGATACTGCGAACAAGTACTATTTTAATAGCCGTAGCAGGTTTGGCCAGTTGGCGCGGACCCACTTATCGGCATCCATAGAGATCGGCCCAACTCCGGCATCTCCGCTGCGATTGGCCTCGGGCGTCACCGTCGCGACCGGACGCATCTGCCTCGCCCACCTTCTTTCACCTCCAATCGGCTCCAGTCTACTCTTCCACCATGCCGCCGCAAGAGGTCGATAGGCGCGCCGCGCGTGAGGTCATCGACATCCTGCACGAAATCGCAACACTCCTTGTATGTACCTACAACCACCCCGCCGCCGCTTCGTCCAACTCTCCTATGCACACGGCTAACCCGCCTCTTAGAACACCAGCCTCAGCCGCAATCAGCTCTCCTTCTGTGTCTCGCTCATCGACAATGGTGTCAACCCCGAAGCTCTAGCCGTACGCCCTGCCCTTCCCCCAAGTGTGATTTCTTCGCATGGAGGGAGCTTGTGCTGACAAGGATTGTCCCCATACGCCTGCAGAATGTCATCAGGGATCTCCGTGAGCAGTATCCCGAGCCGCTGGAGCCGGAGCTCGGCGATGAGGAAGGCGAGGCCTGAAAGTTTGCTCGACCGCTACGCCCTGCCACGAGGAGTTCGTTTGTTTTTTTGTGATACCCCAAGGTGGCCCCCCTGCCCCCAAGAAGTAGATTTCCGAAAAGGATGTCTACAACAAAAGCTGGTGGAGGCTCGGCAGTCGCTCGTGGCGAAGAAAGCGTGCAATGCTTTGGCTGTTGCCCGCTTGAATGATGGCTCTGCCACCCGGCCAGCGCGAGCGCACAGTGTGGTCAAGCTGGCAAGGCCATAACGGAGATGATGTGGCGGTCTTTCGACACCAGAGAAGAAGGTCGAGATAGAGGCTGTGTAACTTCGTGCTCGAGGGCATTAGGGTGGCACGGGGGAGAGAAGCGCTACTTCATGAAGCCAAGGCAAGCTTTCTCATCATTTACTGGACACACGCTCAAGGTGACTGGGTCCAGGAAGTAGAGTTGGTGATGTACAGGAATATCAAGCCCTACGCGTAGGAGCATCATGCTTGAGGCTCACATTGGTATGTGCTTTTATCCGAATGGACGTGAATATCAACGTTGTAGCGCGTTGTGAGATCTTCCCAAGTGCATCCAAGCGGCCGAAAGGCGGTGCATTACTTGGGAAGAAACACGAGGTATGAGCCCTTCCCTCCCTTGGCATCTGAAAGGCCACCCGACGCTGTGCCATCCATTTTCGGCACACTCGCCACGCCCTTTAAATCGTATAGTAAAGCTTGATGCAATGTGGACTTGTTCCCAGAACTAATAATTCACGGCAGAAAAGAGCCAAACCGAACAACGGATGATTAAGTGGAAACAGAATGCGCCGCGACAAGTCCTCGAAAGCTGGTATCATTGCTCCCTCACCCATTCCATGCCTTTTTTGAACTCCTGCCAAAAGATGAAAAACAATAAACGAAATGGTCCAAGGGAAAGAATAATCCGTTCTCTTCCAAGATTGCTGTTAGATGGTTGAGGGAGTCCTTTTTTTTCTTTCTTCTTTTGCTGCAATATGCGCGTTGACTCCGACTAGCGGCGCACATAGAGGTGGTAGTGCAGGAATTTGAGGCTTTGGCGGTTGCAAAGCACAAGACGACGGCCAGAGAAGTGCAATCAGAGCCACCAGCCAGTGAAGCTCAAGAACGTATCCATGGCCTTCTTGACGTCGGAGCCGCGCAGTTGGCCACGACCTTTCTTTTCCCACAAGACCTTAGCAATACCCTCCAGGGCTACTTTACCCTCCAAGCCGGCGGACTTCGGCCCATCACACGCCAGGAGTTCGACCTTACCGAACTTGAACTTCTCGCTCAGATCGACGGCAAAGGTGGCGTAGCCGTAAGCACCCTTGTCGACATTTTCGACAAGATAGCCGTCCGGGCCGTAGATCATGGACTTGGCGAACATGGAGCCGCGGACGCTCACGCGGAGCAGGCGCAGGGCGTTGGCCGACGGATCGTCCAGAGACGAGATCCAGGAGACGAAGGAGTCGTAGAAGTCGCGGTACTCGAGCTTGACCATCCAGGTGTTGGAGCTGTAGTAGAGCTCGAGGGCCTCGGAGCGGACCAGGCGGCAGATGGCGGCGAGCGGATGCTGCTTCCTGTTCTTGAAGATGGACAGGCAGTAGATGAGCGGCTGGCGGTTGGTGATGTAGGGGATGTGCTGGTAAATCATGCGGCGGATCTCGGGTGGCAGAGTAAGGAGGGTTGGGCCGCCCGAGTCGTCGGCGACGACGGCGGTTGAGCTGGTTGCAGTGCGGTCGTCGGTGCAAGTCGCGTGACCGTGGGGGACGGCCACGTGCAGGCGCTGGTGGGCGGGAGCGGCGTGGAAGGCCTCGGTGGAGAGCAGCGGCTGGGAGAGCAACGGCAGGTTCGTCCTCATGGGATGCTGGTCCTGGGCAGAGCGCGAGTCCGTCTCGGCGGGGATGGGCGGATCGACCGAGACGCTGCTCATGGGCGGGACGACATAGTCGCTCTTCAGGTTGAGCGACGACAGCGAGCCTGGGGCGGGCCGCTCGTCGACGAGAGCCGGATGGTGGGCGGCGTTGGCGGCAGGCGGGTGGTGGTGACTGCATGCCCTGCGCTCGGCGAGCGGCTGGGCATCGCGTGACGGCGACGAGGGAGCGCTCTTGTCGGGCTGGGCCCAGGCGAAGGCGACGCCGGGCTCGATGGATCTGCGGCGCTGGATGTTGCTGGCCATGTCTCGGGCTGGGCTGGGCTGCTGCTGGGCGGGTGTCGAGGAGCAGGCAGACGGGCGCTGGGGGGCCGCGTGGAAGGCGAGAGGTAGCAATGCCGTCGTTTCAGATGGATGAGCACGGGGATGCGTTGTCGCAAGACGGGCAGAGAGCGGCTGAGGGCGCAGCAGGGCAGGCGAAAGGGCGATAAGCATCTGCTGGCACCGCGCTCCAGGCCGGGCATAAGGCTGAGGAGCGCTGGGCTTTGGGCTGCGCGTGTGTTGGCCTGCCGCCGGACCCCTAAACCAGGGTTGTGCAGCCACAGTTGCGAGTAGCTGCGACTCCTGCGAGTCGCCGCGACGCTGCGCCCACGCCTGCCGCCTGCCGCCTGCCGCCTGCCGCCCACCGACCGCCCCGTCTGTTGAGCTCTCGCTACCCCTCTGCAAGCATGAACGTTCTAATTGAGATGCGCGCCGTGGACCACCACCCCAGCCGCGCCGTCTGCTCGCCCGCCCTCCCCGCCCGCCGCTCCACCACCAGCCTGACGCATGCCGAGCCTCCACGTTTGATTGCGCTCTCCCTCCCCGCTTCGTCCTGCGCCCGTGCCCTCGCTCCCGCCGCTCGTCTTGTGAACGAAGGGGCAGCCCTGCCCGCTGTGCCCGCTGTGCCCAGATGCCCGCACGAGAACCTGGGGGACCGATGTGGCATGTGAAAGTCGGTAGCCACTCCGGCCATGGCAAGCTAGCGCTCCATTTACCAAATCACGCTTCCACACGCCATGCTGCACACACGCACACCTGCATTCAAAAAGGCTTTTGAGCCGCTTATCGTTCTTAAAAGCAAAGTACATACAGTGCACAAGTGCCCGACACGTCGGACGCGTCGCACTGTTCGGCAGGCACTTAGAAGAGGAGCGCGCCCTAGGCGCGAGACGGCCTGCTTGGCCAGTGAAAAGGACTGGCCCTGGCCATCGTCTTTCCCGCTCGAAAACTGCACCAACATCCACCCTCGTGTACCACATCAGTTCCGGCTGATGACTGTGTCAGTCTCAAAACGTGACGCGAACGCCTTATTAGCCGCCAAGATAATCGATAACACGAAATGAACCCCGCCGAAAGAGGAAGAAGAAAGTGAGGCTTCTAGTCGGTCCATGCCCGAACGCCTGTGCAGGCCTCCTAATGGACTGCTCCAGATGCGCGTCTGCCCCAAGGAGAGCTGGCCGAGTTGCTCTTGCTGTTGTTGCTCCAAGGGTGGCCCGGAGGCACGTTGCCCGACGTCTTGCGTGGGCGAACCCCGCTGTTGCCGTTGCTATTGCCGTTGCTGTTGCCGTTGCTGTTGCCGTTGCTGTTACCGTTGCTGTTACCGTTGCTGTTGCTGCTCTCACGCGGCGTCATGCTCCGCTTCTTGTTGTTGTAGCCTGACGGCTTGCGGCCCGGGTTGCGGCGCCTAGGCATGATCCTGGTCTTGACTACGTCCGAAGCCGCCATGTGGATTGTAATGACGAAACCCTGCGCGTTCTGTTCGCGCTCTGCAACGGGACTGAAGGTCGGATCGACACTGAAGACATCAGTGGTCTTGTAGAACCGTGATCCGGGTCGGGTGGAGGGAGCTGCAACGGGAGCAAGGCCGGCATTCATGTGTGACTCCTTCGGAAGCCGGACAGTCGGCGCTGAAAACGCTTCCGGGACGCTCATTACCTCTTCGAAAGCCGACTTTGACACGGGGCTGGCGTCGTAGCTGGACGCGAACGGAGTCGGCGCCGGCTTGGACGGCAGTGAGACGGTAGCTCCAGCGAGGGGACCTGTGTGGTCGTAAGGAGCTTTGCTTGCAGATGCGACGGCAAGTGAGGTGGCTGTCTTCGGAGGTGAAGCCATTGGTGCTGAAGCGCGGCCGAGGAGACCGTTGAAGCGCTCCTGCCAACTGGGTTGCGAGATGATGGGCTGGGAACCAAGACGAGAGAATCCGGGCCTCGCGGGCATAATGACGGGGGATGAAGAGTTAGACGCGGCGGCCGGAGGTAGCTTGACTTTGATCTTCTGCGGGAGCTTCACAATCGGGTGCGACACGTCTCCAGTGAACACAGGGTGACTCGAAGTCTCGGGCGGCGGCGGAGAGTCGCCATTGCCTGTCAGTTGCGAAACCGTCGCCTGAAGTGTATCGAGGGCGTCTTGCGTGCGTGGGAAGAAGCGCGAGGAGCGGTTGCCTTGAGCGCCGGTTGAGCCAGGTGAGGATTGAACTTTCTCGGCACCGATCGGGCGAAGTGTGGAAGCCTCGTCAACAACAGAGGACCTGTAGGGCTCGCCGAGCGGAATCGGCGTCGAGTGCGAGGGCTGTTCAGGGTGGCTTGTGTGGAGCGCTTGATCGTCGGGCTTCGAGACATTGGCAGGGTGAAGGTGAACGGTGCTCTTGGTCTCTAAGATGCGGCGGCGATCCAAAGAGCCCTCGATGGCAGTCTGTTTGAAAGTCTCGTTGAAAGCAGGCAACGGCTTTCCACGGTTAGCCTGGTAGCTCTCTTCGCGTCTGCGAGCAAGGTTTGCGTCGGACTCTGCAATCGAGTTGGCGCTCCAGGCCGAGACATCGAAAGCTGGACGAGGTGCTGCTGGCTTGGGAGGCCCGATCGGGCCCGGCGGGGCAACAGCGGCGGAGGCCATTGCTGTCGGGCTGCGGGCGAACGAATCCTGTGAGCGCAAGTCGGGTTGCGGAGTAAAGGTTGAAGAAGGTTGCTCGGCGGGAGGAGGGTGTGTGAAGCGCGGAGGTGAGGTAGGCAGTTTAGTCGTGGCCGGGGGCGGCGCGATCGGGCCCGGCGCCCCGGCTGACTGTGGCTGCTGTGTGTGTCCAAATGTGCCGTTACCGATGCCTCTTTCTTGATTGGGCGGGCCCCACACGTTACGGCTACGCAGCGGTACCCACGGTGTGCCAGAAGCCACGGACGGCTTCCAGGCAGGCACCTTTTGCTCCAACGTCGGTACTACCTCGTCTGACGTGCTCACACCATCCGGCTGTGCCTTTGGCGCCTCCGCAGCAGGAACATCAGTCGACTTCGCTGGCGAAACTTCCTTGCGCTCGGGCGACTTCACTTCCCGCCGTGCTTGCTCTGAAGGCCTGAAATGCTCACCCGCTCTCTTCACAGGATGCGGCTGATGGACCTTCATCATGCCATATTGCGCAACTTCACCCTCGCCTGTGGGTATGGGCGGCTTCGGAGGCGACTGGATAGTAGTCGGCTTCTGCTGAACGTTCGCCATCTCACCAGCAGCGGGCGGTGACTTTGGCTTCTCGACCTTGGATGGCGGCGGACCTAATGCCTCCAGCTTCAGCCGGAGGCGCTCCTTGCGTGCCGCCTCCTCCTTCTCTTCTTCTTCTCGGCGCTTCTGCTTCTCAGCTCTGGCTCGCTCAATCTTGTCCCGCATCATTTGCTCCTGGACTTTGACTTGCTCTTGAATGGCGGCCATTGGGTTCGCGCCGCCATTCGCAGCATCGGGCGAAGCCAGGGAGCCGTCCGCCGGCAGCGGCGACGCTGGCTGGACATGCGCTACTACAGGCGAAGAGTGCTGCGTCAAGGAACCATGATGTGAGGCAGCAGGCGAAAGTCCCCGTTCGCTAGGTCCACCACGTTGCAAGCTGCCTCTTGTCGACATTGGTGGAGCCATGTCAGTTGTAGAATGTGAGCTCCGTCGATCGCGAATCATGGGCGGTACATCCCTACTGAAGGACATTCTCCTGCCACTCCCGCCGCTAACGTTTGACGAAGTGCGCCTGTGAGCCCAAGGCTCCTCAGGCACGCTGGATCTCGAGGTTTGGAAGGCTGCGGAAGGTTCTGCGGGCCCTGATTGAGACGGCCGCTGAAGGACAGACGGTTGTCGGAGTGAAGAGTCTTGACGCGAAGGGCCCCGGCGACTATCTCTCACAGGCTCGTATCGGCCGGATTGGGAATTGAATAGTTCCCTGGGTCCCCGATCATCCCGCCACGATCTGTTAAAGTCATCGGCCGCAATTTCTTTGGCGGGCGAAGGCGCTGGAGGCAGAGCGTCAAAGCCGTGTGGGTCCTTCTGAGAGAATCGGGAAACCGGAGGGTGCTCGGGCAGAGGATTAATGACGATAGGTGAGACCTTCTCAACTGGTGGGAGCGGGGCCCAAGGCGATTTGGCAGGAGTGGGCGCTGGGGACTTTGAAACTAGTGTCGGCTTCGAACCGTCCATTTGGCCCTTAGAAAGCAGCCCTCCTTGCCTAGTCCCACCTGTGACTAAATGCCCCCCAGGCTTTAAAATCGTCTTGGTCCCTCCAGTCAGACTGGGTCCTGTCGAGCTCGGCCGGGATAGAGATGGCGTGGCGGGCTTCGATTCCTCAGCGGGTTTGTCGTCCTTCTTTACTTCCGGCTGCGGTTCCTCTGGTGGGGGCGTGGGTTCAGACGGTTTGACCGTCGATTTGGTACCATCCATCCACTCCACCGTTTCCGGCGCCCAATTCTCATCCTCATCTTCGTCGATATCAGCCCATTTCGACTCCTTTTGGTCCTCATCTGCTTGTAATCTGGTAGCCATGTGGATGCCGAATTGTTGCTTAAGTTCCTCATCCGTGAATTGTTTTACCGGCGGGGGAGGCGTTGCTAAACCTCGTCAGCAATTTTGAATTAAAATAATAAAAATAAAAGAGAGAAAAAGAAACCCGTGTTTGCGCATGACGTACGTCTGTTCTTATTCCAGACCATGTTGGGGTCTGGTCCTGTTCCAGCTCCATTCAACTTTGATAGGGCGGAGCGGCCCAGTGCGCTTCCAACGCCGCTGCCAGACTTAGCCACAAGTCGCGGCTTCGCTATGGGTTGTGCAGTGATAGATGCTTGACTTGTAGGAGCTATTTACATTTTAATTAGCAGCATCCACAAGACTGCGCCAGGCGACAATACCTTTCTCCCCGACCTTCGCTGGTGTCGCTACTGCCGTCTTTGCAAGAAAGTGCTTTGTCACAGACACCGACTTGAAGGATGTTGGTTTCTTGATTGTTGATCTGGTACCATCCTTCCCAGCACGGCTCGTGTCCGTGTCCGAACCACCGCTCGTGTCGGCCGCGGATTGTATACCCGAGGGATCGTCCAAGGAGGGCAGCGGCGGAGCGGTACCATTGGGAGTGGATTCCTTTGGAGTTTCTGAGGCAGCATCAGTCGCGGGCTGTTTTTGCGATCCATCAGTAACAGGCTGTGTTCGAGTCAGCGAAAGTACCGCGCCTAGTCCAGCCACCGCAGCTTACCGACGGCTTTGCCGCATCGCTTGACTCGGAGAGATTTGTCTTGGGTTCAGGCGCACGGGGGGGCGTAGCGTGCGTGGGAGAGGTCGCGAGTTGGTCTTGGTTGAAAGAGTTGGTGTCCGGAGCCGCGCCGGCGGACGAGTCGCTGGTAGTTGTCGCATTAACGTCGATGGGCGAGGGGCCACCCATCGACTGTGCTTCGTTTACCACATCGTGGGTGATCTGCTCTGCCATAACAAGTCGCGAAACTGTGTCGGCAGAAGATGCGCCGTCAGAACCAGTGTCTTTGTCTGCTGATGCTGGAGAGGTGGTGGCGCTGCCAGCATGGGAGCCCTCGACTACAGGGCCGGGACTGCATGCGCGAGCAGCAAGAGAGCGCGGCATATATACCTATGGTCAAATCTTGGTAGTCGCCACGGGTAATGAGTACACGCTTCGGCAAGATGTCGAATGCTTGGCGATGGAGCAAGCTCACGCCGGGGTGGAGCTGCTGTCGGAAAAACGACGCGGAGTGGAGTGATGCGCGAGCTGGAAGCGGCCTGGGAACCAGAGAGGAGGGGCTTCGGGTGGGTGAAGCCGGGGCGGAAGAGGGGGAGCGGAGGCGTCGTGGCCTTAGATGCGCCGGGGTTGGGGGACGGGTGGTCGTTGAAGGGGAGGTCGCAGCTGGAGGCGTACGGTAGCCGGACGGATTGCGGCAGGGCACTCGCCGCCAAGCGTGTCCGCCCGCCTTCGCAACCAGCCTTACACGGGCGGTCACCGGCACCCAGCACCACCTGAACACCGGGGGATCTGAGCTCCTGCGCCTCCGGAGGCGATCGCTGCGGGTGCGCTCGCTGCATTCCCTTCGCCAGCACTCCCGTCCCGTTAGCTCGACGATGCCCGCATGTGCGCTGTGCCTCCCATGCGTGACCCGCGCCGTCGATCCGGCCGCGCAGGACAGGCGTTGTGACGGCCGGCATCAAGGCAAGGAGGCTTGCGCGCCACCTCACCGCGACCGAATCTCACATTTTGCATTCACCAAACAACTGGCACAGGGGCTAACCCGGCGGAAAAGGCTTCAGACTCGATGGCACATTCCAGGATATTTACACACTGCAGCCGGCACTTTGCTTCTAGTCTAAACGCTCGCACATCTAGTGGGCGTTGTTCTTGTGGTGGCCTGCAAACTCGTCAGACTGTCCGCGCACCGGCCAGGGGAGCGCGTCAACTTACGCAGGTGGAAGTAGTAGTTCTGGGCATAGCCGATGATGATCAGACCGCCAATGAGGTGGACGAGGGCTGCAGCGCATCAGGTCAGACATTCTTCATGAGAACAACACTCAGTTAGGGGGGTCTTACGCATGCCCGAGGGGTTCTTGCCAAAGTACCTGGCCTGGTACCTCTCGAGGAGACCCTTGGGCTGCGGTGCCGGAGCGGGGCCCCGGGGCAGCTTCTCGTAGAAGCTCACGACACGCTGCATACGGACAGCATCTTGAGCGCCGCCGATAGCCTTTTCCATCCGTCAGTCCATGTCCGTCACATAAGTCGTTGGTTGCACTCCGCTGCGCTACGCGGTCGCGGGCTATCGGCTTTTTTTGGGGGGGGCACCGATGTCGCACTCCGGGTCGGGCCCTTCGGGGGAAGCGTTGGGGCAGTGGCAGGTCACTTACATTCGGCGAAGCAATCTAGAATGGTCGGTCAGCGATGGCTCTGCGCAATTCAACAGACGAACGTACCTTGGGAGGAATGAGGGTCGAAAGACCGCGCTTGGCGATGTAGCTCATCTCGAGAGGTCTGAACTCGGTCAGCATCGGCATCGGCAGGCAAGGACAAGCTAATTGGGGTGCGGCCGTCGTACATTGGCGTGGAGCGGAGATGGTTGGGGTGTGTGCTGCGATAGCAAGCCGCAAAGGTCGATGAGGTCGCAGGAAGTGCTGCTGCGGTGAAATGGCGGCATTGAGGTCTTGGCAGCCCTTCCCCCGGCGGCCCTAGGAGCGGCGACCTACATCACATACCCAACCGCTCCGCGCTCAACCCACCACGCCGCAATCGTCGCCCGACCCGTCCTCAGAATGCAGCGGGCATTGAACTCTCGGCTGCTCGCCGCAGCTTCGCGTCCTGTGGCGCAGCGCGCCTGTGCTCCTACGCGCCGCTTCTACAGCGCCAACACCGAGCCGACGCCAACCACCACCCCCTCGGACAAGCCCGGTGTGCAGGCAGGCGATGCCTCGGTGGTCTCGAAGGAAGGTCCTTCTGAGGCCATGGCAAAGCATAACCCTGACTACAACGTGACCGTGGATTACCGCACCTCGTGAGCAGCCAATGGGAAGCGAGATAGATAATACCGAATACTAACTGCGCGCAAGAACCTTCTCTCCCATCCCCAAGCGCGTCATGGACGGCAGCGAGCCTGGTCAGGCTGTTCCTGCCGCCGTTTTATCGGGCGCCCCCGTCGATCTGCAAGCCCGCACTGTCCGGTACGCTGCTCGCCGTCGGCTGGTGTTCAATGCATTCAATGCATGCTGACGTCCTTCAAGCATTTACAAGCCCTCTAAGCCCGCCACTCAGTCTGGCGATTGGCACTCGCACCACTGGCAGATGGACTGGGACCCTCTTTCCAAGGGTCACAGATGGGAGAACCCGTTGATGGGCTGGCAGTCGTCCGCTGATTTCATGCAGGGCGAGCGCATGTTCTTCAAGAGCAAGGAGGACGCCATTTCCTTTGCTGAAAAGCAGGGCTACGAATACTTTGTTCAGGAGCCCAATGAGCGGAGGATCGTTCCCAAGGCGTACGCCAATAACTTCTTGCACAGCCCCAAGAAGCTCAAGATCGTCCGGACAAAATAAGAGTTGAAGCGCGTTGAGGTCTGTACATATCAATCTAGCAGAAGACCAGAACGGCTTAAAGGAACGCACTGGGAAATCACAAGTATTCTGAAGCAGGACTAAGGAAAATAGGAACATGCGGCGAAGCCAGAGGGTGAAGCCCCCCAGTAGCAATGTGGGTTTGATTGCTCAATGGTACTTTAAGATGCAAATCCTAAGGGACAAGCTCAGACATGAGTCACAGTAGCTGATATTAGGTATCAACAGAAGCTGGCCAGTTTGTCGGCATGCAATGGTTCTGGATAACCTCTGATAGGATTCTGATAGACAAACTCCCATGGTGACAAAAACTTATAGCGCGTCCACAGCTTCTAGGTGTTGAGAAGGGCCCTACCCTGGAGTGTGCTGAGCTTCGATAAGAAACCTGTCTCGATTACATTAGCTACAAGCCTTTCATTATTGTAATTCCGCTTAGCCGCAGGAACCGAGATGCCAGACTCGGTAACGCAAACAAGACCGCGTAGCCTCATCGACAATAACACGAAACGTGCGGCGGGAATGGTTTGTGATACAGATCTGAGCGAAACGCACGTCCGTTTTCCCTTCTGCCTGTCTAAATATACCGCATGAAATAGAGATTTGCGGAACGACCAGGCGACCAGTAAGTCGCTCAATAGCGATACCAAAATGAACATGTACTTGTGGCCGCATCAAGATCATATGACTTGATGTAGGCCGATTAGCCATGCAGCTGTTTACATCCGCAATCGCGCTGTGTGCATTCAGATCACTGTTCATTTTCAACGCACGCTGTTCGTAATTTTTTGATTCGAGGCAAATCCCAGTAGCCCCCACTATCTCATGTCAAAAGATAGATCTACAATGACGTGTCTTTTGTCTTCCGGCCTCACCCTCCCTTAATTACCGGACCGTAGCACCCTTGAGCGTCGTGACCGTGCAGAGACCGGCGGCGGTCTTCAGCTTACCCAGACCGGTCTTCTTTTCCGCGCCCTCGCCAGCGAGTTGCGGCACGTCGCCGACCTCAAAGCCAACCTCGAGGTTGTCGGTGGTGGTGAAGCCCGGCTGAAGTGTCTCCCAGACCTTCTTCTTCGGGTTCAGCACGCCCTCGGGTTCGCCCTCCCAGCCCTCGAAGAAGACACGGTCACCAGCCTTAGCGTCGGCAGGCGGGTTGACGAGCTCAACGGGACCCTTATGGCTGTCCTCACCCTCGGCGACCTTGGGCGAAGCCGCAAGCACCATGGCGCAAGACTTGATGCCGCGCATGGTGACGGGCTTGAGGTTGCAGACAGCAACAATCTTGCGATTCTGCATCTCCTCGAGGGGGATCAGGCCGTTCAAGCCAGAGCAGACGGTACGAACCACCTGGCCCTCGTATTCGGAAGTGTTGTCGGTTCCGGGTGCGTCACCGACAGCGATGGTCGAGACGTACAGGCTGTCGGCGTTGGGGTGCCTCTCAGCCTTCAGAATGTGACCCACGCGGAGATCGATAAGGGAGGGAGACAGCGGCTTCTCAGCAGGCGCAGCCTTTTGCGGCTTGGGCTGCTTCTCCTTCTTTTCCTTCTTTTTGTTCTCCTTGCCGGCGCCGGCGGCCGCGGCAATGGCCTCGCCGGCCGCCTCAACCTTGTCATGGGCCTTCTTCTCCTTCTTGCTCTTGGCCTCGCCGCCAGTAGCAGATGTAGGGGTGGCGCCGCCCGCAGCAGCAGCAGCAGCCTCCTTCTCCTTCTTCTTGCGCTCTTTCTCGGCCTTGGCGTCAATGGGCTTGATGGTGAACTTGACGTCGTTCTGGTCAACCGTGACCTTCTCCTCCTCGCCAACCTTCAAACCAAAGACCGGAGCATTCTGGATGAAGTCGACAAAGCGCACAATATGGTGATAGCCCTGCTCGCCCGTCCTCTCCTCCGGCGACCACTTCGAGACGACCGGGGCCAGCTTCGCGTACAAAGCCACGTCAGCCACTGAGGGCTTCGCTCCCAGCACGGTGGTGCGAGTGGACAGGTGGGTGTTCAGCGAGGACAGGCGCTCGGCGCGCTTGGCCTCGTCCTCGGCGGCGGAGCCCACGTGGGAGGAGGTAATCAGCCATTGAGTGATCTCGGTCTTCTCAGCGTCGGTGTACTGGACATTCTTGAAAATGGCTCCCGAAAGCTTGACCGCATCGGCATCAGTGGCGGCTCCAGCATCGGGGTACGAGCGCTGGAGGAGCGAGAGGACGGGCCCGTCGAACGAGGTAGCGGTAGCCATGGTGCGGGCGGGGGTGAAGGCGGGGTGCAGAAGAGGTTGGCGCGGGCGTGTTTGAGACGCAATTGCAGGGGCAAAAGATGACGTAGATAGTTTGCTCGTCCGTATGCAGGCGAATGCGGTGCGGTGCGCAGTTTTCAGGCGGGATGCGCAGGAGATGCGGCGGGGCAACAATTTCGTGGTGGGCAGCATCGAGAATTGTCGGCGTGTGAGTCAAAGCGCGAACAAACCCCGACCGCCCAAAAACGCAGTCGTCATCGGCGGTTTCATGGTACCAATGCGTCCATGCATAGCAATCTATATTATTGACTCTATTTCATTTCTTTTGAAACTTGCGCCCGTTCGCAGCATACTAAATAAAACGCATGTTACACTGCCAAACGTGACGCTGGTATACCAACGCACAATGCTAAAAAAAAAACATGTAGTAATTGCCATCATCATGTCCTATTGCCCTGACTAGCCCAGCTTGGTCAACGTTTAGGCCTTCGAGGCCTTGAGCGCCTCGACAAACTCCGCCGGCGGCTGCTGGAAGTAGCCCTCGGGGTTGTTCTCCGTCCACTTCCACAGATCTTGGCAGGCGTCCTCCAACGTGAGCTCAGTCTTCCAGTTGAGCTCCTTGTTCGCAAGAGTGGGGTTGGCCGTGAGGTCCAGCACATCACCCTGGCGGCGCTCGACAACCTGGTAGGGCAGGTCACGGCCAACAACGTGGCTGAAGGCCTTGACCATCTCGAAGACGGTCGAGCCCCTGCCGCTGCCCAGGTTCCATGCCTTGACACCAGGGTTGTGCTCACGCAGGTAGTTCAGCGCAACGAGATGGCCCTTGGCAAGGTCGAGAACGTGGATGTAGTCACGGATGGCAGTACCGTCCTTCGAGGAGTAGTCTACACGAGTCAGTACCGCTTGGCTTGCAGGAACGATTGTGCGAAATGCTTACCATCGCCGAAGACAAGCAGCTTCTCCCTCTTTCCAATGGCGACCTGCGCGAGGAGAGGAAGCAGGTTGTAGGGGACGCCCAGAGGGTTCTCGCCCATGATTCCGCTGGGGTGGGCACCAGCGGGGTTGAAGTAGCGCAGCAGGGCGCCATTGAACTTGTCGCCATTCTTGCCCGCCTTCTTCGCCTTGTTGCGCTCGGCCTCGACGTGGTCGGTGATCATGGCCTCAACAGTGGACTTGGTGCGGCCGTAGGTGTTGGTAGGGCCAATGGGGCAGTGCTCGGGAATGGGGATCATGTTGGGGACCCTCGTTGCGTCGCCATACACGGTGGCCGAGGACGAGAAGACAATGTTGGTGACATCGTGCTTCGCCATGGAGCGCAACAGGGTCAAACTGCCCTGAACGTTCACGCGGTAGTACTCGAGGGGAATCTCGCCCGACTCGCCGACAGCCTGAAAGAAGGACAGGTCAGTATGAGTGCCCCTTGCATGGTGGGGTTGAGCGGCGCACCTTGAGAGCGGCAAAGTGAATGACATTGTCGATGTCGGGGTGCTCCTCAAAGACCTTGTCCAGAGCGGACTCGTCGGTGATGTCGACCTTGTAGAAGAGAGGGCGCTTGCCACTGATCAACTCGATGCGGTTGAGGACCTCTTCGTTCGAGTTGTACAGGTTGTCGACAATGACGACCTTGTAGTCGGCATCGAGCAGAGCAAGGGCGGTGAAAGAGCCGATATAGCCAGTGCCACTGTGCAAAGGGAGTCAACAACAGGGACCGACAGGAGGGCAAGCGAAAGGGCTGCAACAGCGGACGCGCGACGTGGAGCGACAGGCGCATGGCAATGGCAAGCGATTGCGCGCCTGATCGGACCTTTGCGCAGCGCGGCGGGGTACGAGGCGAACTTACCCGGTGACGAGGACGGAGCCGACAACCATGATGGAGCAATTGAAGCGGGAGTTGGCGGGAGTGAAGCGAGAGAATTGCAGCAGCAAGCAGAGGCAGCTGGAGGGTGGCAGAAGAGTATATGTAGGCCGGGGCGGGTTGGAGGGGAAATGAGCGGAGGGCAACCCACCTGCACAGGCGAGGATCCTAATCAGTCTCCAGGCGCCCCGTGCGTCGCCGGAGGCTGCCCAAAGCTTCGGTGGCGTCATGGACTGTGGCGCCGCGGCACGCGCGTGCGATCTCTGGCCGACGCGTCGCAACACCAAAACACGATCGCGCATCATCCGCCTGCCCACGCCCGCCCACGCCCGCCCGCGCCCGCCCGCCGCCCGCGCCCGCGCTTTGTCTGCCGCCCGCGCTTGCATCGTCTCTGCAAGCGGCTACTGCTCTGCTGCCTGTGCCGTCCTATGTCCGGACGATGCTGCCTTTATTGAGGTCCTTTGTTCGCTGGACATGTCAAGGAAGCAATTGTATACCTGGGCCGTTGCTGCTTCCGCCGTCACCGTGACTGCCGTATAGCCTCACCCAGCGACACGCCGTGCCTGCCGCCGCGCCATTGCATCTCGCCATAGCTTCACCAGCCACCGACTTCCCGAAACACACTGCCTGGTGAAAGTCTCCACCTGTAGGTTTTTTCCTATTGTCCCTTCTCACCGCGCCTCCTGCACAATCGCCCACAATTGCTATTGTGAGTTTCAGGTGGCTGTCAAACCTTCATTACCGCCTCAGCCCAAGCTTTCTTTTCCTCTTTCCTCAGCAGCATCCTCGACCGAGACTTCCGAACTGCCTGGCGCAATTCGATATCTGCAAAGCTTGCCCAACCACACTTTTCTTCTTCACCAGCTCTTTTGCCTCAAGCGTCAGCTTTCTTGCCTCCAGCTTCCTTCCACCACGTTCCTGCTCTTCCAACATCACCCCAGCTCACCGACCTGTCTACCATTATGCCTGTCACGACTCGTTAGTCACTACCCGTCTTCAGTCTTGCCTCCTCAACCCCCGCTGACTTGCGTCTAGGCTCTCGCGCCTCTTCGGCTGGCCCGTCCGACATGGCAACTCCTCGCCGCTCCACTCGCATCGCCTCGCGCACGCCGAGCGTCGCTGGCTCCGATGCTGGCTCTGATGCCGGTGACCGTCGCCGTGATGGTGCCTCCATGACTCCAGCCAATGCCAGTCGCGTTGGCCGCCTCATTACCACCCGCCCCGCCGGTTCTAGGGCTTATGGCGCTTCTGGATCTGAAGATCGACTGTCCGAACCGCCCGAGATGGCTGAAGCCCCCACTGTTCAGGAGGGTTTTGCCGCCACCTTCTCGAGGCACCGTGACAGAGCTCGTGTCTCTGTCCCTCGCACGCTTGCTGAGAACGACGAACACGTCAGGGTCCCCCCTACCATTCCCGAAGCACGCGAGACTTCCTCCTCTTTCAAGAAGTCTAGCTCTGTTCGCACAGCCTCGCGCCGCTCAACCTCCAGCCACCATTCGGGCTCCAACAGCAAGCGCATCCCCAACCAGTCTGCTGCTCCCAATGACGACGGCCATGCGGTTTCCGGCAACACTCGCATCCCCACTCACCCGGCCGCGGTCAACGACGCCGTCCCGGTTTCCAATGTCATCCACGTCCAGAGCCCGTCTGCCGCTCCCAACGACGATAGCCGCCCCGTCACTCGCGATACCAATGAGAGCTCCGTCCTGCCCACCAGGAGCTGGAACGACCTCTATGAGGCTGCTTTCGTTGGATGGGCCAACTACAACCCCGCTTGGTACGATGTCGCACGTCGCATCATGCGCAACTACCTGGCTCCTATCATCTCGGTCTTCACGGTCATCTCGAAGTTCGCTGCCATGGTCATCGGCTTCCTCTCCACCATCTTCTTCTTCTATCTACTCCTCGATGTGTCTTTCAAGAGCGTCTTCGACCGCAGCAACACCACCTCCGGCTTCATGCGTGAGAGCTCCCTAAAAGTCATCAGCGTCATCACTGGCTTCGATTCCGTCAACCAGCCCTTTCCGATTATCGGTGAACTCAGCAGGCTTGATTACCTGAACAACAAGGTTGGCCAAATCGACAAGGCGGTGGGAATTGTCCAGGAGGATATCATCTACCTTCACAGCAAGATTCCTGAGTACGTCATGCTCACTCATAACCCAAAGACCGGTCGTACCGAGATTCCTGGCGCCTTTTGGCACGCTCTTCGCGACAACTTGGCCAAAGAAGGCATTGTCGCCGGCAACCGTGGCGACGCCCCGTCCTGGACCAACTTCTGGCAAAACAACAAGGCTCACATGGACGCATACTTGTCGGACGCAGTCGACGCCAAGCTCAAGGATGCAATCCAGAAGAACGCACCCGTTGACAGGGAAACGTTCATCGGCATGGTGCAGGACCAATTCCAGCATCTGGAAACCCGTGTTGCCGACATGGAGTCGTCGTGGAACAGCAAACTGGACAACAAGATCAAGGGCCTTCTCGCGGCCCTGCCAAAGGGCCAACTGGACACAATGGCCAACAACTTGTTGTTGGAGAACGCCTGGACGGCTCTCCACGCCGTCAACTTCTTCTCCAGGAGCCTGGGGGCCGTCGTGGACCCTCATCTCACCTCCCCCACCATGGCCTCACGTGGCTTGGCCAGGAGAGCTCTCGAAAAGCTAACCTGGATCCCCGGCGATCTCCCGCCCGCCGCAGCTCTCGTGGGCTGGGAGGAGCCTACAGACTGCTGGTGCGCGGCGAGGTCTCCGGGGTCCGGGAAGGCGCAAATCGGGGTCATCATGCCCCACAAGATTGTGCCAGAGACTCTCCTGGTCGAGCACATCCCTCGGGATGGCACTCTCGACATTGGAAGTGCTCCTCGGGGGATGGAGGTCTGGGTAGAGGTGGAGGATGAGGGGGGCCGGGCGGCCTTCCCGGCAATAGAGGACAGGCCGGGGGAGAGGTTTGTTCGGGTGGGGAGCTTCGAGTACAGGGTTGACGCCTTGAACCATGTTCAGGCGTTCAGCCTGAACTCGGAGCTCCTCACCCCGGTCAACAAGGTGGTGGTGAGGGTGACGGGGACCTGGGGCAGGGACTGGACCTGCTTGTACCGGCTGCGCATGAATGGCAGGCCGGTCGACGAGTTCAACGGGTACTCGGAGTAGCGGGCCGGTACAGGCAGCGCTCCAGTCCCACGTCCCAGGGTCCCCGGGGGATTTTCAGGCGGGTGGTTTTTCTTGTTTTTTTGTTTCTTTGTTGTTTTGTCTTCCTTTTTTTTTTTTAACAAAAGCATAGCGCGGTGTTCTCGGGCGGTGGGAGGGAAGGGAGAAGGGAGGGGCACTGCCCCATCGTCGACGATAGATTACTCTCTGGCTGCACCAGCAGCATGAATCCATGGATGCCACCAACTTGATGTGTGCCTTGTGAAACCAAACGTCAAGTCTCAACACCTGGGTAGCACGATTTCCAGCCAGATTGGGCAGTAGAAAGTACCTGTTCTGTAGTTATTTCGAGCTCTTTGAACTTCCAAACTCACCACACGTTCGTAAATGCTTTGTAATATTCCATGCTATGACTCTGTAGTACTATATAGTTCAAAGCTCGAGTCCAATCGAAGAGCACACTAATAGAACTGTTGAACATCATCATCACGAAGATGACTCTCACAGATGATGAACCTCATTATCAGATCACATGCATCACGTATATCACATGCTGCCCGAACCTTATCATCGTATCATCATGATCAACCCCCCTTGCTATCCCTTTCTTCGCGCACATATAAACCACCTGTAGTAGCAGAGATTCAATAATAGATCATCCAGCTATCAGCTTCTCTTCCTCCACCCGGCTGTGATCACCCATCCAACAAGAACTTAGTGCGGACGAAAGCCGAGACTATTCCTTGGGAGGAGACTGACATTTTCGATCATCTCCCGCCCTCATATTTGCCTACAGATCGTTGCATCACTCGGGAAGACCAGTCCTCCACAATCACGAGGTTGCCTCGCTTTCACGCATGATCATCCTCGGTGGATGCTGGAACTTCGCCTCGCTCGAAAAGAATCAGCCTGATTCCTCGGCATTAGACCGATTTGCAGCTCTGGCTTCGTTACGTGCGTAGCTTTCCACTGCTCGTCACACGACGTCGGCAAACAGACGCAGTGTTCGCTCCGGTGACAGTTAATGTAGATCTACGGCTAAGGTTTTTCCCCCAATTATCTATCGGCTGCCAATTCTCTCCATCCTATTTTTTTTTTGGCCCCCCTTCCCTTCTTGAAGCCACTTGGAACCATGCAGAGCCGACGATGATCTCCTGCCTCTCGGTTTCGACCACAAACGCCCAGTACTTTCCTACCTACGTCCGCCGTCACCACAGTCAACTTCGACCTACAGGTCATGCAAAGGAAGCCCTCGTGCATCGCGATGTCGCTAGTCCAATGTTACTCGGCCCTTACTCATGCTTTTGCGACCAGGAGGAATGCACAGGACCTCACCTTACGGAGAATCATAACGTGAACGGGGTACATCAGTGGTCAGGAAAGGATTCACTTGAGCCTGCGTTACAACCCATTCAGACTACAGCTTCGCGACACATGTCCTCTCACCCTTGCACTATCTCCGTGTTCCTCCGCCCCCACCATCCGCAAAAAGAAATACCGAAGGGAAAAAAAAAGAGCAAACGAACACCAATCAAGCCGAGTTCTTTCTCAAGAACTCGCGGGGTAATACCTTTTGCCTCTTCCAAAATGCCCAAGCTCAAACGCGAGATGGTAGGTACAGGAAACACGATTACAAGTATTACAAGCATAGCTCCGTAAAAAAAGGACGATGAAGAGACACATCTCTCGTCCATCATGAATAGGAATTTCGCAGCAAAAGAGAACGAGGAACAGCAGGGCGATATCCTCGCACGATTCACTGTCACCGTCGACACAAAGAACACATGCCTACCCTCGAGTCTCGATCATGATTATCATCAAGCCTCCCCGACCTCCAAGCCAGGCACACTCATACCATATCCATCCGTGCGGCCTTCGCGGTCCTTGTTCGAGATTTCGACGCGGAATGCGATGTCGAGCCCGTACCGGCCACCCAGGCCCGACGCATCGATGCCGCTCGCAGCCGGATGCACCGTACCACAGCCCTTTTCGCCGTCGTGCAGCGCGCGGCGCGGGTTCTGCTTCGGGTCCGGCGGCGCCGAGACGGGTTGGCCATCGGACATGACGGTGCTGGGCGCCGAGGCCGTGTAGGCGGACTGGGTCGAGCCGTTGGCGGTTCCGGGAGGGGCGGGAGGGGCGAGCGAGCCGTTGCCGTTTGTGGTGCCGTTGGCAGTGGCGGGCGGCTGGAGGGACGGGTTGCCGTTGGGCGTCCATGATTCCGTGATGATGGCGAAGTTGCGCGAGGGCATGGTGCAGTGGTTCTTGTCGCCCGACTTGTTGCCGACGCCCTTGTCGTCCTTGCCTTCGGTGTTGAAGCCGGGGTCCTTGTCAAAGAGCTCGAGCAGCGTCTCGTCCGTCTCATGATCAAGATGGTGGATCTTGTTACGGCGCGCGAGGAGGTTGGCGACCGGTTGCGGCGGGGGCTTATTAGTGATGGCGCTACTGACAATGTTGATCATGTAACGATGATCACGCTCGACAGGGATTTTCAAAGCAGGGTTGCTGTAGAAGCGGCCGAGGGCTGCCAAGTGGACGTCGCCACCGAGGATGGTAACGCGCACGCTGTACTGCTTTGCGATCTCTTGCAAGCGCAGGACCAGCTCCTTACGCTCGGCCTTGTGGTTGCGGGCGGTATAGTGGTCATCCAGGTCATCCAGCAAGTCGACCTGTCCGTCGAAGTGGTTGAAGAGGCTTCCCGCCAGACCAAAGCGTTTGTTCATGAAACGGATGGGGCCAATCACAGGGCTCTGGAAGATGTTTTCAAGCCACTGGAGTCGCGGGTACGCGATGGGGACACCAAGAAGGAGAACCAGGTGTTTAAGCTCCCGGTTGGACGAGAACTCCTTGGACAAGCGGTCGAATAAAAGATCGTAAGTTTCAGGATAATTGACCTGGTGGCGAGTACGCTCGGTGCGAGCGTCAATACCCAAGAAAGCAATGCGAGCGCCGAGCTGGCAATAGATGGATCGGCTGCGCTCTTCCACATACGGACCAGGTTTCGCTCCGATGATGTACGAGTCATCCTCTTCTGGCTCATCTGCGACGAAAGTATCCTTCATCTGCACAGGATCGGCTGGAGTTCCGTCCTGACCAGGCGCAACAGTGTCCGGAGCATCCGAAGTGAAAGTGCTCTTCGGACAAGCAACATGGTGTTGGAACAGAAGGTAGTACCTAGGCAGAACAAAGTTAGCCAAGATTCGTCATTCCAGACCGGAAAGGGAAAAGTTCCATGTCTTGCACACGTGTCTCGACGTTTTCAGGGAGCAAGCATTTGAAGGTTCTGAGACATTGCTGGGACAATGGAGGAGAGACAGTACGTACTTGTGGGCAACTCCACCAATGCCACGGAACACGGCACAGCGCATGAAGTGGTCAGTGTAGGAACCAAAGCCGTCAATGATATCGTGATCATCCCAGATGTTCAGCTGGGGGATCTGGCCATTGGCGTCGGCAAAGGGCCTCGTGGTGTACCAGCGGACGTAGTTTTTATAGTAGTACTCGTCGCACTCGGCGCGGAGCTGCTCGCTGAAGGGGAAATGCTGGCGCTTCTTGGGGTTGCCAATGTCGGTCCAGGCCTTGAGAGGGCCATCAACACGCACGCCGTCATTGTAGATCTGGTCGCCGCCGCCAATCATGACATGGAAGGGCTTGTCGGCGTGGATGCGGTTCACGTCGTTCCAGAGGGCAGGGCCAGACCAGGCGTCAACGTCGGTTCCCACACTGAAGCCATTGCACGAGTGGAAGAGAATGCGCATAGATTGGGTAATCGAAGGCACGGCAAACACGCGCTTGGTGGGGTCGCCGTCAATGGTGGCGCCTCCAACGGGCACCAGCTTGGGGATCTCGTACTCCCAGCGCGCCTCATATTCGCTGAGGGGCACGTCGATGAGGAAGCGCCAGAAGGCCTTGCCCGGGTCCTCGTACAATCTGAAGCCGTCGAAGGAGCGCGTGTCGGGGCGGGCGGGGCCCGTGGAGCGGTCGACGGCGCCGACCTCCCTCAGGAGCAGCTGGGGGCGAATCTGGCCGGGGGTGGTCACGATGAGGACGCTGCCATGCCAGACGGGCCGGCCCGAGGCGGCGCCGCTCATCTGCCTGTAGTTCAGCAGCGGACCGCAGTGAACCTCCAGGGCATCCGACGTGCTCACGACCTGCGGGCCGAGGCCGAGGCCTGGCTCGCCGCCCTGGGTGGTGTGCGGGACGGTGGCGTCCGTCTCTTGCGGGTGCACAGCATGCTGGCCCGGGGGATTGAGGCCGAGGTGGTCGGCGACGGCGTCGGCGGCGGGACCGGTGGCGGTGTTGTGGTCGGCGGACATGGTGTGGACTCGAGGAAATTAAGGACAATTAACGCGCAAAACAGCAAAGGGTATCCAGAACGGCGGGGGCGAGCGGTCGCGCCCGGGGGTATCTCAGCGAAAGGAGGGAGGGAGAGGGCGAAACGAGAGACTCGAGGCAAGGTGTCGCACGGGTTTGTAATGAGCGGATGGAGAGCGGTGTTTGGCGCGGCGGGAGAAGGGATGCGCCAAGACGGCGGCGATCGGCGGGGGGTCGTCATTGGCCCCCAGCAGCTCCGGGAGCCCAGCCGCCAACCCTGAGCTTCGCCAGCACCAGCCAGGCCCGCCATGAGCTTGTCGCGCGCTCGCTCTGCCTGTTGGCACCGCAGCAGAGTGAGCAGGGTGGCAGGCTGCGCGCTCCAGCTGCGCGGCTGCTCAGCTGCTCAGGGCCCCGGTCCCTTGCTCCTTGCTGCGGGCTGCGTGCTGCATGCTGCCGGCCCCTATGCAGCTTTGGGTCAGCCACACGCTGGGCTGTGCTCCGCCCATCTCAGGCCACTGCCCACTACCAATGGCACCAATGGCACCAATGGCGGCCTCCTGCATCCCCGCCGCACTCGTTCCGCCTGCTTTTCCGCGGCCACAAGTCACAAGTGCCAGGCCTGCTGGAAGCCTGCTGGAAGCCTGCCGGGCTTCCTTCCATCCACGTCATGGGCGGGGCGGCATCCAATTACGGGCTGCATGACGCTGCCGTGCGGGCCGACTAAGCGAAGCAGGATAGGGCTGACGGGGTGGAGGTGGAGGCCAGCCTGAGCCAGCCTGGAGCCAGCCTGAGCCAACCTGAGCCAGCCTCGGTGCCACCATGCCTCGTTGCGCCAAGAACGGAAAACGTGCGCCAAGACCACCTCTGCTGTCTCCCTCATTGGCCTGTTTTCTAGCCTGCTATCAGCCGCGTCCTCTGCCTGCCCGCTAAGCTTCTCTGATGAGCTGAAATTGGCCTTGGTTTGGCCGCCCGCTAACTTCTTTGCCCGCGTGATCCCCGAAAAGTACTCCAATAATGACGTTCGCTGCCTTCATCGCACTCCAGTGCCTACTTGTGAATTTCGGCGTGCTGGAACCAGAACGCCGGTGACCGTATTCATGACCAACAGCTAGTTACAGAAACATGGTTTGCTCTGGTTTCCCATCCACCGTTCGAACGGCCGAAGCACCACATACGTAATAGTGTCCGTGACACACCACGTACGCTGTCACTTTCAGCTGGAACGCGTCGCGTCATGACCGGGCCAATCCACTGAAAAGTCAATTTCCTCATAGAGGCGTTGCCATGGTAATAACAATTTCCCATACAAGGTAGTCAGCCAAATTCGAACTTTCTGACCTTCTCAACCCATCTCCCATCTCCCACCTCCCATTTCTCCACTCAACTCCGCAGCAGACGCAAACATCCGTTGTAGGAAATGAAAGAATCAAACTTCGAATCGAAGGAAAGGGCCCTGATGAGCGGCCGCCAGAACTTTGCTATCATACCCCTGTAAATCATCCAAACGCGCTCCATTCATCTATGTCGCCATTGGCTTCAGGTTTATTCTGCCTCTTGACATCAACCGCCCTTTCTTCCCCCCCGAAGACCGCCAAATTTCTGCCGTCACTCTGCCTTGACCATGCATAAGCACGGAGAAAAATCCCAATACGCTGTACAGGACATCATTGCATGCTCCCAGCGCCGGCTTCCCATGGCCCTGAAAACTGTCATTGTCCTGATAGTTCATACGTAGACCCGTTGTTCGGAGCAAGCAGGTCCGCTTAAACCTGCTCGGCGCCCCAACCGGCGTCGGCGTCGCGCATGTTCGCCGGGGGCTCGATGGACGGGATGTACTCGAGGACAATGTAGGCGATGCCGACGATGCCGATGATGGTGCCGGGGACGTACTGGAACCAGCGATCCGCGAGGATGACGGTGCCGACGAAGACGTAGACTGCGAAGGTCCCCATGTCGTCAGCCGCGTGTAACCATTTCCCCCCCCCCCGGAATTTGTGACAATTGAGCTGAGGAGAACAAGGCAGAAAACTTACAGACACCACGTCCCAGGAACGAGAACATGAAGGACGCATACTTGGCCACCGGGGGCGGGATTTGGAACTCGAGACCGGCTGTCGCGGCGCCGAAAAGGACGAGGTAGACGCCAACAATGACCTCCTTCCTGCAGACAGCATCGAATCATACGTCAGCAAACCGCATTCGCTTCCCGTCCGCGAAGCATCATGCGCCATGTGCGCAGCATCTCTCACCCGCTCTGCTTCCCGCCTCGTTTCCCGCGCACTGGCGCGCAGGCTTGTTCGAGCTCTCTGCTGCACAGGAACGGCGGGAAGGGAAGAAGGATCGATTGGGGAGGGTTGCGTCTTACAGGCCGATGGGGAAGAACTGCGCGATGCCGCCGAGGACCATGAAGACGCCAACGGCGAGGTTGACCATGCGGCTGTGTTCATCATCATCGATTAGCACGAATGTCTCGAGAAAGCGCGGGAGCGGGTCGCGGCTCAGGCTTGCGCAATGCGTCGCCCGCAGCTGCCTGGAGCTGTGTGTAGCTCTGTCTGCACGACGGATGAGAGGGAGGGAGCTTACAAAATGTCGGAGAAGTCCATGATGGGCGTATGATGTTTGCGGCTGGAATGCGGGAGATGGTGGGATCGATGGTCGGGTGTTGGTTGCGGCGCGCACACAGAGGTGGAGGTGTGTGTGGTGTGTGTGATGTCGTCGGCGCTGCTGCGCTGCGGCGGGCGAGGGAAAGGCCAAGGCAAGGCAAGCTCTGGCCTTTGGTCGCTCTCTCTCCAGAGTGGCTTCGCTGCGGAAAGCCAGGCGGGCCAAGGGGCCGTGCGTCATCGGCTTGCGACACGCCCCAGCCAGCCCTTTCCCCACGCCCTGTCAACTTGTTGCCTGCCGCGTGCGTGCGCTCACGGCACAACGGAGGCAACGACAATACACGGCACACGCTTGCTGCATCTCATCTCACGTCCGAAACCACGCCCCTGCATCCAGTGAAAATGGGATCTGCGAAGCAACGTATGCATCTTTCTCCCACGTCTCAAAGGGCCCCGAGAAGAGCCCCACCGGCGGCGGCTGTAGTGGTTGGCTTGCACCATTCCGTCTGAACTCCATTCCCTGCCCGGCCACCGTCGCCGAGCCACATGATCCCCGCTTCATGACTTACATCAAATCAATCCGGACCCCCTTCTCCCTTGCCTCTCCGTCAGAAAAACACTACTGTTCTGGCTTCCCAGATATGTACGCCTGCCTCAGCCTCTGGAAAACAAGACGAGAAAGCGAACGTGGTATAACTTGCAGAAACGAGAAACAGATCAAACGCCAAACTGATGCTAGGTCGTCTCTATGCCAGCATTACACTCGGAGTCGCAATAATAGAAACAAACACGATCGTGATCGTGCCAAGGCTGAAGAAAAGACAAAAACCATATTCAACTTCGGGAAGAGGGGGCCTCAGTTGGATCCCCTGAAACCACCACTCCATTCTGCACCGAACAGAAACACCATATGAACATACAGATCAAGGCCGTATAGAGAGAAAAACAGGAACAACAAAAAAAAATCAAGGGTCCGCCGACTTGGGGTTGTGCAGGTAGACATCAGGCACCTTGGGTACTTGCGGGCTCCTTTGAAGCGCCGCTCGCATCGCGTCTCGCGATTTTTCCTTGTCTCTTTCGCCGCCACCCGTCAAACGCCGCATGTGTGATCGGATGCCAGCACGTGTGTTTGCAAACGGGCCTCTTGCTTGGTGGTCGAACGAATGGTTTGGTCTGTAATCGCTGCTTGGCGCACGGCTGAGCGTGAGGTCGTCATCCGATAACGTCTCATCGTACTCATCAATCACCGGCCCGGGCCCAGGTCCGGGAGGCGTGCGTTGTTGGTTGAGAGCTGGAGATGTCACTGAGCGCGAGTGCATGCCTGGCCGAGGCACTGGTAGGCTGGGAACCTGCCCTGAGCCTCCACCCGGCGACGTGAAGGCGGTAGGCGTCATGACGCCCGGGTCGCGGGTTGGTGTGGCCTTCATGTCGGCAAAGCCTGTCTGGAACGAGCTAACGCTTGCGTTGCGAGTGAGAGATTTATGCAGGAGTGGTGCCGTCTGCTGATCGTAAAGATGCTCTCGAATCTGGAGGCCACCGTTCTGGAAGCGGCTCATGCCCGGACTCGACGGCATGTGACCCGCGTCATTGAAATCGTCCTCCTCGTCGAAGAAATCATCCAGACTGTCCAAGGTCATGACCAGGTCGCCAATATGACCATCACCACGCGTGGCATCTGAAGTCATCGTGGCCGTCCTGTCATCGGTAGGGAAATAAGAGCCGGAGAACGACGGCGGATATTCTTCTGCCCTGAACTCGATTTTGGGAGTCGACACTTCGGTTGTCGCAGCCTCGGTCGCTACTGTGGAGTAGAAGACGGCATGCACATTGTGTCTGGTCAGGACCGAGTGTACGGCCGGCATGGGAATAGACCATCCAGTCTCTTCGGGGATTCCGTACAGGCTCTGGGTACGCTCGTATTCCTTACGGAACGCTTTGCTTGAGTGAGAGCCAGCCATGCTCATCCGAAGATGGTGTCGATCCAAGGGCGTTGACGCGCCAGTCAAGGGGATTGTGAGCACATTGTCCAAGACCTGAAGGGCTTGCAGGCAGAACTCAGTCTGCAGCAACCTGAGCAACGGCGATATGAGATCTGAACCCTTCGAAGTCACCTCTGGCTTCTTCATATCAACGTCTGGAATGATGAAACACAGCAACTGCATGGTTCTGATCTTGACCCACGCATTTTTGTTGAGCAACAGGCCCATCAGGAACACCAGTGTCTTGAAATCGTGATCGGGGAAGAAAGCCTCTCGGATGGCGGGCACCATTTGAGTGAGGAAGTCCTTGTCTGTTCGATATCTCATGACTGCAAGAGACTGCAGCGCCTCGGCAACATCACTGTAACCCTTGCAGTCTGCAATATTGGCAATGTTGTCTGCCGATGCCAGCACCAACGAGTCCCGACCCTCCTTCTCGAAGAGCCGGAGATATCGCGGAAGGTTGGCGAGTATGGTGAAGAGGAGGACATCGTCAGGGCCAATCAAGTCGCTTGGAGGAAGAGCAGCAAGCTTCTCGAGAATCTTCAGCGTTCGGTCGTAGCAAGTGCTCGATCTGATTCCCTTGTACACGAGCTCCGCGAGGCCCTCAAATGTGCCATCCCACTGAGAGGGATAGTTTTCTCGGAGGAGCTTCAACACTGCAGGGTCTCCAAGGTCCAACTTATCGAGAAGTTTGTCCAGTATAGCCAGGCTCTCCAGGAACTCGGCTTCATGAACCGTCTGTAAGCACGCACAGGCAGTCCAGAAGAGCTGCGGGTATTGGATAAGATCGCTGTTGGTCAGCGCCTCAATCACCGTCTTCAAAGTCGTAAGGATCTCCATGGAGAAGGTGATGATTTCATCGTCCTCGTCCGAAATCGTGTTTGAAAGTCGCGCCAACATATCTCCAAGCATGTTCTGGTCAAGCGAGCTCAAGATGCAACGGAAGAGCTGGAACGAGCGGCAGGCAAGATGTCGTACAGGACAGTTGGTGGCCCAGCTGAGAGTCGTCTTGCCCCATTCTTCGCGGATTCCTGGATAGGTAATCGAGAAGATCTTCACCACCTCCGTTGCAACGTTGTGCATCGCCTCGGGGACTCGAGAGTCAGACTCATCTTCGACCTTTCCATTGGCATCATCGTATGACCAGACAACCCTGGGGTTGTGCTGCCTGATCGATTCGATGAAATCTTCAATGTATTCTTTGTCCGGAGTGGTGTTCCCAACGTCGATCTTGGAGATGACGAGCTCATGAATGAGGTGCACGAGCATTTCTCGCGCCTGATCCTGCACGACGGGTGTGTAATGATCCCACAAGACCAACACAGCCTGGAGCAACAAAGGCACACTTTCTTTGTTTAGGGCAAGAGGCGACACCATCAGGTCCACCAAAAGAATGAGACATAGCTGACCCATGGAGAATCCAGACTGAAGATGTCAGTACACAATCGTCTTGGCTGTCAGCTCGAAACTTACCTGCTTACTGCCGGCGGCCAAAATGGTCGTAAGGTCTGCCACATAAGGGAAAAGGGCGCAATCTGATGGAACTTGGATAGGTTCACGTTTCTCTGGGGCCATGGATCTTGGCGTGATCTTCAAAAGGAGAAACTCCACGACTTTCGACCCAGCCAAAGTATTGGACAGATAAACGACTATTTGCTTGGCATAGTCCACGAAGTTCTGCTCTCTCTTGTCTGAGCACAGAGAGATGATAAAGTCGAGAACTAATTGGACGTTTCCGGCGTGCGGACCGTTGGCCAATGCCTGCCACAAGGCTTGGATTTCGTTGTGAAGTATGGTTCCATTCTTGATAGTGATTTCCAGGAGGTTCACAAGAAGCATCCACGAATTCGCGGTTGGGCCACCATTGGGGTCGACTTGAAGCTCGATGATCTGGACCCAAGGCAGCATTGCCGCCACCAAATTCCGTTGCTGGTCCGGCTTCAGTTGATTGAAGTAGTAAGAAAACTCGGAGAAGACGAAAAAGGCAAGCTCCGAATGTTGTTTGGCAAGCCTCCGAGACATCTCGAACTGCGCAGCTTTGTAAACGGCGATGGTTTTGTCTGAGATACTGATGTCCAGGTCTTGGAGTTTTGAGTTTTTGTGCTGCCGCTCCTCTAGAATTCGCAGGATACGGGCGGACTTCATCCGAATTTGGTTACTTTCATTGCCCAAAGCATAGAGCCCCGCTGCGAGGACTTTGAAAAACGGCAGTACGTAGTCTTCCCGCTCAGTCATGACCTGGGTGACGACTTCGAAGTAACTCTCAAGGGCCTTTGAACTCTTGCACAGGTAGCACATCTCGATTGAACGCTCAAGAAGATACGGATGATCTTTGTTGTGCAGGATCAAGTTCCGGAGAGCTCGACGACCAATGCTGTGAGACTTGTCGCTGAGGGTGTCAAAGATGGAGTCAATCCATGTGATGAGCCGTCTCACATCGAATTGGAGGTTGACGCCGCTTTCCGTTTGAATTCTTATCGGGCCTGCACACAGAGTTGCCATGGCGCTCAGGGCTGCGGTGCGTAATTCCTTCTTTTCGATCTCCATCGAAGCCGTGGCGTATGTCTTGTTGCCCGGATCCGATTCACGCTCGAGCAGGGAGCGACGCATGGAATCTTCCCTTTGTCGAATCTGGTTCTGATTAGGCGAATAACCACACCAGTCTTCCATTAGGGCAAAAGCGGCCTTTCGAGCTTGGAACGGCATCCAACGGATGGGATCTTTCGTTCTGTTGATGCCCTCAAACAACGCCTCCATGACGCCACAGTAATGTGTTCTCAGCTTGCTGTAGCTCCACTCATTCTGGACTTCTTGGTCGTTGAGGAACAAACGGAGGTCCTTCGTGAAGGTGACCAGATTGTTAAGTATCCAGTCATCTCCATAGATCTCCGGGTCCTCCAGGAAATGAGAGGTCAGCTTATAAACGTTGGTGATCTCGGTCCGGAGGAAATCCACCGTACGATCCCGACGGGGAGCAGACACTGTTCGCTGATGCATTGTTGTTTGCATCATCTGTGTTGCAAGGCGTGACTTTGCATCATCGTTGCATTTCCCGACCAGTGGTTGCAGAGATTCCAAAAGAGTCCTGTAGATGTTTTGGTTGATAGAGCCTAGTCCGATGACAGCTGCTTCTCGGACTGCAGCGTTTGGAGCCTGGAGAAGTGCTGCAACGCGCTCGAAGAGTACATCCGCCGAATAGACTCTATTGGCTGAGGAGGCCTTTTGAGAAGACTTAGATCCCTTTCTCGAATGTGATGTGGTTTGTTGAGATGTGGCTTGCTGGGCTCTGGCGGTGGTCAGCGTGGTGCAGGCGAAGATGAGATAAAGTTTCCACTGTTCTATGGTCATCTCCGGGGAAGTGACCATCCGTGACTTGTTGGCGGCCATTTCATATGAGGGATATGGCGACGGCCGTGGTGCCTGCGCAAGCATTTCAATGTTGTGCTGCATCTGAAACAACCGCCCGCAGACATTGTTTCTGGTGTGGGCAATCGCGAAGGGGCAAATTTCGAAGGCGATCTTGATGAGATTCGGAAACATCTTGAACCAAAGTGTCGAGTCGTAGGGTGCATCGCTGCTGCAAAGCTCCACCAAGGTGCTGTGCAGATTGCTCTTCCGCATTCCTCTCTGCAGCCGGCTTCTCTCCGCGACCGACAGTTTTTCGTCGTTGACGTCCATGACGACCTGAGGGCTCCCTTCTAGGATGCGTATAACCCGGCTACTTTCCCTTCCCAACGCTGTATCAAACTCTGTCACAAGTCGAAGCACGGTGACCGCGAAAGTCCGGACCCTTCGAGATGGCGAGCAGAGGAAGAATAGGCCGTGGGATTCGATCTCGTCCACGTACGCATCGACTCCCATGAAACCAAGTGAAGCAGCCTTATCGCCGTCCGGATCACTCGACGCTTTTTGACTTCTATGCTTGATCTCGTTGATCCATATTTGAAGCAGCTCTACATAGAGCCTCAGGGTGCTCTCAATGTGCCCAGCGCCGAGCATTCCTCCATCGGACATGGTGGCGTAACGGTCCTCGAAGTTGAAAATAAACCTCGCGAACCCAATGGTTACCTGTTGTGCATGGGATTGTCGTGCGATAGATTTCAAGGACTGTGCCGACGAGGCCGCTATGCTACTTTGAACATGCGCAGTGCCCGTACAAAGAAGATTGATTAGATGATTGAAGTGGATGTGCGGGGAGAGACATCTGGGAAGAGCTTGAACCGCAACGTGGAGAAGGTCATAGAAGCCCTGTCGGGCATCCGTTGGGGCAAGGTGATCGTCTCTTCTCCCAAAACTGAACGCTTCGGCCATCGGCGTCTTCGGAGTCGGCGTAGAGAACTTCTCATCGAGGACCGCTTGGCCTCCAAAAGCATTGTCGCAGATAATGGTAATCTCGCCAAGGATCTTGCAAAACTTGTTGTAATACTCTTTTGCAATCTCCGGAAAATCTGCAACAACCACGGGTCTAGACAGTCGTTCCTCTTTGACCGTTACCGCCTTCGTTCGGATACCTGCTGGGGGCCGAGGGCTGACAGGCTGCAGAGGCGCGTCGAGAGGAAACAATAGGTCGTCATTTGCAAAGGATATGGGGAATGGAGGCTGTTCCCCCTTTTCCAAGTCGGCCATGACGGCAAGGAATGCCCTTATTCCTATAACCATCCTCTCTGGCTCCAGATTTTCGACTCTTAGATCCTTGCCGCTTCCGAACTGATCAGAGTTCATTAAGGGGAAAATTATGTTCTTGAAACAAAGATCCTGGTATTTGAAGCCAATAATCCGAATGAGCTGGATGAGGGGCTCTGCAATGGTGGACTCGGTGGACAGGTACGACCTCCTTCCAGGTTGGAACACTAATCGGATGATTTCCTCCAACTTCCTGACTGTGGTTCCGTGGGAATCGGAGACCCTATACAGGTAAACCCAGGCGAGTCGGCATATGTTCCGGAGAGCATGTGGCCTGGTTGTACGTTCCTTAAGCTTGGGTCCTAGCGGCGTGATAAGGCTCATCCAATGGGATGCAAAGGCATCATGAGGCGATACACATGTCAAAACCGTCATGAGGGGGAAGGCGACCTGCCAATGTTTTGGTTTGCTCAGCATTTGTAAGATTCTTGGCTTGATGGTGTCAAGGAAGCGCTTCCACTTCGTGATGTTGACTTCAGACGTGGCATTCGCTGCGATTGGCAACAGTAACTCCTCGAAAAGGTTGCAGTAAGCGTACTTGACGGGCTGCCCGTGGACATCGGCAAAGAGCTCGGCGAGGTTCTGCATCAGGTCGCAGGAGCGACTCCAAGCATCTTCCGGGCTGTACTTGAGCCCCAAGGACTTCATTCCCCGCACAATGAGCACGGCCTTCCCCTCGATGGGCCTGTTGTGGACCCCTTTGATGCTGAGGTGCTTCTGCATTTCCTTCAGGTCAGCGATGAATCGTCCCGCCACGCTGTCAAAATTCATGTCGCTCATGACTCCGAGAAGTCGTCCAAAGATTGACCAGTTAGCGTTCCGGAGAGGCGACTCGTCCAGAGACTCAGGATCAGCCTGCTTGAGCTGGGAGTAAATGATATCCTCAAGTCGTTCCGCCATCTCCTCCGTCACATGCGCCAAGCTGCTCTGGCCGATGATCTCCATCAAGACTCGGCAGAGAAGGTATATGGAGACCGTGGACTTGCGCTCGGCCTCCACAACCTCCCGTTGTAGAGCTAGCGTAGCATGCGTAGGGGCGTGTAAGCTCGTGTATGCCTGGGGTTCTCCTGGTCGTCGTTGGGTGAGATCGCCGGGTGGCATCACTGCTCCCCTCATCTGCCCAACAGGTCAGACCTTGTAATTATCTAGTCGCTAGATGACCCTACCTGATCGAATTCCTTCTTCTTGTCGCTGGCCTTCTCGCTCTTCGCTTTGCGCCAGAACATCAAGGTATCTATCAAAGGCTTCGGCTTTTCGCGCGCGATATGTCCAAGTGCGGAAATCAACTGGTCGAAGGCTGGGTCAACACCGGGGCCGCATATGGCCTCCACTCGCGGTTCCGCACCCTGAACATCAGTGACGCATTGGTTAATTTTCTGGTCTGCCTGCCCAACAAACTACTCGAAGTTAGCAAAGTCCAGCGGCACGCAGGCTCTGCACGTACCGCGTTGAACAGGTGGTGCAGGGCAAGCTCGCCCACAGTGCGGCCATGATGGTGCCGTGACTGCGATCGCACATGCGATTGCTTGATCCTGAGACTGTCGGTGCGTTCGACGCGCCTGGGTTCCCCGCGGTACTGTTGTTCATTGTAGGCACCGCTCACCGATGGCGGGCCGGTGCCGTATCTTGCGCCACTGTTCGAGCCCGACGGAGAGATGGTCGCGGGGAGTTCTGCAAGCTCGTCCTGCTGCATCATGAAGGGGCCATCGGGGCCATTCGCGCCTACGCCACTGGCGGCGGATATGACCTGCGGACTCAGAGGACTGGTGCCTGGCGAGTTAACGAAACTCGTATTCCGCGAGTGTGGTTTTCCATGGACGATGGAAGTGTTGCGATGGTGACCGTACGACTGCGATGGCTTCCTCTCCAGCTTCCTTTCCACACCCGCGTCCGGGCTAGGGCGCTCTCGGGAGATGGCCACGACGGGCGTTTGCGAGCGTGAGGACGGGCCGCGCTGACTGCTCACAGTAGGCGCGCGGCCGCGTGTCACCGACGAGTCGCGAGAGGGAGCGGAGGGGACAGAGGACGATGCGGGAAAGTCGGAATGGTGGTGCGACGGGTTGCCCACATGCTGTCGTGCCTGGGACAGAGGGGGGAGAGCTGCAACGACAACGGCTTGATCAGCAGGCTGCGCGAAGAAACACCAGAAACAACAGCGGCAGAGCGCAGGACGAGGCGTGTATGTGGCGGACGAGGACGGCCGTGGGGCGCGGCATGCACGCGTCTCGATGTGGAAGCACTTTCGTGTGCGGAAATGCCGGGGCGGCTGGAAACACGGAGGGGCCCATTACTCACCCATCCCGCCTGGAGGTGCAGAGACGGCGCTCTACGCGGTGGCCATGGGCGGCTGGCGGATAGGGCGTGCGAGCGGCGTGGGCAGCAGCAATAATTTTATGCCGCGAGAGTGAACAACGCCCATGCGCGCAGGGAGAGGAGCTCGAGCGACGGGAGGAGCCAGTGCCTGACGGCTCGGCCCAATGGGTTGACGCAGTGGAGGGTCCGCCGGCGATGATCGACGGGTGTTGCGGCGAGTCACGGCGGAGCGACGGGTCCAAGGGCGCGCGACCGAGCTGTGCTTGCGTGCTCCTGTGCCTGTCTGTCCTGTTCCTGCGCGTCTGGAGAGCTGCCGCGTCGCCGTCTCCTGAGTGCTTCCTTCACGCGAGCGGGTGGCGCGCCAGCCCTGGTCTTCACAAACGAAACCGTTGCCTGCACGTCAAGGCTCTTGCCAGGGCTGCTGCAGGCCGTGGGCCATGGCCGTTGGCCGCCGACGCAGCAGTCTGCTGAGTGTGCAGCCGCCCCTGCCCCAAGCAATGGAATGCCTGCGCAGCCTGCCGCGCACTAATGACGGCGCGCCTGTGCCTTGCGAGTGCAGCCAGCGGGCCGCGTTCGACGGGGGCCTTGGGTGTGTGCTGATGTCTCGGTGCACGTCTCTCGGCGCCCACCTCAGCCGGGAGCCTGGGGCTGACGGGCGTGTGGGCGGATGATGCGAGCGTCGCCGGGACACCCTTTATTCTTCTGGTTGCCCACCCCCGCAGCCACGCCGGCACGTCTTTGTCGTAGTCAGCAGCGGGCCATCCCCCGCTGTGAGCCCACGGCCGCCGGTGGTGAGTGCTGACTGCGCCGGGCCCGCCGACCGCGTGCCCGAGGCTCCGGAGCAGCCCAGGATAGTCAGGATTACCAAGAATAGACCATCGTACCGTGGGCTTCCGGATTCGCCAGCCCGACGCAGCAGCAGCAAGCTGCACGAAGCACGAAGCACTGATGCAGCGGGTGATGCTGGCCGGCCGAGCTCTCGCCTGGCCGAACGCCGCCGTAAGCCGCCGCCGCGGGTATCTGGGAGCGCGGGCGCCGTGTCCGGAGCGCTGCTCTTCCGCGTTGTAGGCCGACCGCCCCCGGCCAAGCCTCCCCGCCGTGCCCTAATTGGCCTTAAAAGCACAGTTAAAGGAGGGCATCCACGGCTCAGTCCAGCCTGGCTTTCCGAGACCGCGTTCCGCTGACTACGAGACCCGAGGCGACAGACAGCGACTACGGACTACTTGTCACTGTCATCGATCATCAGCCCGTCATAAAACGTGCACTCCGCCCCCAAGCAGTCCTTTTGCAGACAACTGTTCTGCCTCAGCACGGCCGCACGACCGCGCTGCGATCACCGGACCCTTCGGGTTGCCCCAGACAAGCCGAACTCGCTCTCCCACTTCGGACTATTCGGCCTGCCGTGCCGCAGAATCACCGCTCCTCTGACCACGTAGCCAACACAGGGCAGACTCGGTGACGGCCTCTAGCCCCGGCACCAGACAACGCGCGCGCCGGGTGAGTTTTAGCGTTGCCTATATCTCTGCCGCGTCCAGCATCGGCTGACTCTCGTTCAAGCAGACATCATGGCGCAACTCGACACGCTCGACATCGTGGTGCTCGCCGTCATCCTGGTGGGCACCGTCGCATACTTTACCAAGGGCACCTACTGGGCCAAACCCACCGATCCATATGCAAACTCGCTCGCCCACGCCAATGGCGGCAAGGCCGGCAAGTCGAGGAACGTCATCGAGAAGATGGACGAGACGGGCAAGAACTGCGTGGTCTTCTACGGATCTCAGACCGGTACCGCTGAGGACTATGCCTCGCGTCTGGCCAAGGAGGGCGCCTCTCGTTTCGGCCTGAAGACGATGGTTGCTGACCTGGAGGATTACGACTACGAAAACCTGGACGTCTTCCCCGATGACAAGGTTGCCATATTCGTGCTGGCGACCTACGGCGAGGGCGAGCCCACAGACAACGCGGTCGAATTCTACGAGTTCATCACCAGCGAGGACTCCACCTTCAGCGAGAATGCTGCCGCGGCTGACGGGCCCCTGAAAAATCTCAAGTACGTCGCTTTCGGTCTGGGTAACAACACCTACGAGCATTACAACTCTATGGTTCGCAATGTCGATAAGGCCCTCCAGAAGCTGGGCGCCACTCGCATTGGCGCTGCCGGCGAGGGTGACGATGGCGCGGGTACCATGGAAGAGGACTTCCTCGCCTGGAAGGATCCCATGTGGGCTGCTCTCACCGAGGCCATGCAGCTCGAGGAACGCGAGGCTGTTTACGAACCTGTCTTTGACGTTGAAGAGAAGGATGATATGAACGTTGAGGACAACACTGTTTATCTCGGCGAGCCCAACAAGAACCATCTGGAAGGCCACTCCAAGGGACCGTACAACGCCCACAACCCATACATTGCGCCAATTGCCGAGTCTCGAGAACTTTTCACCACCGACGATCGCAACTGCCTGCACCTCGAGGTCGACATCAGCGGCTCCAATCTGTCCTACACTACTGGCGATCATATTGCGGTCTGGCCCACCAACGCGGGCAAAGAGGTCGACAGATTCCTCCGGATCCTTGGTTTGGCGGAGAAGCGCGATGCGGTGATTGGCGTCAAGGGTACCGATCCTACCGCCAAAGTCCCTTTCCCGTCGCCAACCACTTACGACGCTGTTGTGCGCTATCACATGGAAATCTGTGCCCCCGTCTCCCGTCAGTTCGTTTCTTCTCTGGCTCAATTCGCTCCCAACGACACCATCAAGGCCGAAATGGCTAAGATGGGCGGCGACAAGGATTACTTCCAGGAGAAGGTTTCTTCTCTGAACCTGAATATTGCGCAGTTGCTGGAGCTCCAGTCGAATGGCGAACAGTGGCCAAAGGTTCCTTTTTCGATCATGATCGAAGGTCTGCACAAGATCCAACCGCGTTATTACTCGATTTCCTCGTCTTCGCTCGTCCAAAAGGACAAGATCTCCATTACGGCTGTCGTCGAGTCTATCGAGAAGCCGGGAGCGCCGCATGTCGTCAAGGGTGTTACCACGAACTATCTTCTGGCGCTGAAGCAGAAGCAGCATGGTGTCGCGGAACCTGACCCTCATGGTCTGAACTACGCTCTTACCGGTCCTCGTAACAAGTATGATGGCATTCATGTTCCCGTGCACGTCCGTCACTCGAATTTCAAGCTCCCCACGGATCCTTCCAAGCCCGTCATCATGGTCGGTCCCGGTACCGGCGTCGCGCCTTTCAGAGGCTTCATCCAGGAACGTGCGGCGCAGGCTCGCGCTGGCGAAAACGTCGGCAAGACTATCCTCTTCTTCGGCTGCCGCAAGAGTACCGAGGATTACCTTTACAAGGAGGAGTGGGAGGTCAGTAGAAACGGTCCAAACCCACGTTGCGTGCCTGCTAACGAATTGCACAGCAATACCAGAAGGATCTCGGCGATAAATTCGAGATGCACACCGCTTTCTCTCGCGAGGGGCCGAACAAGGTCTACGTGCAGCACAAGATCCAGGAGAATGCCGAGACTGTCGACCAACTTCTGCAACAGAAGGCCTACTTTTACGTTTGCGGTGATGCTGCGAACATGGCGCGCGCTGTCAACGATCTACTTGGCCAGATCGTCTCCAAGCAGCGTGGGCTGCCAGAGTCCAAGGGTGAGGAGATTGTGAAGTCAATGCGCGCATCGAACCAGTACCAGGAGGATGTTTGGTCGTAGGCGGCATTGAAGAGATTGCTTTTAGACCAAATTCTATGTTCAAGACATCGCCTAGACAGTTCTACGGCTGTGTTGTGTCGGCAGGGGTTGTTCGGGGTTGATGTATTTTCGCTACAAGCTTCTTTGGATGCATAGTTTCGATCTGGCAATTTTGGCGTCTGAACGGAATAGAGTAATGCACAGAGTAAATATTCGAAGCAAGCCATGGATTGCAACGAGTGTGCTAGGCGGGCCAAGAGCGGCTAGCGGCATCGGAGCGAGTGCGGCGGCGGACCCTGGAGTCTTCAAGATCACAGGCGGACCACAGCAGCGTCTCCCATCACCACAGGGTGCACCAGATCCCATTGAGGAATGCCTCCGCAGCGAATCCCTCTTTCAGCCACAGCTGCCTTGTGCTCACCAGAGCGCATTCCTGCATCCGGGGTCACGTCACGGGGGCCAAGGGCCCGGCACGCACAATCCAGGCGGCGGCACAGCGACTGCCGGCGCCAGCAACGTCATGCAAACGCGAGCCCGGCGCCGGGGGCAGTCTTGCCCGCAGAAAAAGAAAAGACGCAGGGAAACGGCGGTCAGGAGCAGCAGCCTTGCGCGCTGCGGCGTCGTCGGCGGTGCTGGAGGGGGGAGTTGGACGGGTGGCTCCCGGCATGCTGAACAGGGCGTCCGGACGACTCTGCCTGCTTCCGAACGCGCAGCTGTGAAACCTGGGGCGCCCACGGAGCAAAATACCTGCATTCAAGCGAGAGGTTAAGCCCCCTTTGCGTGCGAGTGCTTACGCCTTGATGCGCGATCGGTCCCAGCAGCCAGGATGCAGGCCGACGCCCCCACGACCTCAGATGATCAAGAAACAACTCTGATTGCTAGCCCAGCGCCCGCCCGCGCTCCCGTCGATCCCACCCGAGCGTCCGCGCGCCGAGGTCGCCTGTTACGTTGTCTGTTGTAGCACCAGCCAAGATTGCTGATATGGGTGCGCGTTAAGGGCCGCGCTGCAGCGGGACGATGTGACAGGTCCCATCTCACTCGGCGTCAGGAGAACGGCGGGCGCATCGTGAATTCCCCGGACGCGCTGATCCGCACGCTCGCCGGCCACGTCTCATCGCGAAGCCCGATCGAAGGCGCCGTGTCCGGCCCAGCGGGCACCACTCGACGAAGCGGGCTGGCGCTCAAGACGGCCACTGGAGCGGCTACGCTTCTGGCGCCCCTCGCATGTGGTATGCGCCCACGAAGCACCAGCCGCACAGGCCGCCTCAAAGAGTAAGACGTCGTTGCACACCAGCTAGGGGAATCTTCCTGTGTCTTCCGCGTCACTCAAACCAGGCTCGCGGGCTGACAAACGCGGACCGCAGGAGCTGCATGACACCAATGGCTCTCAGGGTCTGCACCAGCACGGGCGAGTCGTTATTTCGAGTTTCCTGCTTTAGCAACAATGTCTTGCGGTGCCTCCTTAGCCTCTCGCGAACAAGAAGCGGGCCTGATCACCGAGAGGCTAGAGAGCCTTGATGCCGGCGCCCTGGAGGTGTCCTTGCTTCCCGCTGCCGCCCGCCGGCTGGCGTATGCGTTTGGTGCGGAGCGAGCTGCGGGAGCGGCTGACGGGCGTGGTTTCTGGCAGGCAGTCAGGCACGGATGGAGGCGAAGGAGGCCATGAGGGCGGCCGGTCCCTGGGCCGTCAAGGCTTGTGCTGAAATACCAGGAGGGCAGACACGTATATGTATGACAACCGAATGCACAGGCAAGATTCCAGACCGGGAACTGGCAAGCAACGTGCGTGCATCTTCCCGCGGGAATCTCGCAGATCCACAGGGCTGGGGGGGCCTGTGCCAGCCGGGTTGGTGTCTGCGCTGGCTCACGCCCAGCTTAAAGTAAGAAGGCCGCCTTGTGGGATGTAACGATAGCGCTTCCAACGCCGAAGCTGACGTCAAATGCGGCAGGCCACTCCGTCTCGGCTTGACGGTGCGGTCATGACACTCGGGGCGGGCTGCCGGCAGAGATTGGCACGCATTACGACAGCAGCTGATGGAAGGTAAAGACAGGGCCGCGCAGATGAAACGGGCCGTAAACGAGCTGCTGCCGTGATGCAGGACGCTTGGGGCATGGTAGTCCTGGACTAGTCGGCGGTGTTGCGCGCTTCCAACGTCGCCGTCCGCAGCCGCCGGCGATGTCGCTCTGGCGTCTTCGGGGGGACGCGCCGAGGCAGTGCGCGCTCTGGGGCGAGGGTCTTTTCAGCCGCCTGCATGCTGTTCCTGTCTCAGTTGGGAGCGCTGGAGAGTGGTTCGCATTGAGTGACTCTGTACAAGCTGCAAAAGAAACCGCCTCACCCCAAATCGCACCCTGGTCCGTCTACTACAGCCCCTTCGCACAGACTGCCGCCGTGCATTTAAAGTGGCACTTGCCCTCGATCCAGGACACGAAGGCAGCGTGATCTTGCGCAGACATCGCTATTGAGACCGCTTCCCCGGGCTATCCTTAAGGGCAGGCAGGCAGGTGCATTTCTCCGAGGCGTCCAGGTGCGCGGCCACAGCTCCCCAAACGGCGACCACGCCAGGTCGCCGCGGACTTCCTGCTTCCAGCCTCTGCAGTCGCTGCCCGCGGCGCGCGGCGCGCGGAGCGGAGGGCGTTGCGACGGCGGCGCATGTTCGTCTGCACCTGCCGCTGCCTCTCACTGACGTTGCCTCCTTCCAGAACAACACCCGTCGCCCACTCCCTCGCCGCTAGCGCCCAGCAGCAGCATCTGTATATCTTTCACCTCGCCGCCGCAGCCTCCCTCTCCTTCTTCCTTTCCCCCCTCACAACTCTCCGTCCACCGCCACCCATCCGCCTCAGAGCTCTGCATTTCTTTGTAGCTTTCCAGACCAAGTGAGTTTGCTCCAGCCCGCCACGCTCCCGCCCCCTTCCCGGACTCCCCGCTGACTTCCGTTGCCAGCTTTTGCTCGCAGTCGCTTCCCCACATCTTCAAGCGATCAGACATCATCGTCAGGTACGTCCGGCTCCATCGATACCCTCTCGCCGCCGGCTCGCCACCGCTGGGCACCCGCCGATGCCGAGAGCCGCACCATCCCTGAGGCCTGCCGAGCACATCATGCACGCCGTGCCATGTCGCTCGCCGTCGTGCCATTGGTCTTTTGAGTGGATGATAACGGTCATGGCGCAGGTCAATCCGACAGCCGGACAACGGTAGCTTGCCTATCAACTAACAGAACCCGTCCTCGCACCGGTGCGACACCTCCTCTCAGCTCACCTCACTCTCTCACCCGCCCATTACATTGACCCCCCCCCCTCATCATCTAACCCCATCTTCATCTCACACGGAATCTTCGAGCTGACCAGAACATGCAGTCTTCGGCCATGGCGACTCTCACCGACATTGAGTCTCAGCGCAAGCGCAACTTCGGCAACCCCGTCGCGAACTATGGCAATCGCGCCGCCATGTATGGCAACTACCAGGGCCAAGCCCAGCGTCCTTCTTTCCTGAGCACCGGACACCCTGGCATGTTGCCATACCCCGGACTTGTGGGAGACCAGAGCCTGGCTGCACTTACCCAGGGATTTGCCGGTATGAGCATGCACCCATCTCTCGGCTCGGCTAAGCCGGGCTCTCATGTCCCAGCATCGTCCGCAGAGCTTGGAGGAGTGCCTCTCCAGGCGCAGATGCAGCATGGCCAGCATGCCATGGTCTATCAGCAGCACCAGATGATCCCTGGACTCAACAACTACCCCGGACTTTCCTCGCCCGGTGTCCAGACTCCGATGAGCCACTACGTTCCTCCGGCTGCGTTTCAGTACGGTCACCAGATGATGGACAACAACAGCCCTATCAACGGCAGCTGGGCCTCGCGTTTCTCCTCGTCCGAGCCTTCGCTTGTTACCCCCCGACGAGACTCCATCTCTTCTACGGAGCAGGACCTTCCCGGCACGCCGTACACCGGAAACAATGCTGCTTATCATCCCAATGTCTACATGAACGGTTCTCCCAACGCCATTTATCCCGGAAGTGGCACGCCGTCTCCTTCGCACTTGGGTCCGTTCTACGTCCCTCAGCTGAACAAGGCACCAGCTCAGATCACGTCCATTCCCAGCGAGATTCAGGATTTGCTTACGAAAGAGCCGTCAATCCCGAGGGCCATTCCGGCTCCAAGCTCGCCTATCAAGCCTCTGGACCGCAGCTTGGAGAACAAGAACGGCGAGACCAACGTCTACATCCGCGGCCTTCTTCCGGAGACAACAGATGAGATGCTTCACCAGTGGGGCATGCGTTTCGGAGACATTCAGAGCTCCAAGTCGATCATTGATGTCAAGACTAATCAGTGCAAAGGGTACGTTCCAAATCCAGTCATTCACCCCTCGTCTCTCAGTCGGTTGCTGACAACGTCCGTTCCAGTTACGGGTTCATCAAGTACTACAACTTCAAGGATGCCGAGAACTGCATTCGTGGCTTCCACTACCTCGGTTACGAGGTCAGCTTTGCAAGGGTAGTTTTCAATGCGCGTCCGGTTCATGAAATGGCACTCACTCGTCTAGGAATCTTTCTACGCCAAGCTGAAGAAGTTCTCGGACGAATCCAACACCAACCTCTACGTCTCCAACATTCCTCGCCACATCAACGAAGCCGAACTGACCTCAATCTTTCATCCTTACAAGGTCTGCTCCAGCAAGATCCTGCGCGACGGTGGCGGTCATGGTCGTGGTGTAGGCTTCGCTCGCTTCGAGAGTCGCGATATCTGTGAGGATGTGATCAAGAAGTTCAACAACACCCCTGTTTCGGTCCCCGACGGCGAGGACCACGTCATCCAGATCCGTTATGCCGATACGCAAGAGCAGAAGGTCCTCAAGCAGCAGACTGCTGCTGCTCGTCAGTTCCGAGCCGCCGAGTTCGAGCACGGCGTGCTTCAATCCAGGGCTGCAAACGGGAACGGCAGCCTGATTGCTCCCCAGCAACGTCTCAGCAACCTTACACCTGCTCAGAAGGAAGCCTCCACAGAGTTTGAGAACTTCCTCGCCAACTCCAACTCGCAGAACTACCAGCCGCGCTACGACCGAAACTTCCGCAACATGGTGGCTAGCTCATCTCAACTCTCGCAGACTACTACCAACAACAACCTTCCTTCAGTCACGGTGGAAGCCGAGGAGGTGGAGAAGCCTCGCCCCACTACTCCTGTCATTGCTCACGGAGACCACTCTTCGTCCTCGAGCAACGCCCCGAGCGACCGCGAGTGATTGTTCTCAACACTTGCATCTCAACAGCGCAACGTGTCTTGTCAATGAGTGTACATGGTACATCAGCAGCCTTTGGACGACCACGCACTGGTCGCAACCCATTCGAATCATCACCAGTCGGACATGTTTACCGCCGTCGCGCGCACGATAGCCACGGCCATTGATGGCTTATGCTCTCAGTATCATTCGTCATATGGGAGGAAACTTCTCCGACAAGCCTTTTAATGAGAGTGCAGTGAATTTGGCTTGTCGGGTGGCACCGCATTTCCGTTGCCATGTTGGGACCTTTTCCCTTCTTAGGTTTGTATCTTTGTTTCCTTTTTCTTCCTACTTTTCTTTTCTTTTCTCGCCTTACGTTGAACATTTTCTTTTTGAGGGCTGCACCCGAATGTCTTTGCTTTTCCTTACCGGGCTTCTGTATTTCCTTTGTCGGTTGGTGGGCAAGAAAAAAAGATTGACTCTGCCCTCGCGGGCTACGATGATGACGAGTTGGGCGGCTTGCTTTGACCTTACATCTTTTGCAATCAGAGGCGTATGCCGGTTAGTTGAGAAGTAGTGTCAGCAAATGCGATCGGCGTTCATCCACACTTCTGGGCTCTCGCCTCATTTTCCTGGACTCTTGTGACACCGGTCTCGCGCTTGGACTCAAGTGGGCCGCTGACGCTCAGTGGCCACGGACAGAAAAGGAGAAGTGGTGACGCCAACAAAAGCCAAGGGATTGGCCGAAGTCTTGGACGACTCGACGATGTTGGTGCAACTGCGTCGGCCTTGAGACGAGGAGGCACATCGGCATGTTCGGCACGCCGGATCGGCATCACTCGTGTGGATATCACCTGAAGCATTCGCCACGTTGGGCTGACCAGTCATATCAGAGGGATGTTGAACGGCTGATGGGCCCAGTTCAACCAGGCCAGACCTGCTGATGAATTGATGAGGTCGAGTGCGGCCGGCGGCAACAGACCCCTGCATGCAACGCCGGTCCGAAGTCGGGGCAAAAAAATATAGATCCATGGCATTTCGTTACTTCCCCACATACGGATGACTACTTTTCCTAAAATAGTTTACGCTGGGAAATTACACGCCATCCCAGGGTCCTTTTCCGCCGGGACCAATTTTCCAGCATCTTGCGGGTGGCGGATGCTGGTTCCCCATAGGCGGGGGAGCGGGAATGGGTAGCTGTACGCGGATCTGAAGTCGCCGTGGCTGGGCAAGGCGAATGGTCCCCGCCAGTTGGCTAGAGACTCTGGTTGCTGAGGAGAGATTCGGTGGAGTCGTAAGTGTTCAAGGCTTGCCCGCAACTTCCGAATCGCTCGTCCGTCGTCTTGCTCCGTCGGGTGTTGGATGGCCTCGAATCAGCCATGTCCAGCGCACTCCCGAAACGGTGATTGGGTAGGCGCATGACGTACAGTACATACAATGGTCTACACGCCCGGGCGACGAGGCAGGCGCGGCTATGAGATTAGCGAACGGCGACTCCTCTTTCCGTCTCAGTCACAACGCGCGCAAGTGTGTCACTGTGTATGCACGTGTCGGGGGGTGTGGTTAGAGCGGTGTACGGTTGCTTTTTCTTTACTGCTTCGCTTGTCCGCTTGAGCGCCTCATTTTCTGGCACGGCGATGTGGCGGCTGGCGCGACCCGAGCGAACGGCGTAGGGAGAAAGTGTGTTTTGCTTTTTCCTCTTCTTCTTCTTTCTCTTCTTCCTCAACTTTGCACCACACGTACATACGTCTCCGCCCTGCATGCAATCTCGCCTCTTGGGGGGAGATTCGTGTGTTGCTGCAGCCCCTTTACCCACCATTTGCTTCCCTACCCGTTCCCCTAGTCTTGTCTGTACTTTCTTCTTCGCCTGCTTCATTGTTTGAGATCTCTTGGCATTTTGCTTTCTCCACCTCTTGGAGTGTTGTGCTGCCTTTCTGGAAGCGATAGGCCCTTCATGCAGAGAGGTTTGGCTGGCTAAAAACGGGACTTTGCAGCAAGGCGTGGCCGGGTGCGACGGAACAATTTTTGGAAAGGGCATGGAACAGGAAAAGAAAGATGAGTTGTATATGGCGACAGGCATGACTGTGGCGTCGTTTCGGGCGGCTTGTCCCGCAGCCCCTTGGCCTGTTATCATTGGCACTTTGTGTCGTTGGCGCTGAGGACGAGGTTGAAAAAGTAAAGATGGTCGAACGAGGCATTCCGAGATTTGGCGGCGTCTGTTGCCCTCCGAGGTCACACCCTTCCTCGGCCGTATTAGTCATATCAAGAGCATGTCCTTTACGCTTTATCGACTTGATTGATCTCATGATGATTGATTCAAAACTCCAAATCCCGTACGGCGCCATGGTCATGCTCTAAGTTGTTGCTATACAATACTGCACCCCGCGTCTACCTCTCACCCGAATTTCTCCACTTCCCAACGGTTCTCTCGAAAATGATCTTCTCTGAGGTGGAATATACAGACATCTCTGCGTGTCCAAGTCTATCATCCCATCAATCTTAGTCTCAATCGGCATTTCGCTCATGGTGATGGTTTGGGTGCTTCCTTGGTCGAATTGGTACCCCTGTCGCGGCCAAGACGCTCTTCGTAGTCCTCGACGAGTTCATAGGCGGGCCTGAATTTTTCGTCACGACTACCACTGTTCAGGTCGGGCGATGGAATGCGCAAAGCGGGATTAGGGTGGGTGTCGGTCGTGCCGCCGAGAGAAGTGTAGCCTTGGTCGTACAGCGGGCAGTACGGAATATCAAGGTGGCGAATAAACTGCCAGTGTTAGATGTTGTACAGTCGGTTGTCCGGGCAGCTTACAGTCCAGATTTCGACATAATGCCAGTCTATGACCGGATGTATGCGCATGAAACTCGGCCAGCCATGGTCCGTAGGATCAAAGTGTTTCAAGTGTTCACCGTGTGGATCGGTGCGGCGTGTGCCGACAAATATAGCTTTGACGGAAGGATAGTCGCGCAAGTACGACTCGAATGCCGTCTTCATGGATCCGCCGTAGCTCGCGAGCGTAAGGCTGTAGGCATGGCACGAGTCGGTGACGAACTGCTCGACTTCGGGGAACGGGTGCGAGGACTGTATGTAGACAGTCTGAATGGTCTCGGGCAGTGGGGTACCGGTGGCCACGCTGCGGCGATGAAGGGCGCAGAGGTACAGAACGAGGAGGACAAGGCAGTCCTTGCCGCCATTGTAGGATAACGCGAGCTCGTCGAGGCTGCTGAAGTGGGGCTCATCTTAGGATATACACAGGTCTCAGACTGATAGCTGGCGGGGGCGGCAAGCCGGATAGTACGGAGAGGAGCGGACGTACCTGTAGCGCAGCAGAGCGTCTTCAATGACGCCCAATGCAATGCGCGTCTGCTCCTGGACAGCGCGTAGGCGGACGTCCTTCACGTCGTCGTCGCGCAGGAAGGCGGATATGCGGTCGTCGAGGCGGGCGCATAGGTCCGGGAACGGTAGTGGGGGGACAGGCACCAGCGGGGCCTGGGACTGCGGCTTCAGCACATGGTTGGCGACTCCGGTCATCTCGGCACGCCGGCGGCAGTGGACATGAGATCGTGCTCGGCGGAGGGTGCGTGGCGTGGCGCGTCGCTGGCGTCGGGAGGTGACCGTGCAGCAGTGATGATGTTCCCCTCGTGGAGCTGTCCCGTCTGTAGCGGCGGCGGCCTCGGCGGGCGGTCGGGGCCCCGGCATGCCGCGAATCGGCAGCCCTAGTAGTGAGCCCTGCGCCCTGCAGCCCCGCCCGCGCCGCGCTCGTCACGAGGTGTGAAATTTTACGGCGCCCGTCTGAGTAATGCCCCGTCACGCTGGAAACGGGCAGTTCTTTCCGCCGAGCCCTCGGCCCTTGCTCGCCGCCGACCCCAGTTTCGCAGGTTAGCGCGGATGGTGTGATTGCTGCTGGAGCCAATGCGACGCCGGGAATATGCCCTTAGCAAAGCCCAGCTTCCGAAAAAAAGTGGTCAAAGAGCGTGGCTGCCCGCGCTGCATTTCAACCGCCGCCGAGCCTCTTGGACGACTGCACGAGGCTCTCCTCTCCCTCACTGTCTTTCTCCGCGTTCTCGAGGCCCGTCGCTCGCACCAGCTGCAACCATGGGCTCCGTCACCACCGCCGGAGAGGCTGGTACGTCCTCGCGTCCCGCGCTGCCCCGCCGCGCCGCCAAGCGCGAGCCCGCCCAGCATCAACTGACGACCAGCAGTGGCGCGGATTGCGTACCTGGCCAGCGACCTCGTTGTCTCTGTCCAGCAGTCGCTGAAGGATGATTCGGAATTCTCCAAGCACCTCAACTCGTACAGCGCCGCCAAGGCGCCAGGTGTCGTGAGCAAGGATTTGCCTGAGGTATGACCCATCGCCGTCGACTCCGCAGCCTTCACGGCCGGTGCAGACGCTGATTGCGCGCCAGATCCTGCCCGTGAGGCAAAACGCCGACCCGCTCCTTTCCGTCTTCCAGCCAACTCGCTCCGGCAAGCTGGTCTCCGTCACCACCACCTCGACCATCCTCGTCCAATCGATACCCCACCTCTACAAGCTGGCCCAGTACCCCGTCGTCCTCCATGTCTCGCTGCAGCCGTCCGGATACCCCGACTACTCGGACATCACCTCCATCAGACAATCTGGCTTCACCTTCCTTCAGTCCGAATCGCTGCAGGAGGCGCAGGACATCGCCCTGACGGCGCATGCGCTAGCCATCAAGTCCGGCAAGGGCGTGATCCACTTTTTTGATTCGGCTGTCGTGTCTAACGCGAAGCCCATCGCCCACGAGAACCGGGATCTCGTGAAGCAGGTCCTGGACGTGGATTCTGCCCGCGTTTTCCAGAGCTCATCCTCGGCTGAGACTTCTTTGTATGCGGATGATGGCCGTGTCGCTACTGTGACGGTGGCCGGCAGCCAGGTTTCGCAGCCGAACGGCACCCTCGGCGAAAGCCTGCAATTGCCCGAGCCGCAGCCTTCAGGACGCTCCAGCACCCGCGAGTCTTCGGCTAGCGGCTCTTCGAGGCGCGAGAGCAGCGCCAGCAGCGACAAGAACAGCACCGTCTCTTCGGCCACTACCGTCGAATCTGTCTCCGCCAGGCCTATTTCTTCCGAAGAGATCTACAAGTTTGTTTCTCAGATCTGGACCACGATCAAGGATGTCACTGGTCGCGGGTACGAGGCTTTCTCGTACACCGGCCCGGCCAATGCTGAGGCTGCGGCTTTCATCTTTGGCTCCGACACTGCCATGTTCGCCGAAGAGTTGGATGAGGCGGGTGCCGATTACTCAAACCCCGGTCTGATCACCGCTAGGCTGTACAGGCCCTGGTTGGGCGCTCAGCTCGCCGCTGTGATTCCCAAGTCGGTCAAGAAGATCGCAGTTCTGGAGCAGGTACGGAGGAAGACGACCAAGTGGGGCCCGCTTCTTCTGGACCTACTTACATCTCTGAGGACTTCTGGTGGTGCTTCGCCCCTGATTGTTGGCCACCAACTGGGCTACATCGAGGAGTCTACTGTTCGCCAGGCCCTCCGTGGCGTTTTCCAGAACCTGTACTCGGATTCGCCCATCCAAAACCTCCAGATTGGCAAGATGGAGGGTCCCGAGCCCTCTGCCACAGAGCAGAAGCCCACCCAACCCGAGCTGGAGAATGCATACATGAAGATCCTGAACCAGATCTTCAAGGAGCGTCTTTACGTTGCGAACCAACTCGAATCCGAGCACGCAGGTATCTCTGCGCAGGTTGCTTCGACCCCTGAGTACGGATTCGGTTCTCTCGTTGCAAGGCTGGAGCACCGCAAGCGTTTCATTTCAGAGGCTGCGGAGGCTGCCAAGTCGGGTTCACTCAAGTCTGAGGATGCCAAGAAGGCTATCTCTCAGTGGGCTCTGGCTGCTGAGGACGCTGTCAAGGTTGAAGCGGCGGCTGAGGACGCCATCTCGTCGCTGACTGCGGATGCCTCTGAAAGTGCTAACAAGCTTCTGGCCTCGAAGGGCCTTTTCCGCAAGGAGTCGCAGTGGTTGATCGGTTCCGACGCCTGGTCCTATGACCTCGGCAACTCTGGTGTGCACCACGTTCTGGCGTCTGGCGAGAACGTCAACATGCTCATCATCGACTCCACCCCTTACTCTGAGCGTGCAGCTGCGGATGCCGCCAGGAGGAAGAAGGATATTGGTCTCTACGCCATGAACTTTGGCAACGCCTATGTTGCGTCGACTGCTGTCTACAGCTCCTACACTCAGGTCCTCCAGGCCATGATTGAGGCTGACAAGTTCGACGGCCCCTCCATCGTCCTTGCTTACTTGCCTTACTACAAGGAGAACGAGTCGCCTTTGACTGTCCTTCAAGAGACCAAGAAGGCCGTCGATATTGGGTACTGGCCTCTCTACCGCTGGGATCCTTATGGTGAAGAGAAGGGTGAGGAGAACTTCAAGCTTGACTCTGAGAGGGTAAAGAGGGAACTGCAGGAATTTTTGCGCCGCGACAATTACCTCTCGCAGGTGATGAAGAGGCATCCTCAATTTGCTGCCAACCTTTCCCAGTCGTATGGCTCCGAGGTCCGCGAACTGCAGAAGAGGAAAGCGAAGGATGCATACAGCAAGCTTCTGGAAGGTCTTCAGGGCGCTCCTGTCACGATCCTCTTTGCATCGGATAACGGCAACGCCGAGAACATTGCCAAGCGCTTGGGTAACAGAGGCAAGGCCAGAGGCTTGAAGACCATGGTCATGGCGATGGATGACTACCCGCTTGAGGACATCAACGCTGAGGAGAACCTTGTCCTGATTACCAGTGTTGCCGGTCAGGGTGAACTCCCCCAGAACGGCAGGAACTTCTGGGAAGCGGTCAAGAACTCTACTGACATCGATCTCGCGACCGTCAACTTCGCCGTCTTTGGTCTCGGTGACAGTCACTACTGGCCCCGCAAGGAGGACAAGATCTACTACAACAAGCCCGCCAAGGACATTCACGCTAGGCTGGTCACTCTCGGTGGTAAGGTTTTGGTCGACTGTGGCCTCGGGGATGACCAAGATCCTGATGGATTCAACACTGCGTACAACGATTGGGAGCCCAAGCTTTGGCAGGCTCTTGGTGTCGACAATGTCGAGGGCCTGCCCGATGAGCCCCCGCCATTGACCAACGAGGACATCAAGATCCAGTCCAACTTCCTCCGCGGTACCATCGTTGAGGGTCTCAAGGACACCAGCACTCTCGCCATCTCTGCCGCCGACCAACAGCTCACCAAGTTTCACGGTACCTACATGCAAGATGACCGTGATATCCGTGACCAACGCAAGGCGCAGGGTCTTGAGCCAGCCTACTCTTTCATGATTCGTTGCCGCCTGCCCGGTGGTGTTGCGACTCCCAAGCAGTGGATCCAGATGGACGAGATCGCCAGCACTCTTGGTAATGAGACCATGAAGCTGACTACCCGTCAGACCTTCCAGTTCCATGGTGTTGTCAAGAGCAAGCTCAAGCCCGCTATGCAGGCAATCAACAGATCCCTCATGACCACTATTGCTGCTTGCGGTGACGTTAATCGTAACGTCATGTGCAGCAGTCTGCCGGAGCACAGTGCTTTCCACCGCGATGTGTACGAGGTCTCGAAGAAGGTCAGCGATCACCTGCTGCCTTCCACCACCGCTTACCATGAGATCTGGTTGAAGGAGGATGATGAGAAGACGCAGGTTGCGGGTGACGCCATTGTTGACCACGAGCCGCTTTATGGACCTACTTATCTCCCCAGGAAGTTCAAGATCACGATCGCCATTCCTCCTCACAACGACACTGACGTCTACGCTCATGACATCGGTCTTATTGCTATCAAGGGTGCTGATGGGCGCCTTGAGGGTTTCAACGTTACTGCTGGTGGCGGTATGGGTGCTACCCACAACAACAAGAAGACGTACCCTCAGACCGGTCGGATGTTTGGCTTCGTTCCCACCGAGGACGTCCACATTGCTTGCGAAAAGATCATGCTTGTCCAGCGTGACAACGGTGACCGCAAGAACCGCAAGCACGCTCGTCTCAAGTACACGATTGACGATATGAGTGTCGAGGGCTTCAAGGCCAAGGTTGAGGAGTACTGGGGTAACGGCAAGAAGTTCCAAGAGCCTCGTCCTTTCGAGTTCAAGAGCAACGTCGACACGTTCGGCTGGATCAAGGACGAGAATGGGCTCAACCATTTCACCCTTTTCATCGAGAACGGTCGCATCGAGGACACGGCTGACTTTCCCATGAAGACTGGTCTCGTGGAGGTGGCCAAGGCACACAAGGGAGAGTTCCGCCTGACTGGTAACCAACATCTGATCCTTTCCGGCGTGCACGACGACGATCTCGATGAGATGAAGGCTCTGTTGAAGAAGTACAAGCTGGACAACATCCAGTTCTCTGGGCTCCGTCTGTCTTCGTCGGCCTGTGTTGCCTTCCCCACGTGCGGCCTTGCCATGGCCGAGTCGGAGCGTTACCTGCCCGTGCTCGTTAGCAAGGTGGAGAAGATGCTCGAGGAGAACGGACTTCGTCAAGAGAGCGTGGTCATGCGTATGACGGGGTGCCCCAACGGTTGCGCCCGGCCCTGGCTTGCCGAGATTGCCTTTGTCGGCAAGGCTTATGGTGCGTACAACATGTACCTGGGTGGTGGGTACCACGGCCAGCGTTTGAACAAGCTCTACCGCTCCTCGATCAAGGAGGAGGAGATTCTTGAGATTCTCGGCCCCATGATCAAGCGCTACGCAACCGAGAAGAACGAGGGCGAGCACTTTGGTGACTGGGTCATCCGTGCTGGCATCATCGCTGCTACCACTGATGGCCGCAACTTCCATGACAACGTAAGTGGATCCGCTAGTCCGTTCTGACGCTAGGCTCCAAGCTGACCTGATGGATACAGACGGGTGAAGAAGAATCAGAGGAAGAGGCATAGACTGCTCCAAGGCCTTCTGATTTCGTATGTGTGCTGACTTGTTACGCTCTCAACGATACGTTATGTAAAATCTAAGTGTCTTGTTGGTCTTGGAAAACGGAAAACGAAAAGCCATGGCAATGCGCTTTTCCCATTCATGTTTATGAATAAAAACACGGTCATCGAGAATCAGGCGTTCATTTAGGGATCCAACCAAAGGGCTATGGTGGGGAAGGCACAACGCCTGATTTTAGATTATCTTCTCCCCATTTGCCCGATCAATTTTCTGGTCGTTTAGTTGTCGATAGTTTGATTTTTAGTCTTGTAAATAACGTGCACTTTGTCTTTCTTGTCTTTTCGTATTGAAAGGAGAATCGACACTGCAATTTCAACAATTTGCTGCTTGACAAGTTGTGGAGCTGTGTTGTGGCTGGTGGCTGGTGGCTGGTGACTGGTGACTGAAATCGACAGTGGCAATGATTGTGTAGGCTTTCCCCCAATACTCTCCTGGTTTCATGTCCACCCTGACACAGCTTTGATACGGTCTTTATTGCCAATAAACATGAACCATCAAAACGGCAATGATGCCGGTGCTTTCTCGACTGAAGGCTTGGATCGACATGTCCGTCAGCTCTCTCGCCATTTGCGTAGTAAGAGCGGGGGTTATAGAAAGCAAGTGGCGCACGGCAGCTATGGGGTCGGGTCGGATCCGCAGCCCGTCTCGGCATTACCGGATCCGGAAACACGTTTTACTCAGACCTGCTTAGATGGAGATCAGACATGAGAAACTAGCCTAATTAGGAAATAGAGCAGACAACAACGTTAGATCCAGTGCTGCACCTCGTGCAGAGTGTTCGACCGGCAGCAAGGCCAGCTCGACGACGAGCCCTGGATCGCAGAGATGGCCGCACACGCCGCTGTTCACCGACTCGCCGTCCCGCACATTCAGCTCTTTCAACGCGGTCTGGACGCGAGTGGAGACGTGCTCCGTGTTGGGAAGGATGCTGTTGGCTCTGGCGGCTAGATTCTGCAGACCAAGCCCGTCTTCATCCGCCACAATGACTCTCTTACTCACAACAAGCTTATGACGACAGCACCACATCCAAAGTGGGCAAGTTCTCCTCACCGACGTCACGACTGCGGGATTCAAGTATTCTACGCACATTTAGGGGACTCGGTATGCCATTGACGGGAATTACTTTCGCTGAGGAGTTTATGGACCGCGACTGGCATTTCTTGCTGCCTATAGCGAAGCATCTGAATACATTCACTTATCAGATTAATCGCACTTGAGCACTCGGAACGTACTAGTCAGTACGGTCAGCGAGACAATCAATTGCTCCTGCCTTGCTAAACGCTACGATCAAATAGTTGAGCCGGAGGCATAGTGGATGTAGAAAAGAATTTACCAACCTACACCTATTTCACATAGGGAGTATAACCCTACATCCGGATGCATTTGTACAGTTTTAATACTTACATTAACACTGGGGCATCTGCTTCGACTTCCCACACCAAAGATCGCTGTAGGTCAATTATTTTCCGCACCCACCGCGGAGAAGAAATGGAAGAAAATAGTAGGAAAGCTTGATGGGGGAAACCGCAACGCCCGAGAGAAACGTGGCTATCTGATACGACACATTCTTCAAGAGGGAGGGTCTGGTAGAGACGGAGCTGTTATAGTGCGAGACTTCCCACGATGAGAGGGGGGGATATTGAAGGACCTGAATGGCGCTGATAGCAGCAGTCAAGGTGCCCAGGAAGTGAAGACAATCGCCGTCAGACTGGGAAGCCTACATTTTTCCTTCAACAAGCATAGGGACGGAAAAGGATAAAAGAACCAAAACCGTTTATCTCGGTAGTCTCTAGCCATAGATGCCCAGACATGTATTCTCCGAATCCCTATCAAACATGAGTTGCCTCCATAACGCCTGGCCCATGCCTCGCCGCGGGTAATGCTCTCAAGATCAGGTCGTCTTGGGCTTCTTCGTACCATACTTCGATCTCGAAGTAAGCCTGGTACCAACGCCACCCTGGAGAATACGTCAGCCTCGAACTTCTGGACGGACAGGTAAGGCGGGAAGTGCATACCAGATCGCCCGCGCCTCTAACGAGCTTGTATCTCACACCGGGGCAGTCCTGAGCACGGCCACCCCGAACCAGGACGACCGAGTGCTGCTGTACATTGTGGCCTGCACATGGTATGTCAATGATAGTGCCTTTCCGTCTACCCGGGACCTCAACGTACCTTCGCCGGGAATGTATGCCCACACTAGCCTTCCGTTGCTCAACCTCACCCTAGCAACCTTGCGCTCGCCGGAGTTGGGCTTCTTGGGCTTCGTGGTTCCGACTTTGACGCAGACGCCCTTCATCTCGGGGCGGTTCTTCAGTTGGGGCGAGGTGAGCTTGCGAGCAGGTTGAGGCTGGCGGCATCCACGGCGGACCTGGTTGTAGGTGGAATTGCGGGTGGAGCTGGCGCTGAAGCTGCGGGCGGCGGCGGCGGCGGCGGCGAGAATCGGAGAGGACGCGATGCGCGGCGCGGCAGCAACCACGGGACGACGAATGGCGGGAGAGACGAGGATGGAGACCGGGCGGGCCAGCTGGCGGAGGTAGTGGAGAGGCATGGTGGCCCCGATCGAGGTTCAATGAAGGGCGATGCGGCGATGCGGCGATGCGGCGATGGGTTGGGCAGGTCGCGCACCTCCGCGAATTTGACGGGCGGGCGTCTGCGATGCGCGCTCGGACCACCCAGTTTTGTGATGTCGACAGTGACTCTTTCGCGCCGCCGCACTCGCCCACCTCAACTCATCCCGCCCAGCACCAGACGGCCTCACCGAGGCCACACTCCACAGGACGATTCCGCCGCCCATTCGCCATCCATCTACCCCATCGCGCCTTCACCAAACACCCGCCTCGCACGGATTCTGCACCCCGCGACACCCCGCCTCGTCATACCGCACCGAGCTGCCTGTGCGTTCGCAGGACGAAACGCTCAAGTGGCTGCCTCTTCCAAACGCTTCCCGCCCATCACCGCCACCATGGGTCTCCCCGATTCCGCCCTCGCGGCTGGAGGAGCCGAAGCTCCGTTCGACATTGTCGGCACCTACCAGCGCCTCTTGACCGAGGATCCCGACCTGACCATGCCTGTTGCTGCCATTGAGGCTCTCGTCGCCGCTCTGTCCGCCTCCGATACAAGCACCACCACCGAGACTCTTGCCCTGCTCTCCGCCTACACCAACAAGCTCAAGGCCGCCATTCCCAACCCCATCTCCCTCTCCGCCGGCACCGACCTCTTCCAGCGCTACCTCATGACCTCTGTCCGCCCTGGCGTCGACTTCTCCAAGACGCGCCAGCACCTTCTCAGCAACGGCCGCCTGTTCGTCGAGCGCGCCAAGGCTTCGCGCGACAAGATTGCCTCGTTCGGAAAGCACTTCATCCGCGACGCCAACACCATCCTGACCAACGGCGGTTCTCGTGTCGTGAGCGCCCTGCTGCGTTCCGCCGCCGAGTCGGCCGGCGGCTCTCAGGGCTCCGTCCGCTTCCGCGTCATCTACGTCCTCGCCGTGCCCGACCCGGCCAACCCCTCGACCGAGGCCGCGACCAAGCACGCCGAGGGCACCGAGATTGTGCGTGCCCTGCGCGCCCACGGCGTCCCCGTCGCCACCATCCCCGAGGCCGGCGTCGCCTACGCCATGGGCAAGGTGGACATGGTCATTGTGGGCGCCGAGGGCGTCGTCGAGAACGGCGGCATCATCTCCCGTCTCGGCACCTACCAGCTCGGCGTCTTGGCCAAGAACGCAAACAAGCCCTTCTACGTCGTTGCTGAAAGCCACAAGTTCGTCCGCCTGTACCCGCTCGGTCAGTACGACCTGCCTATCGAGCAAAAGGTCATCCAATTCCGCGTTGGCTCCGACGAGCGCGTTGTCGAGGAAGAAGGAAGCAAGAGCTCCGGCAAGGCGGATATCGGCGTGCGGAAGGAGAAGTGGGCGGCGGGTGCGGTGGATGATGCTGTCGACTTCACGGTCAGTACTCACTCCCTTTTGGCCGACCAGACTGACGCCGGTTTTTCGGCTCCGTGTTTTCCATTCCTCAAGACTTTGCGCACTTCCAAATGCTAACATGTTGCCATCTAGCCTCCCAACCTCATCTCTGCCCTGATCACCGAGTCCGGTGTTCTCACCCCTAGCGCAGTATCTGAGGAGCTGATCAAGATTTGGTTCTAAACCCCTTCCATCTCTTCTACACTTACATTTTACTTTGATGCATGTGACCGAAAGCGGTTCCCTTGAGAATGCATCTCTGCTGCTGCTGTTGTTCTCAAGTGGCTTCAGCAGCCACTTCATATCCGCTCTTGCGGCCATCAGACGGCTAGTTGTTCCGGTGAACGGAGAAGATCAATTGTGGGGAGGCGTGGCTTATGTTGCGAAAAGGCAACGGATAGGGAAAGCGAGATAGACGGGGTCTCTCAAGCTGGCGGCCACGGCATCTGCCTGAATGAAATTTTGGCGTCAATGAGGATAATCGCAACGAGGGTAAGAAGGCTTAAAAATTTTCTCCAATCTAAGAAAGCCATATTTTGTGAGAGTTCGAGTAAATGATGGTAGAAAAGTATATAAATCTGAGTTTCAACGGAATATACCGATGCTGGAGGTCTATTGCGCCCACCTTGGAAGAGTGTATGTTCTTCTCGAGAGCGTGGCGTACGAGCGTCCTGGTTCGGGGAACGACGTAGCAAAGAAAGGGGGGCCTGAGGGTTCAGTGCACTGTGGTTTTTAAGCACCCGCTTCACATCATGGCAACTAGAGACGTCAATGGCAATAGGTATAGGATTGACTCCGGACAAGAAGGTTCAAAATCAGGCAATCTGACAAAGTGATTCTTTTTGTTACCTTTTACTTTCAATTGTTGGTGGGTTACATGGCGAGCATGGAACCATGATTGATTGACTAGATGGACATGGCCCCATTTTCAGACCTTCCGATCGACCGCAATTATACTCCCTTCTCCTTTTCCTTATGGAGATGAGAGAGGAGGGGTGAAAATAGATTATATCCTTCGATGTGAGCGAAAGACCACACATTTTTCTTTGCATTTACCACACAGCTACGAAAACATGAGTTGAGAGGAACAGAGGGGAATCTTTGCTCATCAAGGACGAAAATATCGCCAAATACGCCTTTCGCTATTGTGTCTGATTGACCTTTTTGTGTCGTGCGTCGCATCGTTCCCGTAGCACCCCGTCCTAGTAGAAGATATAAACGCCGGTGATTCGATAAGAGCGACATGGCATCGTCCCAGAGAAAACGAAAATAATGACCGCCGGTGGAACTCCTGGTATGGGAAAGCCAAAGCTGAGTACATAGGTGGGCCCTCATCTCCGTCGACCTAACGTCCTTGCGATTGAGGTTCCAGTCAACCACTCACGAGTCTTCAGCCCAATCCTTGACTTCCACATTACAATACTCTTGCCCACAGCTCTCCTTTCTGTGGCCATTGCCCCTCGCCCTATGCAAATTTTGCACCGCAATGGACCCATGCATCTTATCCTTTCCTTCCATCGCTTGCTGCCCCCTGATTCGCGCCATCAATCGTGATAGTTGGTCCTTGGGCCCTCGTTCCTTCTTCGCGAGTATCGAGCCTCTGGATCTCGTTTTGCACATCCATCACCTTCTTCTGCAATTCCTGCATCTCCAGTTCCAGCCGCATCCTCTTTGCATGTCGTTGCTCCGGGCTCATTTGTGGCGTAGGTGGCGATGTTTGATTAGTGGAACCATCGGCGTGGGTCACGGTGCTGGACGTGGGAAGGTCGGGGTCGATGTTCAGAAGATGTGGGATGTTGGAGGTAGAGCGAGGGGCGTCGGGAAGGATGTCATCATCAGCGCCGACGGACACGGAGCGTTTGCTAGGAATCGACGAGGCGGGCGATGTTGGATATGGTTGTGGTTGTGGCACAGTGCGCGACGCTGACGAAGCGGCACCTTGTTGTTGGAAATAGTTTGTGAAGTCTGCGGGTGGCGGCGCGTATCTTGCAGGCGGCGGTTGTTGGTTCAGGGAAGCCTGAAGATGGGCAGCCACTTCTGAGTCGGAACGAGGATACGAGTCAGGCCTGCTCTCCGGGAAGGACTCCTGGGTTGGCGCGGGCGAAACAGCGGCTTGAGAGGGGCTAGGCTGGGGCTGGGTCGATTGGCCATGCTGCTGGTAGTGGGCTGGAGGGTGTTGGGCGAAGAGGTGGCTCGCAGGCTCGGCCGGGACGGCGGGTACGACTCGTTTCCGCCGCTTGATCTCCTGCTTCTTCATCTGCACCGGGCGGTGGACACCGTGTAGCTTGTAATACAGACCACAGGCATTGCATATTGTGTGTCCGGCCTCGTCTCGCCTCCACAGTGGGGTGACAGTGGTCCTACAGTTGGCGCAGGCGGGCACGACGTTCGCGCCGGCCGGGGTGGCGAGATGCTGCTGTTGGCCGGGTTGAGGGGCGTCTGCAGCCGGACCCTCGCCAGCACTGGTCTGCTGGCTGCTGCTCGGAGAGTTCACGTGAGCGAGGGCGTATCGAGCAGTCTTGGAAACGCGGTTGTTGTAGGCTGGGCAGCCGTTGCAACCCTGCTGGCCACCGGTGCCGTTACAACGACCGCCTCCCGGACATGTGCCAGAAGCCTGCTCGGCGGTGACGTAGGGAGGTCTTGACGACGCCTGGCATCCCGAAGGAGATTGACTTCGATCATGGGGCTCGGGAGTGCGTTGACCTGGCTGCACGGACATGGTGGGCGCCTGAGCTAGGTTCCTCTTCAGGTTCGAGGGACGCGACTGGTTCCGCGCTTTAAGGTACAGACCACACGCGTTGCAGATAGGCTCGCCCGTGGGCGATCTCCGCCACAAGGGAGTGCGGGTGGTGCCGCAGTTGCTGCACTGGTTAGAGGTGGAGCGAGCGCCAACGAAGCCGGGGGAAGCATACCTGCACGTCTGGCCGTTCATGGGCGCGTTTGCAGCGCTCGGCCTCGGGGTGGCGGCTCCTGGAGAGGGAGAAAGCGGGCGGGCCTGCTGGGGCTGGGCGTTGGCGGTGGCGTTGGCGTTGGCGGCAAAGTGTTGGATGTCCTCGAGGGAGTGGTGCTCAGAGACTTCGGGGCCTTTGCCACTGGGCTCGGGCGAGCCTCTCTGCTCGCGCTCCGGGGCCACATGGTGAGGCTCGGGAGGGGTTTCGCGGGCGGGGTGCGGCTGGTGCTGGTCCTGGGCGTTGCTCAGGGCGCGCAGGTTCTGCGCCAGCTCGAGCTCCTCCTGCGACGCATGGCGCAGGACAGAGTCGGGATGCCGCTGCTCGGGCAGGGCGTCGGCGGCGGCGCCGGGGAGGTCGCTTCGCGGGTGCAGCTGGGCCGAGGGGCCGGACATGGAGGGCGAGCAGGCAGCAGACGTGGGACTGCTGTTGCGGCACCCGGCGAGAGAGCAGCAGCAGGAGGGCGCGGGAGCGGTTTGCTCGGCTAGTGGAGGCGTGGGGGGTGAGGGCGGAGGGGGCGGAGCGGAGATGGTTTGGTGATGGTGATCAGATAGATAAATGCGGACGGCCGTGGGCAGACGTGGTCGGCGTGGTCGGCGTGGTCTGGCGTGCTGGGCCTGGGGCCGGGGAGAGCGGCAGGGGCGCCCTATGGGCACGCTTAGCTGCGCTCTGAGCGGAATGACAGCAGGTTGCAGGCGCGCGGGCTCACTTCCAGCAGCGCCTGGGGGCGTGAGGTGCTGTCGCCGCAGAGCCAGGCTAGCTCGCAAAGGCACTGACGTTGGCGCCGCCCTCGCGCCCCTGGTCTTGTAAGCAGATTGCGCCCGCCGCCATTGGCCGTGCGAGGAGCGGTGAGGGGCGTCGCCGGCTGATCGCTTGACCCCAGCTGCCTGCGAGCAACCACTGCGCTCCGGCCCTCCAGCAGCCCAGCGGCCGGCCAGCCCAGCAGGCCACCCGCCCACCAGCCCACCAGCTGCATGCCTGCGCGCCGCATCCTGCCGCCGCACCTCTTGGCGCCGCAGCCCCCCTAGTCCGCTGCACGCCCGTTCGGCGGCGGGCAACAGGCGGAGCCCGCCGGCTCCACCGCTGCCCACTGTCGCCCACCGTCGCCCACCGTCGCCCGCACTGGGCCTAGCCGGTCCATGTGTGCCGGACCCTGCGTGCCTGCCTGAGCCTTGCGGCAACACAACGCCGCTGCATGTCGAGCATCTCAGCCGCTGCTGCGCCGTCCTGCCCGGCTGCATTGCTTCACGCACACATGGGTGCCTGTTCCCGACATTGCACCGCTGCCAGCGCCGTCCCCAGCCCAAACCCTCTTGCGCACACGGCCGCCACCACGTCCGGCTTCGTCCACCGTGGCCCTCTGCGCTTCTTCACGCCCGCGGCCCGCACTCGAGGGCTACTGCACTAGCCCGCTGACCAACTGCCGCCGGCTGATTGGCTTCACGAAAAAATGCCGACCTCCACCATGCGGCTCACTTCTAGGCCCTCTCCACAAATGCTTCCATCGAAGCCTTTTGCTTCGCCGGTTCTGTCCACCCACCAGCCACTTCACCGCTCCTCAGACGTGACTTGCGCGAGACACGAGTGCCGTGTTGTGCTGCTCGGCTTCGGCCCCATCCGCCACCTATCACTGAGCTGTTGCCTGTCAGGTGCTGCTCGTCCCTGACCTATTGCCACACCGGGCTGTTCTCTCCTCATTTCTGCACATGCCCGAGCCCGAAGTCCGCGCCTCGTCTCCGAGGCCGACGACTCGCCCGGTCCAAGCTCCCATCCGTTATGTCCGGCCTGAGCTAGGTCCGTGAAGGCTCGGCGACGGCTGGAGACGGCTTGATGTCTCCGCGACGTAGGTCAAAAGCTTACCGTGGAAGCGAGTTTTACTGTGGAACCTTTGTTCTCAAATCTGCTGCCTTGGCGACACATTGACCTCATCATACAGCCAAAGCTAGCATGACTAGCAGCCCTCTTCAACCCGCTCCAGCGACGCATCGTGGGTTGCTCGGGGGCGTGGATCCCACCAGGGATCGCAGATTATCTGGGTACGAAGATTGTCGTCGATTTGGATGGCTACTACCTATCGGCATCTCGCTCGGCGTGAAGATATCAGAGATAACGCTACCACGCCTACCAGCAATACGCATGCTGCACCAATACACGGGCACGACAAATCTCAAAACCTTAGAATTGATAAACACACGTATCGAGAAGCTCAACTATCTCTTCGATCAAAGGACTGCCATTTGACTGGAAGCCAGAACCCACTGCTTCAGATCCGCTTCGCCAATATGTAATCAGGGCACGTTTGACCCACACTGCATGATTCCGGCATACGTATCCAAGACAACAACAGAAGACGCTTCGCCACTCTGACCTACTCATCTGTCGAGATTTTTCCGGCATGCAGATTGGATGCGGGGAAACGGCCCGGTAGACTTACGCTGATGTGAATACCCTGTAGACTGCGGCCTAAGATTGTGTGACCCCTTGCGACAAACCCATGACCATGCGGTATACAGCGCAAGGAGACTACATTGCGTGACTGTACCAATCATTTTGGATTCTGTTCGCAGGGCCATGCGACGGCATTGGCGAGGCGGTTGGCCCTTGTTCTGCCCCGCAGCAAGCAGATGGCCGTTGAAACGGTTCGATTGTTGCTGCATATACGACCTCCGATGCCGAATTACACTCACATGCAACGCAACGTCACACGAAGCTTATGTTGGTTTCAAACAGGGAAAAGTGCGCGAGATTGCTCGTTGTCGGCATTGTTGATGCAAACCTCCTGGCTGCTAACCAAATTCGTTTTGCCGTCAACAGGAGCCCACCTTATGTCCATGTCCATGCATGCCCAAGAGGGAATGCTATTCATCTGCACAAATTTCGTTCGGCTTTCACCGGACTTTTGGAAAAAAAAAAAAAAAACATGCAGCTTCTGTTAGGGACTTCTCCCCGGTTTATGCATAAGATCTCCCACGTCCTAGAAACGAGACAGAGAAAGAAAAATAAGAAAATAGCATGATGGATTGCCACAATCAAGACAATTACGCCGACTAAAACGCCTGAGTTCCAGCAGTCATGCGTTGGTCGGTCAGTGCAAGGCTAGGAGAGCCATATCATAGCACTAGTGAAACTGATTTGTCTAGGTCAGCCTCCTTTAAGCCAACTATTGTTAAGCCATCGCTCCATACTGCGGATCTAACGATCGTAGATCATCTTGCATTTAATCGAAATTGAGAAAAGCTCCACTCTTTACCTGGCAATCACATCAACGCGCGCATGAGGCCTCTAAACATGAATGGCCAATATGGGTATCGATTGTAAACCAAATATGCCCTAGTAGCAGCGACGTCAAACCCCCTTTCTAAACACACAACATGCACACAAGTACATGCATACATCCACTTTTCTCAAGACATGGTCCTCAGGCAATGTCCCGGTCGTTTTTCTCCCCATCATTACTACCCCAATCGATTCCAGTTGCAGTGCCGTGAAGTATCTGAACTCCATTGGTCATATTCCCCCTTTCCCCCTCTCTTGATATACTCAACCCATGTCCTTCTATTCGTGTTGATTTGTGCGGCCCCAGACATCACATGAAAGCTCCCCCACTTCAATTTTGCTCCTCTCTCACCAAGAAACTCGGATCCATCTCGATCTTCTTTCCAAACTTCTGCCACCAGTCCTGAAACGCCTTCAACGGCACGACCTCGACGCCCCCGGGCCCCGCGTTCCCGGAGAAGCTGGCCAAGAAGTTGAAGGCGTTCCCGATGATACGCTGCGCCAGCAGCTTGACCGCCTCGGGATTCGTCGCGGCGGCGGTGGCGGCGGCGCCGGCCTTGACCAGCTCCATGCCGCTGCCGCCGGCGCTCTGGAGCTTCTCCGCCTGCTTGGCCTGCATGGCGGCGCCGACCTGGGCGACGGGCTCGATGCTGACGCCCAGCGTCACGGCAGGCACCTGGTTGGCGTTGGCGTTGGCGTTGGCGTTGGCGACGGCGTACTGGGCGACGTGCTCGAGGCCGTCGACCTTGAAGATGGCGCTCTGCTTCTCGTTGGCGACGGCGCCGAGGAAGCGGAAGTCGGGCGCGGGCGGGATCTGCACGTACACCGACGCGGCCGTGTCGGGCGGCAGCTGCGTGCCCGGCAGCAGGAAGACGACGATGTGGTTGAAGGCGGGCGCCGCGGGCAGCTGGAAGACGAACTGCGTCGGCGAGACGGCCTGCGGCTCCGTGAGGACGGGGCGCCCGGAGATGATGACGCCGAACATGGTCTTCCTTTGTCCCTCAGCTGCGCGTAGCCGATGTATGTATCCGTCGTATATTGGTGGTTGATCACGTCAGAAATCTTCTTCGCCGGGTAAGAGGCTCGTTGCCGCGGGGTATGGAGGGGCGAGCGGAGGGGCAGGCTTCGACGTCAGACCTGAGTCCGCGGCGCTGTGGCTTCACGACGCCCGAGAGAGGAGGCCGCGCGTCAGGGCGAAGTTATATTGAACTATTTTTGTGTTGGAGAAAATAATAATACGAGAGGCGTGTTTGGTTTCTTCCTGATCGGGCGAAGCTGCTCCTGGGTTCGAGAAAATTCGAGCACGGCCATGACGTTTGCTGTCTCAGCTATCGATAAACGAAGGCTGCCTTCGCCGAGGGCGGTGCGTTTGCCGACTCCGCATTGATGAGATCGCTGGATGAGACCAGACAAGCGAGCGCTGACCGGAAGTGCTGCCGGTTTCCTTTGTCGCGCCGCGTACGGGGTCTGCTACTCGCCTCGCGTCCCGCTACCGCCGCTGGTGCGCTCCCTCCGACGTGCGGACGACCTCTCTTTCCCTGCGCTTTGATTCCCTCCCTCCTTCGTGCCCCTGAGCTGCTGCAGCTCCCTTCACCCTCCTCACTCGCTCACCCAATCCTTCTCCGAGCCACGAGCCACTCCTCCGCTAGCGCACGCGAACCATGGAGAAGACTAGCGGGAAGAGCAACATTGATCTGCTCAACGATTGCGATAAGTGAGTCCCGCCAGCTTTTTCCCAAAATCGCCGTCTCCTGCACGCAACGCACGCTACCCAAAGCTTGGCCGCCCGTGCCGCACACTGCTATGTATTACCGCCTCGTGCCTTGTCCGTTGCTGTAACGTCATGGCACTTTTTTTCCACCCCCCCGCTATTAATAGCCGCGCGTATTGACCCGCGCCCCCCGCGAACAACAGCTTCCCCTACTATGAAACCGACCCCGGTCTCTACGATGCCGCCCTGGACCGCCTCTACACGCTGCAGGTCGCCGACGACGACACAATCCTCGGCTTCGTGCTGCCGGCTGTGGCCGAGGTGCTGCGCGGGCTGCCGCAGTGGACGCTGAGCGACGAGGACCGCTCGCTGGTGCTGGACAGGCCGGAGGACGACAGCGGCGACGACGACGACGGCGACGGCGACGGCGACGGGAGGCTGACGGAGCCGCAGCGCACCGCGCTGGTCGCGCAGACGACGCTGGCCATGCGCGAAACGGGCCACTTCCAGGTGCTGGCCGGCTGGCGCGACGAGCTGTACCCCGTCTACGGCCGCGACGGCGCCATGCTGTTCCGCATCGAGCGCTCCGCCAGCCCGCTGTTCGGCGTCGTGTCGTACGGCGTGCACATGACCGGGTACCGCAAGGAGGGGGGCGGATACAAGTTCTGGATCCCGCGCCGCGCCGCCACGAAGCAGACGTACGCCGGCATGCTGGACAACACGGTCGCGGGCGGCCTGGCCGCCGGCGAGAAGCCCGCCGACGCCCTCGTGCGCGAGGCCGAGGAGGAGGCGAGCTTGCCCGCCGAACTCGTCAGGGAGAAGACGCGCCCCGTCGGCAACGTCTCGTACTTTCTGGTGAGAGACGAGCGCGCGGGCGGGGAGACGGGCCTGTTGCAGCCCGAGAGCCAGTATGTGTATGACCTGGAGCTGCCCGAGGATGTCGTGCCCAAGCCGAACGACAACGAGGTCGAGTCGTTCCAGTTGATGACGACGGAGGAGGTGCAGGCTGCGCTGAGGAATGGAGAGTTCAAGCCCAATTGCGCCCTGGTCATGCTTGATTTCTTCATCAGACATGGCATTCTGACGCCGGAGAACGAGCCGGACTACTTGGATATTGTGTCGAGATTGCATCGTCGCTTCGAATTTCCTACGGTTAGGATGCCGGGCACATCGTTGTAGAAGGGAAGGAGAATGGGGAAAGATTTGCAGTTAAAGAGGGCAAAGAGCCCGTTTGTGATTCTATTGGCAGCGCAGGACGCATAGCATGAATAGCGAAGCTGATTTTCTTTTTTTTTTTCTCTGCATACCTATTGGATATATCATCTCTTGCGAATACACTTTTCCACGAGGCTCTTCGGGCGCCAATGCTTCAGCAGTGGGGAATTACGCGTGTTAGCCCATCTCCAAACGCCATCAATGCATGCCCCGCATGGCCAGTGGATCTGATACTTGGTCAAATCGGTGGAATTTGACGGTTCGGATGATGTGTCACTGAAGACCACAGGTCGGGGGTATTTTTTTCAGACAAGATCGGCCTTTTGCCTGGCCGCGCTTCGTCGCTCATTTCTTGAGCAGCAGGTAGACGTAATCGATCCGAAGCGGGGTGAGCTTCTTGTACGGCCCATCAATGTAGAGCAACAGCCCACCGAAGGAGACGTAGACCTTACTGTAAGACCATTCAGTCAGTCTTTGATCTCAAGAACGTGCATTATCGCCTGAACTTCCCAGACCATTCCCCTCGTCCAAGGCCGCAGACCCCAAATTGCGGAATCGCACTTACATATGATCGCCGTCGCCCTCTTCGAACCGGTAGACCTTGCCGTGGCAGACGTAGTCGTACATGTCGGCGAGGGTGGTCTCGGTGCTGGCGTCAAGCTCGCGCCAGCCCTTCTCGTCCTTGGTGCCGTCGAGGTTGAGGGTGCTGGCCAGCAGCAGCTGCACCGTCTCGCCGACCTCGACTGGGTACAGCTCCGAGTTGACATCCAGCGTCATGGTCGTCTGCGAGTCGGCCGACGTGCCCGCCAGTCGCGTGACGCGGTCGTACCTGGCCTGGTCCATCGACGTGATGTGGAACGTGTCCTCGTAGAGCTGCGAGTCCGCCATTGTGTCTGTTTATCCTCCGAGGCGCGGATCCTTTTTTAATATGTCGGTACTGCGATAGATGATGTTTGTAACAAGGGTGGCGATATCGATCCTCGGGGTGCAGAGACCACGGTGACCTGGATGGCAAGGTCCCGAGAGGGGGGGATGAGATGGGTGGGTGCGGGTTTTTGCTTTGTTGCGCGCGCGGTCTGAAATCTGCTTGCGCCGGAGGTAGAGGCGGGATGCTTCGAAAGCCAGGGCGGTGGCAGAAATTCTTCGCGCGCATCCGCCGGAAATCATGGCCGCCTCTGACGCAAGCGCTGTAACGCCCGACGACTTTTTTTCTTTGGTCCGACACCCCGCACGCTTCTGCTCAACACCGCTCACATGGCCTTCCGAAAGCGCAACGTGGGCATTGGTCGCGTGCCCCCTGGCTCACCACCGTCGTCTCCTGCTGTAGCACCGAGCCCAGCCCCCGCGAGCATACCAGGCATACGCCCTTCCCCGGTCGATGGCCGTCCTACTACGTCGACGGGTACACCTTCGCTAGACGGGATTTTAGCAGGACATGCTGGTTTCGCGCTTGGCTCTTCCTTGCTGATTGAGGAAAGCGGAACGACCGATTTTGCCGGCGCGCTGCTGAAGTACTATGCTGCAGAGGGTATTACCCAAGGACACACGGTGCATGTAGTCGGTCTGGGTGAGCCGTGGGGAAGGATGCTTCCGGGCTTAGTTGGCGTTGCAGACGGCGAAGCAGAGACGGTCCCGAGCGGAAGCAAAAACAAGGAGCGGATGAAAATAGCATGGAGGTATGAGAGGCTTGGTGAATTCGACGCGGAAAAGAGAATTGGAGGCGCAAGAGGTGTGTGGGGACCTATCACTTTCTTCCCTACGTTGTTATATATTTTTGAATGCGAACGCTGCCATCAAAAATCTGCCTGGCCTGAACCGGTGAGCTGATTCGTATGGTCGATTACAGGGCCAGCCGAGCGAGCACCGCCAGGCGCTTCTGCTACGTCGCCAGCGTCTCCAGACATAGCTGTGCCGCCTCCATTCTGCCACAAGTTCGACCTCGCCAAGCGACTCGAATTTCCAGCTGGACTGTCCATCAACTACATCCCGCTCCCACCACCTTACCAGCAGACCTCTCCCTTTACATCCATCCTCCAGAATCTTTCCACAAAGCTCGCCTCAAGCCCAGCCTCAACCATACACCGTCTTGTGGTACCAAGTCTACTCTCGCCGGCGCTGTACCCGCCCCACTCCGGCCAACCGGCTTTCCTTCTCCAGTTCCTTCACGCACTGAGAGCACTGCTGCGGAAGTACGCAACCAGGTTAACAGTCATGCTCTCACTTCCTCTTGAGCTTTACCCGCGAAGCTCCGGGTTAGTGCGGTGGGCAGAGCTCCTGAGTGATGGCGTGCTGGAACTGCAACCTTTCCCACACCTCATGGATACGTACGGCGAGCTGGCGTCGTCCGGTGCAGCAACAGCCAGCGAGGAAAGACCGCAGGGAATGCTTAGAGTACACCGACTGCCGGTGTGGCACGAGCGAGGAGGCGGTGGCGGAGGCGTGGCCGGCGTTGGAGACGACTTGGCGTTCACCCTGAGCCGGAGGAAGTTCGTGATCAAGCCGTTCAGCCTGCCGCCTGTAGAGGGCGACACAGAGGCGCAAGGGGCGCTTGGAGCCGAGGGCGGCGGCAGTGGAAAGCAGACAAAGGTTGACATTGATTTCTGAGAGATGCGGAGAGAGGCAGAAGGTGCATTTTAGGGTTCCCCATCGGAGTCTTCGACGTGGTCGAGCATTTCCTCCATCTCGATCTGTTCCCAGCCAGCTTGGCCGGTGCCAGAGCCAAGACCTCTGGCGTAGCTGCGGCCAAAGGAGGCCTGGCGCGGATTCATTGATGCACCGGCGATGGTGGCTCGCAAGCTGTCCCCAAGGCAGGAAGACAAGGCCATCCAGGCTGCGATAGCAAGTCAGTCCACGTCGCGCCGAAAATGCGAGGATGTCCCACCAATGAACATGACCAGCGGCAGGAAGAAAATGAGACCGAGAATGATCCAAATGCCCATGATGTCGACTTTGAGTTGTCACTGGGAGGGCAGGTGATCGGCGCCGGGCGGGCGGCTGGGGTGAAGCGTGACGAGCGAGTGGCCTGTGCGTGGGCCGCCGGACGCGCTAAAAATTGCCATGAACTTTTTCGCGTCGTGGTTGACTCCTCACTCCACCAACACACAATGTGACTGTCACTCCCACCGCCTCACCGAGGCACCCGTATCACGGTAAGTTCCCGCTCCATCTCTCTCCACCTGCCCCTTCACATGATTAGAACACACTTTTATCAATCTGTCAATCCCCTGACGCCCGGGCTACGGCCTTGGGCTTTTGACGAGAACGAGTTGGACACATGATACGCAACCGAAGCACTCCCATTGAAGCGCATTCCCTCTACAGACCTCTGTCGCTAATTGCCTCGTAGTCTAGCTTTACACTGAGCACGTATTGACACCATGAGTGGCCTCGGCCTCGACCACGTCTTCCCGTTCCCGCGCGAGGATGCCGTGACGGTGTCCAGCGAGTCGCCAGAGGGCTCAGAGGGGATCCGGACGCCGCAGTTGGTCATCAACGACTCGAAAGAGTCGCTGAGTGAGAGGCCGTCGCCCGAGAAGGGACAGCCCGGTGAAGGGTCGCCCAGTTCGCTCACACATGTCTTCCCATGGCAGCGTTCTCCCAGCCCGCATTTTGACGAGGGTGGCATGGAGACCGGCATGCAGGTCTTCGAACCTTTCGATATTGGCGACATGACCCCGACTCCAAGCGAGTGGTCTGACGGGCAATTCTCGAGCGCCCAGCAATCGCCCGAGTGGCGGCGGAAAGAAGCAGTATTTAGGCCTGACAGAGCGCCCACACCAAGGAGTGTGTCTGCGGCGTCGGCGTCGTCGCTGTTCAGGGCTCTTGCCCAGCCCGAACCTACTTCGGCGCCTAGGTCTGAGCCTGCCATTCCCGACGAAGAGTTGCTTCCGACGCCTACTGCCGAAGAGAAGTTTGCCCCGCTTGCTAGCGCTGCAGACGAATCGCAACCGGCCGTGGAAGAAGACGGCTCGACGGAGGAGCCTGCTTCGCCGGTGTTGAACGTTATAGAAGATCTTCAGGCCCAAAATGATATCCCTGTTCCAAGTTCCTCCCTCGATGCCGTCCCGCAAGAGCCCCCTTCAAATGCGCAGCCTGAACCACCCCAGCCACAGCAAGAACTAGACACGGAGTTGGCAGAATCTTCTCAAGCCCCGCCGCCCTCGCCAGTCCCCATTTCTCGGATCGCAAATCGCTACATGCTATACGACACGGATGACATATCGTACCTGAGGCGGGAGCACAACATTTGCGGTGTCCTGATCGGCACTCTTCCCAGCCACCCCCAGCAGAACGTTTTTCTTGGAACACCTCTTGAGCTTATGCCTGAAGAGGCGCGTCGCCTCGTCGAAATCGGTGCAGCTTACATCGTCGATGACGTTGAAAGGCATAGGACAGGCGTGATGGGTCTGGGCGAGGCTGAGCGCAAAGCATTCCTCAAGGCAGTGGAGAAGCAAGGCCTCGAAGCTTCGCGGGCAAACCAGCAGAAGGCGGACGACATCAAGAAGGAAGCCATGAAGAAGAATGCCGACAAGATCGAGAAGGCGAGGATGGCGAAGCAGGAGAAGCAGCAGAAGCAAGCGCAAGCGGCAGCCCAAGACGACGCGGACGGCGAAGAGGCAGACTCGTCTCTTTTCGCTTCCGAGGCTACCATCCGTCCCGCTTCGCCCGTGCCGTCGCAGGCACCGTCCTCAACTGCCCCGGAAGACCGCTTCTACATCACGCCGTCAACATCGCACCCCCCTCTCCAGACGGCCCCGACGTCACCTCCGGAGCCCAAAGAGCTTCCAAAGGTCCCGAGATCGTACCCGCTCTTTGCGTACCTCCACTCGAGGGGCTTCTTCATGTCACCGGGATTGCGGTTCGGCTGCCAGTACTGCATCTACCCGGGTGATCCGTTGCGGTTCCACAGCCACTACTTGGGAGTAGGCATGGGATGGGACGATGAGTTTGACCTGATGCAGCTGGTTGGAGGAGGACGATTGGGCACTGGTGTGAAGAAGGGTTTCTTGGTCGGAGGGAAAGAGACAAAAGTTGGGCAAGTGGATGGCGAGAGAGAAGACTCTGCCGCCGGCGTCAGGGCTTTTAGCATTGAGTGGAGTGGGATGTGAGTTGCTTCTTGGGGCAGACTATTCTCTGGTCTGCATAGCATAGCGTGCCGACGCTCATAGGAGACGCTTGAGATCCTTTGTGCGCAGCGATTTTACCCAGACAATGAAAGTCTTCAAAGAGCCATCACTATCAAGAGATGGTGTTTTGAGAGATGATTCAAGCGATCACGGCCATGCCCCACCCGTCATACCAGCTCGCGTAACTTAAGCGATGGGCTGCCTGAAGAGGAAAGAAAAGCCTGTCCGACCGGAGCATCTACTTCGGGCGGGCCGGGCGACGGGTGCCCACCTCACGCCACCCGAAACCGCCGGACGTGTCAGGCCGGGCATATCCGATGCTTCTCACTCCACCACGTGAGTGTTATCCGACTGCCGACGTTCGGAGCCAGTTTGCATGGACGTGTTGGCCGCTGGGCCCTGACGGGCAACAGGGTAGGTCGGGCGGGCATTGTTGCCATGTTGCCTGAGCGATGCAGCTGTCCCTTTTGCGATCGAGTCCAGTAATGTCGAGGCCGCTCCAAGTCGGGTTGCTCGTACACAAATGGAGTCTGTAAAATATTCATTTTTCAATAGTGAGCATTGGGATGCTGATTTTTCGTTTAGCTAGACCCTATCAGACCATTTAACATGACTTCATATCTGTCTATCTATCTGTGCAGAATTGATTGCCTAGGGGCTGTCTGGAGCGTCGCATGGTGCAGGAGGTTGAGGTGCTGGAATAATCATGGCAGCGACAGTAACACTCATCGCAGTAAAATCGCTGAACTCCAGTATTCGAAAAGAAAGATGAATTGCCGCATAGAAAGACATGCTGCGTCTTCGGTTTACTTGACCGCTATTTTAGAGAGGAGGAATTGAGGTGAGGAACTCGAGCAACGAAACGGAGCCGGAGTAAGTAGTGTTGCGGTCTTGAATGTCAAAGACGGTTGTTTCTTACGTTGAAATGGAATACAGTCTTCTCACTATCGATGGAAGCACTTCATGTATTATGAAGCAGATGAATAACAAAGACACTACAACAGATCAAAGGGCGCTCGAGCGCTCCGCTACAAACCACGCACATATGAGTGAAACTTCGACACTTCCTGCAGTAGATGGCGAAGATATGAACGTCGTTCGTCCGTCAAGAGCCTGCCCCAGATTGTATACTACTGACAATAGTCGCACTCGTACTCGCACTCGGCGTTCCCCGCTCTTGGTCCGTTCACAGATCTGACAGCTTCATTCGTTACACCGCTTACGGTGCAATTCGTGTGGAAGCGCGACACAAAGAATCGGTGGAGTGCCCCGGCATTACGCCGGTTTGCAGCCCAGCATCGGCTTACAAAGAAGCCAAGTTAGGAGGTGCGCTAAAGCGAGCTACGCGTTATTATGGTAGTGCTGGCATATTCGAACCACGCGCACAGTATCATGTTGGATTGTTCTGGTGGATCGGTGGATGATAGAAACCTACCGCACCCAAAAAGAACGAATGTGGTCTACCACAAAAGTGCATTTTATAGCGCACCAGGAACCAACTCCACAAACTTACATGTGACGCTCCGACGGGCAGCCCCCAACAGCGCAACGCCTTCATCATTGACGATGGTACCTCATGTCCCAATAATATACATATACCCTATTCCGCCCTCCATTGAACTCCCGAGTGATTACCCCTTCCGCCCAGCCTCCGTCCCTTGCCAAGGACCCACCCACTCACGAACGCCCGCTCACCCATCGTCTTTACCCCCCTCATCACCGCCACTGCATCCAGACCCCCTCCCCTCCCACCATTCCTTCGCGCCCACACCACCGGCCGCCGCAGCCGCCGTCCCAGTCCCAAACCCAGACCCAGACCCCGGCCCCGACTTTGCCAACTCCAACCCCGACTCCGACCCCGACCCCACGTTGAACACCCCACCACCACCATCCCCGCCGCCACCAACAATCTCCCCCGTACTCCCCCTCCTCGGCCCTCCTGTTCTTCCTCCTCCTCCTCCTCCTCCTCCCCCAACAACCAAACCACCACCACCACCACCACCGCTACTCCCTGCCGCCGCCGCCGCAGCGTTCAACCTCGCCGTGGCAGCAGCGGCGTTCCTCTCCCACGCCAGCCGCTCATACGCCATCTCCTTGGCCGCGCGCTGTGCGTCCGTCTCGCGCGGCGCGGTGGCGCTGGCGGCCATGAGGATGCTGGCGCGCTTGATGCCGCGGCGGGCGGCGGTGGCGAGGGAGAGGGCGGTGAGGGTGTTGGCGGTGTGGTGGTGGTGGTGGTGATGTTGGTGTTGGCCGGGAGGAGGGAGGGGGGAGGGAGAAGAAGGAGAAGAAGGAGAAAAGGGGGATACGGGCGGAGGGGCTAGCGGCGGGGTGGAGGCGTGGCGGAGGAGGGCCGGTCGTGGAGGGAAGGAGGCGTGGGAGGTCAGAGGATGTGGTGGTGACGGGATGGTGCGGGTGGAGCGGCGGGGTGGTGGCGGTGGTGCTGCTGCTGCGGATGGTGGGGGAGGAGGCGAGGATATGGGGGTGATGGCGTCTTCGTCGTGTGAGTCGTTGTCCATGTCGCGGTTGCTTTCCGGATTGGCGGGTGGCTGCTCGACGAGTGAGGACGGCGGCGGAGGCGGTTGCGGTGGCGGCGCGGTGGACGGGTGTAGGGTCTGAGAACCATTTTGCGGCGTGGAGAAGACGGCGGGGCGGTAGTCGTCGGCGGCTATCGTGGTCGTCGGTCTGGAGTTGGCGTCGACACATGTGCTTCCGCTCCAGCGTTGGCTAGGCCGACGATGGTCGTCCTTCTCTTCCATGTCGTTGTCTCTACCGCGCCACACGCAGAAGCTGCTCCAGAAGCAGCGGCTGGGGTTGCCGTCGATGTGGCGCCACGGCTTTTCGCGCAGTGAGAAGACGACGGCGTTGACGGCGCCGATGAAGCAGAGGCAGAAGTTGTTGAACGTGTTGACGAGGAAGGGCGGCCGCTTGACGAGCCTCGAGTTGTACGTCAGGCACAGGGCGACGAACGGGAACAGCCACATGCATATGTAGACGAGTGGGTACACGAAGACCTGTCGCAGCTGCCGGCGGATGTGGGTGCGCTTCTGGCGCATCTGTGCCTCTAGCGGATCGGAGACGCGGCGTCTGGAATTGCGCTCGGCGCGGCTGGTGGCAGACAAGTGACGCGAGCGAGTACGGCCGGTCGAGGTGCTTTTGGCTCCGTCCGAGGCGCGTCGACCCGGATTGAGGAAGGCAGTAAACACGGTGATACCGTGACGGCTGGGCGATCGGCGCCCCGAATCGACGGAGCCGGGCAAGCTGGAGCGGTGGCTGTTTGGGTTGTCGCAGGCCTCCTTCAAGGAACCTCGCCACGAACGCAGGCTCTCAGAAATGCTCCTCCGCTTGTTGGTAGAGTTAGCGGCTTCTACCTGGGTATTTGAGGCAACAAGACCGGCCGGGACCTCGATACGGACTCGTGAATTACGCCGGCCGTCTGGGGATACGGTTGTCATCAGATTCGGATTCAAGAGAGCTTCGTTGGGCACTTCGCTAATAGGGTCCACCGACGAGATTTGACGTGCATGTGTGGGCCGGAGCGCGGCCACTACATGGGCAGAATCGGATGCAACATCAGTCGCCTGCTCGCCCGAGTCGAAGGATGGGCGATGGAGGCAAACGTCCGGGCTGCCACTGCGTCTGGTATCCGTCACCGGCGGGCTTCCATCAAGCGTCTCGGACAAGAAGCTCGTTGAAGTTGTCGAGTGGCGTCGGAACGCGGCCGAAAAGTGACTGAACTCGCGGTGGACGTGGATGTAGATTGCGATTGCCAGCCCAAGAATGGTGATCCAGATGGCCAAGCGTGGAACCCACGCAAGTGCAAGGCGATACCATATCGGCCGTAGGGGCAGCGTGCAGAAGGCGCCTTGAGAAAGGTATCCAGCTGCATGGGAGTCTGCAAAGGGAAGAGACGCAAAGATCTGAGGCACGATCAGGATGAAAGCGTAGATCCAGTGGCGGTGCGTGTACAGTCGATCGTCCCCGCCCGCGATCGACACGGGCGGCTTGAAGATCTGTGTCGCGCCGTGTATCGATATGAAGAGTACCGAGAAGTCTGCGCCGGTCAGTGGATGGGTACATGGACGGAAGGTAGGCAGGTCCTGACCAGATACCTCAGTAGCCATCTGTATCAGGTAGCCGGCAGCTTGACAGAAGCGGGTGTGGGTGTAGATGGTCCCACGCCTAAAGGATACTATGGCAAACACCAGATACCACAAGGCGCGCATCCAGTCCCCAAGGATAAGCAGCATGATCAATCTGGGTCGCTCTTGAGTTAGCTGCCGAGGCGTTTGAGATGAGGGGCGAGGGACTACGGACTTGTGCCTGAACCGCTTTCTCATTCGTGTGAACCAGAAAAAGGCAATCGACACCAAAACCAAGCTAATGCATGCTGCGACGACCGAGGTAACCTGCACAATGAACCTTTTGTGGTCATCAAAAAGGAAAATATAGTCGGTATTATCTGTCGACTGATCGTTGTCCCCCCGGCGAGAGTGAAGGCCCACGTTCTCGGCGGGCGTCGAGCCAATCCATGGCATGAAGCCATCCTCTGGTCTTTGTATTGGAGCTGTGAGGAGAGGTAGCGCTGCTATTGAAGTCGGTATCAGGGGCATTCTAGGGAGGGGACACGCCCCAATGGGGCGGTTGCGGACGGCTAGGGGCAAGAATCGTTGCTGATATCAAGGCTGAATCGAACCCACGCGTGGACAGGCCCAGCAGTAATGACAGGCGGTCACGTTCGACGTGCGAGGCAGTGAAGCTGTGGTCGAGTCCTTCCTTTAAATTGCTTGGATGTGGTTCCGAAACATATCGACCGATGCAGCCCGAAGAAATCCGGAGAAGAGAGGGAAGACACAGTGGAGAACAGGGAAGCGGAGCGACCGGAGCGAGGTCCCTTGGTGGTTGAAAACGGCAATCGGACAAAGGCACTAACTCGACCTGCGCGCATCCTACGACATCGTCGACCAGTAGCTGGCTCCGCCACACGGGGGATATGCTAGCGGCTTCCCAATCGTACGCTGTAGAAAAATTACTGGCTGTCTCTTACAAATATCCGCCTCGTGGGGTGGTTTGATGAACGGGCTCTCCCTTCGATACAAAGCGTGCCTGGGTACAGCTAGACGCGTCCAAGACGTAACCGAGGACCATTTGACTTACATAATGATCCGGCATACTTCGCATGGACAAGTGCACCGCTGGCCTACCCGGCTGACGCCGTCAGAGCAGCCGTCATCGCCTGGGTGGCGGAGCTGTGGCAGGCTACGTCTTACACATGGGACGATCCGGGCGAATATGCCGAGAGTATTTGTCTTTGTCCTTGCATTCCAGGGCGGAAGCTACCATGGCCGGTCCCACACACTGATCCAGAACCTTATCCGTATCGCTCGCATGCAACCCACGCCAGAGCTCTGCTCCTCGAATCAGCCACTTGGCGCATGCCGTTCTTCCCGCATTCGCACAGCACGTGCGCGGTTACGCCGGCGGCGCCCCTTGTATGTAAGTCCGACGGCCTCGGTCTCTCAGTCAAAGCTGGGAGCCAAGGCGATCAAGCTGAATCTCAGATCGCCACCTCCTGCCTCTTGTTCGCGCTTCAGGAAGCTCCGCACGCCAAGATTCAGCGCCTTCTCCGACAGCACGTCCTCATCAGCGCCTAACACGCCTCTGTCGAGGGGACCCTTGCGCCTTCCATCCATCTCCCACAGCCGATTGTCCTCCGACTTGACGAAACAGACATAGTGCAAGTCGACGGCGGCGTCCGCCTCGGGGGCAGCCGTGTCACCCCCCGAGGCGGCCGACTGGTGCGCACTCTCGAGGGCTTGCGATTCGTAGAGGAGGTCCGCGCGGGAAGCGGGCTTGAGGGGAATGGCGCTGGCGAGAAGCTTCGCAAGGTCGCTTCCTGGCTCTGCGAAGCGTCAGTGTATCCCCTTGTTTGCAGGGCCACCACCGAATCTGGGCCCGTACCGATTTGCGAGCGGGCTTTGCCGTTGGACACGCCGTGAAGCAGCCCGATCAAGCCGCACGCATTGCCGATCGTCTGCTTATACCACACAACGGGCTCGCCGTCCCCAGAACCCTCATACTCGGGCTTGCTAGAGTCTTCCTCCCGGCGGAATTTCTCGTACGTCTGGCTGACCGGGAAGATGAGTAGCAGCGCGTGCGCCGGGCGGGGAACGAAAGCAAGCAGCTCTGGCTCGTCGATGCTGAAGACATCGTGGAAAGCTAGCTTCGTGGACAGGCCGAGCTTGTGCACGAGCGCACTCATCACCTCCGGGTTGTTTTCTGTCGCCAAGTTAGCTGCCTGCAGACGGCGATCTTAGTGGTGGGACTGCTCGCACCGAGAGGGACGAAGCTCTTCTTGCCCTTGGGGACGTCAGGGTTGTCGAGTCGTTCCTGTTCGGTGGCCATATTGGAAGGTACGGGTTGTGAGTAGACAGTCGCAGTAAGGTTGCGGGGTGGACGCGGTGGTTGTGGAGCTTCGCGATTAGAGAAGGCAGCTTCGAGGATCCGTGTCCAAGCGCCCTATGACGTGCCGAGGTCGGCCGACGCGGGCACCCGCGCGGGGAACATTACAAAGCGCACACCAAGTCAAGCGCGAGGCATTCACGAGGAGCATTGGACATTGCGGGCAAATGGTTGGCATGCCGATTTGGGTGGTTTCTTCAGGATTGTTTGGTTTCAATCTCTCGGGTATCAAACTGCCTTGAGCACTCAAGCTTTACCCATTGCTTCAAAACTTCCAACGCCGAGTAATGCAGTCTCAAGCCCTACCTACGTGTGCAATGTGATGCAACACGCAAGCCATATTCCAGGCTAATTTTCCTTCCTGCCCGAGCCAACGAATCCTTCGCAATATATCATGTTTGAGCCGTAGGTAATGCATAGATCGGCCGTATCGCGGGACTATCATAAAATCATCGCAAGGAGCCAGTGGCCTAGGGTTTGAAGACCGGGCAATTGACAGCCAAGAGGGAGGCCTTGTTCCAGCTGCTCCCGTGTGCTGTCGCGGCCCCGACAGCCGACCAGAGCCATAATATTCTCGTTTCACCAGGACCAACATGCAGCTATTCGGTAGGGGCACGCTCTTAGTTGCCGGGTCTGCTACTGTTGTTGCTGACAATCTTGATCTTGTCGGCGGTAAGCGACTGCGAGTTGTCCATCTTGAAGGTGATGTCCTTGATGATGAAGGTCCACACGTCGTCGCAGAAGCGGTAGGTGTCGAGATGGCCCTGAGCACACGCGCGCGTTTAGCATGCCAGCTGGTCGCTGTCATGGCGACGGGGGCGCATACCTTGAAGCTCATCCGAGCCTTGACCTTCTCGGATATTACATCGGCCAGGGCCTTGTCGAAGTTCTGCATGATCTTGATGGCAAGCTGCGGCTCCATGCGGCGGGTGCTGATGAGCTCGTCCAGCGTGTCCATCAGGGTGAGACCGATGCTGCTGTTGTTTAGCCACAGCGAGAACTTGAGAGGCTCCGCCATGGTGTGGCTGCAGTGCAGTGCAAAGCATACCTGGTCTTCCGGTAGATTTCATAGTAGTTGAGGTCGCTCATCTTGACAGCACCGCGTCTTCAGTCGGCGGGTGAGCGGGGGGGTGCGGCGGGCCACGAGGTGCGTGGTTGCAGAGGGATCGTCGGCGCAAGGGCGGCGGTGTTGGATGTCAGCGCTGGGAGGCGGCAGCACACGTGATGGAGGCTGGCCCGGGCTGCGGCCTTTCTCCGAGCCGCGACGAGCTCCAGCGAGCGCCAGGTCCAAGCAAGCAGCAACGCCCGACCGCGCCGACCACCGCCCTCGACGAGCTCAGAGGGTTTCTTTTCCGTTTTCCATCTCACACAGATCAGTCCGGGGAGATTCGCCAGGATGCCGCTCATCTATGGCGTTGGCGGCGCCACGGCCGCCTTGACCGTCGTCGGCCTGTGTACGTTTACTCTCGCGCGACTCCCGCTCGCGATCTGGCGCTGACATGCTTGCAGATATGCTGTTCAACGGCGAGGGCGAGGCCTTTAACGTAGGCGCCTATGCTGCTGATGATCGCCCCCGAGCTTAGCTGATGACGTCGCTGCCAGGTTGGACAATTTCTCGAGAGCGTTTCGCCGTACATGTGGGCAGACATGGGTATCGGCCTCTGCATCGGCCTGTCCGTGGTGGGAGCTGCATGGTATGCCAGCAGGACGAGCCATGGGGAAAACGCAAACAGCTCGCTGACACTGTGTGCAGGGGTATTCTCATCACCGGTAGCTCCATTCTCGGTGGAGGTGTCAAGGCGCCCCGGATACGGACCAAGAACTTGATTTCCATCATCTTTTGCGAGGTCGTTGCCATCTATGGTGTTATCATGTCCATCGTCTTCTCCGCCAAGATCCAGTCGGTCAGCGGCGATGCCCTCTACTCGGCCTCCAACTACTACACTGGATTCGCGCTCTTCTGGGGAGGCATCACGGTTGGCATGTGCAACCTGATCTGCGGTGTCTCGGTCGGCATCAACGGCAGCAGTGCTGCTCTGGCCGATGCGGCGGACCCCAGCCTGTAAGTGCCACGGATGCACATGGTCTTCCACGAATCTAACGCATGTACACAGGTTCGTCAAGATCCTCGTCATCGAGATTTTCAGCTCCGTCCTCGGCCTTTTTGGCCTGATCATTGGCCTGCTCGTCTCTGGAAAGGCGGCCGATTTCAGCATGGAGTGAAAAGGCCGGTCCACATGACCAAACGGGACATTACCGCCGTCCGCTCGACAGGATGGATCAACGATGTACTATGAGGCGTTGGGATAGACGTCAAAATGGCAAGGAAGCACGGCAGGCGGTTGCAGTGTACGATATCCTTCGTCCTGTGCATATTCAGGCTTGTATATTTGGGAATTGCAGGACCGGGTTCGGGAGGAGGATATGGCGGGCGGAGCGGTAGTGGATAAATTATCTTGCATTTAGCGCATTTCTGTAGCACAATACCCGCCATGGATGCGGAATCACTTCATGCTCTGCTCGTGGGACGAGGATTGGTCGAGGACGGAGAAGCAGGCGTGCAGCTTTAGGCATGGCCGGATGAATGCAAGCGACATCGGATAAGACGTCAGCGGGCGTGCAGCCCCGCCAGCCGATGACACAACGTACGTCGCTCCAATGTCGCAACTCACAGCAGCCATCCTGATCGTCTCCGAGACAGCCGCAAAAGACGCGTCGAGCGACAAATGCGGCGACGTGCTCAAAGACGTGTTCCACAAGGACGCGGCCAGCCAATGGCATGTACAGGCTTTCGAAATCGTGCCAGACAGCGTCCTCGACGTCCAGCGATTTATCCAGCGCTGGGCAGATTCCGAAGATGGCGTGAATCTGATAGTCACGAGCGGTGGCACAGGCTTCACTACCAAGGACACCACGCCAGAGGTAATGCACATCCAGGACATTTTCGTCTGCCTGATATTTGCTAATCCTGCCTCCAGGCTGTGAGCCCGTTACTCCATAAACACGCACCTGGCATTGTGTAAGTACAAGTACTTCAATTGTTGCTTTTTCCTATCCGATTCCTAACAGATTCAGGCATGGTATGCTGGCTGCATCCCTCCAGGTGACGCCTTGTCAGTCCCCAGTATCCCTTCCATGCCAGTTTTCTCTTGTTAAGAATTATTAGTTGCTATGATGGCACGCCCCGTGGCCGGCGTGAGGAACAAGACTCTGATAATCACGCTGCCCGGCTCACCCAAGGGAGCAAGGGAGAACCTGGAAGCCGTAATTAAGCTCCTTCCCCACGCCTGCATCCAAGCTGCAGGCGCCGATTCCCGAACCCTCCACGCTGGGGGTGTGAAGAAGTTGGAGAAAGAGGCAGGATTGCACTCCAACACCAAACCCGCAGGTGGTGTTTCTGCCACAACAAGAATTCAGCCTGTTAACTGCTCGCTAGGAGATAAAGCTGGCCATCACCACCATCATCACCATCATGGACACGGTCATGGCCACGGACACGGAGGCCATGCAGCGCCCAGGGCGCACACAAATCCAGATGAGCACCCCCAGTCTAACGATCCCAGCCTTGGTCCCACGAGACGTTACCGCCACTCGCCATATGAGATGCTGTCGGTGGACCAGGCTCTAGAGCAGATTGCGCAGCACACGCCCAAACCAACCGTCGTAACGATACCGCTCGGTGAGAAAGCTATCGGTCATGTACTTGCCGAAGACATCAAAGCTCCCGAGTCAGTGCCCGCATTCCGAGCCAGCATCGTGGATGGCTACGCCGTGAGCCCACATCAACCGCCACCTGATGACGCCCAAGTGCTGACTTATCTCAGGTGAGGATTCCCGAGTCCGGGTCCTTCAAGGAGGGCGTATACCCGGTTGCCCTCATCTCGCATGCTCAGGCTGGCGAGATAGCGCCGCTTGAGGAAGGTAAGATTGCGCGAATCACCACCGGCGCGCCTCTTCCCCCGCACGCCTCCGCCGTGGTCATGGTCGAAGACACGGTTCTCGAGAGCATGACGGACGGCGACAAGGAAGAGAAGGAAATCAAAATCTTGACCTCGGCCATCAAGCCTGGCGAAAACGTGCGCGAGGTCGGCAGCGATGTGCGAGCGGGCGACGTGATCATGAAGGCGGGCGAGGGCATCACGGCAGTCGGCGGCGAACTCGGGCTGCTGGCCTCGGTCGGCGTCCGTGAGGTCAAGGTGTACAAGAAACCCGTCGTCGGTGTGCTCAGCACAGGCGACGAGATCGTGGAGTTTGACCGCCCCGGCGAGCTCAGGTTGGGCGAGGTTCGGGACACGAACAGACCGACGCTCCTGAACGCGGTGCGTTCCACTGGCTTCGAGGCCGTAGACCTCAAGATCGCGTCGGATCAGTAAGTCTCCATTCTTCCCCATCCCTTTCCCCAGCTCATAGTTCCTGACCCCCAACGACAGGCCCGGCAGCCTCGAAGAGACGCTCCGCCTCGCCCTGCGCCGCGTCGACGTCATCATCACCTCGGGCGGCGTGTCCATGGGCGAGCTCGACCTGCTCAAGCCCACCATCGAGCGCCAGCTCGGCGGCACCATCCACTTCGGCCGGGTGAGCATGAAGCCGGGCAAGCCGACCACCTTCGCGACCGTCCCGTTCAAGTCCGCCGCGGGCGGCGACCACAACGGCACGGTCCGCGCCGTCTTCTCGCTGCCCGGCAACCCGGCCTCGGCGGTGACGACGTTCCAGCTGTTCGTGCTGCCGTCGCTGCACCGCGCGAGCGGCATCAGCCCCGCCGGCCTGCCCCGGGTGCGCGTCACGGCCGATGGCGACCTGCGATGCGATGGGAAGCGGGCCGAGTACCACCGCGCGCTGGTCGTGGTGAAGGCGGACGGCGGGCTGCACGCGAGCAGCACCGGCGGCCAGCGCAGCTCCCGCATCGGCAGCTTCAAGGGAGCGAACGCACTGCTGTGTCTGCCGGTGAAGGATGGGTTCGTGAAGAAGGGCGAGATGGTAGACGCGTTGATGATGGGCCCGGTGATGAGCGAGCTGTGAGTTTGGGAGAAAACGTCATGTTTTATGTACGGCCATCATGATGTACAACAGACCTCCATGTCATCACACAGTTTGCTCATCTTTGGGTACACTTCATTTTTACAACCCAAATGCTTCTGATCCTCCATCCAACACGTCTAGACATGATTAACATCCCTCCCCTTCAACTCCATGCACGCCTCCTTCCTCGGTAAACTTACACTCGGCCGTCCCCAGATCCGTGCTGTTCTGCGCCGTCGTCAAACTCACATTTTTGAAGTCAATGTTATAGCACGGATGCTTCGTCGAGCAGCTGATGCCCGCGGTCGTCGCGTCCCCCTCATCCAGATCCAGCCAGCCCGTCCAATTCACGTACGCGACGTTGGACACGTCCATCAAGCTGCTGCCCTCAAACGCCTCGGTCCCGTTGTTCCCGCTGTTCTGATTGATCTGCGGCCCCGCCTCGGCGCCCTCGACCCTGAAGTTCGAGAAGACGACGTTGCGGACGGACCCCCAGCCGGCGCCGCGCGGCACCCAGGCGCTCTCGTACGAGCGCGACGACTGGTTGACCAGCACGCCGACCCAGGTCTTGACGAGGGCGGAGCCGTGCAGCCAGCGGCCGCCGGTGACGAGGGCCACGTCGTCGAAGACGACGTTCTCGACGGACGCGTCCTCGAGGTACTGGCCGAGCGAGCCGACGGCGACGCCGTTGCCGCCGACGCAGCGCGCGCGGCGGACGCGGACGTTGCGCGAGCGCGGCTTGATGGCGACGCAGTCGTCGCCGCCCTGGTACGTGAAGTCGGTCAGGGTCACGTCGTCGGCGTCCATGGTGTCGAAGCCGTCCGTGTTCTGGACCCAGTTGACGCCGGGCGGGGCGGCGGGGGCGGTGGCGTTGACGAGGATGCGGTCGAAGGCGAGGCGGGTGCCGTTCATGATGTTGATGGCCCACAGCTGCGGGTCGCGCACGTAAAAGGCCGACACGCGCACGTCCGACACGTTCCACAGCACGAACGGCATCGGGCGGCCCGGCTGCGTGTCGCCCACGGGCGAGGCCGCCTCGGCGACGTACCAGGCGTTGCCGTTGCCGAAGATGCCGCCCGTGCCGTGGCCGTCGATCTGGATGCGGTCGCCCGTGAGGACGAAGCCCGCGGCGTGGTTCTGGAAGGCGATGGGGTACGAGTTCGCGCGCCAGTAGGCCAGGTCCGGCGAGAAGGTCCATTGGCCACGCCAGTGGATGTGGACGTCGCTGACGACGGGGTTCAGCCGCGTGGCGATGTAGTAGTCCTCGCCTTCCGGGAACACGATGTCGCCGCCGTTGCCGCAAGAAGCGAAGGCGGAGAGGATGGCTGGCACGTCGTCGGTCTGGTTGCCTGTGGCGTGCACGGTGCATTGAGGGCGGCCATTGTCGAGCGTTGTCTGGATGACCCGGGCCGAAGTGAGGACGCAGTACAAGGAAAGGGGGAGAGCAGGGCACGAGAAGAGACGCATTGTGGAGGCGAGAGGACGTCGCGAGAGCGCGAGAAGATTTGATTCGGCGGCGAGGGAAACAAAAATCTGGGGAGGGTGCGGTTTTGCTTACTGCATTTAACCCATCGTGTACCCGGGCAGTTGATTGGAGGCAAAATGGTTCGCGGGGACGCTGCAGTCGATCATGAGGAGCTTGCTCGTTCGCCGTGTATCCGCGAGGTCATGGCGAGTTGCGGAAACAAGGGCTCGGGGCAGCTTCAGCCGAAGGCGTCTGCGTGCGGGGAGACATGCAGGGGAAAGAATCTGGGGAACTCGCATGACGTCAGAAAACGAGCCGCTTACCAGACTGCGAATAGTCCGCAGTTTGAGCCGCTGTGTCTTCAATATAACTCGGATGGTTGCTTTCCAAATCAGAACATGAGCGTAAAGATTGGTGTGTAGTTCTTAAATCTTGAATCCACAGCGTAACAGCGCTGTCGTGGTGTACAGCCGTTGCTGCCATGCCCGACGCACCAAAGACATCCACCTCGTCTATACAGATTCCAGTATCTACATCTTCGTGTCTTTCGTTGGTCTTCTGTACATTGCGCCGCCGGCACCAGCCTATACAGCTTGTCAGAACTTCCAAGCATGTTCTTGTGGCCCTCACGACTTCCGGTGCATGACCGTTGCGGCCGCCTTGATCCGTCCGTCAGTGCCAGCTCTCCACCCTCCTCTCGTGATTGGAGCGGGGGGATGCAGAAGTAGCTTACCTGGTGGTTAGGGAAGATGAGCGTATCGGCGATGACGACGTTCTCCCGGCGACCGGCAGCGAAGACAATGACCTCGGCAATGTCATCGGGGGTCAGAGGATCAACGCCCTTGTAAACGGCATCGGCCTTGGACTTATCGCCGTAGAAGCGGACAACGGAGAACTCCTGCGACAATCAGTCAGCCTTCTTCTGCCAGAGCAGCACCCAATCATGCCCACGCACCGTCTCGACCTGGCCCGGGTCGACCTCAATCACCCTAATGCGGGTGGAGATGAGCTCTCTCCGGAGGGAATCGGTAAAAGTGCGCACGGCGGCCTTTGTGGCGCAGTAGATGCTACCGCCAGGATAGCCTTCGCGGCCCGCAATGCTGCCGACGTTGATGATGTCTCCCTTGCCGCCGTCGGGGCGCGACTTGTAAAGCTTCAGGACCTCCTGGGTCATGCCGATCAAGCCGGTGACATTGGTCTGGAACATGACGTTGATGTCCTCCTCGGCAATCTCGGGGGCTTGGGCAACGCCCTTGACAAGGCCGCTATCACGGGCGGTCAGCACGAGGGCGCGCATATGGCATGCAGAGGTCTGACTCACGCATTGTTGACCAGCACATCAATGTTCTTCCATTCTTGGGGCAGATTGGGGACGAAGCTCTTGACCTCGGACGGGTTGCTGACGTCCAGCTGCACGGGAAGCACCTTGACGCCGTCGCCAACCTCCTTCTTGATGTCGTCGGCAAGCTGCTTGAGGGCGTCGATGCGGCGCGCGGTCAGGACCAGGCGCAGGTCCTTGGGGCTCGTGCGGGCGAACTCGAGGGCGGTGCTGCGACCAATGCCGGAGCTGGCGCCGGTGACGACAACGGTCTTGCCTTCGAGGCGCTTTGCGACGGCGGACGACATGGCGCGGGCTGCGATGGACGAGCCAAAGAGGTGGGGGTGAGCTGCTGCGGAGTGGGGGCGTGTAGCAGTGCGGGCGAAAGCGGCGCTGGTGCGGGTGAAGCGGCGGAGGGAGGGCATAAAAGGTGGGATAGGCTGGCAAGGTGAAGTTGATATGGGCAAAAGACAGCAATGGTGCAATTGAAGCTGTGGATTGCAGCAGCGGGGGAGTGGAGACGGTTGGGAGCTCTGACGCTCGAATAGATATGGACCCGAGCCCGCGCCGATGGCTGCGACCAGGGTCGTCGGCGAGCGACGTCAGCCAACCCCACGCTGCGATCCTCGCCTTGCCTGACCCATCCTCGCCGCTAATTTTCCGTCGTCTTGCCATCTCAACACCGTCTCTCCGCGAAAAGAACGTGGAGGAGGTTGCGTGATGCCAGGGGCCCCGAGTGAAGCCACGCCCATGTGGCCACGATCCTAAACTCAATGTGCCCTGCAGATGCAAAAGAAAATTCACCGGCGTTAATGAGTCCCGTGAAAATCTTCCACGTCTTTCACAAGCTCTTGGCGGCGAGCTGCCTCGTGCTGCGCCCAGCGGGACAAAATTTTCAAAGTTGGAAAAAACAGAACCTTGTTCAATAACTACTCCCTTGGAGTCTTTGCCGCATTTCGAATGCCTATACTGACTGCTGGGCTCCGGCAGCCGTGGATTTGTGGGGGAAATGATGGAAAATCACTGGTTGGCCTCTCAACCACGCCTGTTAATGGAACGCCCGTACCATGGCGCAGTTAGCGGCTGCCCATGCCTTCTGCTCCAGACAAAGATGCAGTCGGCCGGTGCTACAGGATGCTGGTATTCCAACTCGGCGCTGGGCATTTTACCCTGGTGATATTCCAGCTCAACGCTGGGGATTTGACCCGGAATCCGCGCTGAAGATCTCCTGGCTCCAGGCCCAGTAAAGAGCATCCTCAGTCTACTTTGTTCAGGGTAACAATCGGAACAGTGCCATGGTACTCGTCATAAGATCTATGTGAACTGCAGTTCTGACCAGGCAGCCGTTGTGTCAAACCCACAGTACTGGAAACTTCACCCGTGACCAGCACGTTAACACTTTTCACTGTATGCCCTGTGTTTATTTTTTTTGTTGTTTTGGTTTCCTCGCTTTCCAAAGGACTTCCTCCGCCGCGCAACCCATCGTTGGTCCCAGCCTCCAGTCCACGCACACAACTACAAGATCTTTCGCCCTCCCGCACACGACGCACCTTGACACATCTTCCGCACACCCACAGCGCTTCGCACAACCCGCTCTCTTGAACTTCTTTGTAACGCGCTCTCAACCTCCTGTCCAGCCCATTAAACATCCATTCCGCGACACTGCTCCACCCATAGCAACCCGTAACCAACACGCGCTTCGCAACCCGCCGCTGGGATAACCATTCACTTCGTCTTCTCGGTGCGACCAGCAGTTTTACTCCAACTTCGCACACCATGACGCAACCTGTCGAACCGCAGAGCTTCGCTTCCGGTCTTGAGAGCTTCGGTTCCATTGACTGGGACGCCGAGTACGACGAGCTCGTCGCAGCCGATGATACCACATCTGCGCAGTCCGAGCCCGAGCAGCTCCAGCCAGAGGGCCCGGAAGCCATCAACACGGCGCCGCTGGTCGAAGAACCCACATCTGACCTCCCTTACCCCGACAACACCACATACGCCGACCATACTCCCTTCACCATGGCCGAGTCTCCCGACCAGACCGTCACCACAGACACAATGTCCAGTGAACACGAACACCTTCCCGATCAGTACGGCAACGAGACGCCGACAGTGTCGGACAGTACCCCAGCGGTCAACTTCGTCCAGCAGCCAGGTTCGTTCGCCGCCTGGACGCACCCTGGCTGGTGCTGGAACGAGTCGCCGTCATGTTACGAATGGACGGCCACGTCCCCCGAAGTGAGCGCATGGGCGATGTCGCCTGGCATCTGGAGCGACGCCAACTGGATCATCGGCGCCGCTCGCCAGGGCGACGATTACGCCCACGACGACATCCCGCGCATCGCCAGCCTTCTTCAACGTGCCTTCGACTACACGTATGACGTGTCGGGGTACGCTGGTGTCTGCTTCCCCGCGCTGGCCCGTGGATTCAAGGCGGTGCCTCGCCGCGGCACCGGCGATCTTCCCCGCGAGCAGTACCAGAACAGAGGGGCGAAGGGGCTGAGGCGGGATCGGAGAGGCCCATCTCTAGAGGAGGAATATGTCCCCATGGGGGAGACCTCCAAGATGCAACTGGGCGTCTATTTCCCTCGGCCCTCCCGCCTCTCCGATGTGTGGACGGCGGAAAACGAGGACGATGAGGACGAGAAGGAGCAGGAGGAGATGGGGGAGGAAGAGGAGATGGAGGCGGAGGAGATGGAGGCGGAGGCGGAGGCAGAGCTTGTGGAGAGCTCCGAGGAGGGGCGGGCCTGCCTTGACGGCAGAAGCTGCGAGGAGACGGAAGGCGCAACGCCCAGTGCGGCGTCGGAGGAGTCATCGATCAACAGTGACAACAGCAGCTGCAGCAGCAGCGACAGTGATGACGACCACTACAACAGCTCAATCTCGGACGCCATCGACGAAGACGAGATCCCTGCTATCCCCTCCAGGCCCGCCATCCTCATGCCGACGTCACCCCACACTCCTGTGCGCCCCTGCAGCGATCTTCCACAAGATCAAAACCCCAGCCCGAAGCTCACGAGCCCCGGCTCTCCGCGCCACCTGGCAGATAACGATGTGGCGCCACAGCTAAGCCCGGCGCTTGCACTCGCAGACATGAATGTCGGAAAAAAGCTGGCTCCGCCGAAGTCATTGTACCAGAGCTTCGTTGAGAAGAGCGGCAATAGGTCGACAGGCGAGACAGAGGGGAGGAACCAGGATCCTGATGAAAACCACACAGGTTTCTGGACAAACACTGCCGCTGCCGCCATCGCTATCGTTGGTGGTATGACGGTGCTCTTGGGCTGAACGCCACACCTATCCGAACCTGACGGAAGCGACGTCCACAGATGAGAACACTTGGCTTCACAACATGATAGCGATTAAGAGCACAGCGGAGGAGTATAACAGAGGGTCATTTCTATTACAGCATTCTGAGACGTTCCAAGAACGGAGCTTCCCTGAAAAGTTTAGTAGCTTAGGGTCAGGGGGACGCTAGACGACGTTGCATTTTTCTTTGCGATACTGAGATGGTCGAAAAAGCATTGGGACCTGGCGCTTTATACCACAGATTTTCAACACTGGTCTTTTTCATGAATCCAAGGTGTCCTTGGATGGAAGGGATGGGGCTTTTTTATTTATTCATTTACGATGCAACGTCTGACAGGCATCAGGAAGGTTTTTTTCCTTACTAGCATAGCGAGCGGAGGTTTTGTCAGCCATTGACTTGTTTGAATTGATTTTTGTCCTCTTGATAATGCACAACGTTTGCGAAGTGAGAAGTGATTGCATGATTCTGGATATGGGCTCCACAGATCGCGGGCGTGGAGCACTGCTTTGGTTATCCGCTTTTACCGGTCCCCTTCACTACTCCAACAGTATCACGGGTCGCAGTCCAGCTCAGCTTACAGTCGCCAGATGCTTGTAAGTTGAGGATGATTCGTGAAGAGTAAGTGTGCCTGAATGTGAACTAACACCTCATCGCGCGCGGCCGAGCCCCGTACAGTTAACACGCCGACAACGAAACCGAGTTGGTCCAAACACACGGGCACCTCGTCTCCGAGCACCGTCAGTGCTGGTGCCGCTTCCTACAAAGGGCGCTCGCCAACCTCGACCACACTCCTACGCCTTTCCATCCACATTTCTTTGCAACTCTGCGCCGCTCCCTGTACACCTAATGTTCAAGTCTGACACGACGAAGACCATGCGCTCTCTTCCCGATAGTGCTTCTGATTCTACCTCCTGGCTCCACACCGAAGACATGGTTGCACTGGCTGGCATTGAACGCACCCAGCGCCGGTCCATCATGTCTGCCAAATGCAGCCACTTGGTCGGCCGCCTCAGCTCCAAGCTGCAGAGGATGTCGTCCACCTCGACAAAGGCGATCAAGCACGCGTCCCAAAAGATGCGCAGCGTCTTGAACAAGTCGGCACGGAACGGCTCGACTACTGACGCCCGCTCCCATGACGACTCTCTTCCCTATCACCACGACACCCGCCACGAGACAGACGAGCTTACTCAACAGGAGATTGACATACTTTTCGATTCGTTCAGCTCGGTAACCGACTCTGGCATCGATATGAGTGCCTGCGGTCTGCTTCCAGCACATGACGCGGACTACACGCCCTCGCCATACGTCGACACGGACACGTCCATGGAGGTCTGCGAATGGGCTTCATCGCCAGACATTGCTGTACATATCTACGCCGTTCGCTCCGCTGCCGCCGCTGATGACGGCGCCGACACCAACGACGACATCAGACAGTCCGAAGGTGTGCTCCGGCGGGCTTCTTGCCTGAACCGGGCGGATGACCGCCTCTACCATGTCCCCGGCCGGCTGAATATCAGCCTACCCAAAGGAGCAACCGGCAGCATGCACCTACCTTCGCGATACCCTCGCGGCGCCAAGGGGTTGAAGAGGCCGGATGACTATGACTTTCCCAGCTGGCACCCTGGCCCGGATGGCTACATGGTGCCCACTCAGCGCCTTCCTCGAGGCGTCTTCTTGCCCAAGCCATCGCGGCTATGTGAGGTCGAGACGGCTGAGGACACTGACTTTGGGGAGGAAGGCATGCCGGTCCGACTGCTCAGTCAGAACGTCAGTCAGCGCAGTCTCCGCCGCACCAAGGCCATGGTCTCTCGCCAGCATCCAGCCATCAACCAGGACCAGGCGTCGGACAATGCCGCCGATGACAGTTTGCTGTGCTCCGACTTTGACGGTAACTGGGTCACCTACGGCAATGATTCGGACGAGAAGACAACTCGAGAGCTGGACGTCATGCTGGAAGAAGATTCGATTGAGGAGCACACGAGCGCTGAATGTTTTTCAGAGGTCAGCAAACAGGCCCGGCTCGGCTTCACTCAGCGCGTCAAAGCAGAGTCGATCAAGCTTCTACGCCCCTTCTCCTCTTTGTTTGCCATTGTGGCCAGCGAGGACATTGGCAGTGAAGAAGATGACGCCGTCTTGGAGCAAGACGAGTCCTACTCTGGTTCGAGTACTCGCACTCGATCAACCAACGCGCTGGCCACGGTCCAAGTCCAGGCATTCAACGGAGAAGACTACAGCGAGTGCGATGCCAGCAACTTCTCAATCTTCGCGCAGGGACCGGAGGAGGACGCAACCGAATTCTCCGAGCAATCCACCATGATCCATCACGAGGCGCAGTTTGGCGTCTCGGAGGGAGGTAGGGTGAAGCTCAGTGTCAAGTCGCAGGAGCAGCTGGCCGACATGGTGTCCTCCATCGAAGACGAGTTTGACCATGACGACAATGAGCTCGTACTTCCTTGCTCACTGCCCGCACTTCCGATTGGCGTGCAGTACGCCGAAGAGCGCACGTCCATCATCTCGAGGGGGCCTCACCTCATCATCCCTGAGAGGCGCACCCGCATCGCCATGGCCACTGGTGGCTTGGGTGACGACGAGGGAGTAGAGAAGACGAAGGATTTCGGGTTGTTTACTTCCAAGTGCTATCTTTAGCGAGAGAGGGAAGGCTGGTGTGGATCGAGAAAGTCTCCGGTGTTTGGAAGGGTAATGTGTTTGTGTCCGGGGGCTGGGTCTCAGTTTTTGCTTGTAAAGTAGCATCGAGCGTGTTGCTACAGCGTGTTTGCTTCTTTCTTTCTTTCCAAAAGTCTTTCGCAGTTAATGAAAATGACAATATAATTAGACCTCAAGTCTGTAGATGAACGGCACCGCGCTTTCCAAGCCAAGAGGGCTCGTCGGGGTACCCATGGGCCACCAGACTCTGGGTTCATTCAAAATGTCTTTCCCAGATGGGATCGTGGGTTCGATGGCATGACAGAAGGCTTTGTTATCGACCAGAATTGTCTGCCAGGCTCCGCTGGTCGGTCGATGGCAACTTCCCCGGTTTCGGCCGGCGTCATGAAGCGTCTGGGGGTTGACACGGAAAAAAATCAATCACTTGCGGCAAGAGCGACACACGCCCTCGCCGCCCGCTGCACCTTCGCCCGCCCACCCAACTTCACCTGCGCCATCAACCCGCCGGACTTCTGTTACTGGCTTCCCACCTCCCTCGTCGGCCATCTGTTATCCCGGCACACACCTTCGCATCGCAACGCCTCTCCAGCGCGCCCGCCGTCACTTGTACCACATACCGAAAGAAGACTGCCCACACTGGCCATACGCAATGGCTCCCAAACCTCCCACCTACCCCCGCGGTGCCAAGGGCTTGAAGAGGTCGGGCGATCCCGATGTTCCAGTGACACGCTGGGCCCCCAACGGCATACAGCTCCAGCCCTTTGACGTTCGAATCTTCCATCACCGTGGCTGCTTCTTCCCCGCTCCTTCGAAGTTGAGCCATGTCGAGACTTTCGACTCCGCCGACGAGCCTGGAGATGCCCCGGAACACCATGATGCCACTTTGGACGAGAACCATGACCAGCAGAGCATTGTCCTGCCACCCGTTGCTGGTCAGCAGCCGGCGGATTACTACGGTCCAGCAAGCAACTATGCTGGTTCTATCTCAAGTGACTCGGACTCGGACTCCGATTCAACCTCCCGAAACGATGACGCTAGTTACGCCGTCGAAGCCGACACCGACTCCGACCCTGCATTTTCTTCCTGTGATGGCGCCTTCGCTACTGAGGCCGGAGAACATGATGCCGATGGCGACGACGATGCCATGAGCGTCGATCTCGATGATGAGGGCTTTGGCATCCTTCCGGCCGGGCTGGATGAGCCCCAGCTTAAACTCAGGCCCGCCAGTACCGCGCAGATGTTGGATATCATGCATGCCGCTACTGACGAACTGAACCATGATCATGTCATATCTTTTCGTCACTCGAGACATCTTCCGCCCCTACCTGAAGGATACGAATTTATTGTGACACCTACCATGGCTTTCTGCAGAAAACCCTATCTCATTCTGCCCGTCAATTCTGCTCGCTCCAACCGCATAAGAAAAGACGACCACTATGACCATGAAGAGGCCACGCCTCTCTGAGCCACATGTGACGCTGCGACTGGGTACTGGATCTGGAGAGAATCGAGGGGGAGAAAAAGAGAACAGGTTTCCCACGCTTGGTGCTATGGTGTTTTAGACTTGTTTCTATTTCTTCTCCAATGTACCAAGTAGCTCCATTCTTGATCTCTTTCTATGCGTTTTGTGTTTTGGCTTTTGTTGGAACGCAACCTTGTTGAAATCTGCTTGGACATGAAGCAAACCCTGGATTCTACCACTCCACAACACACAATTGTCACAGAAGTTTGCCCGATTGAAGCTAGATATCATAACGATTTGGTTCTTTTCCCTTCAAATATACAATGATTTGAAGCCCGAAATACCCGCGCCGCCAGATTCTGCGCATCTTGAGAAGTGACGCATCTCCTCTGCTCCCGCACAAACGGTGCCCCCACGACAGCAATTCTGATTGTGCAGCACAACGAGAAATGTGTAAATCCAACAGGTTGATACCTCTTTGCTCACGACCGATCCTTGGAGGGTCTTCCGGTGGTTTGTTGACTTCATGTACACCAGCGGTAGCGTCCGCGGCCGCGCTGTGTGGTCTCTAGTCACTAACACAAGGTGGCCCCATCCGTAGCTATATGGTAAACACATGACCTTCCACCGCGGCCTCTGGTCCTAACAATCTGAAGCGAGAAAGGTTATCAATCACTTGCTTGCGGCAATCTCAAGAGGAACCGTCGGGCACTGTCCGACCATCTGCTCTCCATCAACCTGAAAGCATCCACCCACTTTCACTCAGATTACTCCAAAGAAACTCCGCCGTATCATACACTTTAATATATCAGCCTCAAGCCACACATTTATAATCTCATTCCCCCCTGTTCAACCACTTTCGTTAACAAATCCCAGAGCAATGTCTACCTCTTCCACCATGAACTTCGCTACTGGTCTTGAGCAGTTCGGCACCCTCGGAGGCCTGAACTGGGATGATGAGTTTGAGGCACTTGCTTCAACTTCCCCTGCCCTCAACCCGGAAGATGTTGTAAGCCGCACCAATTCTTACTCCGTTCAGTGACTAATACCAAGCAGACTGCTCAGGATAATGAAGTCGCTGAGCCCGTGTCGACCAAGCCCACCGACGGCGAGCTCTTCCCTCTCGAGAGCGACGTCGATCCTGTCATCGTAAATGTCACACCCAAGGAAGGCCCGGCTGAATCGCCCAAGGCTGAGACGCACCAGCTCTGGGAAGAGAGTCAACCGTGTTCTGCCGACAGCCTGTTTGAAGAACACACCGCAGTGTCCGAGCCTGAGCAACAGGACACTACCTCTTCGTTCGACAGCTTGTTCGAGGAGCCAGCTACAGTGCCTGAGCCTGAGCAGCTTGGAACCGCCTCCCCCATCAGCAGCGAGCCCCTCCACCCCGGCCCTACCGACGAGACAACTTCTTGGTACGGGTACACGACCACCTCCCCACAGGTCGCCTGCTGGGTCATGTCGCCCGGCATCTTCCACGACATCGAGGGAAGACTGAGCATGAGCATGGACGACTTTTTCGAGCACAGGGACGAGCCACGCGTCGCTTCTTGTTTGCAACGCGCCATCGACCACGTTTACGCAGTACCTGACGCTGCCCAGATCCCCTACCCCGGCAAGGCCACGGGTGGAAAGGTTCCGCTCCCACAGTTGCCTCGTGGATCGATTGGCTTCAAGGAGCTCTACGATGAGGATGTCCCAGAGGACATGTATATACCCAACGGCATCAAGGTTCGTCAGCCTGGACCGGACGGCAGGGCATTCTACCCTCGCCCGTCACCTCTGAGCAACGTCTCCGGCATTGACTATGGGGATGATGCCGATGAGATGGAGGACACCAGCGGAGCAAGCGCTATCATCGTCCCCACCAGTGACGACAACGACGAGATCTCGATCCAGGCCTACGATCTCGAAAGCGAATACGACGCCGATGAGGAGTACAGTCTGACCTTTGAGGAAAGGATCGAGGCTGAATTCCAAGCCGAGATCGACGGTGGCTGCCTTCCCGCGAACGTCGTTGATCAAGACAACGCGTATTTTTACAGTTCCAGCGAGGAACCGTCCCCTTGGCCCAGCTCCCCTCCTTTGCCTACCCTCGGCACATACAGCTCGGCCACCGAGTTCGAGCATGAGATTGCCGACCTGCCTGCCACCAAGTCGACCTCAGACTGGCCTGAGCTCTCTCCGGCGCCGAACCGCAAGATTCCCGGTCTCGGTCATGCTCACCCCTCGGATGCACCTCTATTCGCTTCCGCCTTGGACCAGGCTAAATCCGATAGCCTTGAGCTTCATGGAGAAAATGATTTCGCCATTACGCTGAACGGCGACGACATTGACGAAGCCTTCTCTCATCTCGAGAACTTGAGCCGCGCATCCCCGGTTGAGCTCCAGGAGTGCAGGCCTCAGCCCAGCTGCTCCTACGCGGAATCGGTGCCCTACATTGATTGTCACAGAGGCGCTTCACAGTCTACCACTGGAGGACTGCGCGGCATCATCAATGTGATGGGAGCAGTTGGCCACACGGTCTGGTCAATTTGCAGTGTTAACCCCCTTTCAGTTTTCTTGTTTTGAGCGAACACTTGATCGTATTCCGAAGAGCAGCACCGGCTGGATGACGGAGGTGCATGATATCCAGTGTGTTTATTGGAAGGGAGGGTGTGTTGGCATTTTATGGCGTTTTCGAGCTTGGGGTCTGCGTGTTTTGTGTTCGGTTCTAGTTAGCTCAACCGTGCCCAGAGGGAGCCTGCATCGGACCAAGGCATTTTCCGCAGCACGCTGTAAGAGAAACAAACGTTAATTTCCAAGACACTGCTCCGTGATGCGGTGTTTGCGAATCACAACTGAGCACGTGGAATACTTGATGCAAGTCTAGCAGGTGTTTAGAGGGCAGGACACCTTTAAGCCTTGCTTACTCGGCAAGTAAGGGCATGAATAGCCTATAACAGAGCCAAAGTAGGCGCCCTTTCTAGGGAAAACACCGGGGTACCTGTGTCTGCTGCCCGATTTCTTGCTCTGGTAGAGTGATGCAATGCGCCACTTGAACAACTGGCAGATAGTACCAGCGGGTCATTCGCCATGTCAACGATCGGGATGTACTACAGACTGATCGTCCTAATACTGCTGCCAAAGCCAAGTGCAGAAACAAGACAGCTCCGAAAGCCACCCCAAGGCGTCAAAGTCTGCGTGCAACTCGAAATCGACACGGTGGTCATGGTGAATATCTGTCTACAAAGCCGAACCATGGTACAGTTGGGCGGATAAACCTCAATCACCCAACGGCCCCTAGAGCATCAAGTGCCGGTAAAAGAGCCATCGGGGCTCCAAACCCTCTTCTCCTTCATCCCTCCCCATTCTCGAGTTTCTTCTCGCCTCTATCAACTTCCCACGCTCCAACCAACCATCTTTGCCACCAACCACCCGCCAACCAACATGGACACCGACCTCCGCCCCATAACGCAACCGGAATCCCCCTCCCTCCACCCGGCCCTGTGCAGCACCAGCCCCGAATGCATCGCCTGGCTGCTCGCGCCCGAGATCAGCTGGTCGATCCAGGCGGGCGGGCCGGGCCGGGCGGCGCGGCGGCGGCTGCGGCGCCTCATGCACCACCGCGACGCCGGCCACGACGGCGCCCACGACGACGACGTCGACGCCCGCTCGACCGCCTCGCGCGTCTGCGCCGCCGACGGCCTGCGCCGCCCCGTGCTGCTGCGCAACGCCTGCCGCCACGTCTACGGCGGCGTCCCGTGCGGCACGCCGTGGCCGCTCGGCGCGACCGGCCTCTTGAAGCGCGAGCCGCCGCCGCCGCCGCCCGGCGCCAAGGGGCTGAAGGTCCGGGGCGTCGTCCGCCGCGCGCCGTGGCATGATGGTGATGGTCATGGTGATGGTGCAGATGCGGGTGCGGATGCGGAGGAGCTGCGCTCGCGGACGTACTACGCGCCGGAGCCGACGAAGATGAGTCGGGATGTGTGGACGATGGAGGAGGAGGAGGAGGAGGAGGAGGAGGAGGAGAGCGGGGATGATGATGGTGGTGGTGGAGTGCTCGAGGCTTCTTCGCCCTCGGCGGGCGCGCCGGCAGATGGTCAGGGGACGACGTCGTTGACGAATGGTTCGTGGTTCCAGGAGACCGACCTGTAGTCGACATGAGACACCACAGCAGAACTCGTGATCCATAGCGCACCATCGCAAACGCGGCTGGGCTAGAGATGCAGGGTGGAGACGGATGCGCTGTCTGTCTGTCAGTCAGTCATCGAAGCTTCAGAGATCAGGACCCTCGATCATCCGCCGCCGTCTTCGACATACACCGGGAAGCTATCCGCAAGCCGTTTGGAGAGAACCATCGGGCCAAACAACAGGCGCGGCTGCAAGAAGCGCCATGCACATCATGACTCTCACTTTCCGCTGGGCCGAGGGGAAAAAAAAAAAAAGCAAGCTGGCTGCTCCCTTCGTCCTGGCCGAAGTTGAAGCGCAAATGAAATATCCAGGGTCGTACCGCGCGCATATGTACGACCGCGCGTAACTAAAGCGGTGACGATGCCGACATCACATACCGGGCCAGAAAAGTGTGGGTCTGAGCGGCAGGGAACAAAAAAAAACCCCCTCGTCATCGCGCTGGTGGCTGGGGTGCGGGGGGATGATGGATCGATTGGCGGCCAGGCCAGACCGAGCTCTCGGGGACAGTGAACGGAGCATGATGGCGCAATCTGCAGGTACATGCAGCTGCTAATGCGGGCCCGAGTGGAGAAGTGTTTCTTTTTGCTTTTTCTTCTCTGCGCGACGGAAGGTTTGAGGAGCAATTGTGGACGACAGCAACATGTCGTTGCCGCGAGCGGGATTTACAAGGATTGCTGGCCCGCCATTGACGCCTGCTGCTTACTCTTGCAGTCTTTTCTGGTTTCTTCTGTTCTCAATGGCTTAACGGCTCTGTCGTTGACTCGTGTTGTACATACGTGTCCTTATGCTGTGTAGAAGCAACAATGAACAATGGAGGCCGTCATGTGTTCCACCGCCGGCGGTATCACCGCCAACACAACACGATGGCGTGAGAAAAGATGAAGTGTGCGACATGCAGCCACACCGCCGGTCAAAGCTTGCCTCCGCTTCGGGCGCCATGCTGCCGCCGCAGCCGCCACCACCTTGCAGTCCTGCCTCGAGCTGTCACGTTGCAGCGGAGATGGAATCGTCAGGCTGATAGGCTCCGAAAGGCTTCGTCAATCAATTGGTATGTACTGGTACTGGCAAATTGTCCAACGCGGCAAATGACCTCCAAGTTGACCTCTCCCTCATGACGATGTGCGAGAACGCTTGAGTACAGATTCCTTGGACACCTTGAGCCGCGACGCCAACGACCGTCGCCAGCTCATCTTAGGCCTTTCTGCTGTTGATGTGCTCTGCATGGATCCATCAGCTCCCTTCCCGTGCGGTTGGTCTCGATTACCTTGCAATCCTGGCTCGCCGAGAGTGACGCTGGACTGAGTGCTCGTCGGTTCCATTCCTTCGGCCGCCTGCTGTTCCGAAGCCTCCGCCGTCGCATCCTCCTCGTCGCAGGGCGAATGCGCCGTGTACGACGTGTCGACCAACGACGTATCTGTCGACGTTGGGTCGTCCTCGACCGGGTATGGCTCCCTGGAAATGGTGACCGGCGGTGCACTATCCTCCCGGAACAATCTCTCATCATCTGTCGAAGTATTGGACTTGTAGCGCCTCAGCGATGATTCCGACTCAATGCTGTGTTGGGGACGAGAGAAGTTGCGCTGCCTTGGTGTGTCGGGCTCCTCAATGGAAAAGTGAGATCGGGGCGGCGAGGCAGGTGCCGCCTTCCAGTACGGCTCTGGAAGCGTAGCCCAGGCGGGAAGGTTGTCAACGGGAGATGGCGGTTCAGCGCCGTGCAGTCCAGGCGTTAGCTGCCGCATCGCTTCCACCGGAGTGGATACGGGCTCTCTAACCTCTTCTTCCATCACTGGCGCAAGCTCAGTATGCATGGCGAGAGGCCGCTGGCCGTCGGCTGCAGTGACGCCGTCATTTTTGAGAGCTGGCGCCATGTCAAGTTGAAGCTCTGCTTCGGTGGGACTCTGGTCCGCCATGACATTGTCCTGCTCAAACGTAGTGCCATCCGTCTTGTCAGCGGCGATATCACCGTTTGCAACGGACTCCTTTGGCGGGACATCGTGGTCTGAGTGCGATACCTGGAAATCCACTTGTGGTGTAGTCAACTGATCTGACGTTTCCTGTGGCGAATGTTTCTCACTGTCGACGGGATCCTTGTGCCCATCATGTGGGATCTCATTCAAGCCATCCTGGTCATGTTGTGTGGCATCTGCATTCCTCGTCTCGAGTTGCTCTCCCGTGTCTGACGTAACTTCGATGCTCGCCTGCTGATCGATCCGTGGCTCGGCCTTCAGACTGTCAGACCCCACCGTTTCCACGTCTTCGGGCTCGGGTTGTGGCTCGGCGCCAGCACCCGCATCCATCGCCTCTTGGTTCTCAGTGGCCACCGGTCCGACTGGTGTTGGCCTGATGCCCTCGAAGGCGTCAATGGCACGTACATCTTCCTTCTTGGGCTCTTCCATGATGAGGTCCTTCGTGGCCGAGGCCTCGTCTTCCACGTATGGCTGTCGGTATCCGGTCCGCCCGGGTGTGGTCTCCTCGGGCACTCCAATGCTGACCGCCGTGCCAGCATCATCGTCACCGTAGATTGAGCTGCTTGGAGTGAAGGGTGCCAAATGACTCGCCGCCCCAGAAGCCGCCTGTTGTTCCTGGTTGGACCACATCGACGCAGCGCCCCATGGCTCCGTGGGAGAACTGACGGTGCCTTCCACATGATCCGACCAAACCGACGACGGCCCAGTGGTTCCAATCTTGAGCTTTGCGAGGTCTGCCGCTGAGAGGACATGTGGCTGCGATGGCTCCGGGCTCGCACCATGCCCGGCGTCGGGAGCGGCGCCCTGAGCAGCAGCTGCTGCACCCTGGATGTAGGAACCCTGGTGGTCACCAGCCTGTTCTGCCTTTTCCTTGTCGGTATCCTTGGGTTTCTGAGCCTCTTCTTTCAGCTTCTTCCGTTCCTGCCGCGTGAGGACAACCTCCAGCACCTTCTGCCCAGGTGGGATCTTCCCCTTCAGCCCAGTGTCATCTCGGTCGAAGTAAAGTGCCCAGGTCATGGGTGCCTCTTCGACAGCCACAAAACCCTCCCAGTCTTCGAAGGTCAACCGGCGGTCCTGGCGGGTGCAGTCGAATGGGCCGGTAAGATGAGGTTGGGCGAGGTCGCGAACGCCATACTTGACCTCGAACGTATCTTTGTCAATGTAGATCCAATTGAGAATTGGAGCTATGTGTGTGATTGTGCTGACAAGCCCCTCGTACTCGCTGTCAGGGTAGGGGAGATAGTAGCCTGCGAAGGGATGGCCCGAGGACTCATCCGTCTCGGCAGCGTTTTCGGTGTCGATGTACAGCTACGCGAGAAGCTCGAGCGTCAACTCACAGTCTTCACAAAGCAACAGGCGGTGGGTTAAGGCACCTTGTGGTCTCTAAGGACAATTTTCTTGCCATTGATTGCGCGGCTCCGGACTGAGGTCCTGACGCAGCCGACTATGAGGTTGCATCTACGGGCTCGATGCTCCTCGCGCTTCTCCTTCGCCTGGCTCTGGCGGATTGCTTCCTGCGTCCCCAACATGGCTGGGCAGCTTGAGAGCGCCAGGAGCATAGACACGACCATAGGGTCGTCGGTGCGGTTGGAAAAAGAGGGGAAGAGAAGGAGCCAGCGGCAAGTGATACCCTAGGTGCTGCGTACGCACTAAGGACAGAGTTTCTCTCGGTGTTTGGCGGTCTCATGATCAGCAGCCAGCAACCGGTCGAGGGGAGGGCGAGGTTGACAGTGGAGCCGTTGCTAAGTGCAGTACGCCGTGACACGTTGGCGCGGGCGCCCAGACTGCGGCAAATCTTGGGGATCTGACAACGCGACGACACCCGGACAAATGGAGGGCTGGAGCTTCTCGCCCGACAAAAGCATATTCGTTGCATTCGTAGCGCGTCAGCCGGCCCGTCCAATGGCATCCGGTGAAAGGGCTAGGCGGACGTTGGCACGAAGAGGGATCCCTGACGCGCATCGGGAGCCTTATTGCGTGCGGAGTGCGGATGTGGCCTGACAATAGAGCCAAGGTTGCACACCCTTACGTGCATTTCTGCAAGGCCGTGCAAGGCCTCCTTGGCCAGGTGGGGGCTCTGGTCCGGCGGAACGGCCCGCGGCCACTAAAGTGAGCATCCTGGTACAAGATGTTACACGGTCGGACGCACGAGCGTGGGCGGGTTGCCGCTAGAGCTCGAGGCCATTTTTCTTTTTCTCCCCGGCCGCATTGTCGGGTCTCCCAAGCGGCTGCATCCCAGAAAATGTCAGGAGACACTCAGATCAGTACGTTGGATGGCCCAATGCCTTTCGAGTTTCAGGAATGCGCCCTGGTCCCGCCAGCCGCCGGCCGGCTTGGACTCCGCCTCCGTATTGGGGAAAGCACGGCGCCAGCTCCCCGGCCAGAACACCACACTAGAGGATCCAGCCTGCTTTCTGTTAGCAGAGGTGCTTTGCTGGCTTGATCAGACGATAACCGCCGGGCCCAGAGGCATTTGGCATTGCATACCGGCTTGCTTTTGCAGTGCCAGCACAGATGCGGGCAGCCGATGGCCGGTAAAGACCACGTACTACCCTTTCACCGTGCCGCCTTTGATCTATAAAAGAAGGGTCTCGGACGGCATCGAGGACAGCAGACTCAACAAAGCATCCTTCCACTCCAGTCCGCACTCTTCAAGCCTCAACAACCTCAGCAAGCCCCATCAACCATCACAATGGCCGACACCGCTCCGTATGACACATCTCCCAGCTCTTGGCTTCCTCGCTCCGGGGTTGAACTGACGTGGTGCGCAGCGCTGCAGTTGCTGAGCGCAACTACGGCTCCGACACGTCCTCGGCCGAAGGCCAGGCCCGCGGTGGGCGCAGGCCCAGGAACGTCGCTCTGGCCCACCCGGCGGCCGAGCACCTGCCGACGCCTCCTCAGTCGAGCGGCTTGAGCCAGCCTGCGGGTGAGTGTTGCATTCCTCTTCAGGCAGCATTGCAGCGGGTCTCGTTTGTAATCTCACATGGCGCCTGCTGTAGAGGAGGAGAAGTCGTTTGAGTCGGCGATACTGATGGACATGTACCCAACAGGTACTCTGCTCAAGGGCGCCACCGACGCCGAGGGCAAGCCCAAGGACGCCGCTCTGCTCGTGGGCATCAAGCTCGACCTCGAGGCCGAGATCCACCTGACGGCCCGCGTCCGCGGTGACATCTGCGTCGGACTGTACTGAGCGCAGTGCATCATGACTGACGGAAATGACGACGATGACGGCGAGGGGTGCGCACGAGGCGTAATTTGCAGGGTGTGTGGATGATTTCGGTCGGGTTCCAGTAAAGTACTTGCGGACTATAAAACAATGGAAAGACGCTCCACGGGACTCGTTTCTGCAATGGTGATGTGTGGGGTCGAGTGAGCGGCGCGCCGAGAGGGTTGACGTTGAAAGGCAGGAACCGCAAGCGGCAGTTTTGCCGAGCACCACGTCACATGCTCACGCGCGTCATCTCCGTTCCTTCCCTCGCTGCACGACACCTCACTTCACTTCACCTTCACTTCACCTTCACTCCGCCCTACTGTGCCCGCACGGACATGCTGGTATTGTACTCAATGGACTGTTGTCCCCCTCTATTTCTCGCCACTCTTATCTTCGACCCCCCTCCGTGACCCGAACCCTCTTCTTCAACACCTCCTTCTTTGTTCCTTGCCGCTCTCGTCTGCAGAGCTCGATTCGTCGTCTGCATCGCCTTCTGCCTGCATCTGCAGCTTCTTTGTCGGCTCCCTGCCCACGTCTTTGTCGTGACCGAGGGGTCCTCACCTTGATTTCACATTGTCTGCCGTCAAGAAAAAAAACCCAGCAACTCGCCACCGTAGACATGGTTCTCTTCGGACGCCTCAAGGATACCATCCTAGGCTACCTCACTCCGTGCGGTACTCCTCAGCGTCGAGGTTGGTTGCATCGCGCTCCGCAGGCCCCCGCGACTCCCACGACCCCTACGACTCCCAGCCGCAATTCCAATGGCAAGCGTCCCCTCTCCCGAGCTTCGCACCATGAGCCGAACAAGCGACGCAAGCTCTTAGGCGGTGTCGCTTCTTACCTCACTCCGCCATCCTCCCGGCTCACCAATGGCCCGGAAGAGCTGAGCTCCAGTTTCACCCAGGATAGCGAGCTCAATGCGGATACCGATGAATGGCACTACATCAACTCGGTGCTGGCTGCCGACGATCCGAAACCACTCTGGACGACTCCTAGGAACAAGAACCTTCTGGCTCACTATCCCTCGCCTCAGTTCAAGGGGCGCTCACCCAAGGACACGTCCAGCGTGCAGCCCGACAAGCCCTTCGACGAGGCCGACTTGAAGCGCTTCGAACGCGAGAAAGCCCGCGCGCAGCATGCCGAGCACGCACAAATCATGCGTGAGGGAGGCTTCGGTGAGGACCCGATCAAGGTGTACCTCAAGATCGCCATGCGCGGCTGGGAGGCGATTCTGCCAAAGCCTTGGACCCTCAGTTTCGACTCATTTCCTCGGATTCTCTTCGCCGACGACCCCAAGGATGAGTACATCAAGGCGCTTTCTGGAAGCCAGTTCAGGGGTGAGTGCGATCTGTATTGGACCTCATCCGAAGGGTGTTTGCTGACAATGGTATCCAGCCATGAAAGCCTTGCGCTTGCTCGTGAACACCCCCGCCCGGGCTCGTGATGCTACTCTGAAGGAGGTCACTCCTCCACCCTCGCGTCAACCGGAAAAGTTGATTCGTCGAGCGATCGATGGCTATATGAAGTGGGCCTTTGCTGATGCCGGCGTTTCTGACGTCACCCCAACCCTCGCTCTTCTTTCCGTCCCGGCAGACGTTGAGCCTGAAGTAGTCGAGGAGAGGATGACGCGACGTCTCACCAAGCTCAAGCAGGAATGGAGGGAGAACCTAGCCATCGGCGAGGAAACGGACGCCGGCGGAAACGTTGTCGCTGTCGAGCAGCTTTGCGCCCCGCCCACCATCTACGGCATCCTTGCCAGCCACCTGATGGTCAGCTTTGTTGTACTGCAGGATGAAGACGATGGACACGAGCGGCCGGGCGCCCACCAACTGTTCTGCAAACACATGGACAACATCGACTACGACATCTGGGACACTATCGCCATTGCCATCGTTGTCATGCACTGTCGGACAAAGATGGCGAACCTGAAGGGAGTCATGGATGATTACGACAAGGAGGTGCAAGATCAATGCCCGCAGCATCGGTAAAGAGACGACGGCGCAGGATGCAAGGAGTTGAATCCACAGTCCACACGTCGACGTATCAAAAGACGACAACCACCTCAACAAAGCGCGTCGAAAACAACACGCATTCGATCAGTATCGAGGGCTTTTTTCTTTTGTTACACATGCCAAACCCCGAGCATGTATGCGATTCTCGCTGGAGGGTTGCAAGCTCCATCTATGCTATCCACGCGAGCATTCCTCATCCAGTTTTCCATGCATCAATAATGTTTTGTCGATTCATTTCACTTTTTTCTTTCCTTTACCGGGAATTCTTCTACCAAAAGTCAAGGCTTAGCGAGGAGGGAGAGCCAATCAGCGAGGGCGTCGTCAGGGGTAGGTGATGCTAGTCGCGCTACTGTAGCGGTGGTGCAGGGCTCTCATTGGCTGGGGCGGTAGTGGGACAGATAGGTTCCAATAACGGTTAAAATCATGATCCAATCGCACAGGACCCTGAAACCCGTGCCGGCTCTCCACGCTGAGTGAGCAGTAGTGGTGATTCCAGAGTCGGCATCCAGCGTAGAAGCCATGCTTGTGCAACGACAGGCTAGTGAGGGACGCCACTCGCTGAATCATGTTCCCCCGCTCCGACCGGGGTAGCTCCGTTCAGCTGTGCAGCCATCAATCCCCCCCCGTCCAACCCTTCTTTTGATTTTCCCTGACCCACGCCCAAGCGCGACGGACCTCGATTCGCTCCTTTGCCTGCCGCCTTCCGAAACAGGCCTCCGTTGCGAACCAAAAAAAAAAAATCCCAGGTCGGCAATGGCCGCCGCCGACGCGTCCCCCTCGTCGTCCTCCGCCTCCGCCTCCGCCCCCGCCCCTCGCCGCGTCAACACGCCCCCGAGCTCCTCCTCGAACAATGGCTCTACAGGCGACAGCCTTGATCCCGACCTCGAATTAGAACTCGACCTCGAGCACCCCGAGCCGTATGTCGCCGACGATGTCGAGTGGGGTCGCGGCGGCAGCAGGGGCCAGGGGGACGGCAGGAGTATCCAGCTAACGCCGCTGGGAGGGAAGCAGGAGTACGGAAACAGGCACGATGACGCCGAGGACGCCGAGGATGAAGAAGACGAGGAGGAGAAGCGCTTCCTGCCTGGGCGCGGAACCGGTGGTGGGGACGCCGACGACGCCGGGCGGGACTTCGAGCTGTACACGCCGGACGAAGAGGCGGCCGTGGTGAAGCGGTTGGATCGGAGACTTGTGCTTTTCATGGGCTTGTTGTACATGCTGAGCTTCTTGGACCGGTCGAGTATGTGCTGCTGCCATTGCGCTGTGCTTGGGAGCGGGAGCAGAGGGCATGGCGAATGGCTGGACGCTAGAGCTAACGCAACCCTCTCTTTCTCGCAGACATCGGCAACGCGAAGATCGCGGGCATGTCGAGGGATTTGTCTCTCAGCTCGGACCAGTACGAGTGGCTGCTCACGTCCTTCTACATCACATACATTCTCTTCGAGTTCTCTACGCTCCTGTACGGGCTCCCGCATTTCTATCCTGTCTGCTTTGAGTACATTAAATAGCTCCCTCAACTCCCTCTTCAAGCGCTCCTCTGATCCAGCTAACACAAGCGCTTCTCGCGTCTCTCCCCCCCGCAGATACCGCCTCGTGCCTCCACACATCTACATCCCCATCTGCGTCTTCTCCTGGGGCCTCATCGCCTCGCTGCAATCGCTCAGCACCTCCTTCGGCACCCTGATCGCGCTGCGTGCCCTGCTCGGCGTCAGTGAGGCCGCCTTCGGGCCCGGCGTGCCCTTCTACCTGTCCTTCTTCTTCCGCCGCGACGAGCTGGCCTTCCGCACCGGCCTCTTCATCTCCGCCGCCCCGCTGGCCACGTCCTTCGCCAGCACCCTCGCTTGGCTCATCACCAAGCTCGGCGAGGGCGGCCCGTGGGCCCCCTGGCGCCTACTCTTCCTCGTCGAGGGCTTCCCCAGCCTCTTCGTCGCCATCTGGGCTTGGAGCTTCGTGCCCGACGGCCCCGGCGAGGCCCGCTGGCTGAGCGCCCGCGAGCGCGAGGTCGCGGTGCTGAGGCTGCGCGGGGAGCGGGAGATGGAGGCTGCGGCAAGGGAGAAGGATGAAGAGGACGAGGGTGGCAGCAGCCTTCGGAAGGGGACGACGAAGAAGAAGAGAGGCGTGGACTTCAAGGAGGTGTTGCAGACGCTGATGGATCCGAAGTGCTACCTCACCGCGGTAAGTAGTAGTAGTAGGAGGAGATAGAGAGATTTGTATCTCTTACTTTGACCCTTGCTATCCTTGATCTCCTGCAGCACGAAGCTTATTGCTGACAATCTTCTCCTGTTGCAGTTCATGTTCTTCAGCTGCAACGTTGCCTTCTCCTCCGTCCCCGTCTTCCTTCCGACCATCATCAAAGAGTCCGTAGAAACCGTCGAAAAGAGCTCCCCCTCCCCCCAAACCCACATGACTGACGTGTGAACCAGAATGGGCTACACATCCCTGACGTCGCAAGCCCTCTCCGCGCCGCCCTACCTCATCTCCTTCCTCACCGTCCTCGCCACCGCCTCCCTCTCGGACCGCTACCGCACGCGCTCCCTCCCGCTCATCCTGCACGCCCTCCTCGCCAGCCTCTCCTTCACCCTCATCTGCCTCCTCGGCTACTACTCTTCCTCCTCCTCCGGCCAACAGCCAGGATCAGGATCGGAATCGGACCCGCTGACCAACTCCCCGACCGACGACCCCCACCCCCCGGCCGTCACCTGGACGCACTTCCTGCGCTACCTCGCCCTCTACCCGGCCACGGCCGGCTTCTTCTCCGCCGTCACCCTCATCATCGCCTGGACGCTCAACAACCAGGAGACGGCCACCCGCCGCGGCGCCGGCATGGCCGTCCTCAACGTCGTCGGCCAGTGCGGCCCCTTGCTCGGCACCCGCCTGTTCCCCGAGGAGGAGGGCCCTTATTACGTGCGCGGCCTCGGCACCTGCGCCGGCTTCATGATGTGCGCCGCCGTGCTCGCCGCCGGCCTGCGCTGCGTCTTGGCGAGGGAGAATGCGCGGCGGCGGCGGCGGAGGGAGCGCGGGGCGATGAGGGGAGAAGACGTCGACGTCGGCGTCGGCGAGGATGAAGCCGAGTTGGGGGTGCCCTTGGTTGGAGGCGGCGGGGATGCGAGAGGGCGCGAGGAGGAAGAGTTTTTGTATATGCTTTAATAATGTTAGTGTAAAAAAGAAGTATAAGGCCTGATGGAGTTTTTATTTTTTAGTGTTTTTGGTGTTTTAACACGGTTTGGGAATAGAATCAAGTACGATTGTAATGCAATTAAGCTTTCGACATGTCGCAGCAAAAGTATCAAACCTCATATATCACTGTGGCTCCAAAGAGAGAAAATGCCATCGTTCGCATCAAATCGTGATCTCATTCATGTTGATGCTTTTGCATGCAGCATGCAATCAACCTGATATATAAATACAAGGGAACTGAAATGTAAAAAACCCTTCTTTGGGTAGCCAAATACCCATGACGCCATACCCTTTCAGCCAGAGAAGGAAGCCTTCCGAACTTTTTTTTTTAAAAGACTTTTGTTTACTGCTTGGAGCCCCAGTGGCCCTTCTTCTTCAGCGCCGCCTCGTCCTCCTCGCGCAGCTCCTGGTCGAGCTGGGCGCCGCGGCTGGGGTCGTTGCCGTGCGCCTTGGCGGGCAACGTCGCGTCCTTCTCGTATTGGACCTGCTCGAGGTCCTTGGGCACCGGCTCGTTCTGGCGCTTCTCCTCGCGCGCAAGCTTGTTGGCGATGGTACGCTCATCCTCTGTTGTCGTTGTTGGTTAGCGCAGTGTTCGAGTGTGTTGCATATATGGGAAGTTCGGTGAGGACCGGTGCAACGTACTGGAGTCGAGAGCCTTGTGGCTGTGGACCTGACCCTCGTGGAAGCGCTCCTCGCCGGTGTTGAGCTCCGACTGCTTGTAGTTCTTCTGGTCACCATCCTCGTAGATGTTGTGGGAGCCGACGTTGGAAGACATGGTTGTGGTAGTGATGGGGGGTTGATTTTTCGGTTGGAGACGAAAGAGGTGGAGAGGCTGGAAATGTGGTATCGCAGAGATGTGTGTTGGTAGTGCAAAGTAGAGAAGGCCGTTGAGGAGAGATTTTATACAGGTCCCTCCCGCAGGCGCGGGCTATGACGTAGTGACGTCACTCCGGCCCATGCCCGCGCGGTTGCATCATTGCCCCTCCAGCCCCTCCGCAAACGCCATCGTCCCACGCGAGATCAGCCGCTGCCCTTGGATCATCGCCGGCTCAACTGGAAATCGGCCCGCACTGGGCATCATTGCTGCTTGCGCGGCTGCATTGTGCTTATCTTCCCAAGGCCCAATCGCCGAGTCTGGATCTCTATCTGAGGAACAAGTGCCCTTTTCCCTGAACGCCATGATTTCTGTGCCAAGAATCGTCTCCACCAGCCCAGCCCAGCTTTGCGCTTATTCCATCTCAATCGTGCCCGGGGGCTTGCTCGTAACTGCTACTTGTTAGCCCAACCCGCCCAACCAGACTGATGTGATGTCGCTGCACTTACTGTCGTACACCACACGGCACACGCCGTCGACCTCGTTGACGATTCTCCTGCTGACACGCTTCAAGAATTGGCCGTCGAAGGGGAACCAGTCAGCCGTCATGAAGTCCGTCGTCTCAACCGCGCGCAAAGCGATGACCTGCGCGTGCACGCGCTTGTCACCCATGACGCCCACCGCCTTCACAGGCATCAGGGCAGCGAAAGCCTGCGAGATCTGCCTGTAAAGGCCTGCCTTCTTGATCTCCTCGATGAAAATGTGGTCGGCGTGACGCGCAATCTTGACCTGCTCGGGAGTGACCTCACCCAGAATGCGGATAGCAATGCCGGGGCCAGGGAAGGGGTGACGCCAGACGAGCTCTTCCGGGATGCCCAGCTGAGTGCCGAGCTCGCGGACCTCGTCCTTGAAGAGCTCGCGAAGGGGCTCAATCAGCTTGAGGTGCATGCCTTCCAGCAGGCCACCGACGTTGTGGTGCGTCTTGATGGTCGCGCTGGGGCCCTTGAAAGAGATGCTCTCAATGACATCGGGGTAGAGAGTGCCCTGCAGAAGCCACTCAATCTCGCCAGCCTTGGGCGTGTTGGCAGCCTCCGCGGCGATTCTCTTGGCCTCCTCCTGGAAAACCTCGATAAAAGTGTTGCCAATGGCCTTGCGCTTCTTCTCAGGGTCGTCGGTGATACCCTTGAGCTTGCCGAGGAAGCGCTCACTAGCGTCAACGACAGTCAGGTTGACACCAAGGTGCTTGCTCAGAGTCTCCTTAACAATGGCAGCCTCGTTGAGCCTGAGCACGCCGTTGTCGACTAGCACGGCGTGGAAGCGGTCGCCAATGGCCTCCTGCATGAGCTTGGCGGCAACGGTGGAGTCAACACCACCACTAACGGCGCCAATGACCTGGCCCTTCTCGCCGACGAGGGCGCGAATGCGGGCAATCTCCTGGTCGACGAACTTGGCCATGGTCCAGTTCTGGTTGGCCGCACAAATGTTCACAGCGAAGTTCTTCAGGAGCTCCTTGCCGCGCGGGGTATGAGTCACCTCCGGGTGAAACTGAATGCCAAAGTATTGCTTCGTGCCGTGGGCAATGCCAGCGAAGGGGGCATTGTCGGTCGTGGCGAGAATCTCGAAGCCGTCGGGAAGCTTGGAGAGCTTGTCGCCGTGCGACATCCAGACCTCAAGGTCCTTCTCAAGACCCTCAAAGAGCTTGTCAATGTGGGCGCCCTTGCCGGGGTGCTTCTCGACCTTCAGGTAGGCATGGCCGTACTCCTTCTTGTCGCCGGCCGAGACACCCTGCTTGTCGTGGTACCAGGCCATCTCCTGCAGACCATAGCATATGCCCAGAATGGGCACGCCCAACTCGAAGACAGCCGGGTCGGCGTGCGGCGAGCCGTCCTCGTAGACGGAGTAAGGCGAGCCGGACAGGATGACACCCTTGGGCTTCCAGCTGAGATCGGCAATCTTCTGGGTGCACGGGAGCATCTCCGAGTAGACATTGAACTCGCGCAGGCGGCGGGTGATCAGGTGCGAGTACTGAGAGCCTTTTTCGCGGTGTTAGTCACAGCATGGCAGTCTCGCGCGACGGAGAAGTACCGAAGTCCAACACCAGGATGGTGTCGAACGTCTTGTGAGGCTCGATAGGGAGCTCGCCGGTGCCTGCCATTGTGACTGTGCAAAGTGGGTGGGAGTGGTGGAGACGGCGTTCTGCGGGCTCAGGAGAGTGTTGCAGACGCAGAGGGGAGGGGAGAGAGCTAGTGGGTGACGCGCCAGAGAAAAAATATTGGAAGGGCGCCGCGTAGGGCTGAGCTATCGCGGACTGCTTGCCGATAAGATAATCGAAAACAGATGGCCAGCCTGTCCTGCCATCTCCGCCTGCACAAGCAGCCACGACTAAAACCCTACCCCGGCTCCAGTTTTCTTGGGACTCAAAACCACCGCTCACTGCCTCCGCCGTCGCCGCTCACGAAGCACTCCGCGCGCACATCCGTAGCAATGGGCAAGGACAGCAGAAAGAGGAAAGACCCCGAGGAGCTGGGCGACGCTCCGCCGCCCAAGAACCACGCCGATGACGACGATGACGAGAGCGACGAGGTGCGTTGTCCGCCGCATGCGCGCGCCGTGGACATGACCGGGCGATATCGATGGCTAATGCGCAGCGGCAAGCTCTAGGACATTGACATGGTCAATGTCGACTTCGAATGGTTCGACCCGTCGCCCGACGTCGACTTTCACGGCCTGAAGACGCTGCTGCGCCAGCTCTTCGACGTCGACAACCAGATGTTCAACCTGTCCGAGCTGGCCGACATGATTCTGGCGCAGCCACTGCTGGGCTCGACGGTCAAGGTCGACGGCATCGAGTCGGATCCGTATGCCTTCCTCACCGTGCTGAACATGCACGAGCACAAGGTCCGTCGTGATACTTGGAGCGCAAAAAACGGCATGCATGTGGACTGACCCAATGCGCAGGACAAGCAAGTGATCAAAGACCTTGCGAAATACTTCTCTCAGAAAGCCTCCTCTGCGCCCGCCCTCGCCCAGCTCCCCGCCCTCCTCGACCCCTCCTCCTCCGCCCAGGTCGGCCTCATCCTGACCGAGCGCTTCATCAACATGCCCTCGGAGATTGTGCCGCCCATGTACACCATGCTGCAGGAGGAGATGGACTGGGCCTTGGAGGAGAAGGAGCCCTACCAGTTTTCGCACTACCTCATCGCGTCCAAGACCTACCTCGAGGTCGAGTCGAAGCTCGACATGGAAGACAACCGGCCCAGCAAGAAGAAGAAGAAGGACGGCAGCGGTGGCGCCGAGGTCTTCTATTTCCACCCAGAAGACGAGATATTGCACAAGCACGCGCTGGCGCATGCGACGTACGAGTACACCAAGCAGGGCGAGGAAGGTGCGTCGGACGCAAAGAGAGCATTCCAGGATGCAGGCATCAAGCCCATGGGCCACCTGATGTTGATTGAAGCGAGCAAGTTCGCCGGCGCTGTGAAGGCGGTGACCGATTACATCGGTGGCCCTGCTGCAGAGGCATAGTTAGTCTCTTGAGAATGAAAAAAAATAAAGGAGTGTGAGTTTCACGAAGAATGAAGATATTAAAAGCAAATAGAAGAAGCCATGTGTGTAATGATCATTTCGCATTTCCTTTCTGCACGACTGTTTGTATGTCTGCATCTCTTTTCCTTTCCTTGAAACCACCTCAAAGCTGACTCCCGCTCCGGACAATCCACACCATACAGCTCCGCGGCTCCAATTCGATTGCACCACTCTTGCCGTAAATCCGCTTTGGGGGTTGACCATCTTTGAGCCTGAAGCCGGATAAGCGGGCCATCCTTAAGTATTCGTAGACTCTGACAGCTCAGAACTTACGACTGCTTCCTACAATCAAATCGCAACAAGCAAGCAACAAATAACAAGACATCGCCATAACCACCTCCCTCTGACAGATAATTGGTATCAACATGCCTCTTTGAACGCCATGACCTGAAAGAACCCGGTCTCTCCTTTTTGTTTCCTCCATCCGCCTTACATATCCTCCACAGCGCAGTTAGGGTGCATGACATATACCGCCTTAGCAGCACGCTGCTGTTCCTCGCCTTCTTCCATAAGGCCTTCGCCGCGAATCTGCATGAGAATGTTGTCCTACGAGTTTGTTAGCAATGCGCATCTGTGAGGTCGAAGGGTGACGCTTACCTTGACCATTCTCTTCAGCACCCTCTTTGCCAGTTCTCTCTCCTCTTCTAGGTCCTTCTGTGTTTCTAGCTCCGCCTCCTTCTGCTCCAGGTACCAGACAAGCAGCTCCTCTTCCTCGACACCGTCCTCAGCTATAGCGGCATCCGAGTTTACCCGACGCACCATCGTGTTCAGGATAGACATGTAGTGGTCGTAAGTAATCTTCTTCCTCTCTCTTTGAGGCGCAGGAGTTGCAGAAGCAGAGGCCTCGGCCTCCTCTCCAGCGTTGGCATCGCCCATTTCCGCGTCAGCACCAGCCTCGGCATTCGCGGCGGCCGTCTCGTCATCATCATCCACCTCAACATCATCCTTCTCGACGGAAATGATTGATTGGCGGAGAAGGTTGAACGCCTCGCGCACAAACTCGGGGGTAACTTCTGTGACGCAATTCGCCTTGGCGATGGCCTCGCTGAGACGGATCATCGACTCGAGCTGACGGACGGTGATACGGTAACTGTTGCGACCAATGCCGCCCTGGGCATCATCGGCACGCAGTTCCTTGTACCTCTCAACGAGGGTGGTCTTAGCCTCAGGCGTGAACTCGGGCTTGAAAGTGCGGGCGAAACGGATGTAGCGTTGCAGCTGTTCCGTGCTGAACTCCGGCTGCACTGCATCGTCGCGGAGACGGTGAATGCCGACAATGTGCTCGGCCAGGTGACGGTCGACGCTTTCCTCACATTCGTCGAGAACAACGAAGAAGAGATCGAAACGAGACATGATGGGAGCGCTCATGTTCACATTGGCCCGGAGGGTGGTCTTCCTGTTGTAGCGGCCTCCGACAGGGTTCGCTGCTGCCAGGATAGAAGTCCGAGCGTTCAGAGTAGCCTGGATACCAGCCTTGGAAATGGAAATAGTCTGCTGTTCCATAGCTTCGTGAATGGCAACCTGATCTGCGATATCCATCTTGTCAAACTCATCGATGGCGCAGATTCCGTTATCCGCCAACATCAATGCACCAGCTTCGATGGTGAAGTCTCCCGTTTCCTCGTCTTTTACTACGGCAGCTGTGAGACCGGCTGCAGAAGAAGCTTTTCCAGACGTGTAGACGGCCCGGGGCAGGAAGGAACAGATATACTTGAGGAACTGAGACTTGCTAGTACTGGGATCACCGACAACGCAAATGTTGATGTCACCCCTCAGAGCCATGCCCTCAGGAGTGACCTTGCTGACACCTCCCATCAGCTGGAGAAGAAGGCCCTTCTTGATAACTTGGTGTCCGTAAACCATGGGTGCGATCGAGTCGACCAAGCGCATAAAGATGTTATTGGTGTGGACCATGTTGCGGAGATCCTCGATCTCGGCTGGCGAAAGAGTGGAGAGGTATTCCGCCTGAGCCTCCTCGCCAGTCTGCGTAACTTCCGAGGGTGCAGTCTGATTCAGAGAGGCGAGAATATTGCCGGCCTGTCCGTGAAGTTGCTGTGTCGCGCTTTGGCCTGGGGTTGAAGTATCTGGCGTGATCATGCAGGCAAGGAATGCCATCCTGTAGGTCAGATCTCTCACACCAAGCGCCTTCAGTCCCGAGACGCCACTGCCACCGACATCGTTACCCCTAGGCATGTTGGTGTTATCCCTAGTGGCCTGGGGTCTAGTTCCAGGAACGCGGAATTGGCTGACGTCGGGAATGACAATGGCAGTACCAGTGAAGATGCACTTCTCTCCGGCCTTCGCACGGTCGACCATTTCACCGCGCAGGATGACATCCATTGTCCGAGGCATACTGCCAGTGGGAATCTCCGAACTGTTCTCCTGGATGCGTACCTTCTGCCAATCGACAAATGTGCTTTGCCGGATATCCAATCGCCAGCCAACACGGTTGCCGCAGGTCAAGTTAGGGCATTGCGTGGGCTCCGTGTAGCGGAAAGTCTGCTCAATGTTGGGGACGACAGCATTGCAGACTTCGCAAACAAAGGTGGCCAGCGACAACTCGGGGCGTACTTCCGAGGTTCTTGTGACGGTACCGGAGATGGAGAGAAGTTTTCCAATCGAAGAGGTCCGCAGCTGTCTGACCCGGCTGACCAGCGGCAAGTTGTAGAAAGCAAGCGAGAAGAGCTTGTCAGTCTGCTGGTTGGGCGTTTTGCTGGACTGCTTCGAGTCGTCGCCTGCAGAGTCGCCTGCCGAGGAGGTAGCAGCGACGGAGGAGGTCGAGTTGGGCTGCCTGTGCTCTCTGAAGTATTCCGGCTCGTACTTTGCGATCAGGTTGTTGAGGGATCTGGCCATGTATGGAAGGAAGCGGTAGTACTCGTTCGCGATAGCGTTGGCAACAACGCCATCCTCGTGTCTCATAAGGTGGGTGAAGTCGATGTAGAGGGTAGATAGGCCGTAATGGCGCATGCCATTGATTTGGGCAATGTAGTACTTGTCGGTAGTTTGGACACTCGATGCCGGCGCGCCCGATGAGCTAGGCTCTTCTGTGTAGCTGCGAACTGTCAGCGCAATTGGATCAGGCCAGATCAGAGAAGTAGGCAGACCTTTCAAGGAACTCTTCGAATCTCTGCGCAAGAGTCTCTCCCGTAACATCGACAACGCGAGGAATGTCTGTTCGCGGTCCTGCTGAGCGGCGGGCAGTTCCCCTTGCTCCGACAACCTCATCATCAGGGAACCCTTCGGCATCACTGTTTGCGCCAGCGCTCTCGGACGGCGGGCCTCGTGGTCTGGAAGAGGAACGGTTGCGGGGACGTCGTGGAGTTTGGGATGCTGCCGAGGCGGGAGTAGCAGCATCTAGGCCGAAATTGTCCGAACCAACGACAGCATCTACCAGAGAAGACATGTTGGCGACGTCGGAAGAGAGATATGCGGGGAAATGAGAAGAGCTGTGAGTGTTTTGGTGGAGCAGACGCAGGCGCCGTGTTTTCAGCGGGAAAGCGCGCCCGGCTGAGTCTCGGAGCAGACGCGTGCTGCGTCGCGTCGCGTTTGGTCGCGCGTCGCGTATGGACCTCAATTTGTTCTCCGTTTGTGGACTAGCCCATCGCCCTGTCAGCTTATCGCTTCATTTGATGTCCTCTCGGTACGCCCGCACTTCTAAACAGCAGAATATATAGCTGGTCAGAGATTGAGTCTTAGGGGGTAGTTCCACTACTAATGACTTACAGCCTGAGGTTGACCGAGGAATAAAAATCGGATGTTGGTAACCATTTCAAGGCATTTCCTCAACTTGAGCAAAGACTTACAGCGCCGCTAGCCATTATACTTATTCACCGACCTCTATGGGTCCTCACCAACCGTCTGACCTTGCTACAAACTTTGCATATCTATTTCGGGGTTTCTTCTAGCAGCGGATGGAGCGGACCGTCTTATCGTTGTAAAAATGTTGTTGCAGCAACTTGAACGAGCTGTTCCTCCGGCCATAGGTGATTGCCTCATACTACAGTAGAGATAGCACTGCTGCCCACACGCCCTTTATTTTGTGAAATATAGGGCTAGATGTGGTTCGACCACAAGGTGGGAACAGGAGGCAGGATACCAGCTTGTCCCCTTGTTCCAATCGAATCGTAACTGCATCAAGGGAAGCAGCACATTTCTTCGTCCTAATATCAGTATTGAAGCAGACATGTAAGTAACTTCGCATAACCCATGCCTAACACAACAGTCCAGACACACAAAACGAAAGGCCACCCAGCAAGCATTCACACCCACCCACCGGCTTCCCTCACCACCAGGACATGCAAGAGCAAAAAGATGTGCCCCCTATCGGAGTCGAACCGATGGCCTCGACATTACTAGTGTCGCGCTCTACCACTGAGCTAAAGGGGCGTGATTTCTCAAGCCCTGGTGGTTGATCCGAAACGGATCAGGCACCTGTTGGAAAATCAGGCTGCTGACTCCTTTTATGAAGAGGCCATTTGGTGAACAAGCATTCAACAGATGATGAGATGGGTGGAACGAAGCCCGACCCCCTTTTTCCCTACGTGCACAGTGGTTGGTTTTGCTTTGGGTGGAGCACCGGTTTTTTTCTCCCCTGCGTTGGGGACGTGCGTCACGGACGCGGGAATGAGGCCGAGAAACGACCGTGCGCGGTTCCTCGCGGATGGATCTCGGGCGCGTAGCGAGCGGGTGGGCGAGCGCGGAGCGGAGCCGCGGACTTCAACGGCTGTAGGTATTGTCGAGATGTCGGGGATAGGTACTGACGGGATGCCGAGGAGAAGAAGGTTGGAGGGACGATTGTGGGAAGAGCGGGGTGAAGGGCACTGTCCAGAGGTGGCAGCGCCTGCCTGCCATGCGGTTGCGTCATCAGGGCAACGACTTCCTTGGCTGGTACGGGTCGGAAAGCAGGAATTCACATGGATGCTTTACACATGACTGAATGAGGAATCATTGCGCCTGGTCTATCCATCTTCATCTTCTACGTCCCTCTGGGCCCCCTCTCCGAATTGCTTGCCCTAACAAACACCTATCGTATCTCCGGCTAATTTGCTATTTCGTATCATGAATGTAATCCCAGACTTCTTGATACTCCATACATGCACATCCATATGCAAAGACAAGTTTATACAGAGAGTCACTGGGCACAGGCGAAAGGGATATTGCTAAGGTGCAGGATGGGGGTTTTCCAAGAAGTGACTCGAGCCTTGTGGCCAAGGATAAGAGTGAACTGCTGTCTCAGGTCGGTGCTATTTCTTCTGGTAGTCGCTTCGGTAGAAGGTGCGGGTGCGGGGAACTAGTACGGTGCCCTCTTGTGGAAACATTGCCGACTGCGCGAAGCCAGAGTCGAGCGAATGCAATAATATGCTGCGGGAGCCGCTCGACGGCATGAGTAGACTTATGCAGCCGTACAATGTGGTTCCCTGAGCCCACGAGCGCACAAGAACAAGGAAATGCCAGCCTTCAGCATTGGTCGTTTCGTGCCTTAGGTGTGCACAAGATCATAAAAGCAATGTGACGTGCAAGGACGTGTGGAGGTGGGTATCATTTTCATTTTCTTCTTGATTCGTGAATCGTTCGTTCTAGCCTTCTCTCCATGACTCCCGGCAAGTACCGATTGATCTCCTGACCGGTGCGGATCCGGCTTCCAAAAGTCTTTGCAATCCCATATGCTTGCTTTCCGTGACTCCATTAAGTTGCGATCGGTCGAGAGCAAGGGCTTCTTCGCCGGTTCATGCCTCCTGAATCGTTCTTCCTCGGTTGGACCCATATATGTCACCCGAGTTCCGTTGATTAAACAAAAAGAAAAGCGGAAAAGTATGTACATCTAAGTCTTGACAGGGTTCAAATCCATCCTCCCGGCAGTTGATGGCTCGGGGGACTTGCCACAGATGAAGCTGGGGATCCACGTGATGGGGTGCCGGCAAGGTTCAGATTCTCCATCTCGCTGTTGCTGAGCAAAGTTCCATTGCGGCTGTGGTGCGAGCGGCTCCGCTGCACCTGACGCCGTGCCGCGATAGTGTCGCTACGGTTGCTCATCCCTGGCATACTCAAATCCGGAGCCGAAGCGAGATTGGTAGCGGTGTTTCCGGACCGCGCCGCCGTTGTGGGGACCATACTACCCTCTGCAGATGGGCGATTGGATGCTGCAGACGCCGTTTCGAATGAGGCCCTTGTCGATTTCGAAAACCAGCCGGGGCGCTCGCTTCCCCCATGTTCTGGGCGCCGGAACTCGTCCGCACTTGCTCTCTGCATGGTGGACATGGTGGTCGCTTGAGGCGAGACCGGACCTCTTGGCATATCAGCAATCATCTGGATGCTTCCAATTGTCGTTGCCGAGTCTCTTTGCCAGTCTGCGGGTGAAGGGATACGCGGAACTGGCGGTACATCCACCAGCCTCGGAGATGACATTGACGGCTGGTACAAGGAGTCATCATCCCTGCTTGAGCGCGGGCTCCGTTGAGAAGATGGTATCCGCTTATGCGTTGGGCCACTGGGGCGGTTGTACGCTGAATCCACTTCAGCAAGTAAAGGAAGTGCGCGGCCTGGCAATGGTGGGCTTGTCCAGGAGCGCTGTGAATGGACAGAGGTTATCGACGGTTGCCTCACTAAAGATGCTGATGGTCGTCGACTGTTGGGCAATGAGTCCTGTTGCCCATATGGTAGTGACCCTTGGCGGTTGTGAGAAGACCATTCCCACGATCCAATGATTTGAGCATCCGGGCTTCCCGGCTGGCTACCGGCCCTTAGAATTGGCGAGAGTGTCCGGTGATGCATCCGTGTCGGTGAGGAAGGTCTTCTGCTGCTTGGGTTGCTGTATGCTAACGGAGGGCTCGTGGGATCTTCCTGCGACCTCAGCGTGGTACCTCCAAATGACACCCTTTTGACACTATCCTTGATGGACGGCCTGCAGTTCTCGTCAATGGTGTTTCTCGCAGTTGTAGTTTCACTTGATGCCGATGACGTAGAAATCTCGGTCCGGACCTGGATTCCATCTGCTGGCTTGTCTTGTCCCTCCAGGTCCATACCCTCAGGGAAAGAGGCGCACGAGGCCTGACCCTCCGTTCTGGGCTGCAACATCATCCACGGAATAGGGTCCTTCCTCGACTTTTTCCTCTGCGTCCATGTACAACAGAAAACCGTCTTGACTGCCTGCGCGTATTTTCGTCGGAAGGGGGCGGTCGTCCCGAAGATCAAGAAAGCAATGATGCTAGGCAGGGTGCCAGGAATATCCTGAGATACATCGATCTTTGCTTGTTCAGCGCTAAAGTCCGGCGATGTTGCTGTGGTACTTGAATCGTGTCGGTTGCGCTCGTAGTTGACGATTTGGTAGACAATCTGAGCTGTTTCGAAGACCCTGAAAGGACATTAGCCGAGCCCGCACGTCGGCGAGGTGGACTTACAAGAGACAAATCATGATGATACTGAATCTAACAATGAGCCATTTGTCGGTGCCGGTCTGAGTGCGTGTTGTTGCTACGCTGGTGACAGTACCACCACCTAATGAGGGTGACTTCGAGCTTGATCTAGGAAAGAAGCGCGTGAAGAGGTTCCGGCTCTGCAGGTATTTCAGGAGCACAATAATAACCAGGAGGGACCCGCTAGTCAAACAAGTGGCCACTACCAACAAGGTCAGCATCCGTCCATGCTACGGGGAGGATATCGGCTAGGACTTACTGATAAAGTTGAAGAGGACCAGGTAAGCCACCGGGACTTGCTGAATAGTCTCACTGCTGCAAACTACGCACATGACTATGGGGAGGATAACAGCGGACGCCTTGAAGGCGACTGACATGATCTTCCTGCTCGAAGACTTCATTCTGATGTCCCAGGTGCCGATGAATAGGGCGATTGACCTACGGAAAGCGTCAGTGAGTTGAACGACGGGGGAAAGGCCGATGAGGACTGACCAGAACAGCACAAGAAGAGCGTCGACGTTGTAGGTGAATATTGCTACGGTCGAGTGTTAGTTCGGCAGTAGCGATGAGGGAGCACCAAGGGACGTACAGATCCAGCTCAGCACCAAACGCCATCCGACGTCAGCTTTTCTGAACACGTCTGACTGACTGTAGCTGTAGTGCTGTTCATGTTGAAAGCGTTGTATCTGTATGTCTCTCCAGTTCAGGGTGTAGTCCACGTGACGGATCAGTCCGATAATGGCCCCGAAGGTAGTGCATGTGCTAAGCATCAAGATGTCTGTCCGTGTCAGTCCCCGCTGGGCGCTAAGAAGATTAAGGTTGGACGGCTTACAGGAGACTCGCTCGCCATGGTTCCACAGCATAAAACATAGAAGAAGGCCAAGGATGGTGGCGACAAGACTCAGGCAATCAACAAAAATGGCGAGGCCAAGCACCTCGTGCGGGACGTAGGAACCCGGCATGCTTGAGACGCGCTAGCAAATCAACCAAAGGAAGCCAGATGTGGTGGAAGCCCCATTGCGGGAGGGAAGGGCGCAAAGGCTGGGAAGGTCAAGAGCAGAAGTGTGGATGGCAAGGCACGGGTTCTTACGTCCAACGGCGGTGGGCATGCAAAGCTTGACCCCACAGCGCAGTGGCTGCGAGCACGAGACGGTACCCTGCACCAGGCCCGGGCATGGGTGGACGCATATCTCAACAAGGCGCAAGGATCGATGGGCGCCTTCTCGGCCGGGGCTCGCAGTCCCTCAATTGGACGGCAGATCGACGAAAGCGGCGGCAGGGCTCCGCAGGGAAGGCGAAGCATCTAGAGCGGTGACCACAGGCGTGGTCCGGCTCCAATCAGCCGGTGGGAAGGCTGGCATAATTGCTGATTGGCGGGGCGAGAAGTGGGCTTGCTGGCGCCACAGCCAGTAAGGCACGGCATGCTCACAGATGAGGCTCGAGCGCTCGAAGCCCTGGCAGCTCCCGGCGGCTGGCGCTTGCTACCACAACTCCAGGGTCCACGTGGTGGCCACGGCCTCAGAAAGCGCCTCATTCGGCGTGGGATCCGGACGACGTCGAGATGAAACAGGCGCGTGCGTGTTGGGTGCAAGGCGTGTGCATGTGTGCATGTGTACAGTGTACAGTGTACTGTGTACTGTGTACAGCAGCGGGCGTGAAGGAGCAAGCTGGCAGCGTGCGAGAGCGACGACAGTCGTCCGGGGCCCCGATTGGACGGGGGTTTGACAGGATCCGCGCTGGCATGCTCAGAGGGCGCCAACGAGAAGGCCGACGAGGGCATTCGGTTCGCCGCCTCGGGCACGCCGAGCCCGATGGGCGCGGAGGTGCGGGCATGGCATGACGGAGGCTGAGCAGTGGCGGAGGGTGAGGCGGTGCGGTGCGGCTGTCGCGCCAGCGTTGCCAGCGGCTTGACACGGCATCCATCTTGGCTGCGACGACGTCACGCTCGCTGCCAACGCAGGAACAGGTGGCAGCATGGCCGGGCGTCATGATGCATGGCGGCTGCGGCGATGCTGAGGGAGGCAGACGCGGGAAGCTCCATGGTGTCCGTGACGGCGCGGGCCAATTTCGCGCGCGCGGCCCGATGGCTCAACGGCGTCGTGTTCTCGGCTGGTGTTCTGGGCTCGGGGAACTGCCCACTGCTGGCGGCACGCGGCCTTTGCTCCCCCATCCACGCTGCAAAGGCAAAGTGGGGCCTCGTATGGCCTGGCACCTGGTCAGCCGGCGAGCGCGCAGCACCACCTCCGCCTGCCGAACTGCGGAACTGCGGAACTGCGGAACTGCGAAACTGCGACGCCCAGCTGGCAGCATTATTATTATTTCCTGTTAGGTGTTGCAGCGCTGGAACGGTTGAACTATGTCGGCCCAGCCCGCGTACGACCAGGCGACCGACCAGGCGACCGCAGCGCCGGTGCCGCCGCCACCCGCGTCCTGCATCATCGGCGAACAGCTGTCGGTCGACGTAAGTCCTCGCAAACGATGCGTCGTCGCAGCGTGCTGACGCGCAGTGCCCCTGCAGTCGCAGGACGGCGACTCTGGCGTTGCCGACCTCCCGGGCTCGTGGGTGCATCGCCTCGTCGCTTCCCCGGATCGATGCTGACTGACCCTGCCGCTGCCCCAGCACCAGCACCTCTCTGTCCTCGCGCATCACCGACTACCGCTACGAGCATGGCCGCCGCTATCATGCCATCGAAGACGGCGGTCCGTACACCCTGCGCTGCGCCTGCCTTTTTCCGCTGCTGATGCTCCAGTGCAGGCTATGCGCTGCCGAATGACGACGTACCTGCTTCTTCCTGCTCCCTTGCAACCCATGCTGACTCGTGACAGGAAGAGGTTGATCGCTTGAGTACGCAGATCGCCCCCACACCGACGCGCCTCTACTGACCCTGTCAGATCTCCAGCACCGAGTCTGGGACATTGCCCTCGGTGGCAGGCACCATGTTGTCCCGTTGGACCTTGGTTCCGTTCGCCATGTGCTCGACATCGGCTGCGGCACCGGCGGTAGTCTCCTGTCTCCTCTGCATCAGCCTACTTGCTCGTGCTGACGACGCCTTGCAGCCTGGTGTATTGAAGTCGCCGACGCCCACCCTCATCTTCACGTGACGGGCACTGATCTCTCCCCCATCCAGCCCCACAATGTGCCTCCCAATTGCGAGTTTCTCGTCGACGATGCCAATGCCGATTGGACGTATGAGCAACGTTTTGATTACATCCACACACGCACTGTGCTGCTGGGCATCAAGGACTGGAACAAGCTGATGCAGCAGTCCTTCCAGAACCTGCATCCGGGCGGATGGGTTGAGTTCCAAGAATTCCACATTCCCATCGGTTGTGATGACGGCAGCGCTGGGCCGGATTCAGCCGTCACGAGATGGAGTCACGCTGTCCATGAGGCACTCAAGAATCTGGGGATTGACTCCATGGCCACTTCGAGCTTTGGAGAGCTCTTGGGAAAACATGGCTATGAGTCGATTGGAGAGACGCACACCAAATTCCCCATTGGCCCGTGGGCGAAAGGAAGAAAAGAAAAAACCATGGGCACACTGTTCCAGAAGGATATTGCAGGCAACCTACTAGGCATCTCGGTGAAGATACTGACCAGCGGTCTCGGTTGGACCCAAGAAGAAGTAGAAAAACTCGTCATTGAGGCAAAGAACGACCTCTACAATCCTCAGGTTGGTGTCACTCCTGCTTGTGCCGTGAAGTTGGCTCTCACACCGCCCAGATCCACAGCTATTTCCCCATCGACATCCACTGGGCGCGCCGGCCTGCTGAAAAGCCCGGAGTCTGTGGTGCCTAAGCATGTCAACGCAGAGGCAGCACTCTTGCTACCAGGCCAGGAGAGAAAGGGGACTTTTCCCCAACTCAGCGAACGAGCTTTACGAAATACCGTGATCATCGTCTTCCGACCTTCTTCGAGGATTTCTGTCCTTTTGCCACCTGTCGAGTAGAAAGTTTTCGGGTTTCCTTCCTTTCCCGGTGGGATGATGGATCTTCCAGTCGGGTCAGAAATGTTTCCGGGGATTATTGCACTCCAAGTGCGGCCAACCTAAACTTCTCGAGCATCATGTCATTCGCTCCCACGTGGTTTCTATTTTCCGAGCCCATAAGTATTCAATTAAATTTCCGATGGTCCGTGTCACTGGTGCGGCGCAAACGAGAACCAATGAGGTTGCAGAAACGCCTTGTTGGAGACGTCTCTCACCCCTCTTCGCATAGTGCTTGCGGGCAATGGACTTCACGGTGGGTTTGCGAGAGATCCGAGCGCCAGGTTACGATAAAGGGTATGTCGATCGCGACCGTGCATTGCTTGCATCCGCCAGGTACCCATGCAACACGTCGGCCACTCCGCAGACCATCAGCCTGTGCTCTCCGATTCGCCAACAACTTACTTCAAATCTAAAACATCTCCGTACTTCGCCACCTCGCGTCGAATGAACAATGAGCGGGGAAGGCCTATCTGCTTGTCAGCAATACGATGGATTGAGGTGGCGTGAAGTCGTTAGCGCCATCGAGCCATAACAGCACTCTTAACTCAAAGAAATCATATCTTGCTTCATGCGAATGTAAGCAATCTATACAATGCTGCGCATGAGGGTCTTTAGCTACCATCGACGACCGTCGATGACGCGTCATCACGGACTCTCAAAGCTTAACGAACCTAGGTTCTCCCCTCCGAAACTTAACTTTCCAACTCCTGCAACAGGATTCTCCATAGTCCTCACCAGACGTCATTGTGGTATCTCTGCGAAACATTGGTTTAACCTTCTTTACGAGTCTGCACAAGTCATTGTGCAGCACCGCCATATTTTCCGCCCTCAGCTCCCGCACCGAGGTAAGGGAGAAAAATCAACTCCCTGATAAAAAGGATTTTCTATTTATTCTTTCACTAGAAACCGACTGAAGGTTGTTGCCTGGCATTATTGTCAGATGGTGGCCAGCAATAATGTAGGGGGCGCTTGATCTGTAGGTTCGACGCTGATCCTTGTGCTCGCAATGCTCATGCATTAGATAAGCTGAACCTGAACCGTTTGTATTCTGTGCTTTCTTGCATGTACGCTAGCAGTTGCATGTCTCTTGCGATTGGTCCCATCTATTCGGTCACCTGCTGGTTTCTTACTGCTCAACCTTGTGCTCATATGCGGTGAGATTCCAACGCAGCTCCAATTTCCATGATGCCATGTCAGATTATTGGGCCTTTTTCAAACACGATGACTCGCATGCAAGAGTGGAGCGTTGTCTGGTTGGACACATAGAACATGATCATCAAGGCGAATGCGGGGTTCAGCTCACCGGAAGGACCAGATAGATAACATTGTCACGTCATCATGCCTCGCGCGAGTACGAAAGACAACCGCATAAGAGCGCTCCTTCACACTTTATAGAGCTGTGACTCCCTCTCGACCTCGCCCGAGTCTTCAGGGCAGTTTGCCTGTGTTTGGATTTGTTTCAGTAACCCCCGCAAGCCTCGAACCTCTAGGTCGAAGTCCCCCAGCCGACCTCTCTCAAAATGTCTCTCTCCGCCTCCGAACTGCTAGCGATACGTGACTTCCTCGTCACAGTGGCCAGAGAAGCAGGCGATGTCATCACCTCCGCGAAGTTCCCTCCAGCGGACTTCACAGCCAGGAAATCGAGTACGTCCAGCGAGATGTGGAAAGCAATAGCAGGAGTATATTCCGAAAGAGAAAGGAACCAAAACCAGGCAGAGCTGATTCAAGAACCACGCACGAATCGCCCGACATTCCAGCCACCACGGACATCGTCAGCGACACGGACAAAGCGGTCGAGAACCTCATCGCCACGCGCCTGATCGCCAAGTACCCAGAGTACGACTTCATCGGCGAAGATGCAGATCAGGGCGCGGCGGCGCCTGCATCCACCGCCGCCGCCGCCGCCGCCGCCGCCCTCACCCCGGCGCCCACCTGGATCGTCGACCCCATCGACGGCGCCGCCAACCTCGTCCGCGGCCTGCCCGAAGTCTGCGTCTCCCTCGCCCTCGTCGTCGCCAAGCAGCCCGCCGTCGGCGTCGTCTACAACCCCTTCCACCGCGACCTCTTCACCGCCGTCGCCGCCGCCGGCCGCGGCCACGCCTTCCACCAACACCCGGCCCTCAACGGCGGCGAGCCCCAGCGACTAGCAGTGCCGGGCCCCCTCCTCCGCACGAACCCCCCGCCGCCGCACGGCCTCCGCAACGCCCACGTCGGCGTCGACCAGCTTTTTATTGGCGGGGGCAGCAGCAGCAGCAGCAGCGATGAATTAGACAGCAACGCCAACCTCCTCCCCCTCGACCCCTCCTCCTCCCTCTCCGCCGCCGGCGCCCTCCTCCGCGTCACGAACTGCACCTCCGAATCCATCTGCCGCGTCGCCGCCGGCCAGCTCGACTGCCACTGCTGGTGGCGGCGGCGGCGGCGGCGGCAGCAGCAGCAGCAGCAGCGCGGCCACGAGCAGCACATCATCGACGTGGTGCCGGCTGCGGCGTGGTGCGTGCTGCGCGAGGCGGGCGGCGTCATCGTCGTCGAGGGCGACGGCGACGGCGACGGTGGCGGTGGCCTGCAGCAACAACAGTCTGGCAGTTGGGATCCGTCGATCGTGCGGGATGAGTACCGGCGGTGTCTGGCTGTGAGGCCGATGGCGAGGGCGACGCGGGAAGAGGGAGAGGAAGAGGAAGAAGAGGAGGAGGAGGAGGAGGAAAACGCAGAGTTGAGCGCACGGGGGGGAGGCAGAGGAAGAGTTTCGTCTGGGCAGAGGGAGTTGGTGGACGAGTTTTGGGGGTTGGTTGGCGAGCGGACGTCGGTGTATATATAGGGCCCCGCCGCCGCCATCGTTTTGAACGTGGATAGAGGAGCTTGCTTTTCGTTTGTATGTTTATGGATGAAATAAACGCCACGCGTCTGTTAGGGGATGCTTAGAGGATGGTAGTAGGCAGTTGGTGCATAGAAAGCTGAATTATACAAAGCAAACCACATCTTCACATAGGGTCTTCAAACAATGCCTGTCACTTTTTTTCCGGTCGTGAAGGCGCGAAGGTAATGTTGAACCGTTGTATGGCGCGCTGTTTAGCTTTTGTTCGCAACCAGCGGCGTAGCACAGCAATGTTTAAAGTTGATCAGCTCGGATGGTTATGTCAAAGGCAGAGTTCGGCCAACAGGCAACACAACAATGCAATCCCGGTCACTTGGCTTTTCAGCGTGATCTCGTCTATGTTACATATAGCCTGGTTATGAAGACAATGGAAAAGACCCATCCAAACCCAACAACGCCCACCCATACTCCAACAGTCATTGCAGACTCCTCTCCGTCCCTCGGTTGAAGTATGAGTGCATCGCGAATGGAAAGTCGTCGGGAGCAAGAGGGGAGATTAAGGGACGAAGAGCTTAGAATACGCAGCGACGTCCGAGCGGCAGCAGACGCAAGAGTCGAAGTTCCTGGTCGCGAGCCCGACTCTGCAGTCGTCGCAAAGACTGAGGCACCCACACGGCCATACTAAAATCGTGCGCGGACTGGCCTGACAGACGACACACTGAGGTCCACCGGAGCCCATGCCGTCGGCACCAGTGGCCCAAGTGTCCGCGCCGGAAGAGCTGCTGTGCTGTTGTGCCGCCGCGTTGCGTCTTTCCAGGATGTAGTGTTCAAGCGCGCGTTCTTCCTCCTCGGGAGTCATGGCCGAGTACGCATGCCCGGGACGGTAGCGTGATGTGAGGATGCGACCACGGTGTTGCTCAACCGCTTTCCGATATTGCGAGCGCGTCATGATACGGCTGCTGCGGAGATGACTGGCGAGCAGCTGCGCTTCGGTTCTGTCCTCGTCTGTCTGGGGGTCAAGAAGGCGCGCCAGTAGGGCCGGATCCAGCGAGGCATCCTCGAATGAAGGCGTCTCTCCCCTGTCAGCGTGAGGATCCCTCTGAGTTGGCGTGCGCCGGCCGTCTTCATCGGCTATATCGGACCAGTCCTCTTCGCCAGTGGCTGTTGACATGGAAATGAAACTCGTGGTATCGTCGTTTTCAGACTGATCGGATGGGAGTGTGTAGTCGCCGCTCGAGTCAACGTCTCCCCACCATCCACCGTTCTTCCACCAAGAGTACAGGTTGGAGCTGAGTGACTCCTCAGTGACCTCCTCGCCAAAAAAGGTCTTGCCGTTCTGTTCAAGTCGCCTTCTGGTCTCCATTTCCACATCAACATTCGCGTCCGCCGGCAAAGTAAGTCTGCCTTCCGGCGAGAGATACCAAAACTCCAGCTCTCGAGAACGCAATCCGGCCGCCATTTGGCTGATCCTCGAAGGCTTCGTTCCCGAAGGCCTCTGGTTCACACCTGCAAGCTTCAGCAGCCACTGCGGCCGCCGAGTTATCCTCAGCTTGCCCATGACTGAAAGCAGGACGCGCGCCTGGATGGCCAAAACCAGCCGGTGGATGCCTTTGGCAAATTCGTAAGTCATGATCCAACGCCCACGCCGCTGCAACAGACCCACTCCGTTATCCCTCCCGGCGGCCCTGGCCTCGGGCAGGCTTTTCTGCCCGCGCGTTTTACGCTCGCGGGCATATCCTGAACGAAGGCCAGTAACAGTTTCTGGTACGTCTCTCGCCTTGACTCCCTCGGCGACGAAATCTTCGCGCAGTTCAGCAGGGATTCCATCAATGGTGCGTTGAACCATGGCCCTGCGCGCCACCAATTCTTCGATCCTCTTGCTCTCCAGCCAGGTCATCTCGCTGACGCGGATGGGAGTCCCCTCATTGAGGAAAACGGCTTCGCTTGCCGCCGTGAGAACGGTGAAGCCAATCTTTAGAAGCGCAGTGTAGAAGTCGTCCGACCAACTGACGCTGATCGGCGTACTTCCAGAGAAATGGACGTTGGCTTGCAGGTTTCCGTATGCAGTCCTGAACCTCTCCTTCAGTGTCAGGGTCTGCTCGGCTCCGGAGGGGAGGTTCATGGCCGTGACTACTAAAGCCAGCCCGTAAATGATTGCACAGGCGAGTAGGCCAAGCATAATCAAGAGATGGGGGATGAAGCCGACGAGACAGACGGTCGGGATGCGGAGTATTCCAAGGTCATGGGGAATGGACCCAATCATGCCCGTCATTCGCAGGAAGGTCCATACGAAGACGACCATATAGGCGACACCCCAGACACCCGTGTTGACAAGTCTGAAGCGGGTCCTCAGCCCAAGCACAGCGAGGAAGTTGCTGCTCAAGTGGCTCAAGCTTGATACGATAGCCATGACAAGAACTTCGGGTGCGACGTTGAGAACTTGAAGGAGCATGCCACGCGTCAATTTCAAGGTTGTGCCGTCGGTCCTGGTCACGGTGGCAGTCGAGTTGCCAAGGTCGAAAGGTTTCATCAACATGGCTTCAGCTTCTGAGAATGCCAACGAGTGTTCGAACAAGGTCATGCCCGTCTCCGGCATGGGCTGACGGCCTTGGAGGGCGCATGACATGGTTTCGATGAATTGACTCAAGCAAAGGCTCAAGAGAAGAGGCCAGAGACGTGCAAGAGATCCGTTGAGTGACAGGAACTCGCCTTCAGAGTGCCCCATGTTCACAGCCCGGCATGATGCCATGTCATCCTCCCAATAGAGTATGTTCGAACTGACTTTGTAAAGCAAGCCGCCCTCGCCCGCCATATCAACAGCAAGGGGTTGCTTTGCGTCGTTGTAGCGCAGTCGCGACCATTCGGGGGAGGTTTGGCAACGAAGAGCTTGGAGCAAGCATTGAGTCTGGTAGATCAACGTCACGATTGGGGCGAGGTAGACGGCGAGGCGAACATGCCAGCGGAAGTTCAAGGGGATGCGGGACGAGGCGTAGAATTGGGTGCGATTCAGTAGAATAGCCTGTACATGGCGTGTTAGAGCTTCAGCAGCGAACTACCCGAGTCGGACTGGACTGGATCTCGGCTGCAGTGTGCAAGATGGGCATACCACGGTGAAGGTAGCAAGAGCCCACCTCGAAGTGAGGTAGCTGAAGATGCCGCCGATCTTGCCAAGGTTCCAGATGTAGTCCAGGTTGAACAGGCCGTCGGCAGCGTCGGCAGCTTCGCCGCTGGTGGCAGCAGCGGCTGCTGAAGCGGCGGCACCGGGCACGGCAGCGATGGAGCTCTGTATGAACTTGCCGGCGGCAGATGTGATGTTGTTGGTGACGTTGGCACCGCCGGATCCCGTCGCCTCGGCAATGACGGTGCCGCTGTTCATGACCTTGCCCAGGATGCCGTCCAGCTGTTCCAGCGGGTTCATGACCAGCTGGCGTGCGGCGGTGGCTGCCTGGGGGATCGCGCGGAGGTAATCCATAGCGGCGGGGGAGCGGCGGGGGAGCGGCGAAGTAGTGTTCAGACGGTTGTCTCAGCGGGCAGTAAGTGGGAGCGGAGCATCCGGGGTCGGACAGCCAGCACCAGGCGGAGCGATGCTAGGCAAAGGAGCGGCGCATGTCCAACGGGAGAGATGCAAGCGCTGGCGGCGTTGGCGAGAGAGCGAGTGAAAGAACGAAAACGGCTCTTCAGCGCAGCAGCATTGCGACGTCCGCTGCTGGAAGGCGTGGTTCCCGGAGCGCTGGACAAGCCCGCAGCATCCGCCGCGCGACTCCTGGCCGTTTATGTCATTGCCGGGGTTTACCCGCTCAGAGCGCAGCCGCTGGCTTGCTGCAAAAGCATTCCTGGGTGGGTGGGCAACGAAGAAGAGAATTCCCACTACATCCCGCATGTGTGCCCGGAAGATATGGTACAATGTGCCTTTTTCTCTTTTGATTCAGTCTCTCCTGGCATTAGAGCATGATCGATCAGAAAGAGCGCTTGTTGGCACTTTAGTCTCTTGTGACTTGGTGGCTCCCGGACAATCCCGTAGCTACAAACGACCAGAGATCTGACCATATATCTAGTCGCCAACGGACGTCAAAGCGGGCGGCATGCAGAAGGCCACTATGAAACACGACGAGCTATTATGCGAGGACGCAGCTGAGACTTCGAATCTACAATCATTTCGGCCTTCACAGGTTTGGTAAAATGCCAGCTGGCAGAGTGAGAGATTGTGTTCGGTACTTTCATTAATCGTTAATTCGTCTCAGGATCAGCTATGTGTTCTAAATGGCCATCTTCAGTTCAAGCCTGCTTGTTCTTGAGATACTCCAAGATATCGTCCCGAACAGCAGCTATGAGGAACCCGTCATAAGACTTTTCGCCCACCGTCTGCAGCACCATGGCGTCGACCCGTTCGTCTTGTCCTACCTTCTCGACGAGGAGCCTGGAACCCTTAACCCTGCTGTCGTTCTTGGCATACTCCGGATCAACAAGGGAGCCCTGTCTGACGACGTTGTCTACGATCAGGCAGGCGCCAGGGACCGACATGTTGGCGGCGTAATCAAAGTACGTCCAGTTGTTTTCCTTGTCGGCATCGATGAAAGCAAGGCCGAAGCGTTCTCTTTTCCCTTGGTTGACTTCCTCGACAAGCTTGGCCATGACATCCGAGCCGCTACCGACGATGACTTCAACCCGGTCATCGACGCCGGCATACTTCAAGTTCTCGCGAGCCACGGCGGCATGGTGTTCGTCGACCTCGATGGTTGTGACCTTGATATCCGGGCTGGCGTGGGCGAACCAAATGGAGCTGTATCCGCCCAAAGTGCCGACTTCGACAACGTGCTTGACTCTCAGCAGCCGGGCCTGCAGCATGAGGAACTTGCCCTGTGGGCGAGAGACGGAAATATCGGGCAGTCCCTTGGCTTGCGAGTTCTTTCCGGCATGATCGAGGGCTGCAGTCAACGAAGGCTTGAGGCGCGCATCGAGGTGAGAGCAAGTGTAGCTGTCGACAGGGTTCCACGAGCCGAAGGAGCCATAAGCAAACTTGCCGCCGGACATGTTGGCTGTGTAGCGTCTAGCCGAAGGGTGGGGTGGTAAAGACGATGGAGATGTGTGAGCTTCTGCGATGGGAATCAGCGCAGAGTCCAGGATTTATACCCGTGCTGCGAGGCAGCAGCGTGTCCTGGCTGTCCGCGGGGTTAGGCTTCGGTATCGGACATGTCGCAATCGCAGCACTAGAGGGTGGAGCGGCATCGGCGTGCTGGCCTACGTCCTAAGTCCGAGTGGAGGCGGGGAGGCAGAAACCCAAGCCCGAGCCCGCGCCCACATCCCGCCTGGTGTTGAGCGCTGCGAGCATATCTTGGAGCCTAGATTCTGACCAGGGTTCTGGCCCTGCATGCTGCCCTAACGCGCTACTGTCGGCCATTGGACAGGTGGGAGCGCAGTTCCACAGGGCAGGTCGCTGTGGCAGGCTGCGGTGGCAATGGCGGGGCTAGACGGTCGCCGCATCGGCGAGGGCAGCGCGGTGCGCAGGTCGGAGAGCCGAGCAAGGGCAGGCGGCTAGGGTGGAAGGGCGGGTGGTGGTGCAGGTCGCCCTTGGGTTTGGATCTTTGCTGCGGCGGCGCGCCGGAAAATCGTTGCGGCGGCTCATCTGGGCTTGGCAGGCAAGCGTGATTTGCGTCGCGCTCCAAACAGACAAGCCTGGGCGCTGCACGCACGCCGACACCACGCCCGCCGCTCCCCTCGACCTCATCCCAAGGCCCGCCCCGACTCGAGATACCCCAGCTCTTCCAAGAGCCCGCTTGCCTCCCACCCCAAACGCCCTGCCGCCGCCTCTAGCCGCCTCTTTTGCCTCCCCCCACGTGCCCCTCCCGAAACACCAGCTCGAGCTGGACGTCATTTCTTCCTAATCCGGGCTGCGACTGCAACCCGCTCGCGACCAGCTCTTCTTCAAAGACGCCCACATCTCGCACTCCCCCCGCACCCCACGATCATGGATACCAACATGGAGGACGTCGGAAAGCTGCCCGAGCCCAGCCAGCTGTCCTCCCTCAAGTCCGAGCCCACCACCATCCCCACGCTGGATGGCTGGATCGAAAACCTGATGAGCTGCAAGCAGCTCAAGGAGGAGGACGTCCAGCGACTTTGTGACAAGGTACCCCAAGTCTTTGAGCCGCTCAAGCCCGCCCGCCCGCCGTCGGGCGCGCATCCGACAGGAGCTGACGTGGTGCGTCCAGGCCCGTGAGGTGCTTCAGGAAGAGTCCAACGTCCAGCCCGTGGTAAGTGACTGCTGCGCTCAGAGCCCGCGCCCAATTACTCATCCCGCTCCAGAAATGCCCCGTTACTGTGTGCGGCGACATCCACGGCCAGTTCCACGACTTGATGGAGCTGTTCAAGATCGGAGGCCCCAACCCCGACACCAACTACTTGTTCATGGGTACGCATCCCGTCGCTTGCAGCCCGTTGCTCGATGCTCATTGATGCAGGCGACTACGTCGACCGTGGCTACTTCTCCGTTGAGACGGTGACGCTCCTCGTTGCCCTCAAGATCCGCTACCCCCAACGCATCACCATCCTGCGTGGCAACCACGAGTCCCGCCAGATCACCCAGGTCTACGGCTTCTACGACGAGTGCTTGCGCAAGTACGGCAACGCCAATGTCTGGAAGTACTTCACCGACCTCTTTGACTACCTCCCCCTCACCGCTCTCATCGACGGCCAGATCTTCTGTCTCCACGGCGGTCTCTCTCCTAGCATTGACACGCTTGACAACATCCGCGCACTGGACAGGATACAAGAGGTGCCCCACGAGGGTCCCATGTGCGACCTTCTCTGGTCCGACCCCGATGACAGGTGTGGCTGGGGAATCTCGCCCAGAGGTGCGGGTTACACCTTCGGCCAGGATATCTCGGAAGCGTTCAACCACAACAACGGCCTCACGCTCGTGGCACGCGCCCATCAGCTGGTTATGGAGGGGTACAACTGGTCCCAGGATAGGAACGTGGTGACCATCTTCTCAGGTACGGTATCCATGGCGGCATTAGCGAGCGCGGTCATGCTAACTTGGATACAGCACCCAACTACTGCTACAGGTGCGGCAATCAGGCCGCCATCATGGAGATTGATGAGCATCTGAAGTATACCTTGTAAGTACTCCTCTCTGCGCTCGGCAACGCTCTTCCTGACGTCTTCACAGCCTGCAGTTCGACCCGTGCCCGAGAGCTGGCGAGCCGATGGTGTCACGCAGGACGCCGGACTACTTCCTCTAGTTCAGCGCCGTTGCTTATACGAGTAGAAAAAGCGTTCGGGAAAGCGCATTTTTCATTACGAAGAAATTACACCACTTTCTTGCATGCATGGCACCCTCACGGTTACAATTGGTAGACTGTACATACGCATCCGGCAGCCTATCAAAGAATCAGCGAACACGAATGGCGGAGCGGTAACGGGATTGCGTCCGCCTTCTAAAGAGACGCTAATATTGATTTCCTTTGGTCCTTCGTATTTGTCTCGGTCATGTCTGGTTTTATGCCGTGCCAGTTCTGAGGACGCAGCGTGGTCATTGTCGAGATTCGCGTGACGAATGGATTGTACCCGGCTCGTGCGAATAAGTGCATTCTGCAGGACGGTAAGGGTACTCATGCAAGGGCAAGGTGCAGCAACGCCGGCGCCGCTTTGGCCCCGCCCTCGGACCCCTGTCATTTCCCGTCAAGCTTAAAATCTTAATGCTGCTTGAGTAACGGCACTTCATGGTCTTGAAAGCTGGAAGCTTGTGTGCTGTGGAAGCACCCCCGTGCCGATACAGCCTTGTTTGCTAGTTATCTGTTTGACGTCATTGCGTTCTTCCCACGCTTTCTCAGTTGTCAATTGTGAGTGTCGAGGGGGTGTGCCTTACGGTGCTGCCCCCACAGCCTAATACTGATGGTATGACTAGCCCAATGTTGCGTCTCGGGCATCATTTCCGACTTGTTGTCCCGAGAAAGCCACAGCGGGTTGTCGGAACCGACTAGGTCACGATGTAAGCCCGATTTATGTCTACTTGCTGGAACACCATACTTCCTCAATAGCCATGACAATGCTACTCTTAGCAGTCGACTTTGGGGCGTGGTGACGATGGTAGTGACGATCATAGTTTGGCGTTGATTACCGGTTTTTGTAACAATCAACGGAGAACGAACAATGGGATATCGTTGAACTTCCTTCCTTGGCTTTACTGTTTGGCTGTTCCTTGCTTTCCCGTCTCTTCCCTCCCCCCTGAGCGTCTAGAGCGAAGTTCCCTCAACAACGCTAGAAGTTCATGTTCTCCGCTCGCCATGTTGCTATTGGTTTCATCAGGATCTACATACCCACGACGACGACGATGATGATGACGGTTATGGAGATGAAGCTCGTGTTCGTTCGAACAAAGTTTGACTGGCGAAGCTTGCTTGATGTGCATCCAACGGCTGCTTACCTCTAACGAGCAGAGAGAGTGTGTGTGCTATCAAATGGGCTTCATGGATTAAATTCTATGGTCGTTGGTAAAAGTCTAGACTGCACAGCCATCAACGGCTAAGGGAACCACTTCTCCCATAAACTACACAACCAGCTCTGGAGGTACAATTCATTGGTGGAAAATACTACGTAACGAAGAAACTACTTTTGATCCACGACAATGTCGTTTACTGAGGTACGAAACATTTTCACTTCCTAATTTCTCTTCGTCTTTTCCATCTTCAAGATGTTTTTGAAGCGAAGTTTGATACTACAAGCCGCCCCTTGAAGGAGTGTCTCTTTCAATCTCTCGTAATGCCAGCTCTATGGACGACAAGGCAGTGACCTTATGTATAATCCTACGGGTACCGTATGCGCTTGAAGGAAGTGTCCAATAGGCAATGGCTATCTCTCCAATACTATACAGGCCATGTGAAATCTTAAATTCCACATTACAAAGTAGAAAGCACTATGAGTTCCGTCTGGTCCGCAATCACTCATGAGCGGCCCCGCAATGATTGACGCCAACGGATAGGCCACGGCATTCCCTCGCACCTGAGCTGCATTAGCACACTCGAGCTCTATTGGATGGCTGCAACTCCGGCTCGGCGGTAACCGCGCGGTAGGCAGAAGGAAAAGGCCAACGGGCAGCGGGGCCAGCCACACTAGTTACTGCTGGCGCCGGCTGTTTGTGCAACCACACCAAAACGGCCCCGGAAACGGTTCCTTACCTGACGTCAAGCGCCAGACGCCACGGTGCCGGCCCAAAGCCGCCATGCGGGCGCCACCGCAGGACCCGACCCATCATTATCATGCAGAAACAACTGTCTCGCTCCGCTTTGGCTTACCGGATCCGCGGGACCACCGGTCTCTCTTTCTCGCCGTCGCGATGCATACTGGCTGCCTTGTCGCGCGCGAAGAGCAGCCCAAATGTCGAACAAGCGCTCAGATCATGCTGAAGAACAATCCTCATTGGCCAAACCAAACCACAGTCACCCGTTTGCTGGCCAAGACGTCGACTGGGTTAGCGAAAAAAAAAAAAAACAAAGCGCGCAGCAATCCGTCGCCGCTAACGCCGTTGTGTTCTCCACAAACCGTTGTCCGCAAACGGTCGAAACGGCATGAAGCACAGGGCTCTTGCAAACGCCACCGTGCTTCCTCTATCTTCTTCTCGTTCTTCCCCCTCCCCCCCCTCCCCATCTTCTCGGGTCTCTGTGGGGCGGCAGACTGTTGCATCAGCGGGCTTCGTGGATGAAGGGTCCGCAGCGTTGTCTACGCGACCTCGTCGAGAGCAAGGTCAGAGATATTGTGAGAGCGAGACACAGACCAACAACGGGAAAAGGGAGTGGAAAACAAGATTGACCGAGCCAAGATTGCAAAGACAATCACTTGCTTCCCTTGCCGAGCAAGAAAAAAGACAAAAAAGAAAAAAGGGCACATCAAGGTGGTCTGTCTGCTTTGGATCTTGAGGGGCCAAACGGCCAATCCCCCCTCTCTCCGTCCTTCCGGCAAGAAGAGGCCCCACGCAGGGTGAAACTCGGGTCGGCGTGTGCCTTTGGCTGCGCACGAGTGTCTGTGTGCCAAGT